ATTCATTTCCAACTTCACGGGCTTCTAGTCTCCCATCATTTTCTTAATGTTTTTGTCTTTTCTGAAAAGTTCTTTTGGGTTCTGAGTTTCATAATCATGGAAATAATAAGAGTGTTTCTTTGTGACATGGTAATATAATCAAAGTCACCCTTGTCTATTCTCAAATAAGAGGGTCCAGTTAAATTGTAAGTTTCTAATTGTTATCTTAGGGTGAAATTTATCCGGGTTAAATTTATTAATAACTTAGAGTTACTAGTAATTACATGCTATTGCAATAGGAGAAAGCTTCTATATATCTCAGTCTCTCAGTCTCTTTCTCCATCTATCTCGCTGATTCCCTTCATACTGTGACAGATAAACACCTGCAATGGATTCTACTGCGAAAATTTTACTCCCAATGCTAAATATAAACCAAAGATGTGGACGGAGAACTGGACTGGCTGGTAAGTTGCAAAATTTTGCCTGTATTGCCTATTATTTTTACTATGTAGTTTAATTTTGTAGTCTTATATTTATTTGTATGAAAGGGGAAAAAGAGCTTTTTATGGTAGATCCAATAACTATAGTTTGTTTTTCTTCTATCAAAATTTTGCTTTATTAATTCTATTTTGGCCTTGTTTTGTTTAATCCCAAGGTATACAGAGTTTGGTGGTGCAGTTCCTACCAGGCCAGCAGAAGACATAGCATTTTCGGTTGCACGATTCATACAGAATGGTGGCTCATTTGTTAATTATTATATGGTATATTAAATTCTGGTGTCTCTCTTTTCCTTGTAAATTTTATTAACCTACTGAACAATAATCTGCAGTGAAAGATCACTAGCTTTGTCTCTAACCTTTTTCAAATCTTTTTGCTTCAGTACCATGGAGGAACCAATTTTGGCCGGACAGCCGGTGGTCCCTTCATTGCTACTAGTTATGACTATGATGCTCCTATTGATGAATTTGGTATGTACATATGAACAGCGGTTTGAACTAGGCTGCACTGAATTTATTTACCTGCTTCATGATGAGCATTAAAGATTCCAACTACTTAACTTGAGATCACCATTATTGTTTGTGTGACACATGGATACATATTATTTCTCACATGCAAAGAATAAGGAATACCCAATTTGCGAAATCTAGTGTTGAAGGGGTAGACAGATTTTTAATTCTGAATAGGATCAAACCCATAAAAAAAAACTAGGTACTTGAAAACCAACCCCCCAAAATTAACTCTTCTTGCTTCTTTTGATCTTATACCAGGGCTACCAAGGGAACCAAAATGGGGACATCTGAGAGATTTGCATAAAGCCATCAAATTAAGTGAACCAGCTTTAGTTTCCGCAGATCCTTCGGTGACATCACTTGGAAGCAATCAGGAGGTAAGTTTTTTTGTCCAGCTGAAAGAGATAAAGAATATTACAGATAGAAACTCACCCCACTGTTTCGTTTTTGGAATTTGCTCTTCTCATAATCTACAATTGTTTTTCATTCCCAGGCTCATGTCTTCAGATCGAAGTCTGGTGCATGTGCTGCATTCCTTGCAAACTATGACACACGATACTCTGTAAAAGTAACTTTTGGAAATGCCCAATATGACTTGCCACGTTGGTCCATCAGCATCCTCCCTGACTGTAAAACTGCTGTTTTCAACACTGCCAGGGTAAGGAAAAGACTTTGGTATAGCAATGCTAATCATGTTTCAGTACATTGATCTACTGTGTCTACATCCAATTCTCATTCATGTAACTTTTATATAAATAAGCATTACAATTTCTTTCTGATAACCGCATCTTTTAGTAAAATGATTACGACAGAGATATTCTGGCCTTAAAAGAGTCTTAGTACATGAAGTTCAAGCTTTTTATTTTGTTTTAAACTATAAAGCTCAGTCTTCTTTCTGTCCTATGTATATGAAATCTAACATCCGAATGTAATTGTTACACAGCTTGGTGCCCAGAGCTCACAGAAGAAGATGGTGTCCGTAAACAGCGCATTTCCTTGGCAATCGTACAATGAAGAAAGCCCCTCTGCTGATGATCAGGATGCAACTGTAAATAACGGGCTCTGGGAACAGATTTATGTCACCAGAGATGCGTCAGATTATTTATGGTACATGACAGAGTGAGTAATCCTGATCTTACCCAGTAAAACTCATATTCTTGTACCTCAGAAAATTATTGAACTTCGTTGCACCCTTTTCTTACATGCTCTTGTTTAAATCAGTGTACAAATAGATCCTACCGAAAGATTTTTGACTAGTGGACAAAATCCTCTTCTCACCATTTGGTCAGCGGGCCATGCTTTGCATGTTTTCATTAATGGTCAACTATCAGGTAAAGCCAATACTCTGGCATCTTTCTTTCATTCTTCTTCTGTGAGATAAGCTAAAGTTTTGTGTGAACCTCAATATCTAACCTATTCTCATTTCAGGGACTGTTTATGGGGGATTAGAAAATCCAAAATTAACATTCAGCAACAATGTCAAGCTGAGAGCTGGGATTAACAAGATTTCTTTATTAAGTGTTGCAGTGGGACTCCCGGTTAGTTCTGTCACTTTCTGATGTGGCTTAAATATTTCTTAACTTCAATGATAGTGGGGAATATGCATTTCTAAATATTGTATTATCATTTATATGTTTCAGAATGTTGGCACTCATTTTGAGACATGGAATACTGGGGTTCTAGGCCCGGTTACATTGAAGGGTCTCAATGAGGGAGCAAGAGACTTATCTAAGCAGAAATGGTCTTACAAGGTTTGTTCACTACTGCTACCTGATTGAAAAATTCAGGGATAGGAACATAAATTCATCTAATTTATTTAAACCAATAAAGTAATGATTTTATCTAGATGAGCCATGGCAACAACTATTGGAATGATCTGGGAAATAAATTTTAAGAAAAGAACTTAATTGCTTAAATCCACCTCTTGATTTGTGGGAACTTTTTAAATACACTTAAAGCATCACAATATGTTTAAATATTTATAAATTTTTAGATAAGTTTCCAAAATTAGTTTCTGGATATCTTGTCAGGAAACATGCCCCAAGTCCTTGAATTACCTGTATTACTAAGAGTTGTTGCACTTACCAGCACGTAGATATACTAATATGCTATCTTGGCATGATTTTGAGTAGATTGGTCTAAAAGGGGAAGCCTTAAACCTTCACACCGTTACTGGAAGCTCCTCTGTTGAATGGGTTGAAGGATCGCAATTGGTGAAGAAACAACCTATGACTTGGTACAAGGTCAGGAAGTTACTTTGTTGATTAAACAGATACCATGTTTGAAAAGATTTAAATATTTAATAACTGTTGTTTACAGACAACTTTTAATGCACCGGGCGGCAATGAACCATTAGCTTTAGATATGAGTAGCATGGGAAAAGGGCTAGTATGGATAAATGGTCAGAGCATTGGACGCCACTGGCCCGGATATATAGCACATGGTGGGTGTGGTGCTTGTGATTATGCTGGAACTTATACTGACAAGAAATGCCGAACTAACTGTGGAGAGCCTTCTCAAAGATGGTGAGAAACTATTCTGTTTCTGTTATCATTTGTTGATCTGATGATTCAAATATTCATAGTAGAGTTTTTACTTTCAGGTACCATGTTCCACGTTCGTGGCTGAAGCCAAGTGGAAATCTTTTGGTCGTGTTTGAAGAATGGGGTGGCGATCCATCTGGAATTGCTTTGGTCAAAAGAACAACTGGAAGTGTTTGTGCTGATATTTTTGAAGGGCAGCCAACAATGAAGAATTGGGGAATGCTAGCCTCAGGAAAAATCAATAGACCAAAAGCCCATTTGTGGTGTCCTCCTGGACAGATAATTTCTAAAATAAATTTTGCTAGTTATGGAATGCCAGAGGGGACTTGTGGAAGCTTTCGTGAGGGAAGCTGTCATGCCCACAAGTCATATGACGCGTTTCAAAAGGTATGCCAAAAAACTCTAACGTCTCTCTCTCCAGCTTTATGTGGGAACTCCCTTGAAACCCGCTGGAAGCTGTTACTCAGACAATAAAATTACTTGGTGCTCGTACCTATGTTTTAAAGATGTTTTTAGGATTTTAACATTCTCTATCTAAAGGATTTATGTTATTAAGTTTCATGGGATTCCCGAGATTTCTCATGAATAAATCATTTTTTTATTAACCTTTTCTGTTTTAATGGGTAATTTGCTTGCACTGCATAAATTGTTCAAGCTGTGAACTTGATTTTTAGTATCGAGTACAAATGTTTGAGCCTGACCTGAAGTTCGGAAAATGAGTTTGCCCCATTCTGTGACATAAGCGCTATCATAGTTTTGGATATATATATTAGTTTTCCCTGTAATTTAGAATTAACATGGAGGTCTCTTTCAGAATTGCATTGGAAAACAATCATGTTGGGTAACTGTGGCTCCTGAAGTATTTGGAGGAGATCCATGTCCCAATAGCATGAAGAAGCTTTCGGTTGAAGCAGCCTGCAACTAAAGTGTAAAGAGATTTGTGGTCAACCAAAAAAAAAATGAAGTCCAAACTAGTTCACATTCAGCACATAGATTAGATACTTCCTCACAATCTCTTTGAGTTTTTAAAGGTAGTTCAAGTTTACACATTTCATACTGCAAAGATGATATGATTTGAATCTGCTACAAGGCAATAAAGTATGAACAGAGTGAAAACAGCACACTCTGTTTGGCCAATGCCAAATATTGGTTATGAAGTGGTTGAAAAGATGCTTTATGTACATAGAGAAGCTATTATTCTCTGATACAGCTTTATACAGCATACATAGGATCACTTTATAAAATCTAGGATTGCTCTAGCTTGCTGGAATCAATTTATGCCTGTAAGTCTCTATAGGAAAGCAATTTCATTGCTTCTCTTTGTAAAAATAAATGGGAAAGTAATAAATCCAAGCATTTGAATAGCATTTTGAGCTGTAGTTTCTTTCTTACAAGTTGTTACTGTCTCTTCGTCTGTTACTCGTCATGATGTAGCTTCATCATTGATCTGTTAACTGGACTCAAATCATGTTTGAGTGGATGGATTACAGCCACACCATAAAAACAGAAATAAAACGGACATCGTGGATGTTAACATGAAACAGAGCCTTCGACGGCCTTGGGGAAAGTTATACTTACAATCTGCTATTGGTATATACTGTTGACTCAAAGGACTTAAAAATGATTGTTCGCTCAAAATACACATGCCAAAAAAGGTTACTGAGTTGCTGTAAGGGGACTGCAAGCCGCTCTTACACACACACACACACACACACACATACATATATATATATATATATATGTATGTATGCATATGTATATTTAAAAGAATACACAATCCAATAGATTGCTTACAATTCTCTTTTCATATCATCCAAGAACTCTCTCCGTTTACACGTTAGAATGATATTAAGAATCGAGTTAAGTGAAGATGGAAGGGGGGGCAAGCACAATGTGGCAGTTTCCCTTCAGAAAGTCTTCTCATTTGAAGATAATTTCTGACTCAAGTCATTGATGACATCACCTATATCTTTCTGAATTTGTAAACTTACTTGCCCTTGATGCCTCCATCGCTCCAATCTATTACATAGGTCCCTTAACATCAAAACCCCATCTTTGTCAATGCTAAGCATACTTAGCCTCTTGATGCAATTCGTCAAATACTTCCTAGCCTTTACTTTGACCTGGTAAATAAAATCTAATCCACTTTCTTCAGTCTCAAAAAATGAAGTAGATATATTATCAACGGCATCTGTCAAACTAAAAACAATACAGGCACCTGCTAAAACATCCCTTTTACTACATTTTTCCATCCATGTAGTTAAGTCCTGCCTTTCAGAGTTCTTCTTTACATGTCTTAGTCCAGCAGACATAGTTTCCCTTGGCCGAAGTATTATACCAGTAGCTGCATAGTGCAGCAAAAGTTCACATCCATCCTCAGTTATACAATTGGGGCACCCAATCAAGATGCCTAGTGGGATTTTCCTTATAAGCACATTTTGCTGCAGGCTTAGAACATTGGATGCATTTGAATCAGCAGATGGAGAACTGTTGATGGTTGTGTTAGCATACTGGATGTATATGTTTTCAATTTCATTGAGCCAGATTCCAATCTGTTGACAATCATACTCTTTTGCCACAGCATAATCCTCCCTCTTGTCATTAACTTTTGGTTTCTTAAGTTTCTTCTTGAAGGTAGCTGCTTCTTTGTTGTGCTTAACTACCCAAGACTCTGATATTTTAGTCAAAAAATCAACTAGCAAACCCTGATTAGAATTACTAATGGGGCTCAGAATCCATGCAATATACCTAGCAGCATATGTAGACAATAATTCCTTATCATGTGTTTCTTCAACTTTAGGTGTGGCTAATATGCATTTTGATTGGAAATTCTTATGGAGATTTTTCTCAGTGAAGAGTAGAACAGAAGCAAAATAGAACCAATCTGGGAAGTCTATTGCCAAAGCCCTGCAAGGAAAAGATTTCATCTTAAAGTTTTTGAGTAAAGAGCGGATAAGGGTGGGAGGGGAGTAACCCTTCGTTAGCCAGGGAAAAAATGTAGATGAAACTCTTTCCATAGGGAAAAAATGTAGAAGTTTACCAGAGAGATTTGTGATCTATGCTTGCCACCACCACTGCTGTTGGCTTGACGGCTGGATGCAGTTGTTCCCTACCAAGAGAAACTTGTTCACTTGTGGCATGAGCTAAATGTAGAAAGCTTTCAGCAGAGAAGACTCCAACTAAAATCCTCAACAAGTGGTTCTTATTTGGGAAATATGCACAGGAAAATGGTAGCTTAGATCCCAATTCCAAAGATATGCCCCACCATGTTGGTCTTGAAATTACATCCAATATTGCTGACACTAATCCACCCAGAAGCTCTAGTACAGAAGCCAGACCCCTGTTTTACAACTAAACTAATAATAATGAGATATGTTTGTTAATTAGGTTATTCTAGATGAAGAATTACAAGGTAATGATGCATCATCCATGCTATCCATTACTCAAAATATCTTTGTTAATAGACACAACAAGCTAAAAACAGCTTTAAGTTCCTTGGACTTTGGCATATATAAATAACATGTTTCCATTACAATACCTCAACTTATTATGAATCATAATTCCTGACCATCACAATGGAGAAAAGAAAAGGCACATCACATATGCATAAAACAAATTCAGGGGGGAAATAAAAGACTGAGCAATTTGGTTCATGAAATAACAAGGCTAGCCTGACCATCAAAAAGCGTGAAATAACATATTTATGAAATAAGAGTTGTGTGCATTATTTGGAAGCTATAAATTAAAACCAATATGAAGGCAGCGAATGTATGATACTCTTTCCACGTAGAACAATAACTGAAATATGCCTCTCTGTTCTTCCTAAGAAAGTAAGTAGATAGTGCATGTAGAAACAGAGTAAAATCAAGTTGTTGAAAGTTGGCACTATAAACAATGTGGAACTGATTGGAAAGCATATTTTTTTTTAAAAAATAAAGATGTATCCATAAAAACATGGGAAAACAATTGTAATAAGAAATCCAAACATTTGTAAGAATAAGAAACAGAAACTCACGTCTTGAGGAACCAGTTATGTAATAGGGCTCTGGTCTCAATAAACATAACAGGAGAAAGTGCCAAGCATATGATGATAGCACGCCAATCCGTTCTCTGGTGAAATTCGTCACTCAAACAAAGGAAAGGCCTTTCTGTGGTATCTTTTAAAATCTTTGAAACAGCTTGCTTTAGGGTTAGTGGGTCAAGATACCAGAACAGCAGCCTGCATAAAGAACGAAATTATAGATCTTAAGAAGCATAACTTACAAAACTCAACAAAAATAAAGCATTGAGCACTTATAACATGGTATGGCATTTTCCGACTGAAAAAGAAAGTTTATTTAAATGAAAAAAAAATAGAAGAGAGCTTCTTTAAACAGGAGTACGAGTGAATACTGAACCAAATTATTGCGGAAAGTGGTGAATTAAATAAGATCAAAATTCTAATAAAAATATGTAAATCAAGCCCCAATTTACTCCTTACTCTCCGCCTTTTCCCCTTTTGTCAAATTATCTTAACTTTTCCTATTTATAAGGATTCTGTTGCTGATAAACAGTTTAACGAAAACTATAAATGATTAACTTCTACATTGATGTAGTAGCCATTTTAACTCACAACGAACCTCAATGGTATTTCCTCATTTTCAAGGGACAGTTCAGTGGGTAAATGGCAATGCAACTTGGAAACAGCAGCACTATTTCCTTCAATTAATTTCACATCAAGAATAGGTATATTTGGGAATGAATACTGATAGCAAGATGCCAAAACTGCTACCCTTACAACAGCACGTAACAGCAAATGAGAAAACACCCCTGCAAGATAAAAGGAAACATTCTCACACAGGTAATGAAATCCACCAGAATCATTCAATAACCAGATAAAATATTTCAATCCAAAATCTAAATAACAAATAACTTTACCAAATAAAAGGGTTCATGTAATATGCAACACCAAAAGATTTCTAAAAATTAAAATAATGATGAAAATAAAAAGGGACAAAGAGTTCACCTTTTCCCTCTAACTTTGCATAAACATTGTTAAACATTTCTATCAATTCCACGAAATTTAGACCTAAACTTGCGCTACCCATAAGCAGAAACTGTTCGTTTTGAACAGGAAAAACCTTGCAATTAACCGAAGAAGATAAGACGCTGATGATCGTCGTCGCCAAATACTCAATCATTGAATCAAAAACCTAGGAAAAATTGTAAATTTAGACATATGGGTAGTGAAAATAGAGCATTATCTCCCAAAAGAACCCTAAAGTTTACAACTTTGAAGACGACTTTACCTGGGGTGCCTTGAAACACATGAGGGAGAGAGCGGTATCCAAAACCCTAACCCTAGAATTAGGGTTTTCGTTGAGGTTTAAAGATTGATTTAGCTTGGAAATTGAGAGAGTGAGAACTTCCTCTTCGTTTTCTCGTTCCCTGATCGGTAATTGAAGGTGAGAAGCGAGTTGAGCGAAGAGGTCGGTGATTGATGGCGGCGTAGCCATGATTTTCAGTCAATTAGACGGTGGTGAGAGTGGCGGCGGTTGATGATGATGAATATGATGTTGGAAGATGATGGCATTTCCCGCCATAATTGTATTGGTTTTGGGCTTTCCATTATTTTTATTGGGCTACAAGTAGGTAGCCCATTTTGTTGAATAAAGAGCTTTTTCAACTTCCCCTTTTTGTTAAACGGTAACAAATTCTATTGAATTATAATTTAACAATTATTTAAATTCTTAATATTTTATTACAATTAATCAATTAATTTTTTATTTCAACTCAATTGAACTCTTAATTGGATAAAATCTAGTCATATAAAAAAATTGAATCAAATAATCTCTGAACTATAGTAAATTGAATCGTTAAAGAGATTTTAAAAAGAAAATAAGAGAAAATTAAAAATTTTATTTTATTTTATTTTATTTTATATATATTAATTATGTAATGCTGTAAAATTTATTTATTTTATTGATATCACATAAAATTTTATTTTAGTTGAAAAAATTAATAATGTCATTTTTTATCTATATAAAAGTTTAATTGAATGCAAATAAAAATTGAATAGTTTATTAATTGTAATAAAAAAAATAAAGCTTAAGGAATTTTTTAATTATAATTCAAATACTTTTTATACCCATTAGTCTTCATTCTTTTTATCCTTCCTATTGTATAAACCTTAAATCTATCAATTTTTTTTTTAAAATGAAGTCGTAATATGAATATAGTAAAATTGATTGCACGTTTTAAATTTTAATATATTGAGATATATTGGATATAACTTGTAATTATATAAATCAAATGAGTGAAATTTTAAATTTAAATCCATTAAATTTAATATTGATAAATAATAGTATTTTCTTTTTTGATTGCTTTATATAATACTTTTGTAATTGTAGAACAAGATAATTACCTCTTGGAACTTCTTTTTTCAACAAATAATTTTTAAGACAAAAAGAAAATTGACGCCTAAAAATCAAATGCTGGCTCAATTTTTGGGGAAGCACTGTTTAGTTAAAGAAGAGTTTTTAGGAATTAGGATGCTGAAATGAAAACTGAAAGGAAGCGAAAGGAGAAAATTTGGGGTTAGAGAATGTAAAATCATGAAATCAGAAAGAAAATGCAAAATCATTGTCCAATTGGAATGATTGGTCCTTTTGATAAAAACATAAAAGCTGCAGGATGATTAAAGTTTCCAATCAATTTCAATTTTCAGCTGTTTGGTGGGTCAACTTGAATAAGTGTAAAAGAGGGCTAATCAAATAAATCTTGTTGATTTGATAGAGGGAGATAAAAAATAGAAAAGCATGTGCCAGGTGATCGATAAGATGACCTATGGTATTAATTTTACAACTATGGCTATTCGCCTATTCCTTCAGTTCTTTGTACCCACAGAACGCCATTGTTCATGTTTAGTTTGAGATTATTTGGTGTTTTAAAATTGTGATTTAGATGGTAACAACAACGTTAAACTGAGTTTAAGGTTTTCAAATCAAATTGAAATTGATTAAAAATAGTTTTCCAGTTCACAATTTCACAACTCATCAAAACTATCAGAAGTTCCTACAGGCAACAGGAGAACAAGCCCAGGATGGCACTCTCAAGTCTCACCTTAGGGGAAAATATGTCCAATAACAGGGTCTTGAGTAAATTTATCAGAAAAGCACCCCTCATCAATGCTTATTATCAGCTAAGGTCTTGACTTCTGCAAATTACCTGCAGTGTCCCACTTCAACTGTCCAATTAAAATGGCTCCAAATCATAAACTTTTGTTTTCTACCGGTAGTTACCTGACTGTTTTTAACATTGCTGGACCCTATACACTCATTAAAAATGACAAATCCAACAAGCTGGTGGGTTTTCGACACTTGTTATTAAGGACAAGACGAAAGAAAAGCATGATATGGAATACATTGCATCACCAATAAAGTTCACTTGCAGGTAAAAGAAATCAATTCAGACTCTAATAAAGAGTTGATTATCATCAGTGGCTACTATGACTTTAGTGGGGGCACTGAGCGAAAGCCTCCAAAGAAAGACCCCTATAATCCCTATAAGTAGCTCTCTAGATTCCTTACCAATAAACTTTGACATGGCATTGGTTTTTTTATCAGTTAAAAGACTAAAAAGAGTGTGATATGCTATCATCACAAGGAAACTTTATAAAGTAAAATGTTAAGATGCCAACTTGATAACTTACTTAAATCAGACAATCTTCAAGTTGGAGGATCATTGGCTCTCTAAGGATAGGAAAGTTATTCTCATTTGGGAAGAATAAAGTACAAAACTCTCTCCTTGTGTGCCATTAGATTTTTAAATCTAAGATTTAGAAGAAAGTAAGCAGGATCATTTGATTCCAGAATAAAAATTTTGGGACTCCTAACCCGAAAGTCATACTGTCTTGAAGTGGAAAATGATGAGTCCTGAAATTTCAAACAAGAAAATGATTCAAATTAATGATCATTCAACAGAATAAATGGGCTGGAATCGTACTTACGGTTCCAAGCTTCTGACTTCAAACTACTGAAATTATCAGCCTGGTATGTTAAAACAGAAGAAAAGAAGAACTCTTTTTTCTCATATGACAGGATTGTTGAAGCAAGCTGCTTTTGATTTTTAACTTGTTTAAAGATTTTATGTTCTATCATGTCTGAAGATCACTTGTTAGAACTTAGAAAGAAGGGTAATAGAACAAGAGAGGAAGTTTAATTAGAATTGATCAGCTGCGTTAAACTTGACAAAGCTGGATTGGTCACCACTGGTCAGATAGCAAATCACTTTTTCTTGTGTCTTTTACTTTTTATCGCTTTGGACAAAATTGTTCCACCTTGGTTCAATCTTTAGGCTCCACGTTACATGTGATAGTTTCAAAGAAATGATTGCTATGATCAACAACTTTAGTAGCCTTTCAAATGAAAATGTTTTTTTATAGCTGCAAAATCTGTGAGCATGGGACATGGATATGAAGACTGCTTAATAGACAACGTTAAAAGGCAAGATGTAAAGTTAGCAGCAAGCATCTCACTACATTGAAGATTCTGCTTGAGATTGCAATAACTTAATCCTGCATTAATCACCAGCGGCCTCATTAATTATATTGGCCATTCTATGGCTCCCACGATGAGAGGGCCGCAATCTAACAGTGAAAAAAAGTTTAAACCAAATGAAAGCATTCGATCCGAAGTAGCACGAAGATGAAAATTGTAGTTAGCTTGCATTGCACTACTGGTAACCTGAATAATTACAGCAATAGTTGGACTATAAGTTGGTATTGATAATTGCGAAGACTTGTGAATTAGAGGGTGTGATCATGACAAATTATGCTATGAGAGAGTAAATAGGAGCCAGAGGATTGATTAACCATTGGCACTATGATTAAGAAAGGGGTTGATAATGATGATTAGCAGGCAAAAAAGAGGGTCCTATTCAAGTAAGTAAATTAGTAGTAAGATGTTTGGGATGGGGCAGTAGGTGATGTGGGTGGGTGGGAAAATGGAAATTTCATTTGTTTGTTTATGAATCAGAAAGGACTTGGTGACAGAGGGGTCTGCAATATTCACAATCATCTAATGGTGATTGAAGCCCACAAGTGGCAAAAAGAGACAGCAAGTGGGCCATTCCAGTTTTTCTGGGGGAGAGCCTGCCAAATCTCACAAACCACAATAATGGAATCTCAATGAATAGCTTCACCGATTTGACCATACAGTGCTGGGTGCTCTCACTCACCCTAAAATATCAACCCAAAGGCTAAGAACATCAAAACCATTTTGGATTTTCCCTTAAAAAGCCTTAGTAGATTGCTCTTGTTGTTGTTACAGACTTGGTTTTAAAAGCATGAGACATCTTCATATCAATGAACTGCATCACGGCATCAGGGTCAATTATTAGGGTGTGGTGGACCCAATTGAAAGATGAAGAAACAATTGGATGGTTGGATACCATGACATCAAACGGATGGAATTAGGATATACGATAAGAAAAATAACCCAGACAGAAAAATCTGGGGTATTTCAAGCTGATATTGTTTGCTTATGGATTGTCCTTTTCTATGTCTATCATTCAAAGCTATGGATTTGGTTTGCATAGAAATCTATGGTACCAAGAAGGTAGGCCGTAGGCCACTGGTTCTGTCTAGTAAGAGGCTAAGACCTAACTGTCTTTGTGTATGTCTGCAATGTCACGTATGCATGGAGTTGGACCTATCATTCCGAATGGGTCCCCCACCAAAAACCAAATATCAAAGCAATCAGATGGCAATAAGCATCTCTGATTCAGTCTGATTGTTCAGGACATTTTGTAAGAAATGTTGATGGACTCAACCATTGGCTGGACTCAGGACTGCATTGTTTTGTCACAGGAGGAGCCTATTGGTGGCTCTACTACATCACAGCCAGCTCATTGGTTGTCCCAAGTTCATTTCAGTTTTTTTGTTGGCAAGGCTCAAAGAGAGATTATAAGGCGTTGTTTCGATTTGATATCACAACATCAGGGGCAAAGAGAAAGCCAGAAAAGGAACCTTATTTAAGAGATACCTAGCTGGAAAGAGCCGGGTTTACCGGATCCTGTCCAGTGAGCAAAAGCCAAAACAATCACCAGTGAGACAGAGAGATGAAAAGAGAGGTGGGATCCAAAGCGTCTCTTATTCTTTACTCCCAACTATCAAACATTCAATGTCAAACACAATCTTAAAATGGTTTTTCTTTGAATATCAAAGCAAGATTATAGATTGAAAAGGATACGCTGAACTCACAAGCAAAGAGAAGCTTCTTTAATTCATGCCATACATCTAAAAATGTCCTATCTCTTTCATTCCCCCCCTCCCTAGTTTTTTTCCCCTCTTTTGCTCTCATTCACTCTTGCTTACTTTAAAGAAAGAACGAAATATGCTTTAGATAGAAAATGAGAAGGATCAGGAAAATAGGGTAATAAAAAAAAATTAAATTAAATTGCCAACATAATGATAGTGTTGGAGAAGCCTATTGGCTTCCCTGAGACCACTAAAATAAGCTCCATGGGTTGTAGAATAGTGTGTTCTGTGTGTAGCCTCCCCAGCAAACAAAATTTGAAGTGGATGCACACTGCTTGACTCACAGCTCCCAATCTTTGGTAATGGCTCAGCCATTGTGTCCAAATCAGCACCACTAGATCCAACCGCAACATAACTGTAAGATCCCAAGAATAGAGGATCACTACCCCATTTGCTCTTCAAAACCTTAACAAATCTTACTTCACTTTCACTTGAGCTCTCAATAGATTTCACATTCTCATTGCAGAATTCATGGGAATTATTAGACTTCACTTCCTTGTGGGGTTGTGATAATAAACTATAAACTGTTGTTGACACTTCGTTTATAATCTCTTCATCGCTAAGCGTTTCGAGCTCAAGAGCTTCTTTCCCTGCAAACCAAGATAGCAAGACGCTTGAATTGTTATAAATAGGACACAGGGAAGCTGTCCTCCTTATCCACCACGGGATCTTTTTATGCCTTAAATCGGAGTCTGAAGGATGAAAAACCATTTGCAAGGAAGGAAACTTGTCCGTAACATTGGCTTTTCGATTACCAGTTGGACTCAATTGGAGAAACAACTTGTTAACAACACCATATCCGAGTCTTGATATAGCCTCTGTCTTGAAAAAAGGAAGGGGAGGATTGAACATACCTGAATCTTGGCAAGTTCCGGCTTTGAGGACCCCTAGTGAAACTGTGACAATCACATGATCAGCAAACATAACCGATCCATCACAGAAGTGTATCTTCACAGGCCTGGAATCAAAAACATTTGCCATTTCTACAGATTGATGACCCTCAGGTTGCCATTCAATACTTGAGACTTTGCGGTCTAATTGGATTACACCAGGAGGAAGAACAGATGCAAGATATTCGATTATGCTCAAGTAGCCTTTAGAAATGGTGATTTCTTCGCCCGGAAACATGCGGTATTCGCTTTCTGCCTCAAAATCTAGAGTCAACAGATCACCAGCTGAAGTATAAGTCCTTTGGGTGTTTTCATGCATGGCAAAAATGGCTTCATCTAGCAACTTTCTGCTCCATTTACCGTATCCTCTGAGCTCCTCACGGTTCTTGGAAGAATCCCAATAAGCATCAAGGCCTTGTCTAAGAAAAGCACCGACACTGTGGTTGCCAAAGCCACCATTGCTTGTACAACCTTTGGATGCTTCTTTAGCTGCAAAATTATAGTAACGAACATCTTCAGTGCCCGCACTGTCTTCTGTCGGCTTTCCTTGAGCAAAATCCATCAGGTTCTTGAAAAGGGTTGATATGGGGTCAACAATAGAGGCATTCAGCTCGAACCCACCTTCAGCAATGGTCTTTAGCTCATCCGATAAGCCATCCATGCACTCCCATGGCTTGTCAGACTCTAGTGCATGGATTTCTTGAGCAATTTGGTGAATTGGGCTGCCTCCTATACCATGGATCCAAGTAGCACCCATCTCAATTCTGTTACCACCAAACTCTGAAGTGTTGATTCTGCCACCAATCCTAGTCCCACCTTCAACAACAAATAGCTCAAACAAATCATTAAAGCTAGTGGAAGTATAAAGCTTGTTAGCTGCAGTAAGACCAGCCATCCCTGCTCCAATTATCACAATTCTAGGCTTCTTGGCCATTATGGTTTCTACCTTACAAAGCTTCACTAGCAGCAGAAAAGGATTCAAGAAACAATTGGAGAAATTTTCCGAAGGAGAGAAGAGAGTGAAGACTGAAGAACTGTGAGGTTATATTGAGTTACTGATAAGGAATTTATAAGGGGAGTGTATACTCTATAGTCTGTGCCTTCTTGAGACTTTAATTTCTTCACATTATTTAATTTCTCTAATAAAGACAGGGCACTACTTTTCTTGAACTTTACAGCTACAAATATAGCTTATACCCTAAAAGCCACTCACTCTCAATATCCTCTCCTAGTCTTCCTCAAACACACTGCCATTTATATTTCAATGTATAAGACTGTTTGACTCGCCATAATTTTCAAGAATATTGGAGTATTAGTACATTAAAAGTACATTAAAAGAAGAAAATATTAGAGAGTTATTACGAAGGACAATTACACCTCACATATAAATTAAGGTTGAGGACGGTCCACCAACTGGACAAGTCACTGATCCTGATCACTTCGATAGGCCTGTCCTAGACCATAATTAGGTAATCATACAAAATGTAACAATTTATAAACACCCTTTGCTATATGTGCCTTCAGGATACAATATTTTTGCCCATGCCATGAGCTTCTACCCTTCATTCCTGTCAGCATTCCAAGCATCCATGAATTGACACATTGGAGAATGATCAATTTATTACAAGTTTAGATGAGTATAACCACAGTCTTAAAATTTTAACAAAAAACTATCTTAAATCTAGGTATAATAGGAAAAAAAACACTGTTTATTTGATGATTTAGCTGTTCTTTGAACTTCCTTTCTTTCTTTCATGAGGGGAGGGCGGTTGTTTCCATTTAGAGTGAAGCACTCTCACTCCTCCCTTCTTGGTGGAAGAGAGGGAAGATGATTTTTATTCAAAGTGAAGCTGCATCAAATTAATAAAAGGGAAATGCATTTGTTTCTTTGCATTTAAGCAAGTATAGATGGACAAGTAGTGGGACATTCATTAGTTTTTGGATCATACGGCGGATTTAGAAGCAACAAAACATCATAGATTACTTATAACAGTGAAGAGGATTATTATGGCCAGGTACTCCCGGGGGCAAAATGTGACATGCTTTCTTTTTCATGTTTCAAACCCCTTTGGTTGGATTTATCTTCAAAAACATAACAGATTTCAAGCCTTTGCTTTATTTACTAATCCGTTTCTTAAAGAAAATAGCAATTAAAACTTTCATCTTCGATTGAACAAATATTCTTAGACTAGACCAAGATCTCTTGTCATTTCTATCTCGATCCCAACTAACGTTGTTTAAAATAAAGTACTAATGTTAAAAAGCTTAATAAGATCAGCTGACTTGACTTCCATCCTCATCTCTTCACTTTACTTCTCTACTCAACAAATTATTATCTTTTTATTCCTATTAGTTATGATTAAGCACGTAACAATTAATATTAATCACTGGATTAGGCTAAACTAACAATCATTTTGATTTATTAATAAAGTTTTAAGACTTTTAGTTTCATAATTAGAATTTAATTTTCCACACTCTCAAATATAAAAAAACAATGATTATGTTAACTTATCTTTTTACTATACCATTTACGTTAGGGTGTTTTTGTATCATTATCTAACCATGGAAATCTCAATATCATTTGAGGGTTTTGATTTTTTTTTTTTTTTGGCCCACGAGGTTGAATGTCAACTGATGTGAGATAAAGCCACCATTAAACTTTGGGTGAAGATAAGCACAATCAAATAGTTTTATATATTACCATGACCCATAGTTTATTATTATATTATATATAAATCAATTAGCTACATGATTCTGCATATGTTCCTCCTCTGTCTCTTCTCTTTAGCAAAGGATTTTTGTTAATTTTTAATTACATTTTAATTTCTGTCGACATCTCTCAATGCTCAAACTTTCATCTAAATCTTCATGAAAGGTAGTGCGGATCCATATTTTAATTATCAAATCTATTCTAAATTAAAAATCTAAAGAAATAAAGGTGAAAGACAATTAAATAAGTTTTCAGATACTTGTCTGCCAAAAAAATTCAATCATTTTTAACTACCCATTTGTCTTTGACATCTGACTGGGTTAACTGCTATAATCACACTGAATTTTTTTTACTACTAATTAACACTACTAGGTTCTAAATAAAAATTATTTTTATGTGGTTTTTTTTTTTTTTTTTTTGGAGTTGTCAAGTTTTTTACAAAAGAAACGTAGTTTAAAGATAAGAGAAAAGGTTACCGTTTTTAAGAATAATTACATAAATAAATTGAAATAAATTTCAAATTTTAAATTATCAAAATTTTAATATTCTGTAAACAGCTGTTGTTATGTAACAATGCATATACACAAGAAATCATGCAAAGATGAGAGTGAATCTGTGACCAGTTGTGAAGCAGCCTTATAGGAGAAAGTATATTTGTAGGATTATTTGTCTCAAACCCAAAGTTCCTGCCCTTTTCCATATTGCTTGAAAACCCATCGAAACACTATGGGCAAATTATAATTTCTGCTATTAACAGGGACGATTGACTTGGATTTATGGGGTTGATAATGGATGAAATTGTCGTTGACAATCATGGTCAAAAGCACAAGTAGAGAAGATAGAAGAAAAACAATCCCTTGAATGCTTTCAATTAATGGGGGCATTTAAGTGTAAAAAGACTGGTTGATGCATCACTATCAAGGCATAATCAAGACAAGTCAAAATTCTACAGTCCCCCAATACATACTATTTATTTTCCACATCGTCTCTCGTGATCAAAAGATATATTTTTCCTCGAGCATTGAAGCATGGACCCAAAATCAAATGCCTCTCCTTGGCTTCACGTGCATTTGGAGGAGAAATGCCAAAACCTGGGAAAACCTTGGACTGAGGAGGTTAAAACTTAAAAAAAAAACAGGGTAAAAAACAAGAAAAACTTTTTTTTTCTTTTTCAAAGATATTCTACTTTTTTTTTTTCTTGATGTGAGAATGATTTGACGTGGACAAAAGTAGTGATTTTAATTATCATTTCCCAATCTTTGTTGGGTTTTACTTTTCTTTTTGTGTCTCGATTACGTCATCTCTTCACCCCTTTTTTGCTCTCAAATGAAAATGATTGCCATCGTCCAAAATCCAATCATAATAGTAGTACGACTAATACAATTTGATTAAAAAAAATTTTTTAAATGCATTTTATGTTTCATATTTTAATACAAATTGCATTTGTAAAAGATTGATTAATTATTTAGTTTCTTACTTTTGGTTTTTTATTTTTGCATTTTAGTTAGTTTTCTTCACTTTAAGAATGAAATCCCATATTGAAACTTGGAGAATATGTATCAATGTAAGTCTTGTAAGAACAAGCTAGGCTAGAGTTCTTGAGCCACCAACTGTCCCCTTCTCTTGCTAAGTGCTAAATTTAATTGCTAGTCCTTAATTTCAATTCCTATCTAAGATAGATGGGGTCAGCAGCCGTTGTATGTGCCTAAAAATGACATATTTGAGGTATCCATTGGTCCAACTAATATAAAAGAGATTTCAATTTACAAATAAAAAATATGATTGCATGTATAAATCAATTTAGTTGAGTTTGGGGTTCAAATTTACTTATATTTTGCTTATATAGGAGGAATACAAAAGATGAGAAAATTAGAGCCGAAAATGAATGGATAAGAAAAAGAGATGGCATGGAATAAAATTTTCATTCATATGGTGAGGTAGAAAAGATAGGAAAAAAAAGATACATTGAATTTAGCCTAATGTCCTAAAAGAATTTGTGACAAGGACAAAAAAAGCATAGTTTTATCTTAACTTTATTTGTAATTTTCTCTAATTCTTCATTTTAATTGCCAAATGAAGTGTATTTGCATCCCTTTAATTATCACTCAATTTTCAACCATCACAATCACATTTTTCAATCTTTTTTTTTTTTTTTGGTGTTAGTTTTGATTTGAGACTTTGAGTGATTACAACTCCCTCTCTCTCCCCTTCACAAGTAATCTTATCCTTCAACACTCCTTGGATAATATTTAAGGTTTTTTAACCTGAATGGGAGAGTCCTGCCTGCCCCAATGCCCAAGTAGTGCATTTTTATTGAGTGGTAACGTCCATATAAAAGGAATCGATCTATCATTCATATATCATTGTTTTATGAGTACCATTTTTAAGCCTGTTCGCCTTAGCTTTTCCTACCAAAAAAATTTTCTTTTATGAAAACCATTTGCATGGACAAATATAGCTTAAATCTTTCTTACCAATGAAGCAATGACCAAAAATAGGCCAACAATATATCTGCCTTGCCTTACATTGATATCCACTCAACAATCGAAATCAGACTAAGAATTTCTTTGTCTCCAGCTCAGCTGTGACAAAGAGAAACTGCCCTTTGCTGCTTGGGGAAAATCCTGCAATGCGCTTTTCAAAATTTTGCAAATGGTGGTAATTTTCCCTTGGGAAGTCGATTAGCAATGGGCTCATCCCACTGAAATAAAAACCCAACCACAGCTTAAGGCATTGGGTCAAATGGGCCCATTGCCTTGGTTTTGATGTCTGGATCCTTAAAGCTTGCAATAATAATGACTCATGCTGGATCTTGATGCAAAGAGTCGAGATTCATTTGGGCCGTAGTTTGAAAATTGAACCAAAAAACTAATAAAAATGTGAATGTTCTTAAACCTTACTTTAAAACCTTGAAAAAAAAGAGAAATTATCAACCTTTGGTTTCAATCCCTGTCACGTTATTACAATCATGATGAGTGTTTTGGTTTATCTTTGTTTTTGGCGGTATCCTGGCACTCGCAGCGAGTCATATTGTATCGTATCAGCTGGCCTTGTCATTTGATGGAAATCCCTTCTTATCTTTTCTTTTCCCATTGGCACGCCCTATAAACCATTCCTCCTGCTACTACGTTACAAACGTCTTTCAAAGGTTCCGTCAGGATTTCATTTCAAATCAATTGGAATGTTCCTGGACATTTATGTGTGCCCTTCCGTTAGTTTTTTATGCTTTCCCATTGCCAGAGCCTTTTACTTCTTCTTCATGAGACACCATTTTCATTGTAATTGAGCAATTAAAATAAAAAATGATAAAGAAACAGAAAGGAAAAAGCTGCAGGAGGAGAAATTCAAATTGTGACAATTACTTCAGCTGCTTTCTATTCTGATTATTTGTTGATTTTTTTTTTTCTTTTTGCTCAGACAAAGGAAATTCCTATTCTCTAAATTTCTAGTATTAACAAAAGTTAAAACCCCATCTCATTTTCCAAAACCAGGCCAAAAGAAATTATATTTTAAATTAAATTTAAACAAGGCGGTCATAACTGTTCACGTTTACTCAGAAAATTCCAGTTCAGATTTTCAGAAAAGGCACTCCCCGCCCAAGAAACTCGCCAGCTGCTCTTCGTCCCATTCCCGTTCCCATTCCCAATCCACCGTCCACCCACGCGCCTCTTCCTCGCTTTTACCCCACGTGCCTCCTTCCTCCGCTTCCAACCACTCTCTGATTCCCTGCAAATCACTCCCGACCTTCACATTCGCGCTTAAAATCCCTCTCATGTCCACACTTGCCATCACGCTGGACTCCGAATCCGAAAACGACGAGCCGCAACTCTCTTCGTTGCCGTTGATAGTGATGTACGAAGACGACGACTGAAAAATTAAAGTTGATGAGTACGGGTTGTCGCTGAACCTTACCCTCATCCCATACGACGACGGAGAAGACGTCGACGAAGACGCTGACGTGGTAGCTTCTGCTGAATCGTCCAAAAGCTTCAACAACTCACTCATTGAGTCAGTCTCACTACCTTCCATCGATAACCACGCCATGACGTCATCGTTCAACTCAGCTGTTCCCTCCTCTCTCTGTCGTTTCAACACCGGAGACTCGGCGCCATCAAAGCCACCAACTTCATCAGTCGCTCTCTTCCTTACCTCCTCTTCCTCCATTATATTTTTTTCAAAGGGATAAGGAGAGATAAAAGCTAAAAACACTTTACATATTTAAGCAACGACGTGGAGAGGAAGGTTCTGCAAATTTGATTTTGATGCGATGACTAATACATTTAATGCCAGCCGTCCGATTCGATGGTTTTAAATGTTTCAGTTGATGTGGCAAAAGCAAGTGCCACGTGGAGACATAGTGACGTGGCATGGAGCGTTTTCAAAATGGCGGGAAATTTCGCGTTGCCATTAGGTGGATCTTGGGAAGTATATCCTATAGTACGTGTCAGTATTTATTACTGTACCACCCCGGCTTTGGAATTCATAGAACAGCGATGGCTTTTTTGACTAGTAAAATTACAACGATATCCTTTACCTGCTTATTTATTTTCTTTCTTTCCCTTTTTACCCTTTTATTTGTAGAAATTACTAGTTCTTGTTTTCCTTTGGAATTAGGCTAAATTAAGTAAAGGTTGGAAATTGCTATGTTAGTTTCAAATACACATACCAATAACGGAGATTTATTACTTAATTAGGAGGAATTTGATAGATATAGTGTGTTGACTTTGAATTTGATAACTTAAAAAGGAAAATTAAATGTTATTGATTTATTGATTTTTATAATTATCTTTAAAAAATAATATTTTTAAATTTTAAATTTAATTTTTAACACTTTTAATTTTTTTTTATTATCAAAATATAACTTTCTTTGTAAAAAAAATACTTATTGGTTTCTTTGGTCATAGTTTTTTTTTTTTTTAATACAGAAATAAAGATAAAAAAATTATCATAGGTATTGAGATCAATAATTAATTTTTTTGAATATTATTTTTTTAAAAATAATTATATATATTAAATGAATTAAATTTCGAATCTTTTGCCTCTTATATTCATTCTTAATTTCCTTCTATGCCTAGGTATAAAAGTATTCATGGGCTAAATTAGTTTAAATATGATTGACGTTTTCAAAAGTTTTCCTAAAACTTAATTTTATCAACATAAATTTATTTAACATAAAATTATTATTAATGTATTATGATCAAATATTTTAAAATACATTTAAATTTAAAAGTAAATAACATTATTTATTTATTTAAAAATAAAATAATAATTTAACCTAAATATGTCGTTAAAAAATTTTACTCCAGACTCGGACTTATAAACTACCATTTGGTTAGTTCAATCCCCAATGTTCCCAAACATCGTTCAACCTCTATGTTGCCTTTTATTTAGGGTTATGAATTGCATCTTAATCCGTTCTACATGGATAGGCATGAGTATAACATTTTAAAAACTAAAATAAAAATGATTATTCCAATTTGATATTCGTTATATATATTTATTTGTAAATAAATAATTTTTAATATTTTAACTTTTTAAGATTAGTGAGTTATATTATTTTTTTGATAAAATTTGCTTAATATATAAATTTCATAATTTTTAGATTGATTATGTAAAAAATAAAAAAACTATATTAAATCATAATTTTAATTTTTAAAAAATAATTATATATTTAACAATAATCTTAAAAACTCCACTTTTGTTTTTTTAGGTAATGATAAAATTGTTCTTAATTACTATTTAACTTTCAACAGCTTAGCAATGGCTTGTATATATTAAATAAGAGTTAATAATACTCATAATTTTTAAATTTTGATTTAAATTTTATTTTAATTTATAAATTTAAAAAATTTTAATTTAATCTCTAATTATAAAAAAAATTATATTTTGACAATTACATTTATAAAATTTTGTTAATTGATGATAAATATTAATTGATACTATATAATAATATTAACTAACATTTCACATAATAAATAAAAAATAAAATAAAATAACCTCAAAATTTTAGAATAAAAACTATCTCAAAAATTTTATAAATTCATATATATTTTTCTGGCTTATAGCCCATTACTCTGTATTCTGTGCTGCCGATTGATGGGGTCCCGGTCTCACACGTGTGATTAAAATGTCCTTTGACACGTGCAAATCGAAATTGAATATGTGCTGTCCTATGACACATGGAGCACCAAATGCAAACAAGAGACTGATTGGGTTGACAGACTGATAGACATTAGTAGAAATTTAGGTCAGCTTTTGTTCTTTTCACGACATAAAGTTAAAGATTTAATCCATATTTTGTTGTCATGTGGTTGAATTTGTGTAATGGCATTGTAACATCAAACTCTCTTTTCAGGCAAAGTTGTGTCCCCTCCTCATCTTTGTTTTTTAGTAGAACAAAACGTGGGATCTCACTCGCACAAATTTACAGCCAATTAGCGGTAACGATTAAAGATGTAAATGATATATTAATATTCATAAATTATTTAAATTTGATTTAAATAAAATTTAAATTCGATTTGATTATTATCGAATCGAGTTCGAATTCGAATAATTCGATTTATCGATCGAATCGAATTCAAATATTATTATATTCAGTTCGAGTAACTCGCGAGTTTAATCGAATTTTTTATTTAAAATTTTTTATTATTTTAATTAATAAAATATTTCGAATTTGAACTTGAACTTGAGCACAAATAATTGAGTTTTTGTCGAGTATAAGAATCGAACTTATTTTTATATATTTTCGAACTTAATCAAACAAATTCGAGTAGTTCGAATTCGATCACAAATCGAATTCGAATTAAAAAAAAAAACTCGATTGAGTTCGAACTAAGTATCGAACCGTTAGTTGAAAGTCGAATTCGAACTCAAACTTCTCACTGTATCAACTCGATTTAGCTCGATTACAACCTTAATAATGATAAGTAATTGGTTTGTGCATTCATTGATTTAATTCCTGCCAAAATAAGTACAATATGAGGTATGACATGTGAAGTATTGCTTTGTATACTGCTAAAATATAAGTCTAGTAAATGTAAGTTTATATTAATGGTGTTAATTTCGCATGGACTCTTTTATCTTCTAATTGTGATATATGTTTTCATAATTGAATAATTTATTAATTCAGATTTTATTCATAAAAAATTGATGCCGAAATTAATAATTTTGAATTTAAAATTTAATTCAATTAATATATATATAATTATTTTAAAAAAATAACATCTAAATTTAAAATTTTAATTTCGATATTTACAAAGTATATCATATTTTGTAAAATCAACAACTTTTTCAGGTAAATTTTAATGGTGCATACCCTTGGAAGAGGTCAAACTCCAAATTAAGATTTAAGAGCACTCTAGTTAGGGGACTGGTGCTGATCTTGCGTCCATAGCAATTGGCAAAATAAACCATCAATAATGAAGCAGAAGCCGACACCTAAATGGCCAACTACTTTTTTCCCATTTAAATACAAGATCATAACCAGCCTTAGTTGCTGTTATCTCTTCAATCATAAACTTGGCTCGTAGCTTCCCTGTAAATGAATCATGGTTCATTTTTTTTTCTTTTTTTTTTAATTGAATCTCCATCGCTTTCACACCCTTTAAATGTAGCAACAAAACGTTTGTTGACCGTAACACAAGCATTAGTGTCATCAAAATAGGAATGCAACATGCTGGAAAAGATGAGGAAGATCATTTAATGATTTCAAAACATAGAGAATTTTGAGCGACGGGTCTAAATAATCAACTTGGGGCTAGGAAACCAGAGACTCCGGATGCTCGGCTTGTCATTGTACTGCCGAGGGGACCATTATTCAAACTAAGCAGTCATATTCTAGAGCACCAGAAAGGGGAAAGAAAAGACTTTAAGTATAAGGAATTACCTCATAAAAGGAGACATCATAATGAAAACAACTTCTGCATCAGTTTCAATACGTAGAGGAATAATGAAAGCTTGATTGACCTTGCACGTTAACAACTAAGGGTTTTTCTCGTTCCAAGGACACTCGTACTCATGATTGTTACTGGGTTTTTTTTTTTGTTGGTTTTAAGAAGACAAGAAAGTGGTAACAAGTAGATTGGTCACTAAAATTAGCAAAGCCAAATGAAAGAAGAGAATGATTTGCAGATATATAATACAAATAAAGCATTCATATGACATGGTTTCAGGTTGCTCATGGTTCGCAGACACAAAACATAAGACTGCAGAAATTTTCCTTTAATTTGAAAACTTGGAAATGAAGGTATTGATTGTTAGGCAGTTCAATTATTTAAAACATAAGCAACCACATTGAATGCTAGAACCACTTAAGTTGAAAACCCAAAAAAGCAACAAATGAAAACAATTTAAGAAGGGCAATTGAAACATGAGAGAATCAGGTTTCTGCACCTGTAGGGATCAACCTCAAAGCCAACAATTTGAGCAGAATCAATCTGAGGATTCCGATGGTATATGACTCTGAAGCATAGATGGTTATGGATGAAATATACCTCCTCTCCGCTCTGCATCAAGCAATTTGGCACATCTCAAAGAACAAATAAAATAAAGCAAAATACAATCATATCAAGATATAAATAGAACGAATAGAACATGAGATTAGTAAACTTACAGGATAGTATGTTCTCTTAAACCCTAAATGAAATCCTTCCTCCTTCCGGTGTTGGAAGATTGTCCAAAATCCTGCATATCATTTAATCATTTAAGCCATGATTGGTGTAAGGGATGATGGATAAGATATGATAATAATCATTTTATATTATATTTAATTTGTATCTAAAAAAAATAAAATTGCAAGAAGAATTAATCATAATTTTGACATACAATGATTAAATCCACTCAAAAGGGAGAAAAATATTTTTAATCAATGGAAATGAACTTACATATTTTGTTATACTTTTAAAAATTATATTGTTAATTTAAATTGTATAAATTTAAAAAAAAAATATATATATTTATTGGTCAAAATAATCTTATATTAATTTTTGCATACATTACACATAAAATAAAATAATATTATTTAATCTAATCTTATTAATAATATTAACAAATCCTATCATATCATAATCTTATATATTAAATATGACTTTAGCAACTTATGGTAACAAAACAGAAAACTTTGTTAATAGACAACATGTAAATACCAGCAGCTTAACTACTATTATGGAAAAGGAGAGAACAAGACTTTGTAGTTACACATTAACTCGATGGTTATCATGAATTTTCTCCTTGAAATTCTTGGCAGCTTCAGCATCAAGTTTGACCCGGCAGGCTACTTTGCATGACTCATCTTTTCTCATATCAAACTGGAACACAGGGAAAAAAAAAGAAGGAAATGAATAAAGAAAAAACTCTGGATCATCCAAATGAGGAAAAATTAAAAGGCTTCTGCTGTTACAAAAAAGAAAGCATTCAGTGCAAGAAAAACACTCACAGTATAAATAGAATTCTGAAAACCTTCGCCTTGAAGAAATTCTTTCAAGGTCTTACAGTGTTTATAATTTTGGAAGGCTTACAATAACCAAGGGAATAGAAGTTATAGGAAAGCTGTGTCTTCGGAGAAGTAAGATTGGAAACCTGGACTTGAAGATCTCCCTGTAGGCATAAAAGTTAATTGACGACGACACAATATTCCCAAAAGGAAACGAACAACGAAAGAAAGAGAGAAACGAAGGGGAATTACAGTGTAAAAATCGCCAGGAGCAAGGGCACGGAGAGAGACGGAATAGGACCCAGGCACAAGCGTCTTTGATACTGTTATTAGAAAGAAAAGAAGGGCCAGCCATGATAACATGCCTCTGCTGTTGCTATTACTCTCCATCATCTTTATGCAAACTTCAACGTGTCGATACAGAGAAGAAATCAAGATTAAATAACCCTGTTACTATCTATTTGAAGGTGTCAAATGAACACCAGATCACAGCGACTTACAACTTGGTCGTCCATTCGGATACCTCTAGTCAACCGACCACCTCGTTCTCTGCTGTCCTTATTTTAATACTACTACGTAGTTTTACATAATTTGTCTAGAGCGATACCATTCTTGCGACCGGCTCGGATGTTGTGTCATACCCAATGACCAATAACAATGTTTCAATTAAAGGTCTTGAAACCCTCCGTCAATCCAGGGATAATATAAGTACATTGTTTCAAATCAGCTGACCTCTTCAACATTCAAACCACAACCGGCAACAACATAATGGGATATAACTCCGAAGTTAAAAACACAATGTTTCCAACAACCAAGTTTAACTACATTTGACAGTTGCAAGAACCTGGAAGAATCCCTTCATTCAATATTTCAAGTTTCAATCACAATCCCTTGGATCCTATGGTAGAATTTAATGGCTCATTGTTTAACAGTTCATTGATCATCATGTGTACCCCGTTGAAGCCATGTGTGAATATATGACAGTCTTCAACATGCTCATAATCAGTGTAACACTCACAATATAAATGTTTAAAAAATCTGTCTGAATGCCTCGATATCAGAAAATCTACAATTGCGAGCAAACATCTAGTCTACATGATGAGCTCCTACATCGATTTGTTACAAGTCAATCAGGTAATATTCTGGCCTCCTTACAATCCTGTCTCTCATGGCTTTGACGCGCATGAAATGATGTGGGACTTGAATTTCTCAAGCTCTGCCAAAACCTCCTCCTCTGGCCTGTAGATGAGATCGCTCATGCGCCATATCTGCAGATCATCATTTAGCACATCAATAATTGTAATTTCATTCAAATTTAATGCCATTTTTTTTCTTGAAAGGAAACAAAAACTTGAAGGAGAGAGAAGGAAAGTAAAGAGGAAAGAACATTCATGGGCACTTAGGTTGTTGAAGCCAATATGTGAAATAAAGCTCTTTCAAAAGAACAATTAAATTGGGGTAACTTCGTAACCAACAGTGAAGGAATGTCAATACAAGCAGTTAATTCCAGTAATACCCTAGGTTCTATTTCCAATGGTAACCCTTGATGATTAGAAGCAACATGTTTTGCAATATTGGCAGGGAAGTTAAGTCTCCTAAACAATTTATAAATGTTTCTTGTAATGTGCATGCCAGGTCTCTAGCGCACTGCTTTTAAATTATTGTGTGATATGTTATAACCACCGCAGTGACACTGCTCATTTAAATTGTCTCAAGAAAAAGAACTGTATTTCTAACACAAAAAATCTAGAAGGGAAACTAGTAATTATACCTGTAATGTCCCTCCTCCGCCAGTGGTCTCACAGTCATCAGACACACTAACAACAGTCCATGGATCTGATGTATTCCAATGGAAGTCAACAACTTTGTCCCTGTAAAAATTGAAAGATTGCAAATGTTATGTTAACAAATCAGGTAAAATCAAATAAAAAAATCAAACAAAATCCTTTAAGTGTCGTATAATTTTCAACTCAAAACATCTACTAGGGAAGACCATATTATGAAGAAGAATCAAATACATTCTCTTCAACGAAATAAGGAACTTGTTCAGAGAAACCAAAACTTGTTTGCATGAGATGCATAAAACATACAAGTCTTCATATTCCACAGTGATACCAAAAAGTTTTGAGCATGTGTTAGCCCTGCCTCAAGATTGAGTTTCATGACATCTCAAATCAGCTACCAATTGCATCATTGTGCCTGCTTTTTCTTTTTTCAATAAAAGAAACTTCATGAAGAGCTGCGTGTCACAGTTTAAACCTCCCTATCAGGTGGTACATTAAAATTTTCATCGAGGACTCTTATAGAACATCAAAAGATAAAAGATAAGGTGTTAAAAGCTTTTATACATACACAAAATGTAAGAAATACAGGTTGAATGAGATACTTGTTTGCAACAAAGATGATCAAGGAAACCAGTTTAATGGTGCAAGTTTAAATGGATAGAGATAGCACTACAAGAAAAAAAAAAGAATATGAAACGTGCATTGAGATTGAGACATAGATGGCGAGGTTCAAAAGAAGAGTCCAAATACATGATATATAAACTGAAAAACAGTTGCAAACCTGTGCCCAGCATGTTGGAAAAACAGTCCTGCAGGAGAACTAGGAGATCTTGAAGGACGTTCCACCTTTTTGCCAACCTGCAAAAGGAACGAGCATGTAAAAACAACCTCAATATCAAACAGTAGCAAATACATCTATGACACGCCAAATAAGCAATGTGTCTGAACTGGCCTTTGAAAGGTAAGGGGAATATTTTCTACTACAAGGCAAAGCCTTTTAACTATGTTTTACATAAATAATTAAACAAACATAAGTTGAACTCAAAAGGGAAAAAGAAGATAAGGTGAATGAAGACTAAACACTAGTAACATAGACATAAACTGAGCTAGATTGATAAAGACAAAGAACTTGGTCATCTTCTTCACTGCCATCATTTTTCACAAATATATTTAAATTCTAGAAAGATATGAATCAGAATTATCAACTCACAAACAACATCCTCTTTGTATTTGATGAGAGTTCAATTTCCTAAAATTGACTCTGAAAATCTAAAAATATTTCCATGGCAGAAATTATTCATGCAAACTGCAAAAATGGATGGGTAGCATACAGAGACTACAGAGTTCAACATATATACATAGCCATGTGTGTCATCTGTGTTACACGCGTGCACATTGTATCATGTGTGCAAGGGCAATTAACTGGAGATTGACTAAGCAATCACACCTTGTCATAATCCCAAATGTTTAAGAGCCCGTCCTCAGCTGAACTACCAAATACAGATGACTTGTCTGGAGACCACTGGACATGAGAAATATAAATTTGGTAAGAACAGATGCATGATAACACTTATCACATTTGTAATAAAACAGGAAGTAAAGCATATGAAATGATTAGGTTCTTTTCACACCTGCACACATAGAACGGCAGCTCTATGACCCTCAAACTTATAAATGGGTGATCCAACTCCATTAGAAGTGAGATTTCTTCTATCAAACATACGAACAGTATTATCTGCAGACCTGAGAGATTAAAAAAAGAAAAATAACAATATTTACCCATCACTGCAATGCATGAAGAAGCACTGCCACACTCATATGATGTATGTTGATGCCAAAAGGAAAGTGCAAAACTGAAAGAAACATGGATGTAGATGTACCCGGTCAGGATAAGATTATCATCGTGGGGGTTCCAATCAACACAATGAAGATCGGCATTATGTGCCTTTTCAACCTGTCAACACGAAACAAACAATTTAGCTTATCGTCAGAAGCATCAGTATATTTAAAATTCAAAATTACATACAAACAAATATTATTCACAAGATCATAACATAAAGCATGAGAAACATAAAGCCTTGGTTGATTCCACCAAGAGGAATTCATGAGTGGAGAAAGACGCTAAACAGTTGGCTTTCTGGTATCAAATCACATCCACCTAAAAATGATTTGGAACAGACAATAATCAAGAGAATGAAGTCACAGACAGAAGGAACATAAATGTATAACTAGAATCAGAAAAAACAGCCGACCAAACTTTCAACAAGTTTGTGCAAAGGATTTAGAGATGTGGCATGGCATTCCTGCCCCACCCACATAAATGGGGCAAAAAGCAGGTACAACAATAATGCTACCTAGTTGACTGATTCAAATCACACATCATCCTCTCTACTATAAACCACTTTACAGATGTCAATCAAAAGCCCAGATCGGGCTATATTATCAAATTATATTCTACTCTTTGAAACTTTCTTTTCATGAATATATATAGTTTTTTCATCCAAAAAAAAGAGAAAATGAAAAGGACAGCAATTACAGGGAAAAAGGGAAACCCCCACACAGTTATTATCGTTAAATAGCAAAAAATAATAGGAAAATTACCTTGAAAGAGGGGCTACTGCCAACTCGTGCATCCCATAGTATGAGGCAGGAATCATCACCTACACTACAAAACTCCTGCGCACTTCAGCAGATAGGAAAGAAATTGTCAGAAATTACAGGCCATATGAACATGAAAAGTATCAATTCAAAAGCCATTACTACAGTGGAAGAGAAACTAATGTAAAAGCTATTTGAATAAACTCGTCTTTACATTAAAAATTTATGAAGAGAACTCAAGAAGAAATACAATAAAGAATTGTGAATTTAGATTTTATCCAAGAGAAAGCAGCTACCTGGATGGACAGAACGCGACATCTTCAACTGTATCCTCATGCCCACAGAAGATACCACGAGGACCTACAGAAGGACCATCAGTAGCTTTATCATTACCTTCCCCAGGCTTGTTCTGTTTGATGATCGATCCACCAGATCCTGGAGATTTGGTAGGGTCTGTAGCTGTCGTTGTTATGTGGTCCTGGATGCTCCACAAAACAACTGATTTGTCCTTCCCTGTCATGAAAGTCCTCTCATTAAGAAGCAATGCCCGTCAAATAAAATGAAATTCAGTTTTGTTGAGCCATTTTTTAATATATAAAATAATCCCCTTCAGGCTTGAAAAAAAAAATTGTAGAGGTATGGCTTCACAATAATGTCATGCAGTTATGCACTAGAACACAATAAGACATACCATAGAGCATAATCTGACAAAAGATACACTTCCTAAATCAGATAATGAATCTATTTCAAACATATCATATCTTTTATAAAGAAAATGGCATATTCAGCTCTCAAATAAATATTTTCACTTGATTAACACTCAATGATAAGAAGATAATGAACTCACAACGTCTCATATGATCATATCAACAAGATAACATCATGATTTCCATGAGGATTTCAGTACTAAATATATCAATAAAAGCATTAATCCCAAACAAGCATAGAGTTAATTGAATGTTGAAATCTCCCAACCTCCAGAGAGCACATAGGGTTCAGTGAGGCACACTGCAAGAGCAAATTCTGCGTTATCTTGATGTCCAGTCAAAATCTGCCAAAAAAAAAAATGTCATCAGTGAAAAACAGTTCATTAAACTCCCCTCCCCCCTCTTCAGAGAACATATGCATGCACACAAGTAGAACACAGATAGCTTTTACTAAACAGTAAACATACAACTGGAATTTTGAAACAAATATACCAGATCTGGGCGAGAATATGTTGCTCCGAGAACAGCATGACGGTTGGGTTGAGCTTCAACATCCCAAATAAGAACCTAAATTTTATCAAGTTGCATAGCAAGCAGACTTTAACATCAATCCTAGAAAGAAAACATGACATATATTGGCTCCACATAATTTAACAAGACAGAAATAACAAGACTCCTACATCTGGACTATCAGTGTGTGTGGCCACAATCTTAGAGTTCTGTGGAAGTTCCCTGATTCTGTTCACCTGCAAGATAGTATTTTGGCAGTCACAATAATATAAACTACCATAAAGAAAAACAAAGGAAAAGAATAAAATGAATATTATAAAATTTTGAGGTTATACATACAAAACAGGAAATTTAAGTAAGCAGAATATCTATTTCCACATGTCATAAATCAAAAGCATGGGTTATATTTTTATGTATAGTTGAGTTCCAAAAAAACTTTTAGAGGGTATGTCATCACATGACTTTATTTAAAGTCATAAAACACAATTATTTTTCTTCAATGAGCAAGATTCACACCTCTCCAGGATGTATGATGGTCTTATACTTCTTTACAAAGGGAGAGCGTGCTTCTTCATTAAACTGAAAAATATGAAACAATTATGTAAATAAAGAGAAGAAAGCTGCAAGCATCAGTAATGAAGTGCAGAAAAAGGAAAAAAAATCCCATGATAATGAGTCACCTGAGATATGTGCTCAGCAGCAGCAACCCTAGGTTTGACAACTTCACAATTTGCAATCACAAGAGTATTGGGAACGCTACCATCAGTCTGACATTATAAGATAAAACAATAACCAAAAGAAAAGATGTCAAAATAGATGATAATAACAAATTTTTCCATAAAAAAATGATGTTAAGTAAAATAGCTCAAGTACAAACTTATCATGCATCATCATTGTCCTACCAATCTTTTCTTTTAAGTTCCATTAACACAGAGTTCTAAGCATGATGCAACTATTGCTGTTAATAAATTAAGACTTCAGACCAAGCATTTTTTTGTTATGTAAAACTTCTAAGAACCAACAAAAATGAAACAAGAGGGTCCTCCATTCAGTTTGCAATTTATATTCAAGCCCGTTAAAGCACACCCAAAAAAAATCCCCAGAAGGAAATATACTTGCCTGTTCAGAGAGGTAGAGACGCTGGCGATTCTTGTAAGTAGCTTGCTCAAGCTGTGGTCCCCAGCTGTTCAAATCCAAATTAACTATCATAAAGAAATATGATAAAGGAGGGGGAAAAACAAGAAAATGAGCTAAATTGGCAACAATATAACACAAAATTGAATTAAAAAAAAAAAAACTCGCCTCGTTCCTCAACAACTACAAAGGTTAATGCCAGCGATCTCACATTTAATAAACAAGGGTAAATAAATATTTACGGGGTGTTCAAGAAACGAAAACAGATTGGCAGCTCAGCAAAAGCCCATTAGGGTTAAGCATAAAAAATTTCAGATCTTTAGAAACAAACATAATAACCCAAATAAACCCTAAACGCAAAAAAAAACACTTTTTTAGTCACAGAACCAAAACCCAAGCTATTGTTTAACGAAAATAACAAAAAACCCAAAAACCCTAAAAAGGGTTGAAAGAGAAATACCGGCAAGAGAGAGAAGGCCAAACGAGATTGTGATTAGCAAGCCAGTCATAGAGAACAGGGACCAAAGACTTCCATTGAGTGTACATTTCATCAACGCTTGGTTGTTGGGCTTTCTTTCCTTCTTTCATTTTACCAGCGCTTTGTTGTTGTTGTTGCTGCTGTTGCTGTTCCTTCTCGTCCTTTGACTTTGGTTTTCGGCCTCTCTTCCTGGGGCCTTGTTGCTGTTGCTGTTGAGGTTGGGGAGACTCCATTTTTTGAGATTGGGAATATTGCTGATACTTTAAAAGCAAAGAGAGAAGGTGGGAAAAACAACGATCGGTTTTAGGGGACCCGAGACTGGACCCTACTGGGGCTGTGATGGGGGTATGGAAGAGAATGCGAAAAAATATAGTAAAAGTGGTGCTTAGGGTTCCTTTTGTTGGGCTACGCCCATTAAAAGTAGAGCGATGTAACGCGGCAAGTTGGCAGAGTCAGTGTCAGTAACGGCTCAGGCGTTGCTGAGATGTTGAGAGTCTTGAGGTTGGAATGATTCAGCCATTTATATTTACCGGTCAAAGCTTCGTTTCAACTGAGACGTTGGGGAGCTGCTTATCTTTTTGTTTAGGCGATTGTTTTCTTATTAAGGTTCAATCTTTGACCCATTTCGGCAGTTATTGTTTGATAATTTATACCATGAAGCAAAACGCAAGGATTTGTGAACAATTCTTCGAATCCACTAAAAGAAATGGTTTTTCCACCGGTGTTATAAAATGGATCTTCATATGTTGACTCGAATACTGCATATCGAACCACAGTGTGCAAGTTAAACAATCTGATACAACCACGAGTCCAATATTCAAGCATGTACTAAGAGAACCCAAGCGATATCAAAATGTTATCAAAAAAGCCATCTTCATCTGATTAATAACAAAAATGTCTACAAGTCTGTAAGTGACAGTGTCAAAGCCGTGATGCTCCACATGATAGCATTCTGCTAAGCAAAACTTATTAAACTGGTTGAACAATATAAATATCAGACGTAAACACCGGCTGACAGTAGTAAAAACAATGACCCGAAGCCCTGCGAAGATATCCAGAATCAAGCATCAGCAATGCACAAAACTACATGAATTAAGGAAGAGAAAATCCAGCCAAAACAGATACAGCAAGCAATACCAGGAAGACAGATGCCACTCCCCCAGTGGTCAGCTCCTTGGCAAGACTGCGATTTCGCTTGGAAGAAGTTGCTTCATAGCTGGCATATTTTGGGGAAAAGAAATTTTTCATAAAATTTTCCAAATGTAATCTCAGGCCCATAAAGCATTGTATCAAACAGGGTCTTACTTTGGGCAATGTCAAACAGAAAAGTACTAAGAATCTACTCATGAGAATCTAACTTAATCTTCACAAACATCAGCACTATAAGCAAAGAAAAAGATTTCTAAGGAAAACAAAATTAAGTGAAAAGAAGTTTGAATAATAAAAAGGTAGCATTGCTACAGTTTAATGAAAAAAGACCTCTAAGTTCTCACTGCAAGATCCAACTGATTTGGAATTCTTTATTCTCTAGTGAAAAGAAGTTTGAGTAGATTCAAAGGTAACATCAGTACAGTTCAATAAACAAAGACCTCTAAGTTCTAATTACGAGATCCAACTAATAAGAAGAAATTCAATATAAGCAAAACCATGCGTGAGTAGATTTAAAGGCATCATCAATACAGTCCAACGAAAAGAAAACTTAAGTTCTAACTGTTAGATCCAACTCATATGAAATTCCTTAGTGGCAAAAAACTCCGATTAACAAAACCAGAAAAACGAAGTGCTAAAATAGCAAAATCAATAAAACATGATGAATGAAGAAAGCTTTACATAACAAACTAGACGAGCACAGATACAATTTTACACATGCAAAAAGTTGAAATATCTCTTTTGAAAATCTGCTTGGTGCCTTAGGCCTTGGAATTAACAGATAAAAATTCAAACTTGAAAACACCACAACCAAATCAGGAAAACCAGATATTCATTTAGAAAGAATTTTGAAACCCAAAGCAGATATGGATGGAATACCACGATTCCAACTGATAATTCTACAATACAAAGGTAAATAGAAGTGAAATGTAGTATGGTAGCCACCAAAAACACAAAGGGGATTCATCAACCTCAAATTCACACTAGTATTCTATTACATTAAAGATCCTGCAAATTGCCTACTAAAAAAAAAATCTTTCCAAACGTCTCATCGCACCTATGAAACATACATTCTAAATCAAAAAATTAAGTTACAATTATGCTAATGCTTCCCTATTGTATACCCAAGCATTAATTATAATTTATAAAAAGAAAAACCCAGATCTACTTATACAAATTTCAAGTAAATAAGGGGGAAAAACTGGAAATTGCCTCCTAATCGAATCTAATAAGAAGAAAAAAAAGTAGCAAAAAAAGAAGAAATGTTATGGAGTACACAAGATCAAGATTGTTACATGAAGAAGGACGCGGTAAGGACGAGACCAATGGCTAGCATGACGACGGCTAGGGTTGGGTACCACGCATCTGGCACTGGACTCGTTATTGCCTTTGCAGTAGGAGCCTGCAACAAAATCATAAATCAAATCCAAAGAAACAAAAGAAAACCCTAGAAATTCTTCGGTTCCATCGAGAAAGATTTACCATCGATCTTTGTCTCTTCGCTTCGGAGTCTGGAGGTTAATCCAAGAGAGTGGGAACAACTCGCGACTAGCTGTTAGTAAGGGGTTTTGAATTTTACGAGTCTTCGCTTGTATTGGAACTTAGGATTCGGTACACCGCGAATTATGATATATTTGTGTTCTCAGGCCTGTGGCTGGATTGGTGATATGATTATTGCTCCAAAATTAGGTTTCGTTTATTTCGAAAAAAATAAATTTAAAAAAATATTTATATTTTTTGAATTAAAAAAGTTGTTTTATTATTTGAATGAGTTAATGAAAAATATTTTTTATTATTTGATTGTTTTTTAAAATATTTATCTTTTTCTTCAAATAATATTAATATAACTATTAAAATATTAAAAAATATTTATTATTAAAATATATTAAAATTAATAATATTAAGAAATAATTATATTTTAATAATTATATTTAATATTAAAATATTATGTTAATATAAAAAATACTTAAAATAATACTATTTATTATTCTTTATATTATTTATTAATATATTATAATATTATTTATTAATATAATATTATTTTTAAGTAAAATTATGCTAAAAAATATTGATAAATAGTTATACTTATAAACAACTCTTTTTCAAAAAATATCTTTTCTTTTCAAATTCGTAAGATAATTTTTAAAAAAATAATTTTATTTTTCATTTATCAATAAATCATTTTCTATTGATTATTATATTTCTATCAAATAAATATTTAAAAATATAAAAATTATTTTTTTCGAAACAAAGGAGACTTATTTAACGTTAAAAAGACAACATAAAAAATGTTGAGTGTTTGGTTTTAGGATCCCAAATGAATTTCTTCTTCTTTATATAATTCTTTTAGTCTTTTGGTTATTAGAGAAATTTTGAACATTTTCAAATTTGAAGTCAATTTCCAAATCACTACCGAATTAATAACTCATTATAATTTTTTTTCTTCTTTATGCTTTGCTTTTTCATTTATGAAATATATGCTAATAATGTTAATTTATACTTTGTTTTTTCAGTTATTTCAATAAAGACTTGTTTGGTTGAATACATTTGTATGAAGTTATAACAAGAATCCATAACCTAGGCTAATTGTACCCTTCATTCATGCTTTTTCATGTATGAAATACATGATGCCTATACCATTATAATCATATCAGCCTATCTTTGCAAACTAGAAGATAGCAATTCTTTTTACTTGCAATTCCATTGTTTTAATACTAAGATATTCATTTCATGATACAAAATATTCTGTACATTTGAGTGGCATGTGATTTCACATAACAAAAACAAAGGTGTCGAGGGGGTGGGGGTGTTGGGAATTCGAGTAATTTTTTTTTTTCTTCTAAGAAGAGAAGATCAAAGCTGAATTCGGAGAGATTCTGAGCCTCAAAATGGGAAAATCGTGCCATCTTATTACGAAAACACAACCCCAACAATGCAATTTGGGTTGTGGATCATGAAACGTTTCCATCGTGCAAGGAAAAAGAAGAATTCGTTCTATGGTCATAGTGCAGCTGCATGATGAAAGCTCCTCCAGTTGACAATCTGACGTTTATTCAGGTTAATTACAAACTAGCAGTAATATCATCCTTCAGAAGTTCCGGATTAAGAATCTTGCTGCATAATTTTGCATTCCTCAGAGTTTCCTTGTTTATTTCCCAATTTCGAAATGTAGCACAACTTTTAAATCAGCACGCGGGAGCACATGCTGTCGGTGCCAACAAATTTTGACATTCAGAAAATCAAGGGACAGGCTCATGTACATGCATGGAAGAGGGGTTTTTCAATGCGAACCTGGCCAGAACCTGATCATAGCACCATGTTCACTGATGCTGCCCCTAGACAATCTTTGAATTTTTTGCCAGAATCGACTTCCCCTCCCTGTTCTCAAGGGACCTGAACTACAGTGCCTCCTCAATGACCCGGATGTCTGCCTCCCAAATCTTGCCGATGAACTAAACAAATCTGACACTGATAGTCCTCTCTCAGTATCAAGACAAGAGTCATAGTTGGGAATTGAATAATGGCTTTGCAAAGGATCAGTCAACTGCCCTGAGCCAGTACCAACCTTAGCATCCAAATCAATGGAGAGATCATCTTGAATAGAACCTCTTGAGCCTACTTCTTTTGCCTCATCACATTCATTACATACTAATTTTAAAGCCTGAACAACCTCACCCATAAAAGGTCGGTGTGATACCTCTGGTTGAACACACATAGAAGCGATTGCTGCTACTTTGGCCACATTATCAAAAGGGACATCAGAACCTAGAAGTGGATCTATAATTGTTTCTAACCCTTCTTTGTTTGCTAGAAGGGGACGGGCCCATGCAACTAGATTCTCCTGACCAGGTGGCTGTGTCATATCTACAGGTTTTCTCCCTGTCAGAAGCTCAAGAAGGACTACACCATAGCTATAAACATCACTCTTCACAAGAAGATGGCCGGTCATTGCATACTCAGGAGCCACATACCTGGACAAATGTTCATCAGGAGTAAATGTCAAATTTCAAATAGCACTAACAAATAATGATAGAGGAACTAAAAGATTTGTAGAGATAAGCAAGCAAGTCATATACCACAACACCAATTTATCAGGAGAAAGATGGTTAATACGGCCTTGAGCTCCAGTAATCATCTTTCTTTCACTGATAAGTTCTCTTAAAGAGATAAGATGGCCTTGCACTAGTACTAGGTTATGCTAAATAAAATATTTTGACCTTTTCTTTAAAATACTACTGATATGGTTTTATATTCTTAAACTGATTTTAAATACCAATAAGGCATAGAATAATGTTGTTAATTGCTTAAAAAACAATGTTTTTTGTCATTAGGTGAGGATCAAAGAAGACTACACAGATATGAAGGCTATTATAGTGAAGTGTATGTCTATATAAGCCTTGCTCTCCATGTTGTATCATCAAATTTTCTACAAAGCATGGGAAAATTTTCCTTGTTTTATGTTTATCCTAACCTTTTAAATAGCTAAAGAGATAAGGATTTCCAAGTTGTGTAGAATCATCCCACTACATAAATCAATTTCCAAAGTACTTTCTTAGTTGAAAAGAGATCTTCAAAGAATATACATCTCCTTAGGGTATCAATGAGTTGCTTCGATTTCTAGAAAAAGGCTATTTCCTATTACATTCATAAATCAAGGTAAACATCAAGAAGCATATGAAGTATATATTATGTGGGAAAACACTTAGTTACAACCAGTTGTAATATGTGTAGTTGATTGTAATTTGTATATATTTGAATCCCTAAAATTAAGAATTTGTATCTCTAGAATTAAAGACAGAATATTATGATAGACAATCCCTTAATTATAGGGATCAGATGTAGGAAGATTTAGTTTTCTAGTTTATCCTCTAGTTAGCTATATATAAACCTATGGTGTTTGTATAATTCAACAAAGAAGTTTTCAATATACTCAGTTTTTCCACAGAGTTTTTCCATATAATATCAGAGCTTTAGGCTCTTTTTGGGAAGAAAAATTTTTCAACCTTCATTATTGAATTCTATATCAAGCCTTCATAGCCAAATTCTGTTAAGTCTTTCATAGTCTTATTTTTTCTTTTTGGTCTTCATTGCCTAGAATCGTCTCTCATTAAATCTTTACTATCAAGACTTGTTTCAATCTTGAGAAAGATAACTATGTCAGAAATAGTAGAATCAGCCGCTACTACCCGATTTGAGGAAGTGACAACTGGTCAAACTATAAGAGAACTACAAAATATCCAAGTTGCATGCAGATTGAATGGAAAAAACTACTTGAAGTGGTCTCAGTTAGTTCAAACCTTTTTAAAAGGGAAAGGAAAATTGAGCCATCTTCTTGGTACTGGTCTTGAGAGAGGACATCCAAAATTTGAGGCTTGGGATGAAGAGGATTCCATTGTTATGTCATGACTATGGAATTCTATGACACCAGATATCAATGACACTTGCATGTTTTTGTCCATGGCCAAAGACATTTAGGAATCAATTCGGCAAACCTACTCCAAAGTTAGGGATGCTACCCAAGTTTATGAGATAAAGATCAAGATTGCAACTCTCAAACAAGGGAATAAGTCGATCACCGAGAATGCTATTCTTCTAAAAAATCTTTGGTAAGAGATGGACCACTACCGGTGCATAGTAATGAAGTGCAGTGAAGATGCAGTAACGTTGAAGAAATTTATTGAAAAAGATTGAGTCTATGATTTTCTTGCTGGACTTAATGTTAAGTTTGATCAAGTCAGAGTCCAAATTTTGGGAAAAGAGGATCTACCTTCTTTAAATGAGGTGATCTCCATGGTTACAGTAGAAGAGAGTAGAACAGGTGTGATGCTTGATAGTTTGCATGTAGAAGGATCTATTATGGTGTCTAATGGTGGGAAAAACCAAAACTTAGAACAATTACCAATTAGTGAGAAAGGGAAAGGTGATTTGGCTAAAACCTCAAATCGTGACAATCTTTGGGGCACCTATTGCAAAAAGCCAAGGCACTCTAGAGATCATTGTTGGAACTAAATGGAAAACCTTAAACTTCAAGCAAATAATGGGGGTTATAAAGGAGGACAGCCAAGAAATCAAGGACAAGCTCACATGACTGCAATAGAGTCAAACCAAGAGAAGTCTTAAAAACAAGAAGAGTTGGACAAAGAAGAGATTGAGAAATTGAAAAGCCTATTGAGAACTCTTAAAAAGACTAATGGTATATGTTCCTTGGCATACTCAGATAAGGTCTGTAGTTAAGGTAAAGTCTCTAATTCTCATGGATTAAATGTCTAAGATAAGTCTATTAAGAGTTCTTGGGTCATTGACTTAGGAGTCACAGACCATATGACACATTCTTCACAGAAGTTTAGTACATATATCTTATGTCCTGGTAATAAGAAAATTTTTGTTACAGATGGTTCACTTACTATAGTAGCAGGACTAGGAGATGTTGAAATTAATCCCTCATTTGTTCTTAAAAATGTTCTTCATGTTTCTAGATTATCTACTAATCTGATATTTATACAAAGACTTACTAGAGACATGAACTGCGCTGTGACCTTTTATCCCTCTTATTGTAAATTTCGGGATCAGGATTCGGGAAAGAGGTTTGGACTTGCTAAGGAGAATGATGGACTATACTATCTTGAGAGATCCAACAATGCAAATAATATCAGGAATAGTTTACTTTTATCATTTTTTTTGAAAAATCTCCCAATAAAGAAAAAATTTTGGCTTTATCATTTTCGTCTTGGACATCCTTCTTTTGGCACTTTGAGAAACATGTTTCCTTCTTTGTTCAAAGGATTAAATGTCGAAAATTTTCATTGTGATGTTTGTGAACTTGCAAAGCATAGACGTATGTCTTTTCCAGTTAGTAATAAAAGAAGTTCTACTTCTTTTTACTTGATTCATAGAGACATTTGGGGTCCCTCTAAAATTCCTAATATTTCTGGTGCAAAATAGTTTGTTTCATTAATAAATGATTATACCAGGGTCTCTTGGATTTTTTTACTTAAATCCAAATCAAATTATTTTTTTACTTAAATCCAAATCAGATGAGAATAGTGTATTTTTAAGCTTCCAAAACATGATGCAAAATCAATTTGGAGCGAAAATTAAGAGATTTAGCTCTGATAATGCAAAAGACTATTTCAACCAGAATCTATCTACTTATTTCCAAAAAGAGGGGATTATCCATGAGTCATCTTGTGTTAATGCTCCACAGCAAAATGGAGTGGCAAAGAGAAAAACAACCATTTACTAGCCACAACTAAAGCCTTCCTTTTTCAAGCAAATGTACCCAAATCCTACTAAAGGAAGTTGTTCTCACTACTACACACATTATAAATATGTTACTTTGATTTAAAACTCCTATGGAACTACTCTCACAATTCTATACCAACTTTATTATCACAAACAACCTTACACATGGGATATTTGGTTGTACATCATTTGTTCATGTTCACAGTCATAATAAGGGAAGTTGGATCCAAGAGAAATTAAGTGCATTTTTGTGGGGTATTCATCAACTTAGAACGAGTATAAGTGCTATCATCCTTCTACCAAAAAATTCTATGTGTCTGCAAATGTCACTTTTGAAGAAAGTAAACCATTTTTTACTCAACCTTATCTTCAGGGGGAAACATTTATGGAAAATAAGGATAGACTTCTTTTTGCTTGACTTGTCCTCCTACAAAACAATTTCACCCATTAATTCTTATGAGTTTAAATCTGTTTCTTCCAAGGTCAAGTCAAACACTGAATCTTAGTTTGAAACCGTTCCAAACCTAGAAGTTGTGACTAGGGATAATACTATTCTTGATTCCATGAAGGAATTACAGGTGTACTCAAGAAGGAAAGTTTCAGCTTATGAACTGGTGCAAGTTCAAAAACCTGATCCTAACTCTGGAAATGAGATAACTACACTCTCTGACTCTATTTCTCAAAATGAGCATGAATCTCCTAAAATTAGTGATTATGATCTACTTATTGCCATTAGAAAAGGAACTAGAGAATTTACTAAACATCCACTATACCCAATCTCTAATTTTGTGTCATTTGAAAAACTCTCACCATCCCACAAAAATTTCCTTGTGAGCTTAAATACTATTTCTATTAAAACTACATTATCCAAGGCATTATCCAATGAGAAATGAAGGCAGGCCATGAAAATAAAAATGGAGGCCTTAGAGAAAAATAAGCATGAGAACTGGTAGAATTGCCTATAGGAAAAGATCCAGTAAGGTGTAAATGGGTTTTCACTATAAAAGATACGAGTACTATTGAAAGGTATAAAGCCAGGTTGGTGGCTAAGAGCTATACTCAAACTTATGGAATGGATTATCAAGAAACTTTTGCTCCAGTGGCCAAGATGAATACAGTTAAGATTTTGTTATCCTTGGCTGCAAATTACAATTGGCAACTTCAACAATTTGATGTAAATAATGCTTTTTTACATGGTGATTTAGAAAAAGAAATATATATGAAAGTTCCATCGGGATTTGGAGATCATTTAGAAGCAAACAAAGTGTGCAAGCTGAAAAAGGTTTTATATGGCCTTAAACAGTCTCCTAGGGCCTAGTTCGAGAGATTTGCCAAAATGATGCTAACAATGGGATATAAGCAAAGTCAAGGGGATCACACACTATTTAGCAAGCACTCATATTCAAGGAAAGTCATAGTTTTGTTAGTATATGTTGATGATATAATTGTAATCAGAGATGATGAAAAAGAGAGAGAATCTCTAAAACAGTGTTTGGTTAGAGAATTTGAGATAAAAGAGCTAGGGAGATTGAAGTACTTCCTAAGAATTGAAGTAGCTTACTCACGGCATGGGATTTTCATCTCACAACAGAAATATGTGATGGATCTTTTAAAGGAAACCGGGAAGCTCACATGTAAACCTACAAGTACCCTTATAGACTCTAATCATAAACTTGGAGAAGCTGATGAAGATATTGTTGTAGATAGAGAGATGTACCAAAGATTAGTTAGAAGACTCATTTATCTCTCACATAATAGACTTAACATAGCATATGCTGTGAGTATGATAAGCAATTTATGCATAGTCTTAAAGAAGTGCACCTATAGACTGTCTACCATGTACTACACTATTTGAAGACTAATCCTAGGAGAGGTATCTTGTTCAAAAGAAATTCATGGCTGGTACTAGAGGCATATACAAATGCTAATTATGCAGGTTCGATAACTAATAAAAAATCTACCTCAGGCTACTGCACTTTCCTAGGTGATAATCTTGTAACTTGAAGGAGTAAAAAAAATAGAATGTGGTAGCAAGATCTAGTGTTGAAGCAGAGTTTAAAGCAATGACTCAAGGAATTTGTCAACTACTATGGTTAAAGATTATCCTAAAAGACTTAAAGATAAAATGGGATAGACCAATGAGACTCTACTATGATAACAAATCTGCAATAAGCACTGCACACTATCTTGTGCAACATGACAGAACAAACACATTGGAAGTAGACCGGCACTTTATAAAGGAGAAACTTGATAGTGAGTTGATTTACACACCGTATGTATCAACCAAAGGTCAACTTGCAAATGTGTTGACTAAAAATCTCAACAGTGCAACATTTCAGGAAATTATTTCCAAGGTGGGAATGGAAAACAACTATTCACTAGCTTGAGGGGGCAGTGTAGGAAAACACTTAGTTACAGCTAGTTGTAATCTGTATAGTTGATTGTAATCTTTATATATTTGTATCCCTGAAATTAAGAATTTGTATCTCTAGAATTAACCACAGAATATTAGAATAGACAATCCCTTAATTATAAGGATCAGATTTAGGAAGATTTAGTTTCCTAGTTTCCCCTTTGGTTAGCTATATATAAACCTATGGTGTTTGTATAATTCAATAGAGAAGTTTTCAATATACTCAGTTTTTCCACATACTATGTTCTAATGTTCATGCCTCGCATATAGCAGGCCAGGTTGGCACACAATAACAAGGATATCCGAAAGCTAAATCCAATGAAGGAAAGAGGTTTCATACCCAAAAGTTCCCATGACACGTGTTGATATGTGCCTGCCTTCCTCATCCATGGCAGTTCGAGCCAAACCAAAGTCAGACACTTTTGGTGTGAAATCATGCTCCAACAAGATGTTGCTTGACTTAAAATCCCGATGTATGACACGTGGGCTTGAATCTTCATGGAGATAAGCCAATCCACGAGCAGAACCAAGGGCTATCTTTATCCTGGCATCCCAGTCAAGTGGTGCAGATTCCTTGTCAACTCCTGAAAACAAACAAAACAAGAGGCAAATATAACCATTTTCTATAGAACTGAACATTAGGAATGCTGAATATTGTAACCCTGGGATAAATCCACAGAAATCACGCAGTTTAACTACCATGCAAGTGAGATTCAACACTGCCATTTGGAATGAGTTCATAAACCAAGCAGCGGTTGCGCTCCTCTGTGCATATGCCAATCAACTTCACCAAGTTTCTGTGGTGAAGACGGCTAAGCATCTCCACCTCAGCCAAGAATTCCCTGCCACCTTGTTGATCATCTCTCTTCAGAACTTTGACTGCCACTTTAGTTCCATCTTCAAGAACACCACTGTAAACACGACCAAATCCACCTTCCCCGAGTACTCTTGAAGCATCAAAATTATCAGTGGCTTTTTCTATCTCACTTGCACTCAAGGTCTTAGCAGATCCTGTATAAGCTACAATGCTAGAGCCAAATGACAGTGATGTGGAACTTAGACCACTTCCAATCATTGACCCAACAGAACCTGAAATTTTCAACCATTTTTTCCCACTTAAATAGGTAAAAAGTAAAAATAAAATTTTTTGATGGATGCAGTTTTCTACCTATAACTACAATCTAAAGTTAAGCTAAAATGTTGCCACAAATGATTACAGGCTAATGCAACTTAAATGATGTGAGAGGCAATGTGAAAACAAATATTAATATTCATAAATAGTGTGTGGTCTTAGATGATATGCTTAATATTTTCCTCAGTAAATTAATGCATTGAGAAAAAAGATAGGCCAGAATATATTTAGCTAAAGATAACCTGATGGTTTGGCAAGAGATGTTAGGGGATGTTGTGGAGTCACTGCTTGTTGACTGGTGTGATCCCCACGTTTGAAAACCAAAAACCATGCAATGGTGGAGCATAACACCATAGCCACCAACATGGACAGAACAATTATAGCAATCACGCCACCACCAAGCACAAATTTATGCCGCTTCCCGTGCACATCAACACCCAAGGGCTTTATAACCCTTGCATTGTTGTCATTACCAGAATATGGTCCAGCATCAATTATACCAATGTCAGAAGGTGGCAAAGGCGGAGAAGGAGGCAAACCTAGAAATCCACTGTTACTGCATATTTCCAAGAAACATATGCCAAAAAAAAGGGGGGGAAGCCAAAAAAATGAGCATGTACATACCATGATAGTGCACGTATAATACTTCATAATCCCCAAATAATGAAGTTTTTATAGCAACTTGTTTATGCCAAAATCTCTGATAAGTTAAGAAGGCAGTGGTGTTATCAAATTTTTGACCAAGCGGTACCAAGTCAATAAGGACAACTGTTTTCTCTGGTTGCTCACTAGCAGCATTAGCTCCAATAATGCGAACTTGACTTTGTTTCATAAAAACTCCAGCAGCAATTTCCTTTGCTAGCTCAGAAACCAAAGGGAAGAAAGTATACAGTGCGACACTCAGGCGTAATCCAACTTGCATTGGCAAGACACAGTCACATGGTGATCCAGGCGGACTATTTGTATAAGGTTCAGTGCAAATAGTTGTTGAACAATCTACATATACAATCAACGACACATTACACATTTGTGCAATAGAAAACATCTTGGAGATGAAATTAGAGCAGACATACCAGAAAACTTAAAATGCAAAACAAAGAACCTAGTCTTTAACCTTCATTAGGAGGTGGAGGTGGAAATGACATAACTGGTGGTGGAGGTGGCACCTTGGGACTCCTCAATGGAGACACAGAAGAAGAAACTTTTGGGGAGATGAGTGGCACTTTGGAAAAGCAACATATCATGAATAAGTAAGCAGAAAATTGAGAAAACAAGGATATATCACAAACAAATATTTAACATATTAAGTAACATTGCTTACTTTTGGTCTGCCTAGATGCCGTCAATGGAGATGGTGAAGGAACAGGAGAAACAGTGCTTACCGATGAAGGAATAGCAGAATGGGATGGGGAAACTGAAGAATCAGTGATGTAGAAAGATGTTACAAATCAAAATGACCATTTTAACTCACTTAACAGACTCTATTCTGAAGGAATCAATTCGCATTTGCTATTTTGATACCAGGATGAAGCGATACCAGGATGAAGGGGTGCAGGAGCATGGTGCGTTCGCCTTCTTCCCGGAAGAAATGCTGGAGAGATGACAGGACCTATATAAATATAGAAAAGAAAAATTAAAGGGATGTGATAAGCCCATATATTGTTAGTATGGCTGGGACAAGTCTTGGGAACAAGATATCAGACCTTGCTGTTTCAAAGGCGCAGGTGAAATCAGGTATGATGATGCAGGAGCAGGACCGGTTCTTACATTTCGTGTATGTTGATGCTTATGAACTGAGATTGAAGGCGACAATGCAGGAGAGATGACCGGACCTGTATAAATATTGAAATGAAACATTAACGGGATGTAATAAGCCCATATAATGTTAGTATGGATGGGACAAGTCTTGGGCACAAGATATCAGACCTTGCTGTTTCAAGGGCGCAGGTGAAATCAGGTATGATGATGCAGGAGCAGGACTGGTTCTTGCATTTCGTGTATGTTGATGCCTATGAAATGAGATTGAAGGCGACAATGCTGGAGAGATGACTGGACCTGTATAAATATTAAAATGAAACATTAACAGGATATGCTGAGACCTTATAATGTTAGAATGACTAAGACAAGTCTTGGGCACAAGATATCAGACCTTGCTGTTTCAAAGGCGCAGGTGAAATCAGGAATGATGATGCCGGAGCAGGACTGGTTCTTGCATTTCTTGTATGTTGATGCTTATGAAACGAGATTACAGGTGACGATGCTGGAGAGTTATACCCTTCATTCAAAGGAGCAAGAGCTGGAACGGTAGAATTACCAGGGTGTCTCATAGCTGTCAGTGCAGGAGATATGGCTGGCGAAGAACCTGCAAAAAATATCCTCAGCAACTCAATGGCTTTTGTAGTAATAATCAAATTAAAAATTAGCTCTGTATTTGCGGATTCACAATATACACCATTTTCCAGGGTATGGTTCACAGGTGGAACTGGCTTGCCTATCTCGTTTGCAGGTGATGCAACAGGTATTCCATTATTGTTCCAGTTGACGCTTGAGGGTGGAGTTGGAACAGGAGGAATATCAGCATCTGAATTCCAAGCAATTGAAAATACCAAGGAGGAAAAGGGGAAACAGACATTAGAATTTGCAAACTCCCAAGACCAACCAAATGCAGTAATGATTAAAAAGTGAGAAGCAAATTAGTCATCTGCTCAACTTCTAAAATGAAATTGATATAATCTCCTAAGTAGAACCTGGTAACTGAGATGGGGTTCCTCCTGGCACATTTGGGTGGATGGTTGGTGTATTATGAGGTGATCCTCCTGACGGTGATACAACTGACACTGCATTATTTAATAAAATAACCAACTCTTAAAAGTCTATTTGATTGAAATTTCATAGAAAACACAAAGTAACCAGGGCTACCTGGTGAAATGGACGGTGGCATGATTGAGCGGACAGGTGGTGGTGTCCTATCTAATTTCCTTGGGGGAGATGCAACTGATATAGCGTTTTGAGTAGAGATGACATGGTAAAGGGAAAGTAGAATAAGAAAAGGTAGAACAGTTCCACAAGAGCATTTATTGAAGATAAAAAATAACAAATCAAGCCATGAATTATGTACCTGGAGCAATGGGCTCCGGAATTGGAGCACTTGGTGGTATAGCAGTTGGCCCTTGGGAGTGAATGGCTGTTTCATTTGGTGATGAATTTATTGCAACTGAAGCTACAAAATAGGGTAGAAGCAGCAGCATTAGAACCAAACCTGGTGCTAAATCCAACCACAAATAACACATATGTACCTGGAGCAATTGACCCCAAAATAGGTGCCCTGTTATTTGATGAATTTCCTTGATTAGCACTTGGGGTTGGGGCCAATGCGCTTGGCCTAATGGAGTGAACGGCTGGGGGATTTTGTGGTGAGTTTCTCAATTGTGATGCTACTGGAGCTACAAAATAGAGTAAAAGCAGCTGCATTAGAGCCAAACATGGTTTTAAATTAATCCGAAAATGACACATCAAACAGCTGATTATATACCTGAAGCAGTTGGCTCCTGAACAGGGGCCTTATTATTAGATGAATTTCTTTGATTAGCAGTTGGGGGTAAAGCACTTGGCCTACTGGAGCGAATGCCTGGGGAATTTTGTGGTGAATTCCTCAATGGTGGTGCAACCGGAGCTACAGGTTAGAACAAAACAAGCTGTATTAGAAGCACACTCGATCTGTAGTCCACCCAGTTATGTAATGAATAACTTTTGCACAGCATCTGGCTTACTTAGATGGACAAGTGGTGAATTTTCTGGAGAATTCTCTGGCGGTGTTATTGATGGAACTGCAAGTTCGAACAAGTGCATCCTTTAATTAGAACCATACTCAAATCTAATTTTACCAAGTCATTTGATGCATTCCTTTGATTAACAAGCATACATGGATGGGTAGCCGATGAATTTTGAGGCAAATTCCTTGAAGGAGAGGCAACTGGAGCTGCATATTAAAGCCAAAAGAGCAGGATTAGAACCAATGCCAATTTACATTAACTTGAGGAACATCGGAACTCCTTTTGGTCATGCACCTGGAGCATCTGGCACTGAGAAAGGAGACTTACCAACTGGTTCCTTTTTCTGAGGACCAGTTGGTGACTTTGATGGTGTGTGTACTTGAACAAGCAGAGGCGGAGGAGCTGTATTAAATGGTGGTGATACCACTGGAGTCCTTGGTGCCAAGGATGGTACTTGTTCTTCAATAGTAAAGGGTGGCAGATCTGTATTATGTGTTGGTGGTGGCTCAGTTGTTTCAGACATTGGGGCAGACATAAGAGGTGGCAGTGCAGGAGGAGAATGCAAATCTGACCCTGGATTGTCAAGCCAGAAACATCACTACAAAGTCTCAAGAACAACACTTGATACGAGAAAATGGAAGTTACCATTTGGCTGAGATAGTGTGCTTGGTGTTTCGCTTCTTTGTTCGACAGCACCAGGGATTCCTTCCGTAGGAGGAAACAAAAAAAACTTTGCTGGAAATGGGGATGCATCGTGCCCTAAAACAAGACAAAAGGATGAATATGAAGCATAAATTCAAAGAAGGCTTACAACTTGACAACCATTTTTCATTTATATTACTGAAAATTATTTTAGAAATTTACAAAATCCTCCTAGGTGAACAACCAAAATGCAATTTATCAGGCAATATTTTGTTTTTACTTATTACAGAATCATGACTGGGTGTAATTTATGAGATCAAATAGGTTATGATCCATGATCTATAAAAACAATAATGTCATCAAGGTCATCAAACTTTTTCCAGAAACATACCTCAACTGTGTGAAAGAATGTGTACGGCAACCATAGGGTACCATTAATTGCTAATTATGGTATAAAAAGCATTTCTCAGATAAAGCCTTGAGGAAAAATCATTCCTTAGTTACACCCAAAGAGAAGCCTGAGTGAAGATGGGCAATGCTTCAAGTCTCTAGTTAGGCAAACTGCTATTATTCTATAACATGATGGAATACACAGATCCATGAAGATGCTGAATCCAAATTCAGCGGATCTAAACTCTATAAGTGACAGCAGTTTCAAACGAAAATTTTGGAAACAGAATTCAGCATAGAAGTTGACAAGCCAAAGCTTCCTGGCATTACCAGTTGATACCAGTCATAGAAACAACATTTGCAAGATTATATGTGATCAAAAGATTGTACACTTGCACAAAATTAACTGAACACATTAAACCAAGGTAAAATTCTGGTGTAATCAAATCGCATGAAGAGAGCAGGAGAGATATAGAATTTTACCTGAAGATCCTTGAACAACTAAAGCAAAGCCAATGATGCAGAGTTTGGCAAGCAGGAGAATCAGTGGCATCAATATCCCCATCCCATAAAGCACCAAATCTCACAAAATCTCCAAAACAAGCTCCCTCAACGATGGTGATGAAGAAAATTAAGCACCAAATAAAGTAATAAAAAAAATGAAACTTATTATATTAAGAGATAGACAGATTACTTGAAGCAAGCAGAAAAGGGAAGTTAGATTAACAAATAGCCCCACAAACAATGTAAAACAAGCAAGGATTCGTTTTCTTAGGCTGTATTTGGTAAAACCCAGAATTGGGTTTGGTAAAAAGAAGCAAAGCAATCCTTTTTTCCTCAAAACTAAAGTTCTCAACTTTACAAAGTTTTGTTTTTTTCCATGTTTGAAAGAACCGTTTTTGCTAACATTTACATAAGCTATTGAGCACAAAATAAAACTGATACCAAAAACAATAATAATAATAATAAATAAATTGAATGAAAACAAGAAACGAAGACATCTCACAGAGTCACAGTGCCAAGTAACGGACAGAACCTTTTTTAGGAGAGAGAAGGAAAAAAACTATAAAAAGAAAAGATTTGGACAGTTTGGTGGATGTGTGCCTGTCAGAGAGGAAAAAAATATGAAAAGAAACTTAGTTTAATCTAGTAAATGTTATTTTAGCGTGGAGAGTTAGATTTAAGTGGTGTTTTAATGCGGTTTGCACCAACTTTTTTCACTTTGGGTTGGAGTTCATAAGGATTTGTTTAATGGGTTTGGCTTTGCTTAACTTTTAACTCATTTTCTTGCTGATTTTCAGTTGATCCTGTTGGCCAGTAAGAGATGGTGACTCCATTGAAAGTGAGACTTAGCATGTGGCAAATTTCTATTTTGACACATCAACCAATATTTTATTTCTTGATGATCTTAAGATGAATTACATTTTTTAAGACAAAAATAAAGGTCCCACCAAAAAAATAAGTTGTAAGAATATTCTGATTTGTGGTTCATCGTCATCAGAAGCAAGAGGTAATCAAAATTTATGCAAATACAACTCTATTTTCTGATTTATGCAAATACAACTCTTTTTTCTGATACAGAGTTTCTGTTCATAAGTTTTTATGAATTCAGGTAACACTTTTTGTTAGTTGATGCTCATTAAGGACCTTTGAACCTTCAAACATCAAATCCAGAGGCTAACGTTTTGTTAGATAAGATAATGGACCCACCACTAAAAGAAGAACAATTTGTCAACTACATGACATTTTCATTGCAATCAACTTGTTTAAGTTGATAACTTTGAAAATTTAGCCATACTTGAAATAGGAATGGGAAATTTCCATTTTTTTTATTCCCTTTTGGATGCTATTACCATAAAGTTGATGTTATTTTCTTTCAGTCATTAAAAAATCAGTAGCATTTTTTTTTACTGCACCGACATGTTTTAATTGCCATAGCTAAGTTCATGTGGCAATTAAAACAAGAGATTCTAAAAGTCTAAAAGCAGGTTTTCACACCCATTTATTGATATCAAACCCTGCTAATGCTAGTAAAGATATGCCAAAGAACCAAAAAGAGCATAAGGAAAAAAATTTTTAAAAAAGTAAAATCATTCTTTATGCAAAGACAGATAATAGACTGACAAGACGAGGCCACCAAGCTAGTTTCCAAACCCTAGAGCAGAAACTACAAGATATAATGGCTAATGGGGGTAAACTAAACAGTGTCCCAGCACCACCATAGCCAGGCTCTACGAGGAAAAAAAATATTGGAGGGGTTTGCTTGGAACATAGCTAAGGTGGCCACTTTTCACAGCATAGCAGTAATGACGATTGCTGACGATGGTGTGGAGTGTGGTAAAAGAAAGAAAAACTATGTTGCATGTGACTAGAAATGGGACCCAACAGGGCTGACTCCATTGAATTGAGCAAGTCTTCATCGTCACTTTATCTTTTGTTTGATATTTGATGGGAGCCCAAAGTTTTTAGCTTTTAAAAAAGGGTGCTTAAAAAGTAAACAATAATAATAACAAAATAAACATTAAACAATTAAGTGCAAAGTTAAAAACGCAGTAAGTCTTCCATGTGTTAGACAGTTGTCCTATACAATGTATTCTTTCTTGTTATCTTTAACTAGAAAAACATGTTTGTATTCGATTTGTTTTTGCTCTTTCGTTTGATGTTTGTATGTGTTTTGTTTTTGCATATAATTTTATTTTTAGGCCTTTGCAAGATGGTTTCATACAGGACAGCATCATACAGCAAAAGATTCACCAAATGACAAATACATGTTCAAAATTACATTTTCCTTTTTTGTCAACAGCTAGAACACGAGGCTTAATATATCTGATTTCCTATTCCTTTGGACGCCCACATCCCTCAATTTCTGGATTCTTTTTGTTCTATCCAATCTCAAAAAACTGTATTCTATACACATGTATAATGTTGGGTTTTATTTTATTAAAGAGAATTCGACTTCTGAAGTCATCGTATGAAATCCATAGCAAAAGATTCATCCATTTCTTTTTTATCTTATCAGACAATAAGCAAAGATGTGGATGTAGACAATCCTCCCTCCTTTTAATTTCCTATTCCACCCCTGCTAGATTTTGAGTGAACCTTTGAAAAATCAAGAAAAGAAAACCGTCTTTATTTGTCTTAGTATTAGTATAATTTAGCCCCACAAGAAAAAAACAATCATTTCAAAACTGAAATTTCTACCACCGTCCCCAGCTAGATTTCTAGCGGACCGATTGAAATCAAGCACAGATAGCACCATATGTTTGTCTCAATTGTATTATTACTTTGTAATAGCATAGCCCCCACATTCTGCATCACTAATACCAGGCAGCAGAACGCAGTACCCCCTCCTCCCCTCCCCCCTCAGGTTCGGAGAGTTATGACAGTTTTCTTACCTCACACTCCTCCATTTTCGCCAAGGGTACCATCATCTTTTCTTTTTTTTTTCTGCAGCCCAACAAGGACCATTCCACAAGGGCTTCAACTACTTTTTAGCAAAACCATGTGGAGATATACCGTAACCTGCATATTTTAGCAGTCTGATTTGTTTTTATTATTATTATTTTGCATATATTCTATGGATTTGATTTGGCATTTTTAAGGCTGAAAAAAGAGCCGACCTTTGAGTGATATTCCACCAAATTGGTTTTGGATCCCTTTTACCTAACCTAACCAGCAAGGAAACTTTCATGACCAAAGACCCATTCGTTTTGATGATTTGACTTTAATATCAATAGACCCTGGTCTTAATGTTAAGGCCCAGGCATTGACGCACACCTAACCAATCTACGACGGTTTGGTGCAGAATACCCTGATTCAAGTCTTCCGCCGCCCATTTATGGAAAAATACAAAATACAAGGCGAGGTCAAGATCGACAGAGAACTTCAATGCAAGATGTTTGTATAGAAAAATTTCCCCTTTTTTTCACCTTGCTCGAAAAGGAAAAGTGTACAAATACTATAACATAAGACATCACAACTCTATATTTAAAAGGAAAACGAGAACTAGAAATATTAACAGTAAAGACTGACGGACTATCGGTCCTTTTGCAAAGGTAAAGTAGTAGGGTTGTTATGACTGTGAAGGCTGTCCCAGCTCTTGATTAAAGGATGGACAGCCTGTAGATTAAAGGATTTCACCAGTTTTAAAACATATTATACAGATAGAAGGATAATGGAAAATAGTTTTGATAAAATTTCACCTTGCATTTAAAGGGCAATTTGGATATGGTCAAAAATTTTGGATTCCCAGAATCAAAGATGACCCTTTGGCAACTAGATGCCCATGTAGTCGGAGTAAGATGCCCTTAACCAAAGGCCCCTAGGGGTTCATCCTCTTTCCAAACTGATTAAGAACATTATCGGACACACTTTGTTATGAGAACGCTATTGATTGGAGCTCCTGTTCATTGATATAAGCACTTTGTTGCTGGAACATAGTATCCTTTTCTAAAATTATTGACTCGGATCAAATACTTCGAACCATTTTTTGAAAATTTTTGCCAGATTTGTTTCCTTTTCTTTGTCAAGTGTAAAATTCCTCCAATCAGCCCTATCCGCCATGTTCAGTAGGCCTGCCAGAACCCGCATAGGATTTCACACCAATCATTCTTTTTGTCATTGTGACAAATCCATCTCTTAAACGTTAGCTATAGAGATTAAAGTATGTTGGTCATTCTTTATAACAAAAAAAAAGTATGCTGATCATTAGCTGCATTTAACCAAAACACACCTTATTACCATCACCATCCCATGCTTTTGTGACACATCATATCTCCAGTATTGTGAATCAAGAACATTATCACTAGCTCTCTTTGTGGCTTCTTTAGGACGATCCACTTGGTCTGCTAATGTATATGGTGATATGGTAGCATTTGGTGGCTTTACACTAATCTCAGCTGCTGACATGGCAGATGACAAAGTTGGAGAAAGTGCATGAAGAACTTTCTGTGGAGTAGATGCAGAAATTCTTCCAGACAAAAAATATAATGCTGTTGAATCTTCTTTCCTTTTTTTCTCTTTTCTCTGGTGTGTTCCTTGCAGGGATGCATGAACTCTCAAAAAGGAGGACAGAGCTAAGCAGAGCACAGGAAATTGTACCAGGCACTATTCCAGTAAACAAGAAACAACAATCTTATTTTAGGAGATCCAGTCGAAATGTACTAGCAATTTAATTGCTCCTCTATGTAGATGCTGATATCATGTCAATGCAGTTAAAGCTTCATTAATAGAGCTTTATAACTAAAAGTCTCAGCTGAATACAATGAATTTTTCAGTACATACTGAGGAGAAAAAGAATGAGTTGACACAAGACAGTCAGACCTGTTTCTCTTTATTCCCAACAGAAGCAAGACCCAAGAACCGAGTTACATGCACGGCATCAACATTAGCATAAGGTTCACGAGCATAAAATGCACCCTTATTGCCTGCAATGTGATAACTAAAGGGAGAACAACCATCAGCAAAAGAAACGGAACAACTTTTAAGTAACTGCAAATGCAATAAAGAAACAAAATTCCAATTGGGTTGTAAATTCTGTATTCTCGCATTTAAGATGCCATAGTCTTAAGTAAAGCAAAATTGTTCAAACATCATGTACCGTGGTTTGATCTCTGCGACTAATTGGGATACAGTGGAATCACTGCCAGAAGAATCCAAGATTCCTGCAGGAATATCTGATGCAGTGGCTCTATTTGTGACACCACTTGGCCATTCATTATTAAAACTAAGGAACTCAAAAGAACAACCTCCAAATGAATAAAAATTAATAAGTGAAAATTTTCCATGCCTAGCAAAGCAAAGAATATCTTATAAACAAGTCAACTATTCCAGATTCCTCTGCAAATGCTCGCAACGCATCAATGTCATCTTGACTATATGTTCCAAACTGTAGAGCATTAGACAACTGCCTACCAGATAAGTAAGCAACAGACAAACCTAAATATGAGCATAATAAATCAGATATGGCAGAAAACTTTCACATTGACTTTCTATCCTAATTTTGTCTACTTTCTCAGTAACCAAACAGAAAATACTTCATAGAAGTTAATAAAAACATACCATGGATAGTGAACTTGCCGCTGCCTTTTAACCAAAACAAATGGTCGCACACATTGAAACCGTCCATTTTGAAACCTTGATCGGCGGAGTTTTTCGAAATGGCCGATAAAACCCTCGCCGCACCGATGCCATAATCGCCGATGAAGTTGGGAGAGGAATTTGGGCCCGGCCTTCTACATAGTCCATTAATTCATCAAGCCGGTCCCGTTCGTCGGGGAAGAACTGGCCCACGCAAAAAGAGCATCGAAAGGACCCGCTGATTTGTTCACCGGAAAAAGAATTAAAACCTAGCAGAAATATGGAGAAATTAAAAAATGTAAAGGAAATGAGAGAACATTACTGAGTTGACTCCCTTGAAGAGCTGGTTGAGACGGCCTAAAACGTCACCGCATGGTAGAATTCGTGGAGGAGCAATCAGAGAGAGAGAGAAACCGTTCAGGGTGAAAAGCGGTAATGCCAAGATTGGCGTTATGAAGCGAAGGCTAAAGCCGGAGGAGAGAGGCCAGAGGAGCGTGGATTAGTCGAGCTTGGGCTTTTGAGGACCGGCTCAAATGGTCCGTGCCTTCTGGCCCATGTATATGAGGACGGGCACATATGGGCCTAGCCTCAGTTTTTATTTTAGACCCAAAGTTTTAGTTATTTTTGTCTTCTTTCCCGCATCTTTGTTCTTCAATCTTATCCTGTCCAGCCAGGTAACCCGTATTTTATATTTTTTTTTCTTTTCATAGGACAAAGAAAAATATATATAGTTTTTGCGGCTATAATTCAGTCCTACGATACCTAAAAACTAAGGTATTGGTATTGTCTGATAATATGTTGAAAATTTTTAATAATTTAATTTTCTTAATATGTTTGATAATGTATTTTAAAATCTATTTAATAAAATTTTATAATTAAAGTATTAAATAAGTATCTACTTATTATTTAATGTAGAAAATATTCAATAAATTTTATAAAAAAATTTAAATTATTATTTCTTAAAAATTTTATTTTATTATTTGCAATAAAAATAAAAATATAATTATAAAATGATAAATTTTTAAAATTTAATGTTTTATAATTATCAAATAACACATTTATATTTAACATTTAATTTTCAATAAAATATCAAAAAATTTTATAATTCAAATTTAATACTTGTCAACAGAAAATTCTATACTTAGGTTTTCAACCCTTAATTTTTTCCTTAATTAAACAGAACGGAACTAAAAAGTCTTCTTATGCAGTCAGATCCTTAGATTACTTAATCTTTACAAAATAAATTAATAATTTCACACTGTTGAAATGGGAACGCACGTGGCTCGGCGAAGACAAGCGTGATTCACGCCGAGTGTGAACCCTCAAATTTACTCAGAGCTACTATGATGTGTAGTCAGGTCTTTCGACATCTTTTTTGACTGCTACAGTATTTTAAATTTGTCGTTTCTGCTTTTTGAATTTGTAGCCTTAGCTCTTTGAATTTTGAATTACTATTATAATGAAAAAGTGCCAGGTCGAATTCCCAACTTCCCCGTCGCAGTCCACAATTTGCATTCGATAAATGTTTGCCGGTAATTAAATTCTTTGTGTTCAGCCTTTCCGGTGGACGGTGCCGGCGGCGGCGGGTGGGTTTGAATGTGATCAATGGCATATATAGAATTAGCAACGAACTTAACAAATCCTAAGCTGATCTGTTTTTTTGTATTAGGGTTATTTTGGATATACGCTAAGAAGTTTGCGATTGATTAAGTGAAATTAAAAGTAATTATAATTATGAAATTAATTATTATAACAATAAGTTAAATATTAAACGAGAAAATTAGGATTTAATGGTAAATTATAAATTTAAATTTAAATGTAACAATAATGATAAAATATAATATAATAAAAATAATCATTAAATATATAAAATTAAAAAGTATATATATAATAAATTTTACAAATAATTAAACATTAATAAAATTATTTTATATCAAACAAAAATAATCATTAAAAGCATGAATTTAAAAATTAAATTAATAAATTTTTTATTTCTTATTTAATATTCAATATATTAAAAAATAATTCAAAATAAAAATTTTAAAATATAATAGAGATAACAAAAATTTTAATGGGGGTAGGAGGATCAAATTAGGAGACCAGTGGTTCACTGGACCTCATTTCCTCCAATGGAAAATTGGGACTCCACTGCGATAGGAGATGAATCTCCGTTTGGATTTTATTGTATTTTTTGTGTGGTGCAATTAAGTTTGTTATATTATTAGTTAATTTTAAATATTAATTTTAATGAAATTAAATTAACAAATTTTTTTTAATTATAATTATAATAAAATTTTAATCATAATTATAATAATTTTTATTAATATCTTTAATCTTACCGTTAATAATTTTATCTATTCATCCAAATAGAGCTTGAACCGCCTCACAGTCATAGGTTATGTTATCTAAATATGTCTTACGGTGCAATTGAACCAAAAAAAACAATCCAATCACACCTCACCACGTCTTCGATTAATTCTAAACAGGACCTTAGTGTTTACTTCAAGCTTTTAGCTTGCATCTCACATTCTAATTTGTAGTCAACAGTTAAGCACTATTTATTAAATTTATATTTAATATATTTTTAAATTATAAATATTATGGACTATTAATAAAATCACACAATAAGTCAATAAGAATTTATAAAAATTTAATTTAAAATTAATTTTTTATAAAATATTATTACATGATTCATTTATAATATATAATATTATAAATTAATAATATATCAAATATGAATATTTTATTTATTTGATATATGATGGATTAGTATAAAATTAATAGTGGCTAATTGGTAATTATCAATGTGTTACGTTTAAAACTCTTAAATCATAAATTACAACTCTAAATTAATAAAGTATAATGTTAGGAATAATAAAGAATACCTCAATTATCACCTTTTTATATATATAAAAAAAAGGTAATAGTTTAAAAATAAAAAAAAAATTATATGTAAACCATCTTTTAAAACGTGATAAAAAAAGGACGAAAGTAATTAGCTGTTACCTACCATATAAAGTATATTTTATTATAAGATAATCTAGTTCTATGCTAGCGGTTAAATCGACACGCAATAATGACAAGATTAAAAAAAAAAAAAGTACCCAATTTAATCACGGTGCGCTGATGAGATATGTTTTAATAGACCACATGGGTAATGATCAATAATTGCCATTAAAGAGATACCAGGGCTAGACCAAGTCCCCGTCAAATGCAGGACTCTCCTTTATGACTGGCCATTACTCTGTCCAAAGCCACGGGTAACAACGGTTTCGAGTGAAATAGATTTTTATTTATTTCAAATTTGATTTGATTTTATATTTATAAAATTTAATTTAATTTATTTTTTTTTATATTTAGATTCAATTCAATTTGAAATTAAAAAGATATTTTTTAAAAAATATAAAATATTATTTTTAAATATAAATATATAATTATATATAAATTAAAATCAAATAAATAAATTTTAAAAATTTTATATCATACTAAGTCAGATTGAATTTACTTAAAATTTAAATTCGATCTGATCTTAATTTTTTCTTAACATTACTTGATTTTATCCAATTCAAAATTTGATTTAAAAAAAAATCAATCATATAAAATTTGATTGAGTCAAAATCTGTCAAAACGAGTTGAGCTATTAATCCTATCAAAAGCCTGGGGTGCAATTATATATCTAGAAACATTGTCAGATCCAATTCAAGATTTTTTTTTTTCAAATAGAGGTGCATTAAAATAAAGAGTACTGAAAGCATGGTTCTCGTTAAAAACATAATAAATTGAGTTTAAATTGATACAATATTAAATTTAAATTTAAGTTTAATTTAAAAATTATTATTTGAAATTTAATTTGAATTTGATTGAATTTTATTATTTTAATTATAATTTATTTTAAGATAAAGATTAAATTACTCAAACTCATTTAATTAATATGTAAAAATAAACTTAATTTTTATATTATATAAAAATTTTATTATTTATGTTCGAATTATAAATATTTTATTAATTAAAATAATTAAAATATATTTAAATACAAAATTTTAATTAAACTTACAAATTATTCAAATAAAATATAAAAATTTTTAAAATTTATTTTATTGATAAATCAAATTATTTAAATTTAAATTTAATTTAATAATAATTAATTTAAATTTAAATTTTATTCAAATTAAACTCAATAAAACATTAATATATTATTTATATTCTTAGTTCTCGTGGTATCAGAAAGTAATAAAGTAGACAACAATTCCAACGGCTCCTGAAAAAACAAAAGAGACCTCGGTTATTGCTTATCGTCTGTACAAGAGTTAATCTCCTTGAAGTTGTGCTGCACCCTCACGTTTTAGAATGTATCGTAGCAATAACATGCAGTCATCCATGATCGAACAATAAGTATGACAAGAAAATACACCTGCAAAACGTACCTTAAAACAGTCTGTAAGTTAATTTTATTATTCAATTATTATCACGGTTGATTGCAATGCGAAACCCATCTCTACGCCCCTAAAGTTTTGTGCAGGAACACGTGATCCTTATCTTCTTTCGTCAAAATTAACTTATTAAGATAAGTAACGTTAACATTTTTATAATATAGTAATTTTTTTTTATATTTGATACGAGATTAAAATATTTTATTTTATTTTTAAAAGTATTTGACATGATATTTATTTTTTTTTATTTAATTTTATGATATATTCGTTATGAATATTGATAATTTTATTTATCCCTTTCAAAATTTAATATGAATCAAACAGTTCAAAACTTATTTTGACACGTAATTATTATTATTATTTTTTAAAATTAACTTATCAAAATATATAACACCAAAATTTTTATAATTCAATATGAAATTAAAACATCTTATTTGTTTTTAGAGCATTTAACGTAACATTCATCTTGCTTATTCCCCTCGAAACACTTGACCTGACACAAGTTCTTTGTTGTGGATCCTAAGTTACAGGCAAATCCACGGAAGGTCCGAAAATGGTTTCTGAGATCCAATTTAAGTTTCAACCATAAGTAATTAATTGTTATTTCCAGAACATTAAGGTACTTTGAGAAAAATCCAAGAACAGGTTTGTTAAAGAACTGTTCAATATATATAGCCACTGCCATAAAACATACAAAATGATGCAAATGTCTGTAAGAATCATTGATTTTTATGTGCATGCCATGTTATACATAAGTTATTTTGTAATTTAATTATTAAATTATTTTGTTATCAAATGAGCAGTGTTAATGACAAGAAAATCAAACAGTGAGTGACTTTCTTTCGTAGCTAGCTAAGATTGGGAAAATACTTGACTCCTCATAGCAACTTTGCCTGCAATCAATGTTGTGCTCAGAATCCAGGTTGGACAGAATGGCTACACTATCTGTCAGACTCCAACGTACCTCTACTAATTTCTTGGTATGCAATAGTAGTAAATGGTTTAATTATGATTCATATAAACATATGAAGAGGCGTGGAGGTGGAGCAGTGAACTTCACTTTCCTGGAAGTACAAATTCCGTTTCTGTACCCAGTAAAAAAATGTAAAAAGAAGACTTTTCCATTTCTCTTTCCTGGAGAAGGAATTTGAGAAACTGAAAAGAACCACGTGTGCCTTGTCCATACGTTGGTAAAAAAAAACTAATTTTTATGCCCTAAAAAGTTCACAGCGACGTTATATGCTTCCACTTCGAGGTTCCTACTCGTATTCTCAATATCCGCGAAACCAAGACAATCGAGTCTCACACAACTCCAGTTCTTCACTTCCTTAATTTGTCCTCCCGGCTGATAGATTTCCTTGCTGATCTTTTCTGATATGTTGGCTTTAATAGCGAGCTGGCTGACGCCAACCACTCTTTTCCTCTTCCTCAATATCATGATCGGCACCATCTTCCTTATCTCTCGTCTCTCTCCTCCCAAAACGCCACATCACCAGCAATTTGGACACGACGGCTATTATAACTCAGCCCCGCCACTCCAGCGACCTCCGTCGCTCCTAGACCGTGTCAGGTCCATCAACTTTTCAACCTACAATTTCACTCTTTCAAACCAAGACTTCGACCATCATCTCCAACCTGCAGACGACTTAGCTACCCATCCGCTCGAGCGAGCCCCGTCAATTCTCGAACGAGTCAAGTCCATCAACTTCTCCCTCCACAAATATTCTCCTCAAATCCCAGACACGGACTATATTCAGCCAACGGAACACGACAACACTGACCAACAACCCCTCACCCGAGCACCGTCTCTCTTAGAGCGAGTCAAGTCGATAGATTTCACCTCTTTTTACAGATCGGACTCCGTTAAATCAAACCAACAAAAGGAACCCCCTGAAACTGATCAAGAATCCGATTCGGACTGGGATATGAGTCCAGTTCATGGTCAAGTAAGGAGAATCAAATCAGAGTCTAAGGTAAAACAAAGCAAATTACCAGAGAAGATTAAGAAATCAGCGAGTGAGAATTCGAGACTCAAGGCAGAAGAGGAGGAAGAAGAAGTGGAAAGAAGACGACGTGCGACTACAAGGATCGAGAAAACGGTATCGTTTGGAGATGAAGGTGTCGATGCAAAAGCTGATGATTTCATCAACAAGTTCAAGCAACAACTTAAGTTGCAGAGGTTGGATTCTCTATTGCGTTACAGGGATATGTTTAAGGGCAAGTAATGTAAGTTTTTTTTTTCTTTTGTTCTTAGTAAGTTTTCGAAAATAGACATGGGATTTCATGTGGCTTTACTGTAACTTGTTCCCTCTGTTTAGTTCGAGTGAGGATCTGATTTTCATAATGTACAAGGTGTGTTTTCGTGATTTAGTAAGCTTTAACGCTTTGTTTGTGATCCGGTTTACTCCGACCGGTGAATGGCAACTAAAAGGAGAAGAAGAGCTAGCTGAGCGGTGGGCAATAAGCATGAAATCCAAATGACCAGAATTGCCCCTTGGCTGCTTATAAAGTTGGTCGACAACAGTCGGTTTTTCTGTCATTTAAGGTGCCTTAGTTACAGTTTCAACTTCAATTAGTAGTTGCATTGGTAATTAGTTTAACGCTTTAAATAGTAGTAATACTAAGTACTTTTTATCATGGGAGAGGCATGGTTCAATGTTCAATGTTTATATATTATTTAAAAGCCTTTCCCTTTTCTGTAATGTAATAGGCGTTGTTCTCTTTTGAAAAAAAAGAAAATTATTTAAAAGCCCTCGTACTTCCAATAAATCGCAGCATTACGTGTAAAAAATAAAAAATATATATCATCTGTGATTAGTTGTTAGCATTTGCCTCGTATCCAAGGTAACCAAAGCTTAAAATATTATAAATTTGACATCATCAACATGGTTATAGACAATGATATCGTGCCAATCTGCTAACGACAAAACCCGATGATCAGCATAGTTCTGCACACAACTTTTGAATGCAGATCTCTCCTCGGTAGGCAGTCGTCGGGAGATTTTGATTAGTTTGATACCTTTTTTTCCTTGAATGGACCCTGGCGTCAAGAATATAATCATATATTCTTGACTACGTACAATTAATTGCTTAATCAGCAAACGAAACAGAATCATTTTTCCACCTTCCACGGCCACGCTCTTTTCCCCTGGCATATATCAGGATTTAATTCTCAGCTGGGCGGTGAAGGAGATAAGCCCGAACTATAGTTAAAATTGTTGGCTCAAAAATCCGAACCAGGACAAGACAGTGTAGGAACAAAATCATTGAACCATGGCGTTGCTGGTCGCACCTGTTTTCTTCATTGTAAACTTTGCAATGATGAAACTATGACCATACCTCGTTAGAAAATTTTCTGATACTTTTCCTAAGCGTTGACGATGAAGTCAATGATCACGTTTTATTACTTAATTATTTTTATTATAATTATAATTAAATTTTTATAGAAGAACCAACAAAAAGAGCGTATCACTTCTAACCATTTAATTATCTTACCTTTAATATTGTTTAAGGGAAAGTTTCTTTTTTGATAAAAGTAGTAGTATAACGTAGAATCAGTACGGCGCTGCTGGAAATATTCGCTTTTGAAGCAGCAATATTATTATTATTATTATTATTATAAAGACAAATCTAAAGCCTTTTTTAATATGCAAAAAAGCGAAGTCACTCTCAAAATGCGATCCATAACATGCAAGAATCTGCTTTGTGTTACTTTTGGGTGGGAAAAGAAGGGGGCGGGAGTGGTGGAATTCTTGAAAAGGGTAAAGAACTAGTATTTTTGTATTGATAGTAGTAGTGGGAGGCTTAGGCCCAGTGAAGGTTTTGTCTTGTTGTTGTAGACTTCTAGTTGGCTTGGGTTAGTCTAGCACACTAGAGCCCTAAAGGTCCCTTGTTCAGACCCGGGCTCAAACTTAAAAAGACTTCATTTTAAGATTTTTAGGAAACGATTCTCCAAACGGTCCAATTAAACCAATCTGGGTTTCAGAATAACTGCTTTAGTAGTGTTAAGGACACCAACGAGGACAAAAACAAATAAGGGAAAGGAAATACTGCAACAAATATAATTGCTACTCGACACAGATTTAAGTAAAGCACAAAGATTCACCTGAATGCCCTAGTTTGTTGATCAGGTGGGGCTAAGAAGATTATATATTCTTGTTTTCTTGAATAAACATAACCATAAAAATATCACCATGATATCTTTCCTATTGATATATCCTTAAATCTTTAATCTCTTCCAAGAGAGATCAGCAGGTTCCATCGTTCTTTGTTTCTTCATCAGGCTCGCCAGGCTGCTTTCCTTTGGTGTCAGATGAAGCACTGCACGAAATATACAAAATGTGTTAAATTTTGAAACTTTATTATTCTGATCAGTTAATCATACTTCATTTATATAGATATACAATAAGCTTATGATCATTGCAGAGTATTGTATGACATGAGAATTAATGCCATTAAACTAAGCAGTTGTCGATGCAATGAAAAACCTTGTGATTTCATTCCCGTTTTGTTTCAGATCCATGATTTGATCAGATGGATGAGTATCAAAGAACTTGAGGTTTGCATCGTCTTCCAAATTCAGCCCGCCTCCTTGATCATTCACAGACTCCGATGGCGGCGAAACTGTTGAAGACGAGCTTGCTATGGAGTTATCCAACTGCTGTTTTTGCTGTTGCTTTCTCTTGAAAAAAGCCAGCTGTTGGTTCACAGCCTGAAGCTCGGATTCATAAAATCCTACGAGAGACCGGCGGCTTCGAATAACGCCTATACGACCAAGCACGGAATGATTCAATCTGGCATTACCCTCAATCAGTATCGACTCTGCATCTGCTTGTCTTTGATGAGGCTCGTCCGAATCCATGATTCTTACTCTGTTGCCCATATCATAGTAGTGTGGCAATTCGCATCTATTGTCACACCTTTTCCTTCGGTGCTCGCAAATAGAACAAGCATGGAGATCTGCCCCACCACCCCCTCCATTCATATTTGCACTTAGAATAATCGTCTGATTAATTTGAAGACGAAGGTTCAAGTGTTTCTATAGAGTGAAATTTTGATTAAGCATTTAGTATATATAGAAGAATCAGAAAAGTAGATTATGGATATTTGAGTTCTAATGAAATTAGATTACCTATCTAATGTCAGTTACCTAGTTTCATTCCTCCTTTAAAGAGAATTTATAACCGATATCTTATTAATTTTAATTTTAATTAATTTTAATTTATAGTTGGTGTAAAAGCTAATAATGAGTTTTTGAATCTCAAATATTGCTGTATTAAAAGAAAAAAAAAACAAAAAAATTATTAATTAAGTCTTGGCTTTTTCAAAATTAGATATGTGACAATTTATATCTATTTAGGACCTAATCTCATTTGAGTTGAGTTTTGGATAAAAATTTTCAAATTTGTTCTTATCCTAAATGTTACTTTTTTAATGGAAATTTATTTTTTATTTAATTTTAATTTTAAAATATTAATATAAAAATATTTTTAATAGTAATATTCTAAATAATAATATTTTGATGGATGGATCAAGCTACGAACAAATCTTTTGAAGTTCAACTGGGCTCGACTTGGCCCGACCCATGACACCTATTATTTTAATTATTTGGGCCTAGATGATACTTTATCCAGAACGCATCTTTCAAGCGAATTGCTTTTTCGGAACGCTGCGTTTTCTAGCGCTTTCGTACAAGTTAACAAGCCACACGGCCTAGAGAGAAGCGACAGAAGAATTGAATCATTGAGGCGGCGGTCTAATGGCGGAGAAACCCCAACCGGTCCTCGTACTATACTGTCAAGTGTGTGGTTTACCCGCAGAGTATTGCGAATTCGGACCCGAATTTGACAAATGCAAGCCCTGGTTGATCCAAAACGCACCCGACCTTTACCCGGATCTCCTCAAAGGTAACGCCCTTTAATCACTGCCGTTGAAACCAATCTTTTGTTTTTTATATAAATTTTTTTTTTTGCTCAAATTTAATGTGCAGCAGCCAATGCTAAAGAAGCTGATAAAGTTGCTGATCAATTACAATCCGCTGGCATCTCTTCTGTTGATGCTGCCGCTGCTGCAGGTAAATTTTATTTGTAATTCTCTTTTACATACTTAAGTTTATAATTTTTTTCGATTTGAATATCAAATTTGATTTGAAATTTATATTTGTTGTTTGCTGTTGATTAAACTTACAACAACAACAACAACAAACTAAGCCATATATGCCATAACTTTGGGTCAGCTGTATAAGAGGGCAAAAAAGAGAATCATATTAGGTTGTAGTTTTGATTCTTTTTGGCTACTCATTTCTGTCAACAATAATTTTTTCATCTATTTCCTTAATAATCATATAATTTTTTATTACTTGCTTCTACGTCTTTTGTGGTCTAATTCTAATAGTATTGGTCTCTGCTAAATCTAGAAACTCATTTCTCATAATTGATATAGAGATAGATCTACATTTCACATATACAAACCATTTCAAACGTCTCTCTCTCATCTTTTTCTCTTTTCCGACTACACCTAATTTTCCTTAAATCTCTTTGTTTTTTTATTTTGTCTTTTCTAGTCTTCCCATACATTCATCTAAGTATCTTCATCTTAGCTACGCTCATTTTCTTCTCATGTTATTTCTTAACACTCCAACACTCAGTTCCATATGGCAGTGCAGGCCTTATAGTTGTTTTATACAACTTCACCTTTAGCTTTAAAGGCATGTTGCTGTTGATTAAACTTATTGTTGTAAATCATATTCCAATAATTCTTGAAAACAGAAAAAGATTCGCATTTAGTAAAATAGTAAATCCATTCGATCATGTGTCAGTTTATCCTAGTTGCTCATGCCCTGTGAGTAAAATAGTAAATCCATTCGATCATGTGTCAGTTTATCCGAGTCGCTCATGCCCTGTGAGTAGGGTGTTTTTCTTCCTAAACTAGACGGGTTGAGTTTATTAGTGTAGTAATGTAGTATATTTGATTTTGGAGTTTGGCCTAAGAGCTTGAAAGATGGGGGGTGAAGCTGTAATGATATGGTTATGCATGCAGCTGGATTAGGTTAATAGTGAAATTTGGTAGGCCAATTAGAATCACAAGATGCTTAAGTTGTTGACTTTATCAAGTAATTTCAATTTCTTTTTGATTGTTAATAATGGGTTGCTGAAAAAACAAAAAAGAGAAAAGGGATTTGGTGGGTGAAGTTTAGTACATGGCAATTGTAAATGAAAGATTTGAGATGTAAAATTTGAGAGCAAGGCAAAGTTCAAATTTGTCCAACTATCTGTTGTCGCCTGTACGGTGGCTGGTGCCTAGCAAGCTGACATGCTAATGTTGGTGTGGTAAGAGCAGGGTGTTGAATGAATAACTGATCTAATATCTCATTGTTTCTACTGCCCCTGAACAAGAAAGATTAGGGTGAAACATTATATTTTCCTACATTTTATACCTGCCATAGAGGTTGGTCATCTAGAAAAAGAATAGTTTCTGGGATGTAAAAATCCCATAGTTATAAGGCATGCTTTGATAATATTGGAGTAAAAATTTCAGATGTTTACATAGTCTTATTACCAGATGGTAATTGTTAATTGGAAAGATTTCCACATTTCAAGGGTCAAAGATATCACTTTCAAGCCAAGAAGAATACTAAACTGATAATAGCAAATATAACTGTTAAAATTTTAAAAACATTTATGGATTTCGTTGCACTTCCTGCAAAAATCTTTTGCAAAAAGTTCCTCTCTTTTACCGTACTCCAAATGGTGACTGATTGTAAGAGACTAATAGTTGGAGAGCAGTTTTCAGAAAAGAGAGTCTAGTGTAGCAAAAAGTAGATAAAAGTTTCCTGGAAAAGCTTTTTAGGTGTTATTGTATTTAGTGAAATAGGTTAGTTATGTGGGAGTAAAGGATGGTGCTCACTTAGCTAATACCTTGTTTGAACTACCCTAGCTTGTTCAAACATACTTATAAATGGCTAACCTTTACATACATGCACATGATCATGCCTCATGTTGGGATTGAACATTCTGCATATTGTCCAAATTGCTTGTGCCAGTGTGTTTTTCATCAATTTTGTCACTTTTCATACTTTCTATTTTTGCTTAATTTCCAATACAATGGCATTCTTCACTCCTCTTTTACTTACTTGGGCTGCAGGTGGTAGTTCAGAAGCTAAGCAAGAGGAAGTTAAACGTCTTCCTGGGGGGAAGATTAAAAAGAAAGTATAATCACAGACTCTTCAATGCATACAAACGTCACTCACATGAGATGAATCATGTAATGTTCAGTAGACATGTCAAGTTAATTTATTAGAACTGAAATTTGAATTGTTTCTTATGTAGGAGAAGCAAGAAGTTGTCATTGAAAAGGTTGTGCGTAACAAGCGTAAATGTATAACCACTGTAAAAGGCCTGGAACTTTTCGGTAAGCCATATGCTAGTTCTTGTTTTCTAAAGTGTGATTTGGTGTTAACATTCCCATTTCATGTCATGCTTAACTCGGTTCAGGTGTAAAACTAAGTGATGCTTCAAAGAAACTTGGAAAGAAGTTTGCTACAGGAGCCTCTGTTGTTAAGGTGCACTACCTTGCAGAGAATATCTATTAAACTTTTTCTGGTGTAATATCTCATCATGGCCTATGTTTTTCTACTGGTTTTAGGGGCCAAATGACAAGGAACAGATTGATGTCCAAGGAGACATATCATATGACGTTGTGGAATTCATCACAGAAACCTGGCCTAATGTAATACTCCTATCATTCTCTTTCCCTTATAATGCTTTATGTTGGGGTCAAATGTGTCTCCATTTCTTTGTTTTATATTCAATGGTAGGGTTGGCAGGCCAACCCGGAACCAGCGGGTTCCAACCCGACCCCATGGGGTCGGTTTTTTTTTTTTTTGAAAATCAGGTTTTGGGTCAAATCAAGTATTATTAAGGAAAAATCAGGGTTGGGTCGGGTTCGGGTTTTAGGTAAACCCAACCCAACCCGATTCAATATTGTATAAAAAATTATTTTTAATTATTTATTTATATATATATATTTATATTTTAAAATATAATATTTTATATTTTAAAAAATAATATTTTATTAATTTCGGGTCAGGTCAGGTAGTGTTTATACAATGTCGGGTTCGGATAAAAAATGAAAAAAAAATTCAGGTTGGGTTCGGGGCGAGCAAAAACTCGCCTTGACCCGATCCGTTGCCAACCCTATTCAATGGTCAACTTTCTATAGAGCAGGCTATTCCTCTTTATTCTAAGAAGTTCAGCCAAACTAGAATAAGCATGCATCCTGCTTTATATCAAAATAAAAGCAGTCTATGTATCGAAATAAATAAATAAAAGCAGTCTATCTCTCTTTATATCAAACCAAATTGTATCCTATAATGCAGGCTATCCTTTTTTATATCAGGACTTTCTGCCCAAATAAGCTAATGTAGCATCTAAATTGGCCAGTGTAAACTGTATGTGAGACCCTTTTCTTCCTTTCCATTGTTGTCACAAAGTAAACATGCCTTCAAGAGGGAAAACGATAGGAAAATCAATGCAATGAGACTTTGCATTTGGTTAACATGCCATGCTTATGATCACATTTATTATTGCTGTTCTTAATGGATGTTCCTTCTACATGTAAACCTGCTGAAACCTGTCTTGCTGTTGAGTTCTGTTGCAATTCTTTTGGATATAGTCAATTTTGACTTGTAAAAGAAACAAAAACGGAGTGTACTTTTGTTATTATATTTGATTTTCTTCTTTTAAAACTTAAAAGCTTGGAAAGAGGAAACAGTGTTTTGAAGTCCTCTGAAACCTTGATATAAGGACTTGTTGAGTAATATTGAAACCTATAATGTGTTGATGAAGACCTTGAGGGCTTCAAGGCTTAAATTTTTCTTGTATTTGTACTTAGTTTGCAATTTTGTGCTAAGATAAAAAAGGTTGTAAGTGCTTTTCAAATTGCCACAACCCAATTAAAATTGGTGTTTTTTAAGTTTTTTTAAAACGAAGCAATTAGATATCCGTTCTTTTCCTTTATAAATTGATGATTAGAACTAAAATTTGAAAACATTGATTTTTTAAATTTGTTGAAAAAAAGGTTTTTTTTGGTAAAGTTTTCAAGAGAGGTTGAGATGATTTTTTTTTTCCATGATTCTATATCTTCATTAAATATTTTGCCTTGAGTGCCCTCTGTTTTTTCAGGGTAAGTTTGTCTACATCTCCTACAGTTTCTTCAACGAAGTTATTGGTCAGTAATGAGGATACAGTTATTAACCAACTTCAATTTTCCCTTCTTCCTTAGGTCCCAGAAACTGCAATTTTCTTTATTGAGGATGGAAAAAAGGTTTCAGCTGCTTGACTTTAAAATGAGGGCGGATACATAATAGGGATTGCAGTATTGTCTTTCCCCTTTGAGTATGGGACTCTGTAAGATGTACCGTCCTGCCAATTTGAAATGTGCTGCTTGACAAAATTCAACAGGCAGTGAGACCTTTTCCCTCTTTCAGAGTCACCTGTTACTCTTTTGCTGAAATAGTATAGTTTTTGCTGTTGAAATGAACATTTATTTGCATTTAATCAAAGATACGGTCTGTATAGTGGCAGCTACCAATGGTGTACACGCTATTTTGCATTCAGAGTAGAATTTCCTTAAGAAGATTCTATTTAATTTGTCGTGATGAACTTGCTTTCCCACACTTTATTCGTCTCTGTGTGTTGTGCCGCCTTTGATATGTTGCCCTTGTTTGTGCCTCCCATGGAATATCAATATCTTGTGTGTATGATAAGAGTTTTCTGTCAACTAAAATGACTTTCTATTTAGTTACCTACCATTCTATCTTCTTTGGAATCAAGATTCGACACAATTTGGAGACTCTGTAGTCATATGTAGATTTAAAACATGTTGCTATATGAACTATGATAGCAATATATCTAGGAATCAACTGTGTGTGTGACACAATGATATAAAGGTGCTCTCTGCATGAGTGGACAACCACGTGGAGATGGATATTATCCATGTGATATAGAGGTGGTGGTGGCGTGGGCAGTCATTGTCTATATATGGCTAGGATGGTTTGATGGTGCCTGTGGTTGGATTTTGTGCCATTTGCTGCTGCCTTGTGCAATGTTGTGGATTTGGTTTGATTGGGATGGGTTCTAAGCTAGTCTCTAAGAATTAATAATCAATGGCTTGAAGGAAAATACCGGGGTGAAAAAGACTTTAGAGCACATATTCAGTATTTACAATGATATTGAGATTGCAGTAGTTTGGGGGTTAAAGTTCATGAATAAATTGATCTAATAAACCTACATTGCTAGTTGGACTGTATTGCTTTCTTCATTCTAGATGTTGATATGGAATCATGAGTAGTTGGCTACAATATCTAGAGGATTTTCTTCATTCTACAATATCTTATATATTGTTCACTTCGATAGATCAGCTGTGATGATGATCTCATTTGGCATTGTTTTATGGTGAATGTCAGGACTCTCTCTAACTTTCTTTTGCTTGGCAACTTTACATGATTCCCAGATTCCTTGAGCTTTAGAGTTGGAAACTGATGTCATGTATAAGATTGCTGAGCAAATGAAAATTATCCCTGGCAGTTTTATTTGAAACCTTATCAAAATTGTCCTTGTAACATTCAGAAGAAATGGCTGAGAAAAAAAGATTGATATCACCAAGAAATTACATCTATTTAATCTAGACAGAGAAGGAAAACAATAGCTAATTGATTGCAATAATGTGGGCAAAATATTGGGGGACCAGAGCTATTTTTAATTTGGCATAAAAGTGGGGCTAACAATCTCATCATCTGATAGTTGTGACTAAATTTCAAATCTGATTCAGCTACCTTTCGCTTTGTTTTATTGCTTTTTTTTTTTTTTGTTGGATAATTCCTAAACTACTGCTCTGAATTTACATTAGAAAGGGAAGCTGATGTTTTGGAGAATTTTTAAGTCAATTAGTCTAATCATGCAGCTAATTTCGCCATTTTGGCTATCTTTTTTCAGCTTTGTCATTACTGTCTTCCACCTTATCTCCATCATCATCGTCATCATCATCGTCTCTTTAGTAGCTTGGTCCAGACTCCAGACCAGCCAACATTTTGTTTTCACGCTAGTGTGAACACATTTCTTCTTTTCATTCTTTCCTTTCCTCTTGAAATATATGAAATGAGCTCAAAGCATGTTTGGGACAGCTCTCCCTTGAACGAGTTGATCATGTCCACATCTCAAACTGCTTCCCAATAGCGCAGCATTTTCAACACCAAAGATGTCCCACACACATCAAGTTAATTTTTTTTTCTTTTTGTCTCTATCATGGCATTTGATTTTTTTTCTTTGTGTCCCATCTGTTGCGAATCACATTAAGAATCCATTGAAATGATGTTATTTGAAATATTCAAGCACCATTTTTTGTGGAATATGTCAAGAATTAAGGGTTCAGCCTCATCATTACCCCCAAAGGGAATATGATGCTTGCTTCCAACATTTTTCTCTTCTCTAAAAGATTGAATAATTTATTCTGAAATGTTCTTAGAGTTTTCCATTTTCATAGGCACCCTTTTTTCTACATATATTGTTACACAATCTTGTTAGAAAATTAGCATTATAAGCAGTTAAGCACAAATTTTTTCTGCAGGATGTATTTTGGGCTATTGCAAGATGTTTTGTTCTTCTGGGGTGAAATCTAGATGGCATTTTTCTTTACTCTTTTCCTGTATCAGGTGAAGTAGTGTTGTCAATCAAGTTTAGTACAGTCCCTTGAATGAATTATTTGCCCGGTCATATCCTAACATTTTCCTGCAAATCAGATACTTGTTTGTTTATGCGATGCCAAAATGACAGCCTTGTCTGAGATTGCATTGCATCTCCAGTCGCATATAACAATCAAAGTATCAGAAGCAGACTTTCTCTGTTGAATTCAAGGACCAGTAACTTATGGGTAATGACTGAAACAGTAGAAATAATTCCCTCATGTAATAACTCTTAACAGTTCAAAAAAATAACACTTGCTTGAAAGTGGAAAGTAGAAAAACAAATCATTTCATTAGCTTCAAAAGCCTGTTTAGGCTAATTGTTCCTACTAACAATATGTGACAGAATGAGAATAATTGTAAGATTAAAAAAATATATCTTAAACATGCTTGTAAAAACCTTTTTCTTTGCAGAAAGTTTAGAAAATTATAAATTCCTTTTGGTTATTAGGCCACAACCGAAAATTAGGCAAATGTCGGTGTCTTCCGTGGAAATTGGTGCCCTATGTGCAAACACCCTTTTGGAAATGAGTGATCTAATCCAGCTGGAGAAAGAGGAGTAGGGAGCAAAATAATTGATTAGATAAAATGATGGATCCAGGCTGCTTGGCATTGGCTTTACCCTCCCCCGTTGGACACTGCACAAAGTAGTGCCCATGAAAGATGAGGGAAATTCACAAAAGCTAGAGTAGAGGCCACCATGGAATTGTAGAAATGACCAACTACTAGTTAAATCAGAGCTAGCTAGTTAGCAAACCCTTTTTTTTAAAAAAAAGTTTGACTTGAATGCATGATACAGTAAGATGTTAGATTGATTTCCATTTTCACATTCTATTCATCCAGAGACTGCCCCAAAGATGAACCATACCCAGTCAAATTCAAACTTCATTCCGGGATGGCAACCAGCCAATTTCCCATCTCCTTCCTCCTTGGTTGATGTTTTGGTTTTGTTTATCTTTGTTTTTTTGTCGACATGGTCCTTTCTAGTCTATTATTTTTTGCTTACTTGGTAGTATTAGATAAATATTTGAGTTCTGCCCATTTTATGTTGTTCAGAGCTAGATACGGCAAGGATTCACTCCCCTGTACTTTGCCTCCAAAATCTTATGAATTGGAAGCTTTGCTCCTTTCATATCTTGCTGATCCTTGGGATCATTAAACAGGATTCTGTAAAACAGTAGAACTAGGGGGATGGAACAATGACTTGGCAATGGTCGCTAAAGAACAAACGTAAGTACAATGACAGGCAATAGCTAAAAAAAAATTAATCTGCTACTCATGACCTTCACAGCTTCTGCTAGAAAAAAGCAGTGTCCATAGAGTATGGCTGCTTGATAGATTGAGGTAGTAGCAGGACGAGGATGCTTTAATAGAGTATCCAATTAGTACATAGTACTTTTTATCTTTGATTCCAATTGGAGCTGGGACTCCAATTGGAAAAACTTTGATTGATCAATTATCATGTATGAGAGATCATCATCCAAGATCCAATAGTACTTTTTATCTTTGATTCCGATTAGAGTGGGACCCCAATTGAAAAAACCTAGTTGATTGATCAATTATCATGAGAGATCATCATCCAAGATCCAATAGCAGATACTGGGAAAGGAGATTGACGTTCGCAGCACTGGAAAAATTGACCACAGAATGCATATGATCAGAAGAGATAAATTTAATAATGGAGTTCATTTCTTCCATGCACAGGGATAGACATACTGTGATTAAGACCTGCTAGCTAGTTCAATTAAGGGCTCCAAAAAAGTTCAAAATCTGGGATTTAGCTAATTATTTGATATATTCTAAAAAGTAGAGATTCCTATGTTATCTGTGGCCTATATATGATCCTCAATGAGATGTTGATGTTTGAAATCAATGGGATAGGATTCTCGATAGATTAATTCTACATTTAAGCACTGTGGGAACACTAATTAAGCTTGTGCTCTATTAGTATAATGTCAGATAATAGTACACAAAAAAGATCACGAATAATTTATGTATTTTACTCGAAATTAGATAAAAAGCTATTATTGGTTGTAGATGATAACAACTCAGAGATGAATGTACGTATAGAAAGCTCAAAGCTGTAAAGAAAAGCTGATCTCCTGTCCTATGGAAGTACCTCACGTTTTACTATAGCAATTAAGGTTTTCATATTCATGAAGGAAAAGAAATTGGGATATGATCAATGTCACTGGCTTGGAGGAGGCAGCAATATTTTCACGCGCTAGCTAGGAATTGAAGGCGGGGGCTATTGGATCCTATTCTAGGACGTATCTTCCATCTTGTCTGCTCGAAATCTGTGTCTGTAAAGCACCCCATAGTACCGACAGAGCCAAAGCACGAGCTCATGTAAAAACTGAGCAAGTTGCACTCACAAGTGGGGTCGTTTTGTCAAACTTTTTGATTATATTCGGTGCCCAATAAGTACCCTTCCAGCCACGGGCACGGACAGCTTAAGCTTCCCGACCTAACCATCCCACCACCCAGTCTCGGGATCGTTTAAAACACTCCCTTTCATTAATCAGGATGATATATATGCTTCTGTTGTTATCCCCTCGACTGTTTTGAATCAAACGTTTGGTTTAATCGATTCCTTGGAAATTTCTCCAACAATGTTGTGGCTATGCGACAGGTTCTAAGTTCTTCGTTTGTTCTATCAGCAATCTTTTATGATCTGGACATATTCATGATGGTCCATGTCGACTTTTCCATAGTGAAGATGACAATTTATGTAATAGTGCAAGTTGAATGGGAAAACTAGAGAAAGACAAAAATGCTAACTTCAAAAGCTAGCCTTTCTCTCTGTCATCAATCAAAAGACTTTGTTTCAGCCATCATCCTTCTCCTCACGTCTTCTTCTTCTCCTTCTCGATGATGAGTGACTTTCTTTTCGTGTTTAAATATATACTTATTGACTGTATTTTTGGATGTTAGTTGGAAGGGAGTGATATGATAATTGTGTGAGGGAAAGTTTAAACCTGCAGTAAGAAAATATGGTTAAAGAGTATCGAAATTGATTCTTCGAAAAACATTTTGACACTTAAGTCAACAATAAAATGTTTAAAAGTTTAATGAAGAAGGAAATATACAATAAAATACTAAAGAAACTGTAAGAAAAAAAATATTTAATTCATATCGTATTTAGATATTTTTTATTTTATATATAAAAGAAAAAATGATAACGTAATTAAAATAATTAATAATAAATTTATGTAAAACTTGAATAAAAATCTTATAAATAATTGAAGTTTGCATTTAATAATTTAAGATAAATATAAATTATATTTAATGATTTAAACAAGTTGGAAGTCACGTTATGAAACAAATTCTTTGTGACGAAGAATCTAAATATCGATCCTCATGTATAATGATATTATAATAAGAGGTATATTGATTTAACGATCATAAAATTGATCTTGTTAATTGAATAAATAAATACAAAAATATTATTAGTTATTACGGATTAACAGTGTACGAATCAAACAATGACTTCTTTTAGCGACTTTTGAGATCATTAGAAAGAGCAATTTATGCTGCGTAATTAAGAAAAATAATTAAGAAAGTGCTTATTATTAGTACTTTTTTCATGCAACGTATGGGTAGATACAAAAGCTGTACGTGAGCAATCAGAGTGACATAGATTTTGGCGGTGCAAAAGGGCAAGGATGGTGTCGTTTGGACCACGTGATCTTGTGTGCTGGCTTCGATCCCCGTAAAGATTTTCAGTATCTCACAATAGCCCCCCCACCCCACATGGTCCCTACCTATGTTTTTTTGCAATGGTGGGGAAGGGGGGCTTTGGCTCTGTCACTCATGATTCATCGTTCATCACCAAGACTCATAAAACCCATCTTATTTCTCTCTCCCAGTCTTCCCGTTTCTTTGTGGTGTACCAGAAGCATTCATCATGAAGAAGCATATTGACATTTAAAACTCATTGGGGGTGTTTTTCACAGCATATCCCTAATAAACAACTCACCCAGAGAATCTGAATTGGCCCTTCCCCACTTTTGACAAACTTGTACTACTCCAACTTCATATACTTGTAATTAAAATATAATTACACCACTGGCAAAAGCATATATAATTATGATGAATACTAAAACCATTACACAATATTTAAACATTCTATTTTAGTCCAAAAGGTTCAAAGAATTTCTCACATTTTCATAGCTTGGAAAATTAAACAGATTGAAATGAGCTTATTTATGCGTTTTGAATTTGATGACATCAATCATAAATCGGCAGTCTAAGTTCAAGCAATTCATATTTTGGAAAATACAGTCAAAAGTTTAGAGGAGGAATTAGAAGATAGCTCTTTTTTTTTTTTTTTTCAATTTTTTTAGATATTATATACATATCTTTTAAAAATAATTATATAAATTAATCGAACTAAATCATAGATTCAATTCTTTTTGTTCTTTTTGAATGGTGCATATTTATTTATGGTTTAGTTATTATTCCAAATTTCTATGTTATATGTGGGCATGACCCAATACCTTTATTCTTCTTCTTTTCATTGTCATCTGTTAGGTATAAAAACCTAACAATCACTGCGTTGGCATGTGGGATGGCATGTTTAGTTGTTTTCATGATAGTTCCTCAATGTTTATATGATCACTTTAAAAACAACTTCAAAAGACATTGATCTTCTTATACATTTGATTATTTTTTTTTTTTTGTTCTGATTAGCAAGGCATTAATATTTTAGACAACCGCATGTTGCACATGAATGTTGAAGATTACATTTCTTAATAATATATTATTAATAGAATTCATATATGAATGTTGAAGGGTCAGCTATCTGATATAGGTCTTCGTACTGGTAAGATCTTTAGGTCAAAGATTGCCCTTTGAATCAATGTATGTTTTTGTTAGTCTATACTTGAATTCCAAACCCAATCTAGGACCTAATAATTATTTAATTAATTTTGGCCATTTCATGCATTACTATATCAATATGCTCAACAGGAATATAATTAATTTAATTTTACCTTTTCTTGACATAAAGATTATTGATTAAGCATATATAATTTTCCTGATTTGATTCCGTCCAAAGATGAAATTGTTGCAAACCATGGCAAAATAATACATGGGAAGGCTCAAATTCTTGTGTTTGATTTTTCCTCATTGTATATTTTTTGGTTTGCATGGCATGATATTGTTTTTTGGGTTGAGCTCTCTTTTATTATTTTTCAATACTTTCAGCACAACTTATAAATTGTAAAAATCATATTTATAAATAATGATTAAAATTATATTAAAAAATAATGGAAGAGAGCCTAACCCTTAATGTTCTATAGCTACATGTTAGTACTATCTTTCTAAATGCATGCAAGTTGCAATTTAGACATTCTTATATGTATACTTAGGCTTAATTAATTTTTTCTCGAGCTCTTGAAAGTTTAAAAGAACAATAATTCAAGAGTTTTTGGTAATTAATAGCATAATTTGGGATTAAAACAAGTTTAATTTATAGTGATTTTGAATTTTTATGGAATTTACAAAAATGAAGTGATGATATATTAATTAATTTATCAAAAGTGAGTTCAATTAATGTGACAACTAAGGCAGCTGGATTATTAGTAATGGTCCCAAATTGACTTGATTTCGATTTACATGTAGCCTAAGATACAAACAAACCAAATCTTCTAAAGAAGAAAAATCTGGCTGATGTCTCCACTCTCTCATTTCTCATTAAAACTCTACTAATTGCAATATGAAATCTCCAATCCAAACACGAAAAATGCCTTGATTCTTAAGACTTCTTCCAAAAGAAAAACATAAATAAATAAGTAAATCTTGAAGATTATTTTGATGATTACCTAATTTTGACCAACCTCGCATCCTAAACTAGGAAGAGGAATACTGTTTTTTAACAATTTTGTATATCGAATTGGAAGACGTAAAAAATTTTGGTATGAGCACAATTGACCCATGATTGACTAGTATTGACCATCAGATCATGATCAGACGGTTGGAATGAACTGGGTTTGGCCCTCCTTGAAACAGTCTAGCCCCACAAGAAAGAAGAAAATCTGAGGGTGGGTGGCTTGCTGAGGCTATATGACTTGGAATCTTTGATGATTATATCATAACAAAAACACAATAAACACGTCTTAGATGAATTATTTATTTCCTTTGACACGAGTAAGTCATGAAATGGATCCAAGGCTTTTAATTTGTCCTTGAAATTTCGATAACATATGGCTTAACTGGTTAATAGCCATCAGACAGCGACGTTGTTTTTCACTTCACCAAGCTTCATCTTTTTCATGCAAAATTTCCTCCACCCTCTATATATATATATATATATATATAGAGTCTCCTTTCACCTTCTCTATAAGACAACTCAAACCAAAAAAAAAAGTAGAGAAATTGTTTCTCTTTCCCTCTTCTTTAACCCATTTTTTGCTTTCGCTTTCTTTCTTAATTATTTCTCACTGCTTTTGATTCTGTCACCCATAAAAATATGGCTGTGAGTTTTGCAATTCCAGCGTACTTCACGGCAATATTCATTCTAAGCCGTTTGATGTCCATCATAGGGATATCAAAGCCCTGGAGTCATATTTCACCAAAGCTCCTAACCCTTGATATTGCAGGCAAACTCTCTGTTGATCCTTCAGCCATTGAACAAGCCTCTCAAGATTTCGGTCACATTGTAAAAACCATTCCTGAAGCAGTTCTGTACCCTTCATCCCCTGAAGACATTGCTACCCTCATAAAATTCAGCTACACTAATTCAGTTCCTTTCAGCATAGCAGCCAAAGGTCACGGCCATTCTGTGAGGGGCCAGGCCATGGTCAATAATGGGGTCGTGGTAGACATGACATCTATGAAGAAGCATAGAAACGGAACTGGAATCCAAATCTCAACCGACGGGTTTTACGCAGATGTTGGCGGCGAACAGCTTTGGATTGATGTGCTAAATGCCACATTGGAACGTGGACTTGCACCAGTTTCCTGGACCGATTATTTGTACCTAACCGTAGGTGGGACACTCTCCAATGCTGGAATCAGTGGGCAAACCTTTCGATATGGTCCTCAGATCAGTAATGTCTATGAAATGGATGTTATAACAGGTATTACTATAATTTTCTTCTGTCTCTCTCCTTTTCACCATTCTTTTTTCTTTCTCTGTTGAAAAATCCCTGAACAGACAAATTAGCTGGTGGTTGATCTCATTATACATTTAAATGCAGTCCTGCCAACCTATATATTAAAAAATTTCTAGATACGTATTTGTCCAGGGTCCCACGGTTAGGAAGCCATGGACAAAAAAAGTTCACTCGGCGGTCATATCATCCCCCTATCTAGTCAGACGTTTCATAGAAATTCATAATTTTCCAATCTGTTTACAATCATATATATAATGTCACTGTAATTTGATTCGTCTCATCAGTTCATCAATTATCATATTCTAGTACATAAATATTTCATGTCAGGACATTTCTGAGGCACGTAGATTTCACCAAACCGTGTTTAAATGGAGTGCTATTGTTGCTTGCTTGCATGCATGCAGTTACTTACGAGCTAGGTTTGTGTCTCTTCAATTTAGGAAAAGCTGATTTTCTGACTTGCTCCCCAAAGAAGAATTCAGAGCTCTTTTATGCTGTTCTGGGAGGCTTAGGCCAGTTTGGGATAATAACCAGAGCAAGAATTCCACTTGAGCCAGCACCAAAAAGGGTAAATATTACATCGAAACAACCTTATTAATTAGCCCCATTATACCCTTTTTTTTAATGTTCATCTCTGACTTCACTTTCATTTTGAGACCCTGATCCTTTTCTGGTGAATTGGTTTCACAGGTTAAGTGGGTACGAATGTTGTACAATGATTTCTCTGTTTTTACTGGAGACCAAGAGCTTTTGATCTCGAAAAATGGAAGGAATGACAAAAAAGCACTTGATTTTTTGGAAGGTTCACTTCTGATGGATCAAGGTTCTCCGGATAACTGGAGATCCTCCTTTTTCCCAACCGCAGATCACCCGAAAATAATCTCCTTGATAACCAAGCATCGTGTTATCTACTGTCTTGAAGTTGTCAAGCATTATGATGATCAAACCAAAGACACAATGGACAAGGTAAATGATCATCACATTCACCATTCTACTATAAAATTAGATATGATGGATGAATATAATAGGGTAATAATGAATTTGCATATGTTTTTTTATATATAGGAGCTGCAACAGCTTTTGAAAGGTTTAAGCTACATGCCTGGATTTATGTTCCAAAAAGATGTCCAATATGTAGAATTCTTGAATAGAGTCCGAAGTGGAGAGCTGAAGCTTAAGTCACAAGGATTATGGAATGTTCCACATCCATGGCTGAATCTTTTTATACCCAAATCTCAGATAGCAGATTTCAATGATGGTGTTTTCAAGGGCATTGTCCTTGAACGAAACATTACGACAGGACCTGTCCTTGTTTACCCCATTAACAGAAAAAAGTAAGAGTTTTTAATTAAAATTTGATGATACTTTCATTTTGCTTCACAAATTAAGGAAAAAAAAATTCATATTTTGTTGTTGTATTGATATTGGCAGATGGGATGATAGGATGTCAGCTGTTATACCAGATGAAGAAATTATCTACACGGTAGGATTTTTGCATTCAAGTGGGTTTGATGATTGGGAAGCTTTTGATGATCAAAATAAGGAAATAATGCAGTTTTGTTATAATGCTGGTATTGGGGTTAAGCAGTATCTTCCTCAGTACACTACCAAGGAAGAATGGATTCACCACTTTGGCTCAAAATGGAAGACTTTTCAACAGAGAAAAGTTCAATTTGATCCAAAAATGTTATTGTCACCAGGACAGAGAATTTTCAATAATAATAATTAAGTCCTATTTTTTCTTTTTCGTATTTTTAGGGATACTAGGAGTGCAAAAATAATAATAGAGAATCCTGTTATAATTAAAAAATCTCCATATTATTCTTCCAAAAATCTCTATAATTTCATCACCCTTTATTGATTAGTTTGGTTGGCTTTATGTTTATCTAGTCTCTCTGCAACAATTACATAATAACGATTATTAATCTTACTTTAGATTATGAAAGATTGATCCCTAATCATTATAACTAAAAATCTAATAGTTTATCAATAAATCAGATGGTTGTTGACAAAGTATATATATATCATGTGCATGCATTTGTGTAAATTAATAAGAGAATCCTAATTAGAACCTAATCTTCATAATATTCTTACAATAATTTCTAGGGTTTCCCTCATCCTTTATTAATTAGTTTGGTTGGTTTCTATGTTGATCTAGTGTCCCTCTTAATAAGAATAAACTTCCATCATTCTTAACCTTTTCCAGCTATATATTCTTTTTAAAATGTAAACCTTTTTAAATATTTAATCAGAATAATATTATTGGACTATATCATTTATAACTAAGTGGACTAAATTGAAAAAAATTGGAGTGATAAGGTTGGTAGGAATTAGATATAATATTGGTTAGTTTATATAATTAGATTAATGAAAGAATTCCATATATAATTAAAAGGAAAAAACGGAATTAAGTTCATATTACACCATGCAAATGAATGTTATCAAATGCTTAGAGAACTTAACATGTCCTATATTTATATGTGGACCACAACAAAAGTAAGATTAAAAAAAAAAATGGACCAGAACGAAAGTAAGATTAAAAAAAAAAAACCAATTTAAGGGGAATGATTGGTGTGGTAGGCAACATTGCCTCCAATAGTATATAAATGGCACATCAATTAAAGACCATACAACTTTGTCATGGCAGCTAGACATGGCTTAGGAAAAGAGTAAAGCTTTTAGGGTTTTTTTTTTTTTTTTAAACAAAAGATAATCACAATCTTAAATTTAAAAATCAAGTCAATCTGTTATGTGTGATCTTTAATTAAATTAATTAAATTTAAATTTAAATTTAATTTTTAAAATGTTCATATTCCCTTTCACTCGATTAAAAAATACATTACTATTTTTTTAACTAAAATATATTATTAATTTAATATCCTAGCCGCAGCCCTCAAGAATCACAGTGAAAAGAAAACCCCAAATTTTGCTTTTTTTTTTTTTTTTTTAATGTTAGCTTATTATAATGTTTCAGAATGTTGGCAACTCTTAACGCATAGTGCTCAAAACAAGGAAACATGAGCAATTTGGCTGCTCCCCTCCCCCATCATTTTTGACTTTTTTATCAATAAAAGCTTGTTCGTGTTTTCATTCTTCTTTTGCTACAGTCTAAATTCCAACACCATTACTTAATGTTGCAAGTTATTGACATCTTTTTCAAAAAAAATTAGATGATGCAAAAAAAAAAAATAGTATATTATACTATTAAAATACTCATTGGAGGTAGAGATCGAGGGTACGTACACGTTTTCTATGTTTGAAAATCACAAGTTTTCATCATTTATTTATTTACAAAATTTTTAAATACGTAATTTAAATTTTAATATTTATAATATTTTTTTATTTTTGAATTTTGATTTATTTATAAAATAAAAAATTCATACTAAGAAAGACAAAGAAAAAAAACCCATACTCCATTGCTTCTTCGTTCCTTTGTGTTCAACGCCAGCTATGCTATCTAGCTCATATGATATGATATGAAACACGTGTTTTGTTTTTGTGTTCTTTTTCCTGGATAAAATCCATGTCCAAATCTGTCTCTCATTTTCCAACTCATCCCGTACAAAAATCATTAATCAATTAGTAGAGAGTAATTATTGGCAGGGATTCGATTCGATTTCGATACTTTGAAGCATTCAAAGATTTTAACCTATCCAAAAAAAAAAAAAAATTGTATTTGCGTAAGAAACTATAGATAGTTATAGTTGGCTTGGCTCAATCAATTATATATTGATGGGTTACTATATAAACATTTACAATGTGTTCCTATCTGTTTGAAATTTATTTCCTCTTAACATTAATGATTTTCAAAACTATTTTCATCTGTCAATTCAAAAATAATGTTATCTTATAGAAAATAATTAACAAAACTACCTTACTCAACTGAAAATTAAAGCAGTGACAATTATATAAATTAGTATCACTTCAACTTGTGATGCTAATTTTTCTTATTAACGACAGAGTCTGGATTTCTAAGGCCAATGTGCTTGACTGCACTCCTTAATGGCTCAAGCCAGACATGATGGGCCTACGAGCCGGACGTGACCAATAGGCTTGTCCGCACCACAAACTCTTCACTGTGGGCTTCAAATTGGGCCTCCCTTATTTTTCTTTTTTAAGAGCGCTATATTAAGGGTTGAGCATATTTAGCATCTATGTTTGCGGTGGCAGCTTTTTATTGGTCAGTGATCCATACTATGTAAGCTCAGCATCATAGAATCCCTACCAGTATGATATGAAAAATTTTTGTGTTCCCTTCACGGTATAAAGATTGGTCAGGTCGTGAGCCGTTGCCTGTTGATGCAGACCTACTTCATGGCTGAAGAGCTCAAGCTTATGGAAGGGATATCGAAAGGTTTCAAGTATTACAAATAAGATATTTTATGGTTTCAAGTTATTTTCCCATCAATTGGATGTTATTGTTTCTCTTATGAAAAGGAAAAGAGAAAAATACTTTGTAATTATATTGATGGCAATGTTTTGTTAAGCCCCTAAAATTTTTGGAAACATACAATTAATTTGTTATCTGGTTTGTTAATGAGACATCTCATTCCATATTTAAAGCGAATGTATGTTCATGACTGTTTAAATTTCCTAAAATTTTCAGTTGATATCGAAAACAGGAATTTCTTATTACTCAATAGTGCTAACTCTTCAACAATTCACAGCACTCGATAGTCATTGATAATCTATATTTCTCTTCTTTCTTAATGATATCGCAACAGGATGAAATGGAAGAGAATGGTTCCTGTAGCCATGACTGGCCATTACGAGGTTAAGTCTCAGTTCAATTTTCTGATGTCGAAACCTGTCAAGTAGGTTTCTTACTCTTATGTTAGGATGGTATATTTCCCATGCACTGATTGTGATAGCAAATGCATTTTTTTTTTTTTGAACCGGGACAAATGTGAAGTGGAATATCTAGAAACATACGACACTGGCGATGATGATGGTCATCAGCAAAAGGACGATATGCCAGAAAGACAAGTTTAGTAGTTACTCCACCTCTGATTCTACATGGCCGCACCAGAAATTTTAACAAGACATGCTTTTACATTCCAGGCATTGAACAAGGGAAAGGCCATCTAGCAATGGAGATCATAGAATTGTTATTTGCATTAACATTATTTGGTAATTGCCCTTTTGTGCAGCGAAGTGTTAGGGTATGATCAAATTTTAGAAGCTTGTAGCTTGTAGGTTCTTTTAGTTATGCTGTAAATACGTTGAGCCAACAAAAGGTTTGTTTATTTATTTTTCTCCAATCTTCTGTATTCTTTATTGGTTTGAAGCAATATGATGTTCTGGTAACTGGCTTTCTTCACTATCGCACCCCATGTAAATGGGTGCTCAAAAACACAAATAGTAGGAGTGGTCGAGATCCAACTAGGCATGCTCTTGTAACATTTCCCTGGTAAACTGAGATCAATAACAGCTGCAGGGCTTATGCATTGCTGAAATATTCCACCAGTCACCTGTTTCTTGTTTGTTGTGAGGAGAAAAATTTAAATGCCCAACATCAAGTTGAAGAATTTCAAATGAAAAGCTTATCCATTGTTCACATAAAACTGCCTATTTCGAAATAACTTTGTCTTGCTCCAAGGCTGACTTTATAAAGTTAAGAACAATTGATGCCAACTCAGTTTGATGCGAGGTGTATCCATGATTGGCTTCTTCTATGATGTGTAATTGGTGATTAGGTATAATCTTGGCAAACTCCAATGCATCTTCAAGGGGAATTATCTCATCAGCAGATCCATGGATTGTCAAGACCCTGTACTTAAGATTGGTGAATAAATGCAAAAATGACATACTAGTATTTTCAATCATTTTACAATGACATGTAATGATCTAAAGCTAGATCAATGAATTGGTGAAGAAACAGTGATCTCAAAAGAACAATATTTAGTAGCCTATAGATTTTGATCTTACCCACATTCTTTATCAATCTTAAGGCAAGCTTCATGCATATCTGTTCTTAAGCGATCCATCAAACTTTCCTCTGTCACTTGGTATTCCACACCTCCTAGATAAATAAAATGCAATTAATCTGTGAAAAGTTGCCAGTCAAGCATACAAACAAGATTGAATAAGAGCAATTCAGCAATGAGCAACCAGGCAAGATACAAGGGCTGAGAGAGAGAGAGAGAGAGCTGGTGATGTAGGGTAGGTTGGAAGGATATATCCCTAATTTGATTGTTGTCTAGTTGATTGAGTAGAACATCTTAAGCTTTCCACATTTACAAGCAATGTTTTTATTCCCAGGAAATTGTTAAGAATTTTTTACATTTTTAATGCACAATTTCTATTTTCCTTTTCTTTCAGATACCAAAAGCAGCAGAGCACTGCAAACAGCAGTCTTCATCACTGATTATGTGGCCACAATCCTATCTGGATACATTTAAGTAACATTTAAACTGAACGGAAAATCCAATCAGGACTCTGCTATGCTCAACTTAACAAACAACAAATAGACCCTTGATGGACACACAAAGACACGAACAAAACAAAGTGAGGAACTCAAACACATCATGGCAGCAAAATAAAAACAATTACCTGTCATATTCTTAACGTCAATGTATCCATCCTTCTTAATTATTTCCATAAACTCTTCTCCCAATCGTTCTGCAATGCCTCGCTTCACATTGTAGCGACCAGAAACATTGATAACAATACGGATATCTTGATTCTTAGAAGCATAGAGAAGCACCACATTTCCTCCTGCATTTACATTATTCAAGTGATACAAAACCAAAAGATACATTACAGGGTAATATTCATATGAAGACTTATTAGCCAATTATCACATTAAGTAAACAGAAATCACACCTGAGCAAAGTTAACCGACAGGCTTAACACTTAAGCCTCACTAAGTCAACAAGAAACAAAAATATACTCTAAATGTTGGCTTGGTTACATATTCATTCCTTGTATTAATGACCAAAAGTCAAAGCATTATAACCAAAAGATACATTGCTAAAATCCAACAAAGAGAAGACCTGAAAATAACTCGTTGTTTAGAATGAAAATGAAGATATAATCTTTTATCAACTTGGTTTTCCTTAGAAAACTTACACCCAACTTCGACCGTGCAGAGTGGAATCACTTTCTATTTTAACTAGTGTGTAAAATTTCATGTATGAAACACTTAGGATACTCACCTTTACTATGCCCAAGAATTGCACTCACCACACGATTTTCCCTAGAAAAGTGTTGAATTACAGCATGTAAATCATCAGCTTCTCGGAAATAGTTACCATACTGAAATGAACCTTCACTTTCTCTGAAAAGTGTTATGATACAATTAAATTACTAATATGAAAATATGAAACAAAGTGAACAGAACCCACAACTCCAGAGATTGACATAGACAAGTAAGAAATACACCATATATGATACAACAATATTGTCAAATGCAATTGAAGCCACCTCATAAAACCTCCAAAATGACATATTTAAATTCCACTCACCCATTTCCTGCAAAGTCGAAACGAAAGACACTGATTCCTTCTTTCTCTAAAGCAGCAGCAAGGTTCACCATAGTGTTGTAGTCCTGAAGTAGAAATAACCCAAGTGAGCTTCCATAAATTACTACTATTTCTACATAAATAAACATTTCCAGTCAAATAAATTTGTGATTTAAAGCAGGGTAAAAAGAGATGGAAAGGACCCAACTTCATAACTACCAACCTTGCTGGATCTAAAACCATGACATAAGATTACAATCTCTTTAGACCCAGTTTCATGCAACAAACCCACCAATTTTTCTCCATACTTGTTTGGAATTATCACTCTCTGCTGCTCAATCACTAACATATATTTAAAAAATGGTCAAAATTTTTTATTTTTAATTCTTCTAAAGTTATATAAAAAATTAGAATCATAAATTTTCATAAGAAATACTATTAATTTGGGACCTGGGTTTTGGGCAGAGTGAGAGCAAGCCATCCTCAAGGTCGTTAACTTTGCTGTTGAGATGCGATTGGCGGATGAGATGAAGCTAACCTGTCGAAAACGAGATTTGGTATAATAAGTTGATAAATTTAAAAGCAATAAAGGAAAGTTATAGGCGATAGTGTCCATTCGTTCTTACCTCCCCCTTTTTCTTTTGTTTATAAGGAGGCCATGGCATTTGGATAAAAGGAGCTGTGGGTACAGAAATTCGTATATCAAATATATTAGATATTAAATTTTAAAAAAATAAAATAAAATATAGAATTTTAATTTTCTCTCTTTCTTTATTAGAACTTAACAAAGCAAGCCTACAAATGGTTTAAATTATTATATTGAGGTGGTAAGGTTTAGTCAAATTAAAGTTGGATTCATATGTTTTAAAATTTATGTAAAATCACAGTTTTATGTGAATTTATTTTTAAATTAATATTTAAAATCAAAATTAAATAAAATACCTACTAGTAGCAGTAGTACTTTTAAATATGGTTTGATTTTTATATCGATATTTTCAAATTTATAATTTTGTTTATTATTGATCTTTGTTTTTTAAGATTTAATTTTAAAAATTTATAAGAATCAAACAGGTATAAAAAAAATTAGAACGAGCAACATACCTGAATATTAAGTACATAAAATTCTATAGAAAGAGGTTTAAGAAAAAAAAAATGGCAAATTACCGCCCTTCAGCAATCCTTGACAGGCTGGGAATTGTATAGGAAATAGGTTTTCCTGGCTCATATAATTGGTTGGCATTGGAAAAGCAGAAGCGGGGGCCAATGATGGAGAAGAACGATGGTGCTGAGATGCCGAATGACCTGATAATTGAGATTCTACGCAAGCTGTCACCAAAAGTTGTTGCTAGATTCAGATGCGTTTCCAAAGCATGGCAGTCTGTGGTAGATGATTATGGAATGCCGAAATTCTCCAAGCAACAACCTGTTGTTGCACACCTGGTGAGCTCCTATCCTTAACAGCAATTTGGCGTGACAACTATAGATTCCTTTATCCCTTCTTTAGTTTGATGGGTTTCTAAGTGTTTTCCTACATCTGATTTAAGGGAATGTTGTAACAGGCTTTTGCGTATTAGAGACAACAAATTGGTATCTAAAACATCACTCAGTTACAAGTACCGAGCAATTTGTGCGACTTCCACGGTTTTGTTCCCACTCCTTTGATGTTGCTTTGGCCTTTGATCCTTGCATTACTCCCCAATACAATGTAATTGAATTTCTTTACCCAAGTAGTAATTGTTACTACTGCAACATGCTTTCCTCCATGACCTGGAGTTGGAACAAGTTCAAATTTCAGTCAAAGATGGTATGCCTGAGATGCCTAGGAAAGGGAAATCTGTCTACTTTGACAGGGCTGTGCGTACAAATTATCTGAAAATACTAGGCACCTAGTGAAATTTCCAATTGACACAGACACCATCACCAGTACCAGTACTGATCAGGTAGCTTCGGCCAGTGTCATCCAGCTTCCAACAGCAATATATAAATACGAATGTCTTGGGATCACCAATGGGAATATTAGTTATGCTTGCTGCGATGTTTGTTTCCAGTCCCATCGTCGTCACCCTGACTCAAGCTTGAAATTTTGGATGTTTAAAAGCAGCAGCAGCAGCGGCACCGATGAATTCGAGAGGATGCTGAAGTTTAGTGTCTCCTTTCAGGCAATTGCAGGGCACCAACCCATGAATTCTATATACCCTTGCACTTTCGATCCCACTTAATTTAAAGATGGCTTCATTATGACCCATCATTCTATTCATTTTTGCAAGAACAAACTCAAATTAAAACTTCTAATAAAATATATTAAAGCTTCTAAATAATAAGGCAACCAAGATCACAAAAAACTTTCAAACTGCGAGTCCCGACCAGGATTAAATTAGCTAACTTGGTAACAACCCTGAAATGCCTTTTTAATGCCAACTTATGTACATAGACTTGTCTCCAAGCGCATAAAAGAGCAATGACCAGTATATGCTATTTCTACATCTTACAATGGAAACATTCCATCTGCTTATTAGCAAAAAAAGTACCCAGTAATTAGGTGTGCCCTAGTCTTGCTGTAAAGCTGCCTTTAAATAACTCAAAACGATAGATGCTAATTCAGTTTGTTGACAAGTGTAGTTATGATCAGCTCCTTCTACAATGTGTAATTTGTGGTTAGGTATGATCTTGGCAAATTCTAATGCATCTTCAACAGGTATTACTTTGTCAGCAGATCCATGGACTGTCAACACCCTGTATATAAACACTGAATGAGAAATGCTTTTTATACAAATAATAACTTTAGAAAATTACACTAGCTAACACGAAATTCTAGATGGATGTGATTCTTTCTAACCTGCATTCTCCAGGGATCTTAAGACATGCTTCACGCATGTCTATATTTAAGCGATCCATCAAACTTGCCTCAGTCACACGAAATTCAACACTTCCTACAGACATAAAATTCCAAATTCTCAGTCAACGTGAAATGAAGCCAAGCAAGGTGGGGGGGGGGGGGGGGGTCTTATCAATTAGAGAAGATGCATCACATCTTGATATGCCACCATTTTACATGCAACTTTGATTCATGATCAAACCTGTTAAGAATTTAGACATCTCATTTACTACATTCGAAAAGCTAAAAGAAGGCTGGTGGAAGCAGATTAATTAGTTTCATCACTGGTGATGCAGCCAAAAGGAACACTTCTAGGGAATGACATTTTAAGTTGGAAGGACCAGTAACTTAAATATCAATTAACATCAAACAACAGTGAGGACTGAGGAACTTATTCTTATTATAATTATTGAAGAAAAACAAAAGTTACCTGTCTTATTCTTAATATCAACAAATCCATTCTTCTTAATTCTGTCCATAAAGTCTTTTCCCAAGCGTTCTTCAATGCCTTTCCTCAAATCATAGCGGCCAGAAACATTGACAACTGTGTGGATATCATGATACTTAGAAGCATAGAGAAGCACCACGTTGCCTCCTGCATTTATCTTATCTTAGTTATACAGCACTTGCAAGAGTGTAAATATGATAACTTGCTACTCGATTATGGCATCAAATATAGTAATTAAGCTGCTAGAAAGAAAACTGTATCTGAACAAAGCTAATTAAGCAGATTAGAGACTTTGTAAGCCTCATTAATTCAACAGGAAAAGAACATGGAGTCTAATATTCCTTCCTACACTATACTTGTCATATATGACAGATAGCTACTCCAAGTTGAGGTATTCTTTTTCTCTATCCAGTTGTAACATCAATTATCAATGAATGATCAAAATGTTATGACCAAAATCCCTAGGACAATCCACTTACCTTTGCTATGCCCAAGTATTGCACTTATCATGCGGTTTGCCCCCCAAAAGTACTGGGTGACAGCATGTAAATCATCAGCTTCTCGCAAATAGTTACCAAACTCAAATGAACCTTCACTTTCTCTGAAATGTTTAAAGCCGCAAGTAATTAAATAATAAGAAGCAAAACGGAAAGGTCCAGAACTCCAAGACTGACATTAAGAACATAGACCACTTGATGCAAATCGAATCAATATTTGCAAACCCTCACTGTGCCTAATCAAATTGGTATCCAACATGATCTAAATAGCCATGAAATGGTTATGCAACAGAAACTCCATAACTAGAAGGCAATCTCCAAATAAGTAGGAAATTGAAAACATGAAGTTAGTCAATAAGTCTCAAAAGTCGCATTTTATGGCATGGTACCCTAGCATGTCACTTACCCATTTCCAGCAAAGTCGAAACGAAAGGCACTGATTCCTTCTTTCTCCAAAGCAAGAGCAAGGTTCACCATAGTACGATCAGCCTGGAGAACAAGCTGACTTATGAGTGGGATTGAAACCCATATTTTCAATAATAATTTAAGTATTATACGCCCAAGCTTATTCTTAATTAATATGAACAGAAATATGATCAAAGATTTCAACTAAAATTTTACCAACCTTGGTGGATTTGAATCCATGGCATAAGACTACAATTTCTTTAGACCGAGTTTCATGTAATAATCCCACAAGCTTTTCTCCATGCTTGTTTGGAATTATGACTCTCTGTTGCTCAATCACTGAAATATAACAAGGGTCAATCCCCAAGATTCTTTGAAGTAATTAACTTCAAAAAACTAAAATCATAACAAAATTTAAGAAAAGGATTAAAGGTGACCTGGACTTTGGGCAGAGTGAGGGTGAGCCATCCTCAAGCTCAAGCTTGTTGCTGATGAGATGGAGTGTATCTGGTGAAGAGGAAATTTAAGAGAAGAGAGAGTTTGAGAATTTGATGAATTTAAGATAAATGAATGAAAATTACAAGCAAGAGTTTCCATTTCCTTGTACTTTGTTCAGTGTTTCTTATTTGTTCTTACTTCTTACGCGACAGCAGCAAAGGTCCAATAATGTCGTGGCTATGGCCGATTGGTCCAATAACTGGCCAGGACAAGACAGGCCGTTAAAATTAAGAACTGAAGACCGGAGAGTATAACAGAAAAAACGTACAGCCTGGCCCATGGAAAGAAATTAAAATAAATCGGGCTCAATATAAGCCTGACAAGCTGAGTGAGATTGGATCTGCTACGTAAACAGAAACACTAAGTACAGAACTCACCTCCCCAACAGATTCCAGTACTTTTTGGCATTGATTATTATATTTAAGAAATATAAAAATTAAAATTCATATTTTAAATATAAAATATAATCTAATTGATTTTTATTAATATGGATCTTTTCTCAATTACTATGTGTTAAAACTATAATTAGTTCACTTGTTATTATAAGAGAAGACAAAAAATGAAAACAATGCCATTTTGCATAAAAACTTGTATTATATCACTGTTGAATGAATTAATTATTTCATCAACATGAAGCATGCAATTATTGATTCATATACTTATTTTTAAAAATATTTAATAAATTTAAAATTTAAATCTCAATAGTTAAAAATTTTTTTTAAATCTCCAAACTATGATTGCAACTATTGTGAACTTCCTTATAAAAAAAAATGTAGTATTATTGTATCTCAAAAATTAATTTCTTTTTAACATTTGGATTCATCCTCATGCCGTACTATTTATTAAAAAGAAGTTGGAAAATTTTCTTAAAGGTCTTTATCCCCTCCAAATTATTATTACTGAAAAAATTTGTCATTTCTTTGATGCGTACTGATATATATATCATGTTTCCCGTAGAAAAACCAATAGAGTAAAATAAAAAAATCTAAATTATATTTTCTCATCTGAAATAGTTCACCATGTGTCGGCAATGAAAAGCTTTTTGTTTTAAACTCACTAAGATTTCATTTGAATAAACAGTAAAATTAATTACGATAAAATTAAAAAAAATCATAATAATATTTATTGTAATTATGATTGAAAAAAAATTATTATAATTATAATTAAAAAATTTTAATAAAAAATTTATACTTATTTAATTTTATTAAAATTAATGTTTGAATTCAATTGAAAATACAATAACTTAATCAAATCAAACCAAAAGTGAGGTGAGATCCGAACAACTACTAAAAAAAATTATTCAAATGTAGGGCATGTTCTTACGAAGAGCCAGAGAGGGAAAAAGGAAGATTATTCATCAGAAACTAAAAAGTTGGGGTAATCAAGAAATTCGAGATCGTTTCCATTCTTCATATTTCAAAAATTTTCAATCACGTGTCATGTGTCTCCACGACACATGCATGCATATGTCCTCTTGACTCTTGATAATGAACAATCACTCGATTTGATATTTAATAACAAAAAAAAAAAAATCCTAAACCTAGAATAAGAAATGGAAAAGCCCTGGAAGGGAAATCAACGCATTCACATATATATGTATCATATTATTTAATGATTAATGGATGTTGACGTGATCTGTTTCTCGAAGCCATTGGCTGTGCTGCTCTCTCATCAATCGCCATTTTTAGCAGTAAAAGAAATTGTGGGGTCAAAGTCTTATTCTTGGTTTATGAATCTACAGCTATATATGGATGGAGACTTAAAACCAGCTCCAGCAGCAACCGCAACAGGAGCAGCAGCAGCTGGAATTTTGGTCGTTGGAGTTGTTGGGGCAGGAGACGAAAATCTAAGTAATTTTTGTTTGGATCAGTAATGAAAAGAGTTCGTTTCTTATACATTACTGAGTAAATTTTTAACTTTACAAATAAAGTTAATTAAGAGATTGCTATATACCCTTTTTTAATTATTTTTTAAAAATTTTTTCTATACTGATAATCTTTTTGGATTATTTGCAAATCTTAAGGTCGAATTTTTATATATTGATAATCTTTTTTGGATTTTGCTTCTCTTCATTCCTTTGATATATAAAATTAAAAAGGCCAAACTTTCCACATTATGAAAATTTCTGTCCTTCAAGTCAATGATTGATTTAGTTTTAGTTAGATTCTCGGGCCACTAACACAATAAAATAATAGCAAATGCAAAAAGAGAGAGAGAGAGAGAGAGAGAGATTGGAATTTCGACAAAATTAAACTGATACATGTTGATAAAATCCCATCGAATAATGGTCAGGATGGCCTCATTAATTATAAGTATGAACTATATATTAAAACAGAAGAAACTAAAGTTGGGATATGAAAGAAATAAGTTTTGAGTTAAGATTTTAAATTTGAAAACAATACTATTCTTTAATTAAAAAAAAAAAAGTTGACCTAATTTTTTATTATAAAGTTATGACTTAAACTATTGTCACGATGAGAAAGAAAAATCAAAACACCTATATGTCCATCAGAGACGAATTCAAAGGAGGAGGCACGAGCCATGGCCTACAAAAATTTTTTTACACCATTGTACTATAATAATTGGATCCACTTAACACTAATTCATATATATATATATATATATATATATATATTCTATATGCTAAGTTTCTTCTAATTAATACTTTAACTTTGATGCATTGCAACAATTAGTTCACAAACAAACTGTGCAAGTTGATGCATACAATTGTCTTTAGTTTTAAAATTTTTTCAAAAAATTTAATTAATTCTAAAAAAAATTAATATTTGAAACATTAAAATATATAAATTTTATATACAATTAATTGATTATATGATGATATAGTAAAAATAAATTACTTCTAGTACATAATTAAATGAACTTATTATTTGTTTTTAGAAATTTAATTACTTTTTTATTTTACTTATTAATAAAATGTCACCTCACATAAATTTAACCGCTCAAAATAGATCATATCAAAAGAAAAAAGAATTCTATAGCTTCACTTTTCAATATGGTAGGTTAGAATCACTTCCATTGAGAAAATTAGATAAATTTTTGCTTCAGATCCTTTTAAATGAAAAACCTTAATTTTTGTTTTCTTTTTCGTTTTATTCTTTACCTAGCCTTCAAGGACAAGAGGAGAACCAATACATTAATTATTTTACTATTGGAAGTTAAAATCCACAGACATGCGAAGCTGCTTATTGTTAATGGATGAATCGATCTTAACATCAATTTTTAATTAAATGTTCCACTAGAATATTCTGGAAGAAAGTGTTTACCATATCTGAACATGAAACATGAAACATGAAACATTTTCATTGGTTTAATGAAAATGAAATTGTGTTCACACACGTATATTACAATGGAATCCAACATGAAATAATTATAAAAGAGAATCGTGTTTTAGACTTTTAGTTTTATAAGGTCATGCAAAGATAAAAATAAAACAAAAATGAAACCATTGTGAACATGAAATAATTAATACTCCCTCTCTTTTTTTTTTTTTCATTTTTTTAATGTCTCAAAATTATGTTCATTTTTAACATCTAAAATTTTTATTTTTTTATATTTTAAAATTAATTTTAATGATTTTTTTTTTACTTTTTGACATTAAAAGTCTAAAAATTTTAGTTTTATAAAAAAAATTAATTTTAATATTAAATATATTAAAACCAAAGATTTTTTTTTTTAATTCTATGAAAATCAATGCCATCAAAATAAGATAAAGGAAGTAAAAAACTAATAGAAATCATATTTCAGATTATTGTTTAAGAGAAGATTTATTTTATGGACGACTGTGATCATCATTGAAATTGTATATTGGCGATTTGCAATTGCAGCGTTTATGTTGTAATTAACTAGGGTATCCCAAAGTCATTAAATTAAGAAGAGCAAATTTTTATAAGAAAAAAGAAGTCTGCATACCCCCCTTGACTCTTTTCAAACGAATCATCTCGAGGGAGGACTTTGAAGTCTGACCATTACTTTTCTCCTGGCTGGCTGGGCTGCTCTCTTTCTCTCTCTCTCTCTCAGTCTCTTTCATTTTCTTTGCTTTGCATCAATAAGTCCTAATTTTCTAGGGCAAATTCTCTCTCCTGAATACTTTTCCAAGTTCTTACTTGCCCGACAATTCTTCCCTCTCTCTTGTTCTCTCATAATCATCATCAAACAGGTGGGCCCCGTTCTCTTTTCTTAATCACTGTGCATTTTTTAAATTTCCTGGTATTTCTTTTAATTATTATCATATATGGTTACTTTCCTGACAGGTCATAGCTTTTTCTTTTTTTGTTAATCCTCTGCTACTTTTCAAACCGCCTTCTGTCTATCATCAGCTGGCTTTTTGTTTATTCTTCCCAGTGTGATCGCCTTGGTTACAAATTTACAATTCATTCATTCCAGGCACCTTCTCAAATAAGTATCTCCGTTAGCTTAGTTTTCTTATCATGCTTGACACCCAAATCTATTCTTTAAATAGATGATTTCTGGTTCAATATTTTTCAAGCGGACGGAGCATCTCAATTCTCTGGAATGACAAAAGGCAGAGAAACAATCAAATGACATGAAAGCCGAACCAGCAGTAACAAAAAGTTTTAGTATTCATCAACTCTCATGGACGCTGTCTTCCACCTCGATGAAGCATCCCGTGCTGAATTTCTCCAATTTCTCATGCACTCCACCGGCGGCACATACATTTGCCTATGGTCATACTCCTACCTGCATCAAGCAAAGTATCTTCTTCATCTCCCTCTCATTCACTAACACTTGCATATATTAATCTTAATTTCATGATATGGGTATCTAATATTTTGATTTTTAACAGCTGTTTAATTGGTTGGGACGGATGTTTCAATGAAGAAAACACCCAGCCCGGAGCTTTGGGGCTCTTCGTCGAATATCGGCAATTAATATTCCCTCTTGAAAATGATAAGTACGACAAAATTTTCATTACCAAATTTGTTCTATTTGATCAGTTAAGTTATATTTTAGGCATTAACCTTTTAGGGTTTCTGCTCTACAGTGGCCTCTTTCCAGGATTTGCTTTCAGGAATAATAGGCCCTACGTTGAACTGGGGGAACCGGAGCTTCGCAACCGAGCATCCCATCGGACACAGCGACAGTTTTATCAGGTAAAGATCAATGGAAATTTTAATGACAAGAACAAAACTGCATTTTTGTTAAACAGGAACTAATTACCTATACCATCTTTCCGTCTTTATTGCAGGAAGCAGGAATTAAGGTTTGTTCACTATATATGCTGTCAAAGTTGATGGCGCCAAATCCGATCTTCTTAATGTAATAGTAAAATAATTCTTACGTGCTTTTTTTGTCTGTTATATATTGCAGACGGCTGTATTCATGGGATGCAGAAGTGGAGAGATTGAGTTAGGGTTCTCCAATGTGGTACAAGTAAGAAAGTAAACTAATATACTATCGAAGTAATATAATGTCACTTGCTTTGTTTGTTGAAAATATTGATCTATAAAAGTATATCTAATTTGTCACTGAACTTAATATACTACGTTATTGACAGCTTAACATGGAGATGGAGGTGAGAAGTTTTTTCCCAGATGACTTTTCAAGACAATTATCTTCCATAGGAGATCAGCTTCCCCAACCAACTGATCCGAACAGGCCATCTTCGTCTTCGTCATCGTTAAGGTCACTGTCTGCGGGTAGTCCAGACTCTTCTTTGATCTTCACCATCCCAAGCGCCTCTCACCTTCAGGTTCCGACGACTGAAACAACAACCTCTTCAATGCAAGCAATCTCTTCTCCAATCGACCATCCACACCAACAAGCCATGCAAGCCTTATCTCAAATGCGGAGCAATATTCAGTTACCAACAATAGAGAGCGAAAATGATGCGATGATCAAAGCAATCCTTGCTGTTCTAACCTCCCCTTCTTCTTCTTCTTCTTCTTCAATAGCCCATCATCCCCAACAAAGCCAAAATTTACCTCACAATTACCAGCTAAACCCCAAAGCTTGTAGTGCGTTTAAACGATATGCTTCGGCGTTAGCGCCAACAACACCAGTGAGGGCCAGTTTACGAGCTCAAAGTATGCTGAAACGAGCCATTTTGTTTTATAGAAAATGCAATTTAGCGAGGTGTGAACAACTGCTGCGAAGCCGCCCCACTAGCAGTCAATTGCACCATATGATTTCAGAACGAAAAAGGCGAGAAAAGCTCAATGAAAGTTTCATTGCATTGCGATCTCTTCTTCCTTCTGGCACCAAGGTACCATACCAATCTTCAAAAATAGTTATTAAGTCTCAACATTGAATTAATTTTATGCATCAAGGATTTATAATTACAGCAATGTTTATTAAATTTGGTATTGGGATTCATATGTAGAAAGACAAAGCGTCGGTGCTTACTAGTGCGAGGGAGTGCTTAACCTCATTGAAAGCTCAAATTGTGGAGCTTAGTCGGCAAAACCAGTTACTTGAAGCTCAGCTTTTGCCTTCAAGAGAAGCTGCCGGTGGGGAAGCAAATGGTTCATCAAATGAGAGAATAGGTGTTCGGATTACACCTGCATCCGAATCAACATCCGAACAAAGAATCACTGACCTGAGAGTCAGTGTCAGAGGAGAACGGCCGATAGTGGATATCTTAATCCACCTGCTAGAATTCTTGAAGCTCGACAGAAATGTGAGCTTGATGTCCATTGAAGCTAACACCCAGATAACAGAATTAGGCTCAGTTCACCACATTAACTTAAGACTCAGAATTGAGGTATGCAAATCAAGATTTTCGATGTAGTTAATTTATTCCAATTTTTGTGCTGCATGAGAAAATTTTACTACAATATCTTCTCCTTTTTTAACAAAAAAAATTATATATTTAAGTATTTTTCAATTAGCAATTAATGCATGATATTTAGTAAATATATACTAATACTTTTGTGGAATTTAGGGCAATGGATGGGATGAATCCTCCTTCCAGGAAGCAGTGAGAAGGCTAGTCGCTGACCTGGCACAATGATTTTGATATAATATTTTCATATATTAATCACTCTTATTAAAGTGGTGATCAGACTAATTTAGTCCGCGGGCAGCATCTTGTACTTGATGGTGGGCTCGTCCTTTCCTTTGCCTCCGTCCATTTGATTTCCATCATCACTTGATATTGAGTTAAAAGTATGAGTGATTATGTGTAATTTTGATAGTCAAAGTAATCAATTTCTCTACATATAATCGAATAGTGATTTTCTAAATGTATGACCGTATAGTTTTGTGGCCCAAATTGACTGCAATTTTATCAAAGGGGAGACTGTGAAAGCAAACCGCCTTTTTTATTGAGAAAACCATCCATAAATCCAACATTAAAACATTGATAGATGCATTGAAAGCTGGGTCCAATGTCAAAAAATATTACTTTTTTCAAAACCGCCATGCACCAACCAATTCAAAATAATTTTCAAGTTGTGCTTCTTAAATTATTACTATTATTAAAAGTATTTAGCAAGTAATCTCTATTTTATCTTTACATTTATGGAATATTAAGATTAGATATGTGTAATTGTCTGTCAAAAAATTTAATAAATGTTTGGCGACGCCGCCACATTAAGATTCCAAGACTTGGCCAGTTGGGTCATTGCATTTTTTTTCTATTTCTTACGTAATAAAAGAAAGTTTTCAAAAGGTTTTCTTTTTTTTTTTTTTTTGAGACGGCGATTTTGACTGACATTTTCTTTGGAATGGAATTGACGCTGTTGAATTTGGTCTGGACCATGTTTCTGTTATCTGTCAACTGGCTTATCTCACCTAATATTTGCTTTTGGGGGGCGGAAGCCGTTGGTTTTTTAGTCGAACTCTAAGGTAGGGATAATTTTAATGAATAACTATATTTAAATTTTAATTTATTTCATTTTTGTAACTAATTTTAAATTTTAAATTTTAAATTTCAATGACTATAATGTAAATTTTTATTTAAAAAAAAAATTATACTCAGCAAATTCAATTATGATCCGACCCTTTTGGCTGCTTAATTCTCCACCTCTGAGCATCTTATCAATTACTCAAGAGCTAGTGGTTCCCATTTCTAGAAACTAAGGACTCATCTGGATTGAATCACACTTACATTACAATGTGATAGAGTAGATTTTTTTGTGTAATTACACCACGATGGATTGTTTAATAATTGCGTTGTAGTTGTGTTTATGTGGCATTGGTAAGATAAAAATTTTTCACTGATGAAAAAAGTGATACTGAGCTAACGTACTTTTCTTTGACACTTTTATCTTCGTTAATATTTTTAATTTAAGTTTATTTATATATATAATTTTATTAAAATTAAAATAATTATGAGCAAATTTAAAAGTAATATTTTATTTTACTCATATTATATTTATTTATTTATATTCTTAAATAATTAATTTTTTTAATAGTTTAAATGTTAAATAAAATTCAGATATGCATTAAAATAAAATTTTAATTTACTTTTAGATTAATATTTTTAATGGTTATTTTTATTTTTTTTATTGTCACTGCTATATTTATATCAAAACATATATTTCACTGTTAATTTTAATCTCATCATTATAATATTCAATCTCACCGTTACAATAATTAATCTCATAATTATGATTATTTTCAATTTCATTAAAATTAATCTCACCACCCATTCAAATAATGGATCCAAAATATGAAAAACAACATTTCTCCTCTTTTCTTTATTTTTTATATTACTAATCAAGGCAAAATACAAAGTTGACTTTTGTGATAATATCTTATTTTTATTCATAAACTTTAAAATAATTTTTATACTCATGATTTTTTAAAAATATTTCAATTTCATGCTCAGTAACCGTCATTAAAATACTAGAATGCTTGTATCTTAGCACTACATGAATATTCATTTGATAAAAGAAGTGGATTAGTTTAGTTTTTTGTATTGGAATTTATATCATATGAACGTCCACGAGGTTTTTACATAACATAATTTTAATGATTTATGATTGATGGAATGGATAAATTTAAAATGTTTTTAAAAGATAATCAATGGAAAATTTGAGTGTTAAAATTTGTGAATAAAAATAAAAATATTGCACAGTGACAATTCTAAGGAATTGTCTGCACACGCATCAGATACGACATCATCAATTACGTTGCTGAAAGAAATGGCTGCAGTTTTAGTCAGCAGAAAAGGTTAATTAACATGCTGGGATGGAGGAAGCACAATTCTAAGGAATTTCACACAATATGTGGCATTAATAAAACAATTGAAGTACCCCTCGGGCCTTAGTCAAGATTTTGAAGCAATTAGAAAAGTTAAGATTCCGAATGCTACGATACAGAAACAGAACTGTTTGTACTAAATTTATTTGTATTACCTTCGGATTAAGGGAAAAAGCTAGTTATTTGATAAGAATGGAGAGAGTTGAGGAGAAGAGTTTAAGGAAAGTATAAGAGAGTTAGAAAAAGAAGTAATCCCCCTTTAATTAGAGGAAGTAATGGTATTTATATAAGTTAATTTGGATTAAATGAGTAAAATACTTCTGATCTAATTGTGAGTTATTCTCTTAGAATAAATGATAATTATACTTTTATAATCCAAAAATGCCTCTAACATTATGTTATCTCAAAAAATAGTTTGAAGATTTAGACGAGGGTAGAGCTAAGATGACCGAATTACTTTAGGTTTAATAGATTTGTTGAAATTTAAAGATATATTCAAATTCAGACTTTCAATGTCAATTTTGTTGTCCAATCTTTTAGTGATACGAGTGGTTTAAGGTATTAACATGATGAGATATCATTTTATGATTCATTTGACATAGATGATTATTGGGATCTTAATAGTTGTTTGATTTTATTTACTAACTATTTAATTTTGGCCAAGGTTAATGGATGGTTGATCTTGGGGTATTTAGGTTGTCTAAGTTAGTTACCCAATAATCGACATGATACTTGATAGATTTTATAAAAAAAATTATAAATTCATTTATGTTGAGAGGAGTGAATCTAGGTCGAGGTAATTTACACCAAGGTGAATGTGTACTAAGATGATTTTTACCAAAGTGAATTTGTACTGAAGTGATTTTCATCGAGGTGAATTTGGTGATTCTAAACTCTTACAAAGATAATTTTGCTGAGTAGAGCTTTATTGAAAGAAAATTTATCAAGATAAGCTCTTTTGAAAGTAACTTTTATTATAGTGAACTCTTTTATCAAGCTACACAATTGGGTTAAACTAAAATTTTTTAGTCGACTTGAGCTCTTTGATTGAGCTAATCCTTTCCTAAAAACAATCACAAAATTGCTACTTTATTAATGAAGTTTGGTTAGGCCGAGCTCTTTTAGCTAAACTGATTTCTTTTAGCTGAATTAATCTCTTTTGGCTTAGCTAAGTATTTTTAATCGAGCTAGCAAAACTAATATTTTATTAATGAAATTTGGCTGAGCTAAGCTCTTTTAGTTGAATTAACCTTTTATGAAGGAAATTTGGTGGAGTTAATATTTTATTTAAGAAATTTGATCGAATTATCCTAAGCTCTTTTGTTAAGTTTATCTTTTTTGGCTAAGTTAATCATTAAGACTTTTTCATCAAGCTAATCATTTACCAATAAAATTAGATCGTGCTAAGTTTTTTTGACCAATTTGAGCTCTTTTGGTCGAGTTGACACTTTGACCGAGATGGTTTATCTAAACCTTTATGAAGGTAATTTATCGAGATAAATTTTTTTACTAAAACGATCGAGCTAAGCCTTTGTGAAGTAATTTATCAAGATGAGCTCTTTGACCAAAATGATCGAGCTAAGCCTTTGTGAATACAATTTATTGAGATAATCTCTTTGATCGAGATGAGCTCTTTTGGAAGAGCTAAGCTCTTTCGGTTAAGATGAATTTTTTTGGCCAAGCTGAGTTCTTTCGATCGAGTAAATCTTATTTGGCCAAAATGGCTTAGCTAAACCTTTATGAAGGTAATTTACTAAAATGAGCTCTTTGATCGAGATAATTGAGGTGAACTTTTTTAGTCGAGCTGAGCTTTTTTCGATTAAGCTGAGCTTTTTTGGCCAAAGTGGCCTAGCTAAGCTTTTATGAAGATAATTTACCAAGATAAGTTATTTGGCCGAAGTGGCCGAGACGAGTTCTTTTGGCCAAGTTGAGTTTTTTCAATCGAGTTAAGTTCTTTTAGCCAAGCTGATTACTTTATTTGAGCTATTTTGTCGAGTTTAACTTTTATAAAGGTATTTTGTATATCCAAACTCTTTTGGTCGAGTTGAGTTTGAGCTTTTTAACTGCGCTATTTTATCAAATTAGACCTTTATAAAAGTATTTTATAAATTCAAACTCTTTTGATCGAGCTGAGTCTTAACTTTTTGGTCATGCTTTTTTATTGAGTTGGGCATTTATTAAGGCATTTTGTAAATGCGAGCTCTTTTTGTTCAACTACATTTGAGCTCTTTGGCCGAGCTGTTTTGTCGAGTTGAGCTTTTATTAAGGTATTTTATAAATTCGAATTCTTTTGGTTGAATTTAGTCTAAGCTTTTGACTGAGCTGTTTTGTCGAATTGGATCTTTATGAAGGTATTTTGTAGATCTGAGCTCTTTTGGTCGAGCTAAATCCAAACTCTTTAGTCGAGCTATTTTATTGAACTGGGTCTTAATAAAAGCATTTTGTAAATTTAAGCTCTTTTAGCTAAGCTGAGTCTGAGCTCTTTAATCGAGTTGCTTTATCGAATTGAGCTTTTATGAAAGTATTTTATAGATTCGAACTCTTTTAGCTGAGCTATTTTATCAAATTGGACTTTTATGAAGGCGTTTTGTAGATCTGAGCTCTTTTGACCGAGATGAATATGAACTCTTTGGCCAAACTATTTTATCAAGTTAAACTTTTATGAAGGTATTTTGTAGATCCAAACTCTTTTAACTGAGCTTAGTCTGAGTTTTTTGGCTAAACTGTTTTGTTGAATTAAACCTTTATGAAAGCATTTTGTATATCCTAGTTCTTTTAGTCAAGCTAAGTTCGAGCTATTTGGCTAAGTTGTTTCGTCAAATTGGACTTTTATGAAGATATTTTATAGATTTAAATTTTTTTGGCTGAATTGAATTTAATCTTATTGGCCGAATTGTTTTATCGAGTTGTGCTTTTATAAAGGCATTTTATAGATACAAACTTTTTTGGTCGAGCTGAGTCTAAACCCTTTAGCTTAATTATTTTGTTGAATTGAACCTTTATGAAGGCATTTTATAAATTCGAACTCTTTTTATTGAAATAAGTTCGAGCTTTTTGTTGAACTATTTTGTTAAATTGGACCTTTACAAAGTTGATATGTAGATATGAGCTCGTTGACTAAGCTTAGTCTGAGCTAAGTCCGAGTTCTTTGGCCTAATTGAGTCTAAACTCTTTGACCGAGCTGTATTCAAGTTCTTTGGTTGAGTTGAGCTCAACTTATTTGGCAAAGTTAAGTTCGAGCTCTTTTACTTTTTTGTAGTGTCATTCTGAACTTAGTTGAGAAAAACTCTTACTTAGCATACCATTTGTTTGTATTAAGTTCAGATTGAGAGAAAAACTAAGAGATAAGCACTTTAATAAAAATGAAAAAGTTGAGGAGAAGAGCTCAAAGGAAAGTATAAAAAAGTTAAAAGAAGAATTGATTTTTTTTTACTTAAAAGGAGTAAGGATATTTATATAAATTAACTCGGATTAAATGATTAAAATATTCTTGATCTGATTGTTACTCTTTTAAAGTAAAATACAATTATACCCTTGTGACTCAAAAATACCTATAACAAAAACAATTATTTGAACACATGCTATGCTACGATTGATTTCAGTCAAAATATGGAAACTTGAAGCCTAAAAGACTATGGGATTTTTATAGAATTTGATTTTCAAGACTGGTAATTGTGTATCACTGACCATTATTTTCTTCTTTCTTTTGGGCTTTCCTAAACATCATCATTCTTCATATATCCACTGCCACTGGACTCTGCAAACGACTCAAATTCATACAGGAAAGAAGCTTGATAGGATAAAATTTTCTCTGGGAGTTTTATATGAAGTAAAAGATGAAGAATCTGATTATTCCGATGTGTTGTTGAGCTCGAAGATGATGTCAAAATTTGCAGATAAGTACTATTCCAGGGAGATTGAAGCACTCTTTGTTTCTCGGGACTTAAAGTTTAGAACTGTTATTACTTCACATAGCAAAGCCTACTTATTACATCTTCTGAAATCTGAAACATGAAAACTGCATCTTTGATCATCCCTCTTTTTACTTTTTTTTTGGGTTTTTTATTTAAGCAATCTTCTTCTAGTATCTCAGAGAACTCAATCAAATGCAGTCCCAACACCTTCTCACTTGAATGCTCCAATTTATAATGATGAAGTCCCAAGACCAAAAATTACCACTCTTCCTGCAAAATAAATACTAATATTAACATCTTATTATTATAAGGTTTATTGTAAGATTAGGATTTTTTCTATTTATACTTGCTAGAAGGGAAACAAAATTAAAGCTTTTTTTTTTCTTATTTTTTGGGTGGTGTTATAAGGCTTATTTGGTAAATAAGTCAATTGCCAATACATCGAGCATTGCCTATTGGGGATACATTTTCCTTCTTCTCCGGTCCTTCCTGATATAGCAAGAAGCATGTCAAGTACCTTATGAAAGCGAAAAGATCAGTGTTTTTCAACCGACAAGCACTTCACGTCTACGAAGACAGAAAAAGAATGAACGAGAAAAACCTTCGTACTAGAATATATGTATACAAATTGGCCTTATAAACATGTAAAATGTGGCTGGACTTGGATACCCCTGGAAATTTGGAAGAAGATCCTGTATTCTTCCATCCATTGAACCCAGAAAACTTTCCAACGCACTATACTACAAATGTAAAAATACGACCAATAAACCAAGTTACAAGTTGCAATGCCATCTATTCGAACCCTTAACATCGACCATAACGAAAGGGTGGAATGTGGTGACAATGAATCAAAGGACGTTCAAATCCTTACATCATTGTGTTCACTGAAAATTTCACTTAGCTATCGACTGATCCAACCGGAGAAAGACCGAAGCTGCAAGGGGAACAAGGGGGGATTCAGTCTGTGAATCATGCATACTTAAGCTTCAATGGCAGTAACAGCTTCTTCATCAGTAGTATCAGGTGAAATTATTTCTTCTGAAGTATCCCCATCCAAAGAATCTATCCGTCCTTCCTTGTTGCTGCCGGGTTCAAGTAGCTTTTCTCTAAGTTTTATCTCAAGTTCTTCACGTGCACTTTCATTTTCAGCCAAGAATTTTTTAAAGGCTTCCTTGCCATGGAGTTTCTTGTCATTGAAAGTGTAGAATGAGCCAGACTTTGTAACAAATTTGTGTTTCGTCGCCAAATCTATGATCTCCACTTCCCGGGATATTCCCTTGCCAAACTCAAGCTCAAATTCAGCATTCTTAAAAGGAGGGGCAAGCTTGTTCTTTACAATCTTCACAAGAATTTGACTTCCAATAATCTGCAGATTAGAGAAATATCAAAAACACAGTAAGAAATGGAAAATTTACCAGAATGAGATCTACTCTAAAGAAGAGATTTGGGACTTTTGTCATTTCCTATCTTCAACATGAGTCCCATTTGTGCCAAAAACAGGACGCCCAAGGTAGTAAACAAGGAAAGGAATCAATTGATGACAGAATTAAGGCTTTTCAAAATTAGATTGAGTAAGCTAGAGGTTAGATAGTTGCTGGCTTGCAGATCAAGGCAAAATATTATAACTACATGTTTAACTTGCTTGGGAAAGTAAGAGACCATTCAATTGGAAATTTTAAGGAGTCAGAGTTTCAATCAAGCTAAAGGAAAATAAACAAATCATTGACACCCAAGCAGATTTTAGATGTGATGTGACTTATATGATGGGAGAATTTCTTAAACCACCACATCCAAACCCAGCCGAAAAACTGAAGAGGAAAGAAAGGATGGAACTTGATACCTCTTCTCCTTTCTTGACAAACCCCGTTCTCCTTATATTTAGACGTACTGAAGCATAGAATTTCAAGGCATTACCACCACAGGTAACTTCAGTTGGCCCACCAAATCCACCAAAAGTTGAAAGTTTTGACCTCACCTGATATGTGTAAATAGTTAAGAAGTGTCACAATAAACAAAAAATTCCCATACTTCATTTTGCATTCTCAACCTAAAATCTCACAAGAACTCTGCCCCTAACCACAATCAAGAGCAACAATTCAGCTAGGAAATATTGCATCAATCATATAGCCATCTAATTAGTAGTTTGTATTCCTATTAAAAGCCTTAAAAGTGCGGCAAAAAGTTAACCAAAGGGTAAGACTCTCAATGTATAGGACATAGAGAGTATTTTCTTATCCTTTAATTAAACAAACTCAAAGCAAGAACTTTATCACCTGCATATTAGCAAATTAAAGCTTTTGAGATCTATGGGGCTAATATGGAGTTAATCATCAAAACTCATCAAGGACATAATCAGGATATAAAACTTATACCTGATTTATAAAAATCAATATGGTTTGTGATAATGATAAGGAATGGCTCAATTTACGAAGAGCCTGGCTCATCAGTCTAGCTTGCATTGCCATATGAGCATCGCCCATCTCACCATCAAGCTCACCTTTAGGCACAAGTGCTGCTACCTGAGATGAAAATAAAACTAATATTAGGACTCACTTCAAAATAAATATGATAAATTGCAGTATTGCACAGATACAATTATAGAATTTTAACGCTTCAAGGATGAGTACCCGATATATTTGGCATAAACAATTATTTCAAAAAAACCTCCTTCAAATTAGCATCATAGCACAATCTAACTACCTAAGCAGTCTAAAATAAAGCGTAGACAAGGAGAAGAAAGTAGATTTCATGAACACAACAGAAGCACATTCTACCAACTACCAGCAGTATTTATTTTAGGTCACATTCCATGGAAAAGAAATGAATCCAAAAACGCCTTACACTGTCCACAACAACAACGTCAACAGAGCCACTCCGTATAAGGGTGTCCACAAGACTGAGAGCCTGTTCTCCACAATCTGGTTGTGAAAGAAGCAAATTCTCAGTGTTTACCCCAATTGTCTCAGCTAGAGCTGGATCAAGAGCATGCTCAGCATCAACAAATACACAATAACCTGCATTTGATTATTGTAAAAACATGTAAGCATCCGGCAGAGAGATAACAGAAACAAACTCAACAGAATAGAAGATAGTCACAGCAAAATCTCCTCCACCCTCCAAATGTGATCACCTCATAAATAAATTTAAGAATGTCAGATTTTTTTTTAAAACAATCTTTCAAATGTCAGAAACCTAGAATTAGTAGACAAGGCGTGCATTGGAAAGTAACATGACAGTCTAACCTATCACAGACTCCTACCATCTGTTCTAGTCATGAAAAAGAGAAAATTGTTTCTAGTAGCATGGCAGGAAGAAGTGACAACGGAAAGCTATTCTACTCTGTCAAAACAGAATAATGGATGTAATAACTAATAAGCATGACAAATCATAAATCACACAGCACAAAGTTAAAATACATTAAGTGACCTCCTTGCTTCTGTGCTTCAGCAATTACATGTAGAGCAAGAGTTGTTTTCCCAGAAGCCTCTGGTCCAAATATCTCCACAACACGGCCCTGAAAATTTCAACAAAGATGTTGAAGGATCGAATAACATCACAAGCAGCAATTACTTAGTAGCAGGAAGCATTAAGGGAAAAAGAAAAAAAAAATTGAAACAAGAACTGCAAAGTACCTTTGGAAGTCCACCAGTTCCAAGTGCTATGTCCAAACAAAAAGAACCAGTGGAAACTACCGGAACATTTCTAGGAGACACAGAACGACCAAGCCACATAATAGATCCTTTTCCAAAAGTACTAGTAATCTGATCCAGGGCTTGTTTTAGGGCTAAATCTTTCTTGGACATATTCTCATCACTAGAATCGCTTGAATCTGACTTGGAATTCTTTCTACCTTCAATCAGGCATAAACCAAGATACACCCAAACACAAGAAAGTAAGTATTATATATTTACTTTTCAACTCGAATTAATCCAGCTCAAGAAAATAGCCAAAAAGTTTCATCTTTTAGATGGCACTATTTTTTTTTTTTTTGGATAGAAAGATGACATTAAATCCAGATCAAGTTGACTTGTTTCAATTAAATATCATCATAGAATTCAAACATTTATTCAGTTAATAAAATCCCATGATAAAGCACTCTTCTACAGTCACCTTCAGATAAGTACTAGATTAAAAATTCTAACCAAAACTAAAACGTGATTTAACCAAACATACAATATTAAATACCCAAAAAACAATACTTTGAGTATCAAAATTAAAAATAAAGCCTGTAATAGAAGTTTCAACACCTTTAGAAGAAAAGTTACACAACTGAGAAGATGAACCTAATACCCCTCCTCTACATACCTGCAAAAAAAAAAAATTCAAAGTTTCAATTTTTCTCACTGTTCCTAAACTTTTTTATAAGAAAAACCAACAAAGTGCAAGATAATTAGATACTTTGAACAGAACAGAACAGAACAAAAACAAAGGAATATGAACTTATAGAAGAAATAAAGGAAAGGGTAAGCATTAAAACCTCTGGAGCAAAGAGAGAACGTTTTAGAGAAGACATATTTCGAATAAACCTCGCCATCGCACGCAATGAAAGGGCTTTGTTCAGAACTATTAAATTAGAAAAAAGGGGGGAGATGAACAAATTAGTGGTGCTTAAATGTTATTCCATGGATTAAAAAGTGTCTTTCTGTTTCTAAAAGAGAAGAAGAAAGAGAGACACTCGGCTGTAGTGTAGTTGAACTGTGAATCTGTGATGTTAGGGTTTCAGGTTGAGTTTCCCTCCTTTTTGACGTACATTTTGGTCTGGTTTAAGTACCCAGCCACGCGGGACCTGGGGGGGTGCTGGTTGGGCCGTCCTGAACTTGATGTTGAGGGGCCTATCGTCAGAGTTACTGAAAGGGCCCAGTTTAAGTTGGTTCCTTTTCAATCATTTTGGTATTTCTATTTAGTCTATGACCTTGGGCCTTTGACTTGATTAACTTTTTTCTATTTAGTTCGTCTTTCTAGGCAACAGGCCTCGCTGATAACGCCAATGTGGGCCACGTACCCAATGTTTGCCTTGTTTTTTAAAGCTGCTTCATCCATATTAAAAATTGGATATTATTCATTTATCAAACTCTCTTAAAAAATTGATTTCTACGTCTCTAGTTTGCTCAAAGCTTTCAAGATTAGGATACATTCAAAACACCAAAAGCAGAATAAATGAAACCAACATCATGGATGCATGTTGAACAGATGAGAGACTTTCAAATCATTAGACTTTCTACTGGAAATTGGAGAGTTAACATACCAAGAATAAAAAGAAAAGTGAATAATAAAGAGAGATCCCGAAAACAACCAAATCAATGGCAACAGCCAACACTCGCATAGCTTATGAATCATGAAAGAATAAAACAAACGATGCTTTGGACAAGTTGAACTAAGGACATAATTAGTTAAGAAAACAAACATAAGCTGCAAGAGATTAAAAAATAATTATAATCAGACTGGCATAAAATGATTGATAACAAGCTATCACAACAAGAACACTAAGGCAGACATATACTCGAGAGTTCGAGAAACATTCACATAAAGACAATCTTAACACATCTCGACCACCAGACCACGTACTATCAAACCAACAGACCAGACCAAAACAGGGAAAAGAAGGATTCTCCAAACCAATCATTCATGGTACAACATGAAAAATGTAACTATAAATAACCACCAAAACTGTAAACCCCTCTTCCCCCCTCATTTCCAATCGCCATCTAATAGAGCACCCAGCTGACATGGCCACACATCTGCCACAGCAACAAGTAGAAGCTACTGCTGCTTGCATTCTGGAGGCCTCTCACCTTGCTGCCCATCCCCCTGTGCCCTTACAATCTTCTGCAGCAAAAAAAAAAAATAGTTAGGCATAAATTTCAATTTAGAGGGGCCAAAAAAAGACCTAAATAATATGGAATTGGTGTACCTTTTCAGCAGACAAGGACTGCAACAACATTTTCATGCAATTTGATAAGGAACAAATTGAAAATTAGTATCACTTCAAATTCTGAAAGAATAATTGGGCATACATATAAGATACAACAAAATCTAGCATCATACCTTCTTTTTGGTTTTCCTTTCTTCATCATCATCATCATCATCATCTTCATCATCCTCTTCCTCTTCCTCTTCCTCTTCATCATCCTCATCACCTTCATCATCATCGTCATCTTCTATCTCAAGCTCATCTCCCGGAATAGCTTCCCCTGTAAACCATGACACAGCATGGGAAATAATCTTGTCTCGAATTGTTGACCTGCAATAAAAAAAATAAAAAAAGATAGAATAAAAAACTGCAAGTATTTTATTCATGTAACATTGAGTAATGTCGTCTCAAATTATCAATTTGACCAATCAATATAGCTCAACAAAGCATGAAGATGAGTTCAAACTGAGAAACAAGCCTACTGACTAGAGTAAGGTGAAAAAAGAACAGACCCTATGTCATAATCCTGTTCCATTTGATTTTGTAGCTCCTCCGCCTGTGCAAGAAAGTAACGACGACTTGAAGAACAGAAAAAATTAATTAATCATCAAAGTTTACATAGATATGGTGAGGTTGGCTATACAGTATCTTCATCAATGTCTTCATCATCATCAGGAACTTGAGGAGGATTGAAGAAGTTGAAGAAACTTTCACAATCTTCTGTTTTAGTGATTGGCTTGGCATTCTTTGATCCCTTCTTAGGCTTCTTTTTAAGGAGCTTTTGTGTTAAGCATTTTCCTGGATACCATTCAATCTCCGTCCTAGAAATTACGTGCAAAAGATCTGTAGTCAAATGGTGTACAAAGCCTCATAATCTAATAATCCCACAAGACATTTTTAAAATAAAAAGGTAATGGTATTCACCCAATAGCTTTCTCAAGAATAGGTTCATCTTCATCAATCATGTGATATGTCTTAGTCAACACAGTGTTCTTGAAATAAGGATTGGTGTCAAAGTAAAACTCTAGCTTGAATCCTTTGGGTTCCACTATCCTATACCACTTGATATCCTTGAGATATTTGAGTGCTCCTTCATCACGCTCAGTGATCTGATTCCAAATGCAAAAGCAAAAATTATCACTATTTCCAGCAAGAAAAACGTATCAAGACAACAATTATAACAGGATAACTAACCTCATCAGAAAGCACTTCATTATTTTTCATTGCAGTAAGCCAAAAATCAGGAACTCCCTTCTCTGCATAAAGCAATTGCATAAATATTCGTGCACACAGAAAGAAAGGAGCTGATGGAGAAAAAATAGGGACCAGAATTAACAAGACCATACCTTCATCAGCTTTATCCTCTCCTTGGTCCATAGCTACTTCATTTGGAGTTCCTTCAGCTTCACCAACACCATTCACAATATCGTATCGCTACATATGTATGATAGTTAATTGGGTAAAAAACAACACTAGCTGATTAGAGAAAAATGGAAACAAAATTCAAAAGGCAAACCTTGGCGTAAAAAGGTTGATATAGTTTCTGATATTTAGCTTCAAGTGCTGCCCTCTCCTCAAAAAACTTAGCCTCTAATTCATCATGTTGGCTCTGTTAAAGAAATAGAAGAACCCAGACCACGAAAAAGGCATTCCATTACCAAACACATTGTAGCTCAAATAAGTTGAAATTAAATTACATCAATCTACTCTATCAAAGTAAACCCATCCCAACCCTTACACGCATATAGTTAGAAATCAACAAATTGAGTAATCCTAAATATCCAAAGAAACCCAAGTTTCTTAGCTATGAATATAAATTCGACCACAAATTCGATTAAGATGACAAAAACAAAACAACCCCCTAGTGACACCATAGTAACACTTTACAGCACAGTAAAAAAAAACCCTTATCAAGAAAGAACATGCCTGGATGTCTCTAAGAACCTCCACACGCTTCCTGACATTCGGTGACAGGCTCTCCAACATATCGGTGTGCTCCCCAGCAAGATTCTGAAGCTTATTCTGCAAACCCAAACATCAAAAACTAAAAAACAAAAGAAAAAAAAGAATCCAAAAAGAAAATCTGCGAGTCACCGACTTTGAGAGCGTTAACGAGACCAGCTCGAGCTTCCTCGTTAAGAGCTGAAACCAAAAGATGAAAAGATGAGCGTGAGAAACAAAAAAGGGTGAAGCGGTAGAGGTAGGGTTTTAGCGGAAAAAAAGACTACCATCGCCGAGATCTGGCATGTTGAAGTTAATCCCTTCGTTGCTCATTGAGGATTTTTTGAGAAAAAGAAAAGCGAAGAATAGATTTGGAAGAAGAAGGGGCTAAAACCCTAGATTGGAGAGCGTGGAAGAGAAAAAGGGGAAAAGGAGGGTGAAGTTTCAAGGGTTTGAGTGAGACGTGGCCTCGCTTCGAATCCTTTCCCCTTCCTTGCAAAACCTAAACACCCCCCGAGACTCCTTTTTATCGCTGAGGCGGCTGGCAAGGCAAAGCTGGCGAACCCCTCCTTTTTTTTATTTTTTTATTTTTTATTATTAAGAAATAGGCCGAACGCAAGCCGCATGCCCTTTTTTAAGAAGCGTACTCTTTTTTTTTTTTTTTGTACAGTAGAGTGAAAAATGGAAACAATTGTTTCATTTTTCGGGGGTTGGTTTTTTCGCCTTTTAAAATGTTTTTTTCTTTATTTTTGGGGTTTATATATCACAAAATAAAATGTCAAGCATATGTTTTTTTTAATATGGAAAATATAGATATTCAGTGCCCAAAAAAGCTTATGTTTACAATATACTTGTCATGGCATAAAAAAATTATATATTTATCATAAATTCTTTTAGTATGTATTTAATTGTTAATTTAATATTTTAATATGCTTCATACTCATATAATTTAATTAGATTTGCACTTTTCTTTTAAAATTTTATAAAAAAATTTAATTTAATAAGTTCACAATAAAAATATATTTTTTTTTATTTAAGAATTTCAAAGTTCGAATACTATCACTTAAAATAGGAGTTTAATAGGTATCTCAGATTTTTCTTTACCCAAAAAAAAATTTAACATTTTATTAATAGGTAACATGATTGTTGGCTGAAAATTTGTTTTTAAAACTATATTCTTTTAATATAATTGCATTTATGCATAAAAGTATATATATTTAGCATTAAATCAAATGTTATTAATTATGATTTAAGTAATACCATTAATGTGATTATTAAAAATCTAATTAGGGTTTGATTATAATTTTTTAATATTTGAAATTGTTTGTGATTAAGCTATGATAACTAAAATTAAAAATTTAATACTCTATTACATATTACATTTAATTTACATATTAAATATTAATTTAGATGAACGATAAAATTAGTTTTAATAAAATTAAAAATAATATTAATATTAAGATTAAATATTATAATAATAATATTAAAATCAATAACGATCATATATGTGTTTAAATAAAAAAAATAAAATTAGTTACCGCAGTCAATTGCTTTTGGTGATTGATGAAATGAAATCCAATCCAGCCCTAAAAGCATCAAGTTAAAAGGATTTTACTAATTTAAAAACTGTTATGTAGGGAAATACCTGATTTGACTTGCTTAAAAAAAAACATTTTTAATAAATTTGACAAAAAGAGTTACTTTATTAGAATGAAAATGTTGGTATTACTTACATTGGATTTGCCTTTAACCAAAATCAATATATATTTCCATATTACAGTATTAAATGTGATGACAGAATGATTTAGAATTCAAATTATATGAGATTTTGATTTTTTTTTTTAAATATTTGAATTTAAATTTCGACTAACCACAATTTGTATTTCACTGAATTCTTGAGCGGTCTCCCTCCCTAAGGGCCCTAACATCTCAAAGTATTGACTTCACTTACAACAGTGGCAACATACTTTTCAGAACAAAATATAACAAAGACAATTGTGGTACTCACTCAAGCTGCAACCTGCAAGCACCTTTCTCTGCAAATTTCGTCAGGAAAATCGCCGGTGTTGAGCTCATATAGGCTAGTACGACTGAGAATCACACAACTCAGCAATAATTTCAAGATCAACCCCTAATTCATAAAGTGAAGAAATGAAGATCATTATGTGAATCATGTGTGAGCAAAAACAACATATAAAGGCGTGGATGGGGACATTAGAAACAGAGATATGCTCTGAAGCTAACAAGTCTGAAATTCACTCCACCATCCAAAGGGAATTCAATAGTTGTCATGGGATAATGTTTAATAGACCTAATCTTCTATGTACGGCAACTGGAATCACTATCCGGAAATAAGCTGCTTCTTCCGCAGAAGCAAATGTTGCTTTCAAGACAACAACAACACTTCCAATGATTCGATATAATCCACATTTCTCAGCCCAATCCCTAACCTTATTCTAACCCTCAGAAACTGCAGAAAGAGGAGTTTTATGGGATTTATTAAAATTTCATTCGGAATTTGCTCCATCAGCAGCCTCATCTTCACCACCTTTTTGTTGGTTAGCAGTAGCTGGCTTCTCCACATTCAAAACACGTCCTGTCATAGGATCAACAGGACGCATGTCACGTGGTCCGCCCTTCCGTCCCATTGCCACCATGGGTGGTGGGGGCAATAATCCAGCTCTGAAAAGAATTCGTTGGACAGGCTCTGAAGGCTGCGCACCAACTGATAACCAGTACCTGCAGAAAACAGTGAAAATAGAAGTTACATCTAGATTGGGTGGTTTCCCCGCCAAGTAGTAGAGCAAGACTACAGTAGTTGCCATGCTTATGCACCAAAAATGATGCTTCTTTCTTTTCCACAACTATACAAAAGCTAGCATGAGTCTGGTACATTTTTTTTTCTTTATACAAAAGTTAACAGTATCGAGCAAGCAAAGGATACCAAACATACAACTACAAGAATATGAGAAACAAAAATGCTGACTTATAATTTGTTCTAGATTTCTAAAAACTGCCATATTTCCATGAACAAATTCTATGTTGATGCAGTCACTGGTTTACCCAATGTACAGATCAAATAATTAAAGTTGAGCTCTAAAATCAAACTAACTCCAGTTACATAGCATTGAGTTTGCAGTAACTAGAATATACTCCTCCCATGCAACTTCTCACAGACTCTGATTACCTAGTAAATCCTCTTCAAATATTTCATATCAATTTTTTAAAGAAAATATTATTTGTGGCTCATATTCTGCCTAGCTTGTTGAAGAGGTTCTTCCTCCCAAGTCCCAACGATGTAAAAATTCAGAAGAATTAAAATAGCCATAGTTTTGTAGAATAAACTCTCCCATTCTCCTCCAGGAAACCGAAGATGTCTTTATTTCTTTAATCAAACTTGAACTATCAATGTAAGACGCCCAAAGCAATAAACCCCATATTGTTTCTATAAAACTGAAATTTGAAGATACTACTTACTATAGCAATGCTACTAATCATTCATACCTTAAAAATTCAGTAATTCAAAATGAAACAGGGCCCATAACAAAGTAGAAACAGAGTTATCATTCTCAACAATGAAACATGGAAAAAAAATGTAAAAGCCAACAGCATAACATAACCATTCTTCCAGTTTAAATTCAAGCCATAAAAGAAAGGTAACATCTCCAGATGCAAAAATCTAGAATTTACGACAAAAAATAAGGAATAGAGTGAAATATAGCATCTTACTTCACTCTTTCAAAGTTAAGACCCATTCGTTTACCCCCATCTTGGCCTGTACACGAAAAAGAAATAGATAAAATGGAAATGTATTAGCAATTCCCTAATTCAATTAGTTGCCCCTTTTCATTTCAGGAAAAAAAAGAATGGCTATCATAGATTGATAGGCAGAGAAAGAGGAAGATGACCTGGCAAAGGATTGTAGTAGCCAAGGACTTCGAGATGCTTCCCATCTCTTGGGGATCTGCTATTGGCAGCCATCACCCTATAAAATGGCTTGTTTTTGCATCCAAATCTTGACAATCGGATCCTCACCACCATTTTTTTTCTCACACTCTCTTCTCTTCTAACCAATCTGAACCGATCAACAGTTCAACTCACGCCACTGCTCCGCTAGGGTTTTGGGTTCAGTTCTCTCTGCCAATATTTCTTTTTTTTCAAAGTAAAAACGGTTGGAAGCGTCTAAACGCGCTCCAGTATTTTTACTAAATAAAACGGTGTCGTTATTAACCTACTAATGCGAGTGTTCATGACCCGGCACACCCTTTAAAAGGCGGTCCCTCTTTCAGGAAAAGAAAAGAGAAGAGATTAAAAAAAAAAAAAAAACGTTTAACATTTGAAAGAAATAAAAAATCTTCGATAGGGTTTGCGTTGCGATGATTCTGAGAGAGGGAATTCGAAGTTGGTTTTTGGCGGAAAAGGCGTGGGAGCTCCCTTATCGTTCCTACCTCATCGCCTATCTCACCTCAGGAGTGGAACTTACCGTAATCTGGTTCGACTTATATCCCTTTGCTACCGCGATTCTCCACTGGCCACTGCCCCTGCGATTATCCCCTTCGGCAAACACCGGGTAACATATTTATTTGAATTCTTTGGATTTTCTGTTTCTTCTTCAGTTCTCATTTTCGTTTTTTTGAATTAAAAATGGACTGAAGAGGAGCTTTTCATTAGTAGGTTGGTAAAGAAATTAGGTATTTTTTCTTTGGTCTTTGGGAATTAATCGTTCATTCGATTCTATTTTTAGGCAAATGAAATCTTTCTTGCCTAAATTAATACCCTAAAATGCTTATATATTTAGGTTCAGTAACTTTTTAATTCTTATTGTTGATATTCTTTGTTTTTGTTGAAGATAATGGCAGTAACCGAGAGGCACCACGTATAGATGATGTCAGAGAGCCTGGTGAGTCGATTGTCCCAGATAATAGGGTGCCTGCAAATATGGGGGCCCAGGAAGGAAAGGTGGTTGATGGATGTTTTGAAGGTGCCTTATTACGGGGCAAGGGATTTAGTGACACACAAATGGTAATAGATGAAATAGAGCAGATAATGCTAAAAGAAGGTCAGGATTTATTGAATCAAAATGATCTAATGGTTGATAGTAGCATGGAAGGCACTGGTTTTCAAGATGGAAAGATTCGTCAGGAACAATTACTAATGACCGAGTTAGAATATATCATGAAAGGAAAAGAAGATTGTGATAAGAGTAATAACTGCTTGACCATGTCATTGGACTGGAATCTGGGTGATAATTGCTGTGTTATATTGATGAATTATCAGGAAGAGCATAATGATCTTCCACCTGTTGTTATGGAGGAATCTGGAACAGTTGGTCGGCCACAAGTGGACATGGAGGGTGGTAATAAAAGGATTATTGAAGCCTTTGGCTTTTCTTCAGACAAAAGTGTGACAGTTGCAGTTTCAAAATCAAGTAAGAAGGTAGAAGATCTAAGTTCCTTGTTGAAGACTAACGCAATGCAGGAAAATTTTAAAATTTAGCAAAGAGAGACGGAATTGGTGAGGTTTGTTTGCTTTAATGACAGAATACCTTCTCCTGGTCAGATGGTTGAAGATGGAGAGCTTGAAGAGGGAGAAATTTTGGTGATATTCAGCTTGTCAATGAGTCAATTGATATACTCTTAGATGATGCTGTAGTATCAGGAAAAAGGGTAAAGGAGAAGCAAGTTTCTGGAGGCACTTTTGATGATAAACATCTTCATTGTAATGAAGAAAGCACAGTTAAGGATAAAAATTCAGAGTTTACTTCCTTTAATAAAAATTTTGCTCAGATTGCCAATAGAGTTACACCAGGAGAACTTGAAGGAAGTGAGAGAGATCAGATGGTGTCTGAACTTGGAACAATGCATGGCAAGGAAGGTAGTGGAAATATCCAAAAGCAAAGTAGAAGTGAAAATCAAGTAATTAAATCTAAGAGGAAGGTATGACTCTAACCTGCAATATTTCTTTTGTTTAGAGGCCATTGGCAATTATGAACTTGTTTAGTTAGGTGTGGTAAAATCTGCCAGAGCCATCCTCTTCACGAGCTTGCTTTTGATGTGAGTTTTCTCTATGATAATAAGTTAATGTACCATTGTGATTTTCTTCGGAATGACTTTCAAAGAATCTTCTACTTGTCTTTTCTGAATTTAAATAAATAAATAATGGCTCCTAGCATCAATGTAAGAATTTGACATATGGTTGGGCTTAGCCCAATGCAGAGTTTAGTTGGACCTTCTAGCCCTCTTCTATACCAAAAAGAAAAAAGAAAGAATTTGGCATATGGTGTGTTAGGTCATAATTTTATAGTTATCTTCTGCTACAAGATGACCAGGAGCTTTTCATAGATTTCCACCTTTGCATTGCTCTCTCACCATTTCTGCCATTGACCAGACTACCTTTGCGTGTCCTGTGAGGCTTTATGACATCAGATGCCAAATTTTAAAGATATACATCTTGCTTTCATGTTCAAGACAATTTATCTTTCATAAGCCAATATATCCTAGATTAGTTTCTAGGACAGGTCCAACTGATAGATAATTTGTCAAAGTAAAAGAGTAAACAATGTGCACCTTTCTCTCTCTCTTACACACGCACACATGCACACATGCACGTATTGTCCTGTATGCACATACAAGCAACTAGATATACATGCACCAAGAGACTCAAAAAGAAATCTTTGTCTGAAAGGTCTGTGAGAGCCTATGCACTATATAATATAAAATTATCTTCTCATGATGAATTGGTCTGCAAGTTCTGGCCTGTGATGATTATGGTTTCTTCCTATCATATGCCGAAGGATTTTGGTGTCAGCAATAAGAAAAAGCAGAGTTCAATTCCTGCAGACAAGAGAGAAAAGAAAAAGGTAGTTCGGTATGTCTCTTTGTCTTTTTTATATTTTTAAATGAATTCTTATTATCTAACATTTTAATTTCAAAGAAAATCAAATTTGCACTTGAGTAGTCATCTATGGTTTAGTTTACATGTTTTACATAAAAAAGTTTTGACAACTTTACTGGCTATATTCTCTCAATGCTCTTCAAGGGTATAAATGATTTACTTGTTATGGTTCTATTGTGCAGAAAAATAAATGAAAGAAAGAAGCAGAGAAAAATCGAGAGCTTGGTGTTAAAAGGTCGAAACTGCAGACATTTCTGAAACCAAAAACTGTAACATATTGTTGCCATTATCTGAAGGGAAGATGTTATGAGGTTATGCTACTTTTTTTTTTTGGTTGATATTTATACTGTTTTTAATAGCGCTGGAGTTTCGCATTAAGCTAGTCTTGGTGGAGATCTTAATTATCTAATAATAGCAAACTTCTGTTAGAAATTTAATTAATAAGTTGCTTTGCTCTTAGTTACAATGTTTAACTTTCCTGCTTTTCCTATAATGCAAGTGGTTATCTCTAGGTCATCTGACTGAGTTTCTAGTTTTTGGATTATCATATCTTTCTATGTTATTATGCTAGAGTGACCCTAATCCATTATGAATTCAAGACCATTCCCTTTATAATGTTCATAAACATTTGACATTTGATTTTATTGACTCCAAGGTGCATGGTAGAGGAAGGGGATGGGAAGGAACGTAATTGAGAAAGTGTTTATACCAGAGTAATTATTGGCAGAGGTTGGTAATATGCTAAGGATGTAATGATGAAAAAAAATGGGATGGAAGGAAAGGGAAAAGATGGAAAGGAAATATATGATTTTGTTTCTTTGATTTTTTTAATCGAATAAAGTTGCTGAAATTTGCATTCTATGTTATTTGGTGTCAACTAAATATCTTTTTTTTTTTGTCACAGGGCGAGTAGTGCAAATACTCACATGATACAGTACCTTTGACAAAATCACAGGTATAGTCATTTGGCTTGGTACGTTGTTATGTTATGCAAGCAGCTGCATTCTATTATAATTCATTGTTTGGTTGGTAGCCACTATCACCCATACAGGTCGAGTGTCAGTTGTTGCTATTGCTAATTACTATTGGCAACACTATCTGTAATTCTGTTCATTTCACATCTTTTAAGTAAAGAATCTGTAACAACTAAGAATCTTCCCAATAGCTAATAGGAACACGAGTCACTTAGATTTTTGTGTCCTTTCTTATTTTGAAAAAAGAAAAGAAGTCTGCTATGATGAAATTTAACTCTCTCTCTCTCTCTCTCTCTCTCTCTCTGCAGTTGTGTTTGTCTGACCTTGTCTTTGATTCTATTGTTTCAGCCCTGCAGTCATTTTGCACGTCACTCATGCATGAAAGGGGATGACTGTCCATTTGATCACCATCTCTCCAAGTATCCCTGTATCAGTTATACGACCAAAGGCTTCTGTGCCAGAGCCGATGACTTTTTGTTTTCACACAAGGTAACCTTGTTTCTATTGTAAAAAAGCTGCATTTTCAATTAGTTGATTGAGGGTGGGTAATAAAGTTATTTTCATTTCTGATGTCACCTGAGGGAGATGTTGCACCTTTATCAAATGCTCATGAAATTCAACTGAAGCCATCATTGCAGGGTGATTCTGATATGAGATTGAATATCAGCAGAGCTTCCCATAAAAATGTCGATGCCTCATCCTGTTCTGCAGGAGCTTTTTCTTAGAAAAGCATAAAACAAATTGTGGCAGAGACTCCCACTAAAACACCTGATGTTGCATTCCAAGGTGTCAACACTCTTTTGGTTTTAAAATCATCTATGGCTAAATCAACTAAACCTAATCAAGGCAGTTCATCTGAAAAGATGAATCAAAGAGGCGGAGTTGGGATTCAAAGTAATCAAAGGACATTTGGTGTCAATACTCCTTTTACTTCAAAGCCATCTCTGGTTGAATCTAGTAAATTTAGCCAAGGTAGCTCATCTCTGAAGATGAACGAAAGTGGTGGACTTGGGTTTCAGGCCAACTGAAGTGAATCGGGCACAATTCAAAATGTGAATGATAGTCCAAAGAGAAAGCCAGAAGTGGTACCGATAGGTATAAATTTTTTATCATTTGGAAAATCTTCATTAGAAGATTTCACTAACAAAGTTAGTTTGGGATTAAACAGGGCAGAAGTATATAAGCAACATCCCAGTGAGAATGAACGCAATGAAGGTAAACTCAGCAATCAGACAACCCAAAGTACATCAAGTATAAATAAAAAGAAAACTCATCCACCACTGCTGCTACTGGGAGTAAATTGTCTCTCTTTGGAAAAATTGGGTAACTCTGGAAGTAAAACACAGGCTAGCTCACCTTCCAGTTCAGATAATGTTAACAATTTATCTCTTCAGAAGAGTAATTATGCAGCTTATAAACAGCACAACTCAAGTGCAATATCATATAAGTTGCCAGTTTCTCCACAAATTGCATGTCAATCCTCAGAGTGGTTATTACATAAAAGCACGCTAAATTCAGCTCGGATGGCACTCATTTCTACTCTAGCAATTGCAATAAAGTTTAATAGTGTCAACGGTATATCCGTTCTTGAAAGCAAACATCTTCAGAGAAGATGACACCTAAAAACACACCAAACTTAGCTTAGAAGTCACTGATGTCTACTCTAGCATTTGCAGCAAAGTTTTGAGTCTGGAATGAAGAAAATTCAGTCTGCTATCAATACTGTGGTTAATAGTGAAACAAGGCATAGCAGAATTGGAGAAGGTTCAAAAACTGACTCAGCAAAAACTTCAAAGCTTTTGGATATTTTGTCAAGTGTTGGGGGAAAATAAACCAGATTTGATTGCTGACTTGACTTTATAAAGGTTAAAATGGCCAAAGCATTTGAAAATGGGTTTTGATTTTGGGAGTTGGGGTAGGATGATGGAGTTTTTATGTGAATGAGAATTGATTAAATCTGTTAAGAGAGAAGGCCGGTTAGCTGTCTATTATCTGCCATTATATTAATATAGCATTCATTGCAGTTATTTTTAACACCAGTCAAGCAGGTGCAGCATTTAACAAGTTTCATTAGTTTCTGCCTTCGGTTAACAGGGTAGAGGCTAACTTTTGAGCATAATAATTCATGGTATAGGCGGGTTGTCATCACTGTGGCCTTACCATTGATGGAGGTGAAATCCTTCTTTTCCATGGAAATTTATGAGGCTTTATCTTCTTACTCCAAAGTCTCAAATCTCGGCTGCCAGTAATATTGTCAGGTACAATGGTCAGCTTTGTTATCCAAAGAGATTAATTCTGTCAGTTAGCAGCCTAAGAATCTCAAGTTTTATTGATCTGCTGACTAAATTATCTATAACAACAGTGGCCAGTGGGCGCTCAGTGAATAAAAAGTAAATCACTTCATTGAGAAGGAAAACTATGGAAGTTGCAGTAGGGATCTCTTATCAGTGATTTTGTATCTCTGTGTCATTTCTTTATCATGAGAAAGATTAATTGTGTTCTTATATTTTTTTATTTTTCTGGCTTTAAGCAAGTGGTTTGCGGGTTCTCTAGATATTTGCATTTTCAGACCAGTTGGAACCAAAGAAGCATGATTGAAGAGCTTGAGACTACGGATATGTTACTTTTCAGATCTGGCAAGCCAATAATCCAAGTAGTCTTGGATCTGATGGAGGATGGTAAGAGGTTTCCATGTTATTCTTGTCTCTGGCTCAGGAACCAAAGATAAAATTTTATCTGAGACTGAAGTACTTATTTGAATTATATGTTCAGCTCAGTGCCTGTGGATGACTCTAGAGTGCATGGACTAGGGAAGGTGGAGCCCTCTGCTTTTAATTTGAATAAAAGCATTATCACCTTTTGTGTAGGCCAAGAAGCCTTCTGGTTGGTGTAGGTTGGCCATCTTGTTGATATTTATGTGAAAAGTGGCCCGACCTTCTCCGAAAAAATCAAAGACGAAAGTCATATTAAAGTATCAATTGTCTACTTTACCAACTTTCTTTTGTTCGGTTTTCATTCACAGATTCAAAATTGTTTGAATCTTTTGGATTAACTTAAATTATTTTAATCCTTCTTTTTCCGATCACGAATTCAAAAATTTTTAAAAATTTCTTGCTTTTGCTGATTTACACTGATCCCAAACAAGAAAGCATGGGATTTTTTACCAAAGATGGTAATTAAACACCAAATGCTTATATGTGCCAATGGTAAATTCAACACCCCTAATTTATGGCAGTAATTTACGTCACTGACAGATTGATACAGCTGGGCCTAGTCTTAGGTGGCATTGGGGGAACAAAAGTAAACAGGAAGAGACAATTTGACAGGGAAATAAATAGGCATCATAATCATCATCACTATCGGCACGATCAATGGTATTGGTAGGTATCAAGAACTTACCAGCTACCAGAGTTGAGAGGATTGATGATGAAACTGAAATTTTAAGTTTTTGACTTTGAAAGCATCAATGATCGATCGACTGCTTCTGTGCTTGCCTTTGTTGCAAAATAGTATAGTATGGTCCTATTGTTTGTAATCTTAATGAAAAGGCTCATGTCATGTGACTTTGCTGCTTGTAATCAAATCCTGCCCCCGCCAACAACACGTTGCCATAAATAAAGTTAAAGAAAAAATTTTGAAAAATCCAAAATTTTTTTGAAAATCCAAAATTTTTTTGAAAATCCAATAAATGTACAATAACTATATTTATTGATGTTACATTAATTTTATTTGAAAAGGGAGCAATGTTGTTAATTAAAATGCATATATTAGTAATTATAGGAACTCAATTTAAAAAAAAAAAAAGCTTCCCTATTAATTTTAATTGAATAAACCTGTGGGATTTAGGAATGTTTTAATTAAAATGCATTTTTTTTATAATAAAATATGATATTTTAAAAAAATTAATCAATAATTATGTAATTTATTGATAAAGAGTTGTAATTTTTAATTTTAATGTTAAAAAATTTTGAGAAATCACAGCTGCGAAGAAAAAAAAAATAGTGGTCGGTGGCCTTTCACGAAAAATAAACAAGCGGGCACGTAGACATAATTAGGGGTGTAAATGAATCGAGTCGAGTCGAATAGTGAGAAGCTCGAGTTTGAGTTTGACTCATAATTTGGGGTTCGATACTCAGCTCAAACTTGATCGAGTTTTATTTTTCAAGTTCGAGCTCGATTCGTGATCGAATTCGAGCAACTCGAGCTCGCTCGATTAAGCTCGATTAATATGTAAAAATAAACTCGATTCGTATACTCGATAAGAGTTCGATTATTCATGTTCGAATTCAAACTCGAACTTGGACTCGAAATATTTTATTAATTAAAATAATAAAAATATCTTTAAATATAAAAATTCGATTAAGTTCACGAGTTACTTGAATCAAATATAAGAATACTTGAATTCGGTTCGATCGATAAATCGAGCTATTCGAACTCGAGTTCGACTCGACAATAATAAAACCGAATTCAATTTTTTGTCGAATCGAACTCGAATAACTTTTAAATATTAATATATCATTTACAACCCTAAGCATAACCTCTCAAACGAAATTAACTGCCACATAGGAAAAAGACCGGTTCAGTAGCTTCACTGAACCGGATTCCCCTGCAAGTCTCCAACTCAATTTAAAAAGACCCCCCAAAGGCCAAAGCCATTTCGAAATTCACCTTAAAAAAAAAAAAAGCGTAACCACCAAATTCTGTGTTTGAAACAATAATCACCATGGCCACTTCCCTCAAAAACAACTTCCTACCTCCTTTAATCTCCAACCTCCAGCAAGTTCTTATCTCCCGAAACGACACCGTTGAACACCAATCCACCAACTCCTTCGACGCAACCTCCCTCAAATCCTCCTCATCGCCTTCCCCTTTACGCAATGTCGAGCCAAGCCAAGCCAACGCGGAGCCAGATTGCTCTAAACCATTGCTTCTGATCACCAATGCCGAAGGAATCGATTCACCTGGCCTCACTTTTCTTGTTCAAGCTCTGCTCTCCGACGGTCGCTTCAGTCTCCACGTCTGCGCTCCGCAATCGTCAGTTTTTCCTAAATTTTCAACTAAAGTTGCAATATATGTATATATACATATATATACATATATTTATACAATGTAGTTTAATGACGTAAAGATTTTCTTAGTTTTGAACCAGATCAGAGAGGATCTTAGCAGAGGCTTCTTCTTTTTATTTTTTTTTTTAATTTCAGGGATAAATCGTTCGCCGGCCATTCCATGACCGTGCGAGAGACGGTTGCGGTATGTCCAGTGGAAATGAGCGGTGCCACTGCTTTTGAAGTTTCAGGTGACTAATGAACGGTCACTCTACGGTTAAAATGGAAAAAAAAAAGTATTAATAATTAGTGTTTTAATTAATGATTAATGAACGCCCTTCCAGCAAGTAAATTTGATATTAATATTACATGTGCCTCAGTAAAAATCACACCATGTGTATCTCACATCTTGTACATAATCTTTGTACATCAATTTTGTCCACGTTAGTGACGTTTTTCGGATTTCATTTGGTAGAATTTACGAGAGTTGAAATTGTTTCCGGTGTTTATAATCAGGAACTCCTGTGGATTGTGTCTCATTAGCTCTGTCTGGAGCATTGTTTTCATGGTCAAAGCCTGTTTTGGTATGCAACTTTTAATTGTTAATTTTAGAATTTAGATTGTCCATGTTTTAGAATCAACGCTTTTCTGATATTGGTTTTCTTTTTTTTTTTTTTAAATGTAGGTGATTAGTGGAATTAACCGAGGATCAAGCTGTGGTCGCAACATGTAAGTAATTTATCGTCTTCTTAGCCTGTGTCCTGTCTTCCCCTTATTTTGCTAAATTTGATGGCCATTGTATCAATTCTAAGGTTTTTCTTTGCAATATACATGACTTTTTACTATTAGGTTTTACTTGGGAGCTGTTGCTGCTGCCACAGAGGCATTAATTTGTGGTGTGCCATCTCTTTGCCTGTCATTTAACTGGTATATATTATTTTCTTTCTGAATTTTAGTATTTTCCAGTCTTTTGTGGATTTATGATGAATTGATGTTTATTTTTATTTTAGGAAGAAAGATGTAAGCTGTGAAACTGATTTGAAGGATGCAGCCAATATTTGTTTGCCTTTAATATCCGCAGCTGTAAGAGATATTGAGAGTGGAGCTTTCCCGGAAAGTTGCTTACTGAATATAGAAATCCCTTCTTGTCCCCTATCAAATAAGGTAAGCCTTTACTGTAAACTATAGTGGTTACTCTAATTTCATGCTGATAATTGGAGATAAGCAGTGTGAAAGAATTGCGGCTTGAAAATATGCAGAGACAGTTCCCAATCACTTTTACTATTGCAAATGTGATAAGTTAATTAGATGAGTGGAATTAGACTAATATGGTGATAAATTAGGCATCGATAGGTGGGTGCAAACGAAGCAGAACTATATAACATAAGCCGGAATGATCGGTTCTCAAATCTAGCACTTTTCTTTCAATTTGCAAATGGTTCATAGTTCGTATATTGTTGGCATAATTTGTGTTTCACAGGGATTCAAATTGACCCGGCAGAGCCTATGGAGGTCACCTTTAAGCTGGAAAGCTGTATCAGCAAATAGGCATCCCACTGCTGGCAAATACCTGTCCAATCAGCAAAGCCTTGGTATAATGCTAGCACAACTTGGCCGAGATGCCTCTGCAGCCGTAAGTATCTGTTAAAAAAATCTCCATGCTCTAATTCAGGGGCAATCTGCTTTAGCATTAGTTCTTAAATGTCTCAATTTTTTGGATTTATCAGGGTGCAGCAAGGCGCTTGAACTCAAATAGGAAGAATGTTGAGATTGAATCCGTTGGTGTAGCTGGAAAACTAAATGGCCAACAAACAGTGAAAAAATACTTTCGCTTAGAGGTAAGACAAAAAATTATTACTTCTACAATCTAGCAATCTGTCAAATCCATTGTTTTTCAAAGAATTCTGCAAACAAGGATTTGATATTGAACCAGATTTCTGCAATGCTCCCCACTCTGTAGTCACTAGCCCTATCTCTTTCTCAAAATTCCTTAAAACTCAAAAAAAAAAATTTTTAAATCACTAGTTTATACGTCCATATGTTTAAGCAGTTGTTGGAAAAGGAGACAGAAGAGGCGGATGATGATCTAGATTTTAGAGCAGTAGAAGAAGGATATGTGAGTTGGACATGTCCTTTTCACTAAAAATCTTCAGTCTTTTCTTGTTTAATTGCTTAATTGGTTTTATCGTCTTGGATGACAAAAATGGCAGGTTTCTGTAACTCCTTTATCTTTATCTTCAACCGATCAATCCAAGATTGAAACCTTGGTTTCAAACTGGATTACAGTTGCACTTGGCAGGAAGCAATGAACCCAAGTTTCCTCCGGCAGTTATGGTGATAGCTACAAAAGAAAAATGAGTGATGTTTGAGTTTGTCTAATTTATATCTTGGCATGTTGCTGTACGGTAAAAGTTTCCTGGCAACTGGCAACTTGCTTGTTTGGACTGGATAACAAGCATTGTATTGTTGATCATTGAGTTTTCATTTTGGACTGAAATGTGAAACAAGACAAAAATTACAAAGAGACAAAGTTTGGTCTCGGAAAAATCATCATCAATTTAAGACCAGTCCACTGGCTTTCGGGAAAAGGGTAAGGTGAAAGAAAAAGTCCATTGTCCCGGCCCAGTCGGTCTGCCTATCCATTTGTGATGCAGTGGGTAATGGGCACAATAAAATATCTTTCGATTCGTATTAATTTTGAATCAAATTATTTAAAATTAAATTAATTATTTTATTTTATTTTTATTAACTTAATTAAATTTATAAATTTTAAAAATTAATTAATTAAATTTAATTCATTAAATTTAATTAATTTTTTAATTAATTAAATAATAAATATAATTATATTATATTATATTTTAAATTCTTAAAATTTTATATTTTAAATAAATTAAATAAATTTATTTAATAAAACATTTAAATATCAAAATATTATATAAAAAATTTTAACAATTTATGAAATTAAATAATTTATTTCATCTTTTATTTTATATTTGAATTATATTATATTTCAATTAAAATTTTGATTTAATTTTTAAATTGAATTAATAAAAAATTGATTTTCTTCTAAAATAATTTTTATTAACTAATCAAAATTTAATAATTAATCAATTAATCCAATTAAATTAATTTTAATTTGATTAAAATCGAATTATAAACACTCATTACCTCATCTTCAATTCTTCATACATAATATTGTTTGAAAATTTAAAAGAAAAGGAAGGTGTACTTCAGACCTTTCCTTTCTAATAAGTACAGTATATAGAGAGCAGGCTACTGCATAGTTAAATATCTAAAAAAAAAAAAAAAGGCAAAGACAAAATCAGCCGTATATCCATACAGTGTCCCGCCGTTCATTTTTTAATTCAAAAACTACTGAACACTTTTAAATCCATTGATTTATATAAATATTTTAAAAATATAATATTTAATAATTTTAAATTTAAATATCTATAATTTGTTATTTATACATCACGGTGTTTTTTTTAAATATTGTTAAGCACAAGAACTTTATGATATTTGTATGCATCGCAAAAGATTTAAATTAATTTTTTTAAATAAAATTTATAAAAAATTTTATTAAAAATAATTAAACAAATGTTAAAATTAAACGATAGATTAAAATTTTTTATTACATAATTAAAAGGTACAAATTTTAAAAAAATTTTAATAAATTTTGATATATATTTTTTCATAGATATTTTTAATAAAAATATTAATATAATTTTTATTATTAAATAAATATTAATCAAATTTAAATTATAAATAATTTTTTTATAATTTTTTCATATTATTAATTTTTATATTAAATTTTACCAATCTCTTAATTTAAAGTTTTTATTAAATCATTTATAAAAAAAAACTTTACAAATTTTAACAAAAAAAAATTTGTAAAAATTTTGTCCGTACGTAACACCCAGTCCCTTTTTCCCATTAAAATAATTAGTAACTCAAATTTTGATGATTAAAATTAGAGGAGCAGATTAAGCCACGCTCTTCTTTATTAAGCCAAAGCGCCCAACGCCCCCAATCCATGAATCGTACGCCAATTCAGCTAACCGTCATCGGTGATAGGTGCCACTTGCACGGCTCCCACGCAAATTGGGTGTGCTGAATCTGATGTGCTTCATAGCCTACTTTTGCATCTTCACCGTACTCTCGGTAACGTGACACGCTTTTATTGGCTGAATTTTATGTACCATTTGTCAAAAAAAGTACACAATTAATTTTTTCTTTAATTATAAAAAAATTTAATGCATTGTGTGGTCGAACCCAAAATGGATAAAAATATATATATTATTTATAATTTTTTATTAATATTATAATTATTTAATTATAATAAAATTATATAAAAATTCATCACTTACAAAACATAAAATTTATATTATACATAAAATTATGACAAATTTCCCATAATTTTAAATAATAATTAATTAATTGAATTATAATCATTATAGATGAAATATTAAAAAAACATATTTTGATGGATGATATCGACACGTGGCATCCATGCAGAGAGAAGGCCGCACGATTGTCATGCAGCGACCGCCGGATCTATCTATAATCCCCCACGAGGAAACAACGGCTAGGGGACGCGATTGCACGGTGAAGATTTGGAGATAACATAAAAAAGAAACATGTATTAACCTCCTCCCAGCAAAACGGAAATTCCCATTTTCTCACAAAAGGGCGACATGAAGCTCACCGTTTGCTTCTCTATTCATCCACGTGGCATCATCATATTGGGTAAATATTGATTGAGAAAGGGGTGGATTCGTAAATAAAAAAAAAAAACGGAACGTGATAATAAGCTTTGGACACAAATTAAGATGAAAGCACTGTCAAATTCTCCTCCTCTTTGTGCTTCCTCTGTTAATTTCTTCATATGATGAACAGTGGAGATTGGAACAACATCAGTAACAATGGGTCGTCTTCTTCCAGTTCATCAGGTGTTTTTTCACAGCCAATGGAACGGTTAAACGAGTCGGGTTCTCCGCCATTTTTGAGAAAAACGTTTGGGATGGTGGAGGACCCGGAAACCGACCCGATTGTTTCCTGGAGTGTTAACCGCAATAGCTTCATCGTTTGGGATTCTCTTAAGTTGTCTGAAAATCTCCTGCCCAAATATTTCAAGCACAAGAATTTCTCCAGCTTTATTCGCCAACTCAACACTTCCGTAAGTATTTTTACCCCTTTTCTCCTTGACATTTCACTGTTAGTTTTTACCTTTTAACATTGAAAATTTGTGGGGTTTTTTTTAGGTGTTTAGGAAGATTGATTCAGATAGATGGGAGTTTGCAAATGAAGGATTTCAAGGAGGAAAGAATCATTTCAATCATTTGCTGAAAAATAATAAGCAGTAAGGAGGAGTTATTTGTGGTAATAATTCAATTAGCAAAATTGTATTAGAAGCTGAGATTGAGGTTTTGAAGAGAGATCAGAGTGCATTGCAATTGGAAGTTTTGAAACTGAGACAAAAACAGAAAGAGTCAAATCATCAGCTGAGTGTTGTTGAAGAGGATTGGATTTGCTGAACGTAGGAGACAACAAATGTGCAATTTCTTTGCTAAAATAGCTAAATATCCCAACTTGATTCATCAATTGATTCAGAGGAGGAAGCAGCAAAAGAAAGAGCTTGATGAGGGGGAGTTTAGAAAGAAAATGAAATTGCTTGAGACACAAGTCACAAAGAGCTTGCCCGAGGCTATGGGGACTGAACAAAGTGTCAAGTGTATACACCAAGTTGATGATCAGGAGAGATTGGAATCAATGTAATCTGATCATGAGTTCTCAAAGTCTTTGCCTGATTGTATGGAGAACAATAACCAAATGGAGAAAGAGTTTTCGGTTTCTATGGAGGATGGATTGTGCTGTTCCCTTCTGGATCAAAACAGCAGTGCACCAGAAATGTCTTCTGTTTATCATGATATGTCTGAAAATCTACTAGGGGAAAGCCCAGTTGTACAGAATGTACCAAATGAAGAGCTATCAGTGAATGATTCCAAGATTTATCTTGAGTTGGAGGATATGATCAATTGGAAGCCAGATAGCTGGGGTGGGTTTGCAAGTGAGCTGGCGCAGCAAACTGGCTGTGTCTGATCCTAATGGTTATAATTGTCATGGTTTCTATCTTATTATACATATATGCCACTGGATGCAGAAGTTAAATGGTTGCTGCTGGCTTTTCTTCTTCATCTTCATTGATGAGAGCAAACAGTCTTCATCAGAGCCAAAAAAGAATCGGTTCTCCCATGAATCTGTGAAATGCTTGAAGCTGATGGCAACAAATGTTCATACCAGTGAAATTTTCCCTGTCCTAGATGTTCATATATTTCCCTTTTTTCTCTCCTAAATTCCTCTACTTTTACTATTGTTGCCCTTTATTTTGTAAAAATTTGTATCATATACAACTAAATACAACAACCTGGTCCTTTAAACATCATTACCTTTTTTTCAATCATTCTGTTACTTCAATTTAGGTTGAAATAATGGGGTTAGATGGTATTTGATGCTTTGGCTCATAAGCAATTCAAGCAATTGTGAATTATATAGCTCCCTGTTACCTTCTCTATGCACATATCCATTTAAGTATAACATTTTTTTCAATTTAACCATTCTTTATTCCATTTTAAAACTTCAATCCAAGTCCTAAGATCAGGTAATATAACTTTATTTAATTAAATATTACTTGGATATAGTTTGAACTACTCAAAGCTTTTCATGGTGATTGTTGAAAGTTGAGGGATACAATTCTATTGTTGCTTCATTGTTCTATTCTCACTACTAGTAAATCCTGGAATAATCCCCTTGATAAGCTAGGATTAGTAACGCTTCCCAGCATCTAACAAAGTGAAATAGAAGTTTATTAGTCCATGAGAGTAGGTAAAATAATCACTTGCAAATTGATTTGATCTTCGGTAGAAGGTTCAAGGTCTTGCCACCGATAAACAATGGTGGTTAGAGGGTAAACAGTGCCTCTTTTGGATGTGACTAAAAAGTGGTTGGGACGAAGGCTTCGTTGCCAAAGACAGACAGTTTGCCTAATCAAGAACAACTTATTTGTTAAATCTAAAAGTAGACTGGACGTTTGCCAATTAGGAAGCATTTGAGCCCACCAAAAATCAGGATCAACTCCATGACCAGAGTCCAAAAGGAATTGGATGCTTCCCGGCTTCCTATAAGAGGCAACGTCCCAGAGCTCGAAAAGGCAACGTTCCACTAGAATTTATAAATTTAATTAAAATTTTAATAATAATTATACATAAATTTAATATAAATTATAATACCAAATTTTTATATAAAATATAATAAAAATTTATAAATTTTAATATTTTATATTATATAAATACACAAATCATAAAATTTAATCTTAAACTCAAAAATATCGTTTTTTTCAAATTTCAACATGATCAACATCAAAACCAAATGGCTGAAAATATTAAAATGTTTATATTTGTTGTCTAATAATATTAACAAATAAAATTTACCACTTTATTAATAAAATTTTAATTTTTTATTTGTATGATTTAATTTATTCCGCTACCTCAATTAAAATACACTATCAATTGGATTTAACATGTAGAGTATAGCTAACCACAAGAGTAAATCAAATAAAACTATTAGCATAAATATTATCAAACCAAATACAATAAAAGTACGAATTTAACCGAATCAGGATTTTTTTTTTTTTTCGTTTTTTTACGGCCCTAAAATTGAAGTCTAAGACCAGCCGGTTCATTTTGATGCCAACGTATTATAATAAGATGTCAGTTAATGATACCCAGATGGATTATTACACTAAAGATCTCCAGTCGTAGCCAAAAAACCTTTAAAAAAAATCTTTATGAAGTAATTAATAATGGCCTTGTCTTAGGAAAGGAGTTTGGAAAAATCAATTTAGGCTTGGCTTAACTTGGTTGTACGAGTTGTCACTAATATTAGCAAAAATAAGGAGACTATAATATAAATACTCAAAAAATTTATATTTAATATAATATCAATGTATTTATTAAATCAAATAATATCATCTCATTAATAAATAAATATTAATCTTTAAACTAAATATATAAAATTTTAATTTTAAAAATAAAATTTATTTATTAATAAGATGGTATTATGTAATTTACTGACAATATAACAAACATAAATCCATACTCAAATGATAGTGGAAGAAAAATAATAACAATAATAACCCCGTCTCCTTGTCCCCTTCTTCCTATTATCAATGACATATTCAAATTATAGTTACAAATGGAAAAAGAAAAATAACCTAAGGTAAAGAAGAAACGGAATTACTATGACAACTACAAATATTGCACTAGGCCTTTGGTCTAACCGCCCCTCCCACCAGTACCAGTTAGCTTACCATTAGGTTTGCTTACCCTTGTGGACTTCGTAGAAGAAGAAGATGATGAGATGGCCGATCTGTCAAACTCCTCTCTATCCTCATGGAATGCCTTGCTTAGTAGATCTTGGAGTTCCATGTACCTCTGCCTTTTCACAAGTCGATCCTCCGGAGTGTCATTTCCTCCGCATGCCAGTTCTGATAAGTCATCGGCATCCATTATCTTGTTCAGCACTTCTGAGCAACGAGGGAAAAAGCGTTTCCCAAGTTCCACTGCCAGAGAGAGAGAGAGAGAGAGAGAGAGAGAAACGGGGGTAAGTTCGCATTTACTTATCAAAATGACCGATTTTTTTAATCTCCAAATTAATGTCATATGATACTTTGACGTTCAAAATAACATGTAAATAGCTTTTCAGGACGTTACACTAGTTCATCATGTGATTCCAGGCAATGACTAATCCAAAAAATGTATTGCCACCTTCGCATGAAAACAGAAAATGTTGATGTAACGCATCAGTACCTGTTCTAGAAAGTGCTTTCAGCCGATTTAGATGCTCCTCCTGGATTCTAAAAGGAGCATCATTCAAGTCCACAGTTGTTCTTTGTGCACCATTTAATTTGTTAGAATTGATGCTGGCTAATGTGAACTCCGATGTTCCATCAACTTGAGCAATATCCATCACAACTTTTGCCTCCATGGGGAATAAAAGTTTTGCCAATCCAACTGCAAAAGTTAGGATAAGTAAGAAATCAGTAACATAACCATTACTTGTCCTCATGGATGGTTCAAACGATAATAACAAATATGATGGTAAGTTCATAATCTAGAAATACATTGTGACGCTTCCAGGGTAATCACTGGAAAAAATACATATTGGACATCCAAAGGAAAACCAAAATGCTCCTTGATGGAGAATTGTTTGAAGCTATATATAAAGAAGAAATGATAACTCCAGTAGCTAGAAAACATGCATTTTGTAAGGTAACAACTGAGGGCTGTCCAAAACAAAGCAATTAACATGAAAAGGAAAGGAACTTGAATAAAAAGGGCAGCCCAGTGCATAAAGCGCTCACGCTATGCGCGGTTCTGGGGAAAGATTTATTGTACGCAGTCTTTTCTTGCATTTTGCAAGAGGCTGTTTCCATGACTTGAACCCATGACCACCAGGTCACATGGCTATGATATGAAAATTACCTCTATTTTCAAGATACAACAATTTCATCCGTAGATCATCACCAGCCATGGCAAGAGAAAGAGAAGCTTCTCCATGCAATGGATCTCTTCTTTCTGCTTGCTCCAGTATCTCTATGCACAAACGTTCCTTTGGAGAATCCTTTCCTTCCTCGGTAGATTTAAAGTAATCTGAAGCCCTAGTGAGCCGCTTTGAGATCTGAAGAGCTTTCTCACCATCTAGGGTGAGATCAGATGGCCGGGCGCCTTTTGTTAATAGAGATACTATAATCTTGGGCTCTTTCCTCATTGCAGCAACATGCAACACAGTGTATCCCCTTGAATTTCTACTGTTAACATCAGCAAGTCCAAGGTCAAGTAACTCTGTCGTTGTCTTTGCATCACAGTATGCAACGGCATAGTGAAGTGCATATGCCTCATCTAAATTACTATGACCCTCTTTGAGTAGCATTCTCACTAACTCCACATCATCCGAATCCAAAGCCCGATGTATCCTTTTCACATGTTTATCAGGAAAACCTATGTTCTCAGGCTTGTCCAAACCAAGTCCCAAACGTGAATCAATTACTTGTTTCACAATGTGATGAGGCAATGCCTTTTCAAGTGTTACAATATCAACATCAGATTTTACAATAGTTTCTATACACTTTGCCAGCAATCTCGCACAGGCATTACCGCAGATATTTGCAATATAGAGAATGACCAAGATATCATCTATTGCAACTTTGTCGATGACGTCTAGTAGATGCCTCTGGAATTAAAAACAGACCATAAATTTTATAAAAGGAAAAAAATTAATTAAAACTACGACCTGTTAAAGAGCATAAATTTCATACTATAAATAATTAAAAGTTAAAACATGATTGGGAAAAGCTAAAAATAGTGAGTAGTTGCTGACCTGATAAAGAGCAATTAATTCAGAGATCTGAAAAGTAAAAGCTGCGTATAAAACCTCAGCGATGAAATCGACGACCGGTCTACATGCCATGTGTGGGCAATCATCGTCAACGCAAACGCAAACGCCTTTCAGCAATGGCGTCACTCTTCCGGTATACAAGTAACCCAGAATCGCAACAAGCGAATCGTAGCCAATCTCATAATCCCTGGCCAACTCTTTAAGCTCGAACTTAGCTCCTCTCTCTTGTAGCCCAGAAAACACGGTCTTGAAAACCGAACTCCTTGCCGATAAAATGCACCGGTGAACGGGGACTTCGAGGCCCGAAGAAAGCGCGATTTTGGCGTCGGAGTAGAAGGAATCAGAGTCCGTTGATTTGAAAAGGGATTCGAGGTTTCTAGAAAGAAGTTGAAGAGCTGCGATATCGGGAGTATTCAAGGATTCTGATGAAGCGAGCGTTTCGGAGTCGGTTGCCGCCACGATGCAGCACGTGCTGCTGTTGTTGCTGATTTCATTTGAATCCGAAAAGCCATTTTTATGATCCATAGAAAAAGAAAAAAAAACAATGATTAAAAAAATAAAAGGAAAACTATTATAGACTCAAAGAGTCAAAGCCATTTGTTTAGGTAGCCAAAGAAGAGCCGGTTCAGCAGCAGAGAGAGGATTCTACGACGGGAAAGGGGCGCTTTGAGTTGTGAAAATAAAGGGAGAGGAAATTGAGAGAAACCGCCATGGATTACTGACAAAAAAACAAAGTCAAAGGAGAAAAAGAGGACGAGGTAGCCATAGAATCGACGACATAGAGAAGAGGAACATGGGCGTGACGAAGAACAGAGAGAGAAAAGTAACAGTACTAAAAAGAGTTAGATACTTTTCTTTTTCTTTTTTTTTCCCTCTTTTTAGATTGCCTTCATGGGATCATTGGTTCATTTTCCGCCCAGCTTTTCGTCCGTACATCAGTATCACCGTGTTTTTTACTCTTTCACAAGTTCCTTTTTTAATCTGGATTTAACGGTTAGGATTTATTCTCAGAATCAACCATTGGCTCAAACCATTTTCAAGGGCAAAGGGCGGCCAAATCGTTGGAATTTCTTGCCATGTGTCTGTAGCTGAAAGCTGAAAGTCTGTTGCGGCCCTAATCAAAGTTTCGTCAGTTTTTTTTTTTTTTTAAGCTACAGTTTCTAGTTTTTTTTTTTTTTTTTTCTTGTGTAATCCACTAATCGTTTAGTGACCACAGCCATTGAGATATGGATAGCATATTTTTATTATTATTTTTTTACACATGAATTTGAAAAGTTCTTCTATCCACTCCAACATGTTTTAATTTAAAGAGTCATCTAATCTTGTTTGTTTCCAATCATTGGTTTTTTTTTTTTTTTTCATTTTTCCCAATGAATCCGATTTTTTGTTTTAAATTTACTGATGGTGGAATTAAACTAAAAAGGACACATAACAGATAACGTTCCATTTCCTTTTCTTTGTGGGGGATGGCATGAAGATTCAATGAACTTAGAAGTGGCCATCATGATTCATTGAACATAAAAAGTGCTTCGCATAGGCATTTAAGGAACAATTATGAGACCCTGTTGTAAAGGACATTGCAGCAAAACTTGACCTCTTTTTAATTTACAAATAATAAAATTTAAATCTCCGTATTTAAAATTTAAATTCATTAAATATTTTTTATTAAAATAATTATATAAATCATTAAATTAAATTTAAAATTTAAAAAATTAACTTTTGTCCGGATCTTAATGTTAGAAATATCCCAATCCAACAAATATAGAATCAGTCAAAATTAACTCAAATGCAAAATCAAAGCATGCCATATTGGCAGCATCTCTTATTTTGTCTTGAGCTTCCTTGAGAATGAGGAAGTGACCATATTTTATTAGAGAGACAGATAAATGGTGACTTAAAAGCAGTTGGATAACATAGTTTAATATTGAGTTTATGATCAGAATAATGGAAAAATCGGTGGCTAAAGAAACACAGGTATATAATATACGAATGGATCGAGTGAGATAAAAATTGCAGACAACGACCAAACTCTATATTAACTACTTTCAATCATGAACACATCCAAATTATTTGCAGTGTCAAATTAAATACAAAAACCGGAATTTGAAACACAATTCACTCAAATTCTCAAAACAATCATCAACAAATGGTACAACAATCTCTTAATGTTTCATTTTGTAGTTGAATTTTCACGAAACATACAGGCAGGAACCATCATAACTATACCAAAGTTTGGAGTCAATCCTTCTTGCTACCCCATGGATGACATACTTTTTCCAACCCCACTCCAAGGCAGTGCCTGAATCCACGTTCTTCCTTTGGTGAGGAAGCAAAATCGTTTGATTCGTTCTTTGGATGGATTGCTCCAACAAGAGCTTCAATTTCTTCCTTTGCTCGTTCAAAAACATTAGGCGCTTTAACTTCATTTAGTGGGGTGGTCTCATCAATGTCATCGTTCTTCCCATGAGTTTCTTTGTGATGATGATGTGGTGACTTCTCATGATGCAAGATCGCCTCCATCTCTTCCTTAGCTCTTTCAATCAAATTGGGGGCTTTGACAGTATTTTCTGCCAACATAAGGCATGTATAGCACGAAAGTTCATCATCATAACCCTTTAAACTACCCATAGCTCGAAAAAGATATATAAGAAGTAAGCAAGAGCCAAGAAACTAGCTAAGAACCTGGTTTCTCATGCTTTAATTCTTCCTTGGTGGAATGGTCCCTGAAAATTTATCCAAAAAACCCCTCAAAAGTTCAGTATTTGATTCTCCTATTCAATTCAAATGATAAATATTAGATTCCAACCTTTTATCGTCATGAGTCTGAGACTCCTTTTTGTGATGGATTGTTTCAACAAGAACATCAATCTCCTCCTTTGCTCGTTCAAACACATTGGGTGCTTTTGCATCATCCACATTATGTTTTTCATGAGTTTCCTTGTGAAAATGTGCTTTTCCGGTATGAATCACTGCTTCAATCTCTTCCTTAGCTCTTTCAATCAAATTGGGGGACTTGGCACCATTTTCTGCCAATATAAAACAGAGCACATAGAGCACTAAAGTTCATCACCACAAGTCATATCATAACCCTTAAAAACTGTCCAGAACTTGAAAAGGATATCTAAGAAATAGCATGAGCAAACAAACTAGCAAAGAACCTGGTTTCTCATGTTTTGATTCCTCATTGTCAGAATGGTCCCTGAAAATTCAACATGATGTGAAATTAAGTATCCAGAAAATCCCCTCGACAGCTCAATAGTCGATTCCCATATTCATTACGAATAAGAAACATTAGATTCCAACCTTTGATCGTCATGAGTGTGAGACTCTTTCTTGTGATGGATTGTTTCAACAAGGGCCTCAATCTCCTCCTTTGCTCGTTCAAACACATTGGGCGCTTTCACATCATCCAATAGGGTGTTTTCATCAATATCACTACGCTTTCCATGAGTTTCCTTATGAAAATGATGTTTTTTTCCTGTATGAATCACTGCTTCAATCTCTTCCTTTGCTCTTTCAAATATATTAGGTGCTTTTACATCCTCATCTGCTAGCATCATTAGAATTGTTTATAATTCTCAATTAGACTTGTAACAAAGTTAATATGATCACTCAAACAACCACTAATCTGATATGATACATTCAGCCATGGTAGAACAAAAGAAAAGTATTATGATAAACTAAAGAATCCCCTATATTGCAGAAAATTTTATGTGCAAGGACTTGACTTCAGTCAAGAACGGATATGATTGGGGGAGAAGAAAATCTTACCAGTCAGCGAGTGCGGTGAATTTGGTTTGGGTTCTTCTGCCATTGCAGTTGTGCCTGAGATTGGGATCTGTCAGAATATGATCAAAGTTGGTACAGGATGGTTCGATGATTACAGCAGTTTGCAAACTAACAATGGCATCAGATATTTTTGCGCCTGCCAGACTGGATTAGGTAAAGGCATCGTTGTTGGCCCAAGAAAAGCATTACAACGATATTTTCTATCATCTGCCATTCACATGTTGACATCTGTAAGGCATTTTTGGGAGATGGATTTGAATTTGGGCTTTGGATTTGAATGCTCAAAAAGGCTAAGGCTTTTTTGGGCTTTTTGCCCAAGATTTATTGGTCCACCAGACCACAAAAAGGCTTCTTCAGTTGGGTCTTTGGTGAAACAAGAAAAGGCTTGCTCGTGAATATTAAATTTTCCGTTTTTCTATATCACTGACATTGTTCAATCACCAAATTCCCATTGCTTGGGTCAACTTGAATTTCAAAATGAAAATCACAAATGGGATTTTGTTCCTTATCTCTAATTTTGTCTTTGATTCGTATTCCGTCATGATTTAAATGTATAGAGGTAGGCAATTCTGTTTGGAAGTTGAGAAGTGGCATGATTCAACGTTTATCAAACTCTCCTTTCTCCTTTAAATGTTCTAAAAGGCAGCTGTTGTACCCTGTAGTTTATCAACTAACACTCCTTTGAGGCGGCTATTTGGAACTTGTCAACTACAATTTTCCTGAATTTCTTCTCCATTTTTGGTTTGATTTTGTCTTTTAAATTTGTTCGAACATCCGTGTATTGAATTGTTTTGTGTTGAAATCAACTTTTGTTCTCCAACTTGCTTCCCCACCATCAACAATATTTTGTCATTCGGGGTTAGTTGTTCGGTTTAACTTTTTAGCAGTCAATCCAGGAATTTGATCATTCCATCTATGTCTTCCATATAGAAACAAAATTTTGAGACCGAATTTCTTTTTTTTGGTCTGGTCTTGATGCTACAATTTTCGTCAGTACAACTTCGTGGCCTTTTCTCATTAAATTCGCTCCCCCCCCCCTCCCTAAAAAAAGAAAATTTTATTTGATACCGAGACTGGTATTTCCGCTGCACAAAAAAGGGGAAGAATAACTTTTAAACGATACGTGAGCGTGACATAATAATGCTGAATAGTAGTAATAACTGAGAAGATTCTTTTAGAATATTTGTGCATAGTCACTGTTTTAGACTGTAGCAGTCACATTTTTTGCATCCTAGCTCTTGATTGTACAAATGATAAACTATATGTGCCGATTTCGGCCGACGTGCAATAAAAAAAAAAGGCTATAAGTTTGCTCGCCGAATCATAAAATTAAATACCATATTGAATAATTTTATGGATTATGCACATTAGAAACATGCATCAAACCTTGGAAGTTTTTTTTTTTTTTTTTTTTGGATTTTGAAAAAGGTAAAAAGTCGATTAAAAATAACACGTGACATATAGTTACAAACATTTATCGAGAGTTTAAGAAAATATAGAGCTATTCAAAAAACGAGAAACCAATTTAAGATCAAAGACGAAATCAAACAATAACTAAAAAATGGGCTTAATAATGCATTAAATAAAAAAATCACGTGTTAATTTTGATAGATTTAATTATTAAACTAAAATAATTTGATAAATTTAATTATTAAACTAAAATGATGTGAAAAAATTTTTAGAAAAATCGTGACCTTTACTTGTCTCCCTTGACTCCGCTCTGCTGGAGACTGATTAAAAGATGTGAGAACGAACGAATGAATAAATTCAATGAATTTTACATCGTGTTTTTGAGCAGTCATAAGGAATGGCGGTTTCTGTAAATATTCCTGTGTAAATATCTCCACCAAGCTGGCTTTTTTTTTTTTTTTACTGCTTCTTATCTTGCCTGGTCCACCATTGTTTAAATACAGCTATTTGGATTTATTAATGACTTCTTCTAGTAAGTATTTTAATGAAACTTTTTTAAAATTATCTTACTAAATTTTTGTATTTAATATAAGTATTATTATAAATAATATCTTAATTAATTTTAAAGAAGTAACCATTTATTAATTTCTTGTGGTCAATCCTCTGATTAACCTGCCAATCTGTCTCGTGTTTGGTTAGCCACTTTGGCACCAGCCTTTATTAGTGACAACTTCCATTTATGGATGAAAAGCTTGTTTCTGTTGTTCTGTTGCTCTTGCTCGCTATTTTTTTAATTAGGAATAATAAATTTATACTTATGCAATGATACATAAATATTCAAAAGTAAATGTTAGAGTCCACGCTAAAAATGATGAGGATGCCCACTTCGTGACAATACTTCAAGACGTTCGCTACAACCAAATTAAACTGATTGATGTTAGTTGAAATAGTAAGAAATTTTTTTTATTGTCTTGAATTTGAATGAGTTTAAAAGTTGATAAAATTTTATGAATTTAATAGATTTACACAAATAAATCTATTTAAATTAATAAAAAAATTGTATTGAACAAAGCTTAAAAACCTTCCACCATTCAATAAAAAGTATAAAACCATAACACAGATGTGTCACACACGTCACAATTACCGACGGGTCACCCACCACGATAGCTATGGGGAAAAATACCGACGCTGAAACTTTGTATTTTTGTTCCAATTTCAACGCACCATTATTCGTGAATTCAGCTAAACACCCGCACCGATAAAATTTCCTCGAAGTTTAGTAAATTTACTTTGCTTGCCTTCCACTTTCCTGTCTTTGTGAAAGCGAATGTCAATTTTTTTTATGAAGGTAGTATAAGTATAATAAAAATTAAAATCATGATAAAATTATATTTATATAAGAATTTAATAAATCAAATCAAATAAATAAATGCATCAATAAGCCAAGATTTAATTATGTACCAAAAAAGAATTCATTTACAATAAGATGCCAAACAATTTTATTATAAATACGTTATTTATTACTTTGTTAATTTAATAACCAATCCAATACTATAAAATTGCTATTGAGTATATTTTTAAAATAATAATAGCAATATATAAATGTGAAAAAAATCATGTAATTTATTGAAAAATACTGAAATATTAATTTTAATAATAAAATTCAAACCCTAACTACTTCAAATAAAAAAAAAATTGAAAAACACTTATCAAAGTAACTTGTTTAATAGTTTAATGGGTATAAGAGTGCAAGTCAACATACGTAATAATAATTTTTCGAGGAAGCTGCGTTAGACGTTAGTCAAAATTTAATATTAATTCATTAAAACTAGAAGTTCTATCAAATAGTATCAATGCAATGATTTTACCTTTAATTACGTAAATTAATCACATGATTAAATATATTTATTATCGAATTTTGCTAATGAGTTTCTTTAAATATTTCTTAAGATTAGTTGCGTAATTATTTATAATAATAATAATAATAATAATAATATTATTATTATTATATACTTTTCCTTGCAGACATGACAGATGTTTACCCTCGTGTTGAGGTTATTAATTAATTAATACTACAGATATTTTATCCCGAGAAAGAAATCTTAAAATCTTTGACGGGTTGTTAGATCGATGGAATTTTAATTTTAATAATCAAAATTTAATTTTTTATAATCTAAAATAATAAAAATAATATTACATCACTAGTATGTTGCATTTAAATAATGCCTTTACATGCTTTTAAAGTTTAATTTATTTTCATATTCTTTGACCAAAAAAATTTAATTTATTTTTAAAATTTATGTTAAAAGTGTTAAAATATTTATGAATTATAATAAAGTTTTGAAAATAAAATTTTATTTGAGAGTATCATTTTGCAAAAGATAATAATTAAAAAATCTTTAAATATAATTTTCAAATCTCATTAAATATATTCATCATGTATCTCCCTCTAAAATTAAATTATTTAAAAAATATATGTGTAAAATCTCGTCTTCGTGTGTGTGTGTGTGTGTGTCTCTCTCTCTCTCTCTCTATATATATATATATTTATTTATTTATATATTTGTACTTATAATTAATAGGGTTGAATTTGAATCATTTCTTCTATCTCATTTTTTATTCATATATATATTTTTAAATGTTTAAAAATTATTATGCCTTATTTCTTTTATATTTTATTATGATTTTTATTTTTTAACATCAAAAATATAAAAATTAAAATTTAAAAAAAATTAATTTTAATATTAAGTACATTAAAATCATATATATATATATATTTAAATTTCATGAAAATTAATACAAAACAAATAAATAAAAACAAAAAATATTAATTAAAAATATAATATTTTATCTATAAAGCACACAATCACCGACATCAATTATAAAGCAAAATCACGTCAAATATAGTGTTTATGTATTACTTGACCGAGGAAAAGAAATGTAAACTCTTGATACTTTTATGCGTGGATGAAAAATCAAAATTCAGTTTACACTATGACAAGAAATTAAAGTAGGGACTAAAAAGTAATTTTTGTTGTAATGTTAGAGAAGGGAGTCATGAAGAGTGGTGGGAAAATGAATGCAGGGGTCGTTAAAAAATTCTTTTTAAATCGTTAAAAAAAAAGGCGTGTGCATGACCAAAGCCATGACCAAACACTCGTTGACTGTTATGAAACAGAACCGCAAAATTCCAGTGCGTGGAGATTTAAAGCGCTTTGGTGTTTTTTCATGGAAGTTTTCCTTAATTACAAGCTTACTTTCTTTGACCAATCTCCCATCTGTCATTCCAGGTATATCTCTATTGTATCTCCAACTTTTTGTTTTTTGTATGTAATGTTCCCCAAGGGTCTCCAGGTTCCAAGAAAGGATGGGGATGACCTTTAAAAAACCCTTCAAATTTTCCATAAAGAATTCCAACATTTCAATCTTTGAATTCATCAAACTCTCTTGGTCTTTAACCACGAGGCTCAAAACCTTTGAATTAGACCCATCTTTTTTAATCCCATTTTATTATTCAAAACCATATCTCAGTTGATAACTAGGTATATACGAGAGGACTGTCCGGGCCTGTCTTTTGGTTGGATTGGTACGTATTTGAAGGTTTAGTTGGACTTCCCCATTAGTTTATCATCCCTATATAATAAGAGAGAGGGCAGTCAGACTCAGACATCTTTTTTGATCATCCATTCCAAGGGGTTAATTTGTTTTGCTTTTCCAGTTAGAAATCTTATTTCTCAGAGAGAAAGAGGAAAAAGGAACATACCTGAAGGTCAGGATACAGGTAGATATACCAGTCAGTCTTTGCAAATCATTTAGTCCTTTACATGGAGTCTGTCTGTTGGTATTGATTCATATTCTTCTGGTCATAATTAATGGTTCTCAAATTACTTGATTCTTATCTTGGTTTAGATCACTTCACATTCATGATTAATGGAGTTGCATAGGAGTTGATGTTTTCTTTTCTCTTTTCCTTCAATTATTGGAGTTAATCAGTTTGCAAGTGTTTTGCCTTTAGCTTTAACTTTGCCTTTTTTGTTTGGGACCTACACTGTTTGTCATAAACCAAGGTCATATGATCAATTCCGGGAAAGATTCTGTTTGTTCAAGTTCTGAATTCTTGATTATGTTGAATTCAAATATGTAATTATCAATGTTAACAAGATAAAATCAATTTCAAATAAAGAGAAATTAAGTATTCTTCTTTTATGAACTTTTTGATGCAACAATATCTAATTAAGATTTAACACGGAGCTGGTAATTTTCCTATAAGAATTTTGTCTTTTTTAGCTTCATCCCAGCTGTATTATCTTGTAATTTAGCTTCCTCAATCATGTTGAGCAGGCAGGGGATCATTGTCTTGTGATAAGCTAATTGAAGTCTTATGGGATTGTCACTTTCCTTGCTTCTATCAGCCTGGCAACAAATTCTAAGTCACAGATTTTTCGATTTGGCCTACAACATCAGTCTGAGTTCAAAAGATGGAGAGGTGACCTTGAGAGTAAACAGCTTCAAGAGAACAGATTCAGAAACCATGACCAACTCAGCTGGGTCGGATAAAATTCAAAGAAAAAATTCAATATCATTGAAAAGTAGCGAACTTGATCATAAAGTATTGCTTGAGAAAACTTTTTCGTTCAAGAATGTAGTTCAAGACAAAAGGAAGTCAGGTTCAAATGCTTCGAACGGATTAATGCATAAGCCAATGCCCACACTTTCTTTACCAGAACCAACGATTTTGTTCTCACCAAGACCCGTTAGTGAGCTTGATGCGGCAGCTGTTAAGCTTCAAAAAGTCTACAAGAGCTACCGGACTCGAAGAAACCTTGCAGACTGTGCAGTGGTGGTTGAGGAGCTATGGTGGAAGGTGTTAGACCTCGCAGAGCTCAAGCAAAGTTCTGTGTCATTCTTCAATGGTGAAAAACCAGAATCTGCAGTTTCACGGTGGGCAAGAGCCAAGACAAGAGCAGCAAAGGTATCTTTTACACATTCAATCGTTTTCAAATTTCAACAACAATTTTATGTTGTGGCTCCTTAATCATGCTCTTTCTTTAACCTTATGAATCATATTTCTTCCTTATTAATTTCAGGTGGGGAAGGGTTTGTCCAAGGATGAAAAGGCTCAAAAACTAGCCCTCCAACACTGGCTTGAAGCTGTAAGTCCTTTGAAACATATATATATATATATATATATATATATATTAAAGGATATACTGTCAACTGTTAGCTTTAACTCGAACTAGCTAGAAAAAGATTTTGTTAACAAGTTTTGCTTGATCACATTTATATAATCTAACTGTATGGCTGTCATTCCCTGTGTTATTTCAGATCGATCCAAGACATCGCTATGGGCATAACTTACACCTGTATTATGACGTGTGGTTCTCAAGTGAAAGCACACAGCCTTTCTTCTACTGGTAATTATTATATTATTTTATCCTTCGGTCGCAGCCTTCCAAAAATTCCCGTTCAACTTAGAAAAGTATAGCAATAGTAAATTAGCTGTTCGTCACATCTCAAAAGGTCAAAAGTGCAATTCATTATATTCTAAACTTTCATGTCTTTTGTTTCTGAAAGGTTGGATGTTGGAGATGGGAAAGAAGTGAATCTTGACAAATGTCCAAGGAAAAAACTACAACAACAGTCCATCACATATCTTGGACCAGTACGTTCAAATTAAGACAGCTTGATATATAGTAATTTTCAGTTTAAAAATAGCTGCCTATTTGCTTACGTATCTATCATTTCAATTAATCATTTGCAGAAAGAAAGGGAAGAATACGAGGTAATCGTTGACAATGGAAAGCTTATTTTTCGGCGAAGTGGGTCACCGGTGGATACAATAGGTGAATCCAAATGGATATTTGTCCTAAGTACTACTAGAGCCTTATATGTGGGGAAAAAGGAAAAGGGTAAGTTTCAACATTCTAGTTTTCTGTCCGGAGGTGCTACCACAGCTGCTGGAAGATTGGTTGCTCGTGATGGAGTTCTTGAGGTACAAAACGCATTCATGCATGCGTGTAATTAATTGTCTTGTACTCGTCTAATCTTAATATTTGTCACTGACTTTTGTTTTCGTTGCTTTGCAGGCTATATGGCCATACAGTGGTCACTATCACCCAACGGAAGAGAATTTCATGGAATTCATTAGCTTCCTTGAGGAAAATCATGTAGATCTCACTAATGTTAAGGTAAAATCTTGATTATGGGTTAAGATTAGATTAAGTAATTCAACTATCTTCAAAGGATTACTTGGATAAATTTGCTGATGGTGTTTGTGATGTTTTTGTATACAGAGGTGTGCTATTGATGATGACTACTCTTATGGGCAAGCCCCAGCTAGCGAACCCAAACCAGAATCAACGGCTGGTTCTGATGAAACCAGGAAACCTGATGTAAGTGATGGAGGTGACAGCACCAGGAGGGCAGCAACAAGCACAGATGACCATAACCAAGATGAAAAGATTAACACCAATGGTGCCAAGGCGCCAGCACCAGCACCAGCTTTCAATCTGGCCAAGAGATTGTCATGCAAGTGGACCACGGGGGTTGGACCCCGTATCGGGTGCGTGCGGGACTACCCTACCGAGCTGCAATCGAAAGCACTTGAACAAGTTAACCTGTCACCAAGGGTTACTACTGGCGTCGTGAAGTTTGGTCCAATACCATCACCACGGCCTAGTCCAAAGATCCATCTTTCCCCAGGGATTTCATGTATGGGCCTCCCAAGTCCAAGTCCCATAGCAGCAGCTCGCCAAGCCAGTTCTCCAAGGGAGATGGCCTACTAGATCGCATGCTTGGGTGACCATACCCCCTAGGGCACTGCTTGTGCCGAAAGAGACTTGGAGAACCACCTGGAAACAAAACAATTCAACTGACAAAAATGTCCATTCATTACTTCTTTTATTCATCATTTTGTATGTAGTTACTACTATAATTTATTGAGCCAGGCAATTTTTAATCATATATATTCCTGGCTAAAATTTCTTTTCTTTTCTTTTCTTTTTGTAGTATAATGAAAATGTAATAAATCATTTTGAAAAATATTCTTTTTTATGTTGTAAAATCTAGGTACTTGCAAAGGGATTATTACAACTATAATGATTTAGATGGAAATGGGCAATTCAAGTCGGGATGGTCACGTGGTTCTTGTTAAAGGGCATGAAGTAATATGCACAACCACAACAACTACGTGCATAAAATCACCTTTTGCAGAAAGAAAGCAGAAGATCAAACCATCGTCACAGTGAATAATCAATCAAATCACTGATCAAATCATAACTGAGACTTCCAAAACCAAAATGCATCAAATTAAAAAAAAAAAAAAGTCTGGAGTCTGCTTATCAACCCCTAAAGTTAGCCAGACATAGTAACAAACCCTCCCATCTCTCTAGCTGGTCGGTCTATACAGTGGGACAGACATGCAGCTCTCGCTAGTCGTGGGCTTTGCCTTTAGGCACTAGTGGCTACTATGACACTACTGCTTAAATGCTAACCCACAATCATCTCAATCAAAAGATCGATGGAGTTTCTTCCTATTTTTTTAAGTATTTTTTTCTTATTACTGTGACTTCTCTTGTCATGACTCATGTTTCTTTAGTAGTTTCATGCAGGCTAGCACCCGTTTCTCTTTCTCTTTCTCTTTTTTTTTTTTTTTCTGCTGAATTATCAGAAACAAGCTGTAGTACGTATGTAGCATTTACTCTTTTTTTTTTCTCTTCTCATGCCATAATCTGCAGAAATCTGCCGATGAACAAGCTCCATATATGATTAGTGCTGACATTAGGAAATGAGAATGCATAGTGAATTATATAAGTAATAAACAAAGAGGCAGCGCCTCCTTTAAGGTATGCAGTTCCCAGAGCTTTGTCTGAGATATTTAACTGTCAGCTTATGGCAGAAACCCTTGGTCTCTTGTTTAACACCATTGATGAACAAATGACAAAAAAAACATCGTCAATAAATTTATATTTACAAGGATTTTAATTTAAAAGTTTTTCAATTTTTATCATTTTTTTTTGTAAGAAACATGAATGAATTAATTATAAAATATTACGATACATAACATTTCAACTTCATCAACGATGACTAAATATTTAACAAAAGAAGGAAGTTCATTAAACATCACATAGTTGACCTCGTAATAATTAAAACTATTACAATAATTGATACTACCAAAGCGAGTAAGGGCGTCAACACACTTATTCATTTCCCTAAACACGTGAAGCATGCGTTGATCTTCAAGATCTTCCATCAACTTTCTATAATCAAAGACTAGAAGGAGTATCATGGGATTAGTCACCCGGTGATTCTTAATCATGGAGATAACAGTGGTGGCATCAAGTTCAATTTTTAACTTATGGGTATTGAGATTTTTCGCCAAAAATAATTCATATCTGAGAACCTATAATTCTATAAAAATATTTGAACACACCCTAATATATCTAAAGGAACCAAAAATCTATTTTCTCTCACTATCTCGAATAATGACTCCAGCTCTTACTTTTTCAGGGTTACCCAATGTCGAGCCATCTGTGTTCAATTTATATCATCTCTCATTCGGAAGGTTCCACCTAATGGACACAAAGGAATGCAATGGAGCCCGAACTCATCTCTAGTTCATCTCAAATAATTCAACAGCCTTCGCAATAATCAATTTCACCAAGTCAACGATTTCAACATTCTGTCTAAATTTTCTTCTATTCTTTTCAAGCCAAATCTCCCATAGAATATGAATAAACAACAGGTAGCAGGGGATACCATGCATGGATCAGTGCTTATTTAAAGCATTTTCTTTGATCCATTGTTTATAGTTTATGATTTGATGGGATAGAGGCAAAGAGGCTCATTGCAAGGCAATCCATATGTTTTTGGTTCATTGGTAATTGTAAAATAGGTGTTCCAAATCCTCTCGATCATGCATGCAGAACACACAAGTAGTCAGGACGTTTAACCTTCTTCTAACAAGCTTATTACGTGTAGGCAATATACATTGCATGCATTGTTAAATGAAAAACTTAATTTTTGGCAAAGCACGCAACTTTCAAATCCACTCCCATTGACCTTTATTTTCGTTCAAACTTGTTCCTCTAACAAAGTCATAAGCAGATTGGATAGTGAATACCCCACTAGAGGATGTAGACCAATATATAATATCTTGTCCCTATCCCACAAGTTGAGTAGGGATAGCATTTATCTTATTCAAAACATCAGCATTGAGTTTGAAATAAATTGAAAGAGATTGATTATTTTTTAATGCGTTCAGACACTAATTCATGGATTATTTTTATTATTTTTGTAACAATATATAAGAACATATTATACTTTTTATTTTCTAATCAAGACATATAATAAAAGATTGTTGACAATAAAAATTAAATTTAAATTTTATAAATAAAATATTAAATTTTTTATAATTCAATTAAATTCGTTGACAAAATTCATACATCCCACAATTATAAATAAACCAACGGCATTTTTATTTAATCGGTCAATACATTTTATTATTAGTAGTATTATTTTTTCCACTTATATAGTGATTGTAGTACTTTCTTTTTCATTCAGATTTATATAATTGAAACATTTAATTAGAATTTAATGGTGGGGTTGGCAACTGTCTCAATGGTTCCCACCGTACGTACGCCTAGTCCTAAACACAATGACTCTTTACCAAAAGGCTATGTGTTTAATCTCAAATTTTCATTTGATCCAGTGCCACATTTCATCAGTTTTGAATTAAAATTTGTCAGTATTTGTATAAAAGCTTTAAAAAAGCTAGCATTACTAACATTAAAAAAAAAAAGCTGTAGTTAAATTTCGTAAAGCCAATTTCCACATTAAATCAAGCTATGGTTCACTGCATTCTGATTTGGGAAGAACTCCAAAATTAATGACGAGACAATGATGTGAGTCAGTGAAAGCAAAAACTTTGAATGGTGTAGCTCTTTAAAGATGACCACCACATTGCTCTACTGTCCGACCTGATCTGATCAGTCGCATTAATCACTAAAATCCATTAAGCCGACCATCCTGATCAAGAGGCTTCGTGTCTTCCCTATCAAATCTCAAATCGACTGCTTGAAATTGAACCTACTTTCACCATCTCATTTATTTATGAACTATCAAGCCGTAATAATTATTTTTAAAAAAGTTAATTTAATTATGTGATTGATAAATTCATTTTTATAATAAACAATTTAACTTTAAACCTTATCTTTAATTTATCGTTAACATTAATTTTTTAATATTTAAAATTATCAAAAATTAAATTTTAATTATAACTGTTAGCAATAACATTAATTTTCAATATATATACTATTAATTATTTCATTTTTTTTACAAATTTGATATTTCATAATTTTTAATATCAAAAAATAAAAAATTGAAATATAAAAAAATAATTTTGAGACAACATAAAAAATAGAAGGGAAGAAATACTAATTATTTTCCTTAATTTTGTTATCTATTTTTTCCTTTTACATATATTTTTACATTTTTCATGATTGAAAATGATGGTTTAATTCGTGTTCGATGAGTTTTAATTCAATTTAATATCTTAATTCTAAATTTTTTTAAATTAAATTTTAAATCGAATTAAATTAAATAATTATAAAATAAATTAGAATAAAATTTTAAGTAAATTCATTCAACTTAATTCGATATATATATAATTATTTTTAATTATTTATTTAATTTTATATTTATATTTAAAAATAATATTTTATTAACTTCAAATTAAATTAAAATAGATAAAATTTTATATAATATTAAATTAAATTCGAATAAAAATAAAATAATAAAATATAAATATTATAAATATAAAATCAAATAAATTCAAAATCAATCAAAATACCCTCGACCCCATTGGTTTCATCACTATTCATGGCTTCCATACCAATTATACGTTCTTTCTTTGTCTTTTTTCAAAGTCATCGACGACCATCTTAAAGAGATGAGGCTCTGCAGTCTAGGCATGCAGCCGTAGGATTTTTCCTTTTCACTGCGTTCCCAAGTTTTTATAGGGCTGGCGTTGGGCTATTAATAGGGCAAACCAACCTTTCGGGAATGGCCACTATCAGGCCTATCAGTGCAAGTTTGTTTGTTTGTTTTTTTTAATATAAAATGTTAAATTGACAATCACTTGGCTGCCTTTAATTAAAATAGAAATGATTAATTTTTCCATTTATTTCCTTAGTTTTCTTTTTATTGACCAATTTTACGTGTTTTATAAACGTTGGAACTTAAAAATCGAGACAATAATTGGATCCATCCATGGTACCCTAATTCTTCGATTCTTTTGTTTTTATTTACCATGTGAACTTTGTGCGTTAATATTGTTTAGGGAAAATTATCTCATTTAATAGTCAAAGGTTAAATCGTGATTTTATAAATAAAAATAAAATTTTTATTGTGATATATTTTAAAAATAAAATTATGAGGATAAATCTTTAAAATTTTAACAATCTTTGCTTCCGTTATGTTAAAACGTCGGCATCGGTAATATAAATAGTTATTATTAGAGAAAGTAAAAAAATTTGAAATTGATAGATGTTGATCCAATTTGATTTTTAATGATTAATTTTATTTTAAATTTGATATCGGATCGGATGCATAAAAAAAATTTGAAATTAAGTTGAGCTTGGATTATAGTAAATCCGATCTTATCTGATCCGATATATAAAAAATTATTTTTTAATTATTTATATTAATTTTATATTGATATATATTGATATATATTTAATTTTATATTTATATTAAAAATAATAGTTTATTAATTTTGAGTTGTGTTCGATTTTATATAATGTCTATTTAGGTTGGGTTCGAGTATAAAAATAATAAAAACATTTATCAAGTAGAATCTGATTCGAATTTTATGTACTTAAAATCGAGTTGGATTCGAGACGAGTAAAAATTAATCCCGACCCGACCTGTTGTCGTCACTAATTATTATTAAGAATAAAAATTTATTAAGTGAAATTTATGTATTAACATAAACAGTATTAATTGATATTTAACGAGTAAAAATTTCAATTAAAGTAATAGGGTTACAAATTTAAAAGTACGAATAAAATAAATAAAAAGTTTTAATATATGTATAAGAATTGTTAAATGATTGAGTTTAATTTTTTGATTCGGTTAATTTTAAATTAAATTAATTGTTATTTTATTTTTGTTAATTAAATTAAATTAAGTTTATTAAATTTATAAATTAATAGATTAAATTAAATTTAGCTGGATCAATTAATTTTTTATTAATTAAATAATAAAATATATTTAATTAAATTATATTTTTAAATTTTTATATTTAAAATAAACTAAATAAGACCATCAATAAAATATTGAAATGCCAAAATATTAACTTAAAATTTATAACGAAATAATTTATTTCATATATTTTTAATTTTATATTTAAAATTTATTATATTTTCATTAAATTTTTAGGTAATTCAACTAATTCGATTCAAAAATTAAATTAAATTAAAAATAAAATTATTTTAAAATTAAATAATCAATTAACTAAATTGAATCTATTCCATTTATTAATTCCGTAAAATCTCGAATTTTGAATACCTACTGTTTTTCCTTGATGGAGTTGTCAAAACTCGAAAGAGAAGAAAAACGTACACAATCACGACAGTGTTTCCTCAGCTACCAATCTGTTTGATAAGAAGGTGGAATAACTTGTATGTGAAGCAAAGATCTGTCCACCAAGACATCTGGGAGTGAGAGAAAGAGAAAGACATCGGATAAGGTCTTCGTCTAAGTTGTTTTGTTTTGTTTTATGTTTTTTAATAGTTTTATGGTGCTTCTTTGGCTTGTTTCTATAAGGTCCAACTGTTCTGTTTGTCCTCTTCAGCTGAGCACTGACTCAAACACCCCGCTCTTTCTCAGTCTCTGGAAATAAAAGATTATCATCATCTCATCATCATCATCATTTGGGAATTCTCAGGAAAATGAAGCAAGGAATGTGTTGTTTTCTCATTGTTGTTCTGCAGATAATAAGCTGGACTCATGTATCAACCAGGTCTTTAGCAATAGCATCTCATGATGTTTCTCCTCATCCAGGTTTTCCTATTTTATTTCTCTTAGTACTGCACCTCCATTTGTCTGATTTAAACCTCTTTTTTTTTTTTTTTTGCTAGAAAAATCGTTTTCAATCTTTTGCTTTTCCCCCCAGTTTGAGCAAAAGCTTCTTTTTAACCTTCTCTTATCTCTAAACTTTTCCTTAATTGTGGATTCATATTATAAGAATATATAGAATCCAACTCCCAAAGATTGGTTTCACACTCAGCTTGTCAATTTCTTCTTTTGGTGTTTTACCGATTATCTTAACCTGATCAAACAGGTATAGTTCCAGAGTTCCCGGGAGTTGCCTTTGATTCTAAAAAGGTTGTTCACTATTGAAGCTTATATACACTCTTTTCTGCTCTTTCATTTTTTTTTTCTTTGCCCAGTCTTTGACAACCAGGTTTGCTGATTCTTTTTTATGATTCAGGGTGTTGAAATTAGCAAGGGTGGAGTAGGTTATGGGAGTGAAGAAACATATGGTAGTAGGATGGTGGGAAGACTCGGATCAAGGCCACCAAACTGCCAGCGCAAGTGTGGACGCTGCACTCCCTGTGTCGCCACTCAAATTCCTGCAACTTCTGAGAAACTGGGAACTCAGTATACCAATTATGAGCCTGAAGGATGGAAATGCAAATGTGGCTCCACTTTCTTCAATCCATAAATGCTGCTGGGGTCAATCTCTAACCACCTTTTCCGCAGACTCCCTCTCTCTCTCTCTCGACATGACCCCATGTATAGGATACTCGATTTGTCTTCATCTTTCTCTTTCTTTGTTCCTTCTTCTTGGAGAAAAAAAAGGAAGAAATTTTGGGGTCTGTTAATCTTTTAAGTTAGTTACTGGAATACATGGAAATGGTTTGAAATTCATGGTCAGTTTATGTTAGTGGTAATGTTGTTTCGTGCGGTCTTGTGGTGAATGAATGTAGCCAGCCAGCCGGCCAGCCATGTGCTGCAAATTTGCTTTTAACTTGCTTCTTGTGCTCACCAAAATGGGAAAATGATGAGAAAGCTATACATCCTTTTCATTTTCTTTTTAAAAATTTCTGTGTCATAAGCCTTTTATATAGCACTATTATTAATGGCTTCATCCTGTAACAATAATAATCAAATAATATACATACCTCGGGGGAGTTGCTATGTTACTCTGTAAATAAATTAATGCATGAGAGTATGAGCTTATAAAAAAAACTATTATCTGCTCGTATTTTTAGATTTTATTTAATACATTTTTATTTTGAATCCTATGAAATAAATTTATTTATATTAGATTTAATAATTTTATAATTTTTTTATCATACAAACTATTTTATTATTTAAATCAATTATCCGTCCGTTATTCAAAAATTGTTTTAAATGGAACTTAATTTTAATAAAATATAGATTTTTTTCGAAAGGGAGCAATTCATGTTATTAGTGGCAAAAATAAAAGGCAGAAAACGCTTCCATTAAGAAATCCCAAATGCAGCAAGATCACGTGACAAATACACTCCTTCAATTGATACCAGTCGGATAAAAGCACGTGACCGAAGGACCCCACGTTGACAGTGTTGCGTAAATATTTTTTCTTTTTCACTCTGAGGAACTTTCGCATCGTTTGCACGCCTTCTTAACATGCGTGGCAAGCCATTTCCATCTCTCTCTCTCAAGCCCAGATTTTTGGTTTGAAAAAGAAAAAAGGAAAAAGAAAAAGAGAGACCCACGCCACGCATAAGAAAAAACACACGCGTCCTCCATTCTTCAAAGGCTCGATTTTTTTTTTCCTCTCCTTGATTCGATTGGATCAAGTCCACAATGCCAGAAAACGAAGCTCTTAGAGAGAGAAAATATGCAAATTTAAACGTTTTTGGAGAGAGAAATAGAATCATGATTTCTTAGTTATTCCTCCCCTCCCTTTTTTGTCCTCTCGATTAACCTAACCTAACCCTAGTTTTTTTCTTTGTTAATTTTAATTTTCTTTTCGGTTTAAAACAAACACGTACGTAACTCTAGATCTTTTTCATTTTTTTTTCTTTGATTTTTCTGTAAATTTTTTTTATTTTTTAGGTGATCGAAATTTGGATGTGTATGGATTGTCTGCGAGGTTGAGTCGGTGATTGTGTTGCCATATAATTTCCTCGCTTTTTTATTTGGGGGATTTTTCTTAATTAGGGTTTCAGATTATAGTTAGGGTTCGATTTTTCTTTTTTACTTATTTGAAGTTTGAATTGATGGAGCCTCGTGTCGGTAATAAGTTTAGGCTTGGTCGTAAGATCGGTAGCGGCTCTTTTGGAGAGATCTATCTGGGTTCGCTACTTTTTTTTTTCTTTTTTTTTTCTGTTCCATTTTGTTGTGCGATTTTGAATATAATTTGTTGATTTTTTTTCTTTGCAGGTACGAACATTCAGACAAATGAAGAGGTTGCCATTAAGCTTGTAAGCAACCCTTGCTCAAAATTCACTTTTTATTTTTGTTGAATTTTGTGATTTTCTTGCTTTTGGTTGTTGCTTGTTAGTTACTGTAGTTTGTTGCATGTTAATGTTCTATAGAATAGCAATGTAGTTGCTATTCTGGTTAGGTTTTAATTCGAGCTCGTATTCCTTGGATTTCCTGTGTTAACACAATCATTTATAACTTAGTGATGCAGTTGAGTCCTAGGATATATTGAAGCAAGAGAGTGTAGAAATCTGCTATTGCTTAGTTAGTTGGATTTTAGCTAATGTGCATCAGGAGGAGAATTTCGATTCCAATTTATAGGAGTAGTTCAAGTGTGCTGATGTTTGGAGCCACTTGACGCTCTGGTTTATGCATACAGTTTTTTGCTTTACCTGATGTTAATTCTTTTTATTTTCATTTTATTGTTTTGATTAATAATTGATAATCACAGTTTGTGGACTCACTCGAAGGAAAAAGAGAAAAAATAGAGAATCAAACAATTAATTAAGGTTTTAACATTGTGGGATCATAGTATCTCATCAAGAGGTGGATCAAATTTATTCATAAGTGATTTCTTCTTATTTTCTAATGGTTGGATGGCATCATAATGGACACAAGGGTGGTTATCTCCTTAGATAAATAAGGTTAAATGGGGTGACTTTCCTTTTTAGTGTTGATTACCAATTTGCCATTTTATGTAAATTATTTTCTCAATATTTGGTGTGAATTTATTTAATGTTAATCAATGGTACTTATAATTGTTTAGGAGGGGCACTTACAGTTTGGATGACTAATTAATAAACTAACTTTCTGCTTGAATTATTGGTGTGATTCAATTAGCTCAAAGTTTTGACGTTCTGTATAAGAAATTCTTTCTTATATTTAGTGTTGATAGTGATTTTCTCCTATGTTGCAGTTGTTTTAACCATACTAATTTTTTTTTTGGTACATAAGGGAGGTGATGACATTTTTTTTAAATGATCAGGAAAATGTGAAGACAAAGCATCCTCAGTTGTTATATGAATCAAAGTTATACAGGATCCTGCAGGGAGGAAGTAATGATTCTGAGTTTTTTTTTTTTTGTCTTTCTAGAGCATCAAATTCTTGTTTCAATGTCTGGTTGTTTTTAAATTTTATATTTATTTACCAAATTAATTCTTATGACTGCAACTGTTGACTTTCCCCATCACAATCTTTTCTTGGTAGGTGGGATTCCAAATGTGAGATGGTTTGGAGTTGAGGGAGACTATAATGTTCTGGTTATGGATTTGCTTGGACCTAGTCTTGAAGATCTATTTAGTTTCTGCAGTAGGAAACTCTCTTTGAAGTCCGTTCTCATGCTTGCAGATCAAATGGTAGTTTCGTATAATTTCATACATTTGGAACTTCAGTTCCTTTTCCTTTAATGTCTTGTAACTTAATGCTATTTTTTTTTTCTTCCCAGATCAATCGTGTCGAATTTGTTCATTCAAAATCATTCCTCCATCGAGATATTAAGCCCGACAATTTTCTTATGGGCTTGGGAAGGCGTGCAAATCAGGTTTGTGCTTTCTGGTCAAAACATTGTTTTATTTTATGTTGCAGCAGATTTTAATGTGTTATTGCTTTTCACATTCATATAGGTCTACATCATTGACTTCGGTCTAGCTAAGAAATATAGAGACAGTTCAACTCATCAACACATTCCATACAGGTGAGAGAACTTTGCATGCGTGTGACCTATTGTATTTTACAGGCAGCTTAAAAGGCCGGGATTTGTTTCCATCACCCTATACCCTTCATTTTTTTTTTAAATGGAAGAAAATGCTTTCTTAATCCCATTACTTGTTTGTTTCACTTCTTCTTGATTGGTTTACTAGTACAAATAGTCATCTGAGCTGATTCTCCTATGAGATTCTCTTGATTGCACCTCTATTTTTCGCCATGTGCATCCTCTTTAAGAAAAAGCAACTTCTTATGGATTCACATATTTCTTTTGTGATTATGATAAATGTTATGCATAATCTACCATATATGTTTTGGCATGTAAATGCTCCTGGAGAAATGATATTATACTCACTATAACTTGTGTCAATGCATGAATGAACTAATATCATGCAAATATGCTGTCATTTGGACATTTAAGAGAAGTCTTGCTGATAAAGTTTAAGTTGTCAAGCTTTTATTTTAGGTTCTATGACCTGAGAAGACATGTTTCCTTTTCATTTTTTGTTCCATAATCTGCCTGGAAATTAATTGATACCTGTCTGTTTCCCTGTCTGTTTTATGTTATGAGTTATGGGATTTTCCAATAAGGTTGGTTATTACATTTTAACTTATAGCTGTGATCGTTGAGTATGGCATGTATTTGTGAGTTTCCAAGGTAAAGCATTGTGAAGAACCCACCCAAGGGTAGTTGTATTGCTTGTAGTGGTGGTGATGAAGCATCTATCTTTTTTGTGTTGCACTGGCATGTTTATTTTAGTATTCTCTTTACTGTTTATAATTTGTGGTTGATGTTCGAAGCAATTTTTTTATATTCTACCTGGTCATGATGGTTTCAGGGAAAATAAGAATTTGACTGGAACTGCAAGATATGCAAGCATGAACACACATTTGGGCATTGGTGTGTATGGTCAATCTTATTGGTGGTATCTTTTCTTTGATGTATAGACCTTTCTTCTAATCATCTTAATTTTGATTCTCTGCCCTTCATTACCATGTAGAGCAAAGCCGTAGGGATGATTTAGAGTCTCTTGGATATGTGCTTATGTACTTCCTAAGGGGAAGGTGATTCTTGCTACCCATGCTACTTTCTTTTTTGTCTTGTGTTCATTTCTTTAATAGTTTTTGTTATTGATGCCTCTTTTCTTTTCAGTCTTCCTTGGCAAGGTCTGAAAGCTGGAACTAAGAAACAGAAATACGAGAAAATTAGTGAGAAGAAGGTTTCTACTTCAATTGAGGTAAGGATGTCTTTGAACCTTATAGTTGCATTAGGATTCTGTAAAGGGAATTTGAGGTAATAGAAAGAGGTAGATGTCTGGCTTAGAGGTCCTGATTTTACATGCAAAATTGTGACTGAAGATTGATGCTGTTTCAGGCCTTATGTCGAGGTTATCCAACAGAATTTGCATCATACTTCCATTATTGCCGTTCACTAAGATTTGATGATAAGCCAGATTATTCTTATCTCAAAAGAATCTTTTGTGACCTCTTTATTCGTGAAGGTGTGACCATTTACATTTTTAGCAGTGCATGCTGTCAACTTTTGTTATCTCCATAGATCACAGTGACGTCATGTCTTTCATTGTTCTTGTTGATCCTTGCCAAACAGGCTTCCAGTTTGATTATGTCTTTGATTGGACCATTTTGAAGTATCAGCAATCACAGCTGGCCACTCCTCCAGCTCGAGCCATAGTGAGTGCTTAGTATGGTGTTTTACTTATGTTAGTAATCAGTATGGAATGCAGCTTTTGTAATGCTTGTCTCTGTTAGGGCCCTGGTGCTGGAACTAGTTCTGCCATGCCCCCTGCAATTGCCAATTCTGACAGACACCCTGGTAATTGGTGCTTCTTTCATATACTTGATTGTCTCTTAATTAGCGTTGTTTTGAATTTTTTATTACTCAAGTTTGTGTCTAACCTGCAGGCACATGTGAGCACACTGGCAATGTTATTCCTTTTCCAATTTTAAAATTCTCTTTGATATTTTAAGAAAATAAAATACTTGCATAGTATAACAATTATCTTTTCTGTTTCTTTCAAGTTGAAAGATCTAGTTATGCTTGGAATTATACCATTTGCATCTCTTGGTTGCAGCTGGTGAGGACATGCGAGCAGCTGGTTTCTCATCCATAGATTCCTCTAGGCGGAGAACATCAGGACCCTTGATGAATTCTGGAAATTATGCAAAGCAGAAGAGTCCCATTGCAAATGATCCTGCAATTACCAAAGAATCTATGGTAATTTTTTTTTTTCATTTTATGATTGTGCATGTGTAATAGTATTTTGAGGTTTGTCATCAATCTTGCATTCCACATACTGTCTTGGTCCGTTCTCATTTTAGGATATTTCTGTAGGTGTCGTTGGTGCTGGTACATGGGATGACCAATAATAACATTATGTTTATAGTTTTCCATCTGTCCTCTGTTATCTGCAATTGCCTTTTTAGTTAAATTAGGAGGCTCTGTACATTAGTGCGTATATGCACGTAACAAAAGATGGATGTGTGCTTCAGATTCCCTGTCCAAACTTTTGGCAACAGATATTGGGTAGTTTTGAACAGCTCCTATGTATTTGTCCTATTTCCTTTTTACATAACCATTGTATATTTTATTCCATCCTTATCTTTTAGTGCTAATTTGGATTTTACTTGGACAAAGTTTGTGGGGCAGTCAGGTGGATCATCTTCAAGACGAGTTGCTGTTTCTAGCAGTCGTGATGCGTTTGCTGGCAGTGAGGTTGACCCCCAACGTTCTCGTACAACTGATGCTAGCCCTGGAGCATTGCACAAAATTACAAGTCGACAACGAAGTCCTGTTGAATCTGCTGACCCTAACCGGACATTGTCTGGGAGAAATACCTCTAACGTCAAGAACTATGAAGCTGCCCTCAAGGGAATCAAGGGCCTGCAGTTTGAAAGTGATGAGAGAATTGATTATTAAATGCTCAGCAATATGTTGTAAACCATGAAATGGTTGATGTACTACTACATTTTGTAACAGGGTATGTTTTCTTTTTGGGGGGTTGGGGGGGGGGGGGTTTGAGTTTTCAAGTGGAATTTGTAACTTGGAGCCCCTGATGTAGACTCTCGTGCACCGAAAGCGTAAATTTCTGCACTCATGGAAAGCTTGTGAAGTGAAATTTGACTGCATCAAAATTGTTGCCCGTGAAGGCTAGGTGTGTGGTATGGCTATTTTGCCAACGGTTTCAACTTACTTGTTTTTGTGGCGTCACTTTCATTATAAGATTATACTTTCAGGCGTCCATAAGATTATGCTTTCTCAGTTATCTGGAACTTCTTTTCTAGTTTTTGAGGTTTGAAACCTTGTGGCATTGTAAAGTGTTTACCGTATTCATGCAACTCTTGTTCTTACCTTTTCTTTTCCCTTTTTTTTTTCTTTGTGTCAATGCTGGTAAGGCAAATTTATGGATTATTTGTTCTTTATAGTGGACATATGTATATGTATACATACATACATAATAACGGAAAGTAGGATTCAGGACATGATAATCAAGATTCTGTTCCTGTGAACTAAGGGAACTTAAACGCAGGACATGATAATCATAACCATTGCTTTTTCATTGGTTTGTCTGTTTTCATTTCCATTTTACCTTGGCACTCTCCACTTGAAACATTTTTATTCTTACGGAATCAAGATGGTAGTTGTAACAAAACATCCATAGCCATGGTAAGTTGGCTTGAAATAATAAATTGCCGAAGTAACCAATAAATGGAATAGATAGTTCCATTGGCGGTCTGCATTGAATTCTACGAAAAGTGATCCCAAACCACTTAAACCACCAAGTCCCTTTTTTTTTTTTTTTTGCCGAGATTTAAACCACAAATCTATAACCTATGATTGTATTGATGTTCCAAATTTTCATGTACATATATATATATATATATATATATGCCTTCAGAAATCAGATAGCTTACATTTTTTAGAAGACGAAATGAGCCTCAAAATTACAGATAGAACGCAAAGCTAATAAGTATACAAAGCAAAATAGAACGATTATTAATTCAACAGTGCAGGAAAGGAGAGGAGCATTTCGTTAGAGAGTTCATACATAATTGATTTTTACCCATAAATTCCTTCACAGACAACCAAGCAAGCAAGTATAAATTTTACCACCACCCATAAACTACCCTAGTGTACCTTTCCTTGAGCCACCTAAAACTCTTCTTGAAAGATCCTTTCACTTTCCCTTCAACAGCGTAAACCTTGTAGCTAGCTACCCTCTTCTTCCTCTGCAACTCCGGATCATTCAAACTCCAGCTTTTAGAAGAAGACCCACTTGTGTACTTGACTTTTTTTAACTTAGTATCGTTATTATGCATCTGGGTCTGGCATTGGCGCACATTTGAGGCATAGGATGCACTGTAACACCTGAGATCTTGCATGCTATGGATACCATTCCCATACGACGAAGTGGGTCCGTTATAACTCTCTATCTGCTGCATTCTTCCATCGCCACATGATTTAGATCTAAAGTCTTCCATGAATTCTTCTACTGAAGATATTGGGGGCCGTGGGGGAGGAGAAGGAATTGCTCTCTCTCTCTTATCTTTGGAAGCTTAGCTTTTCACATTCCACTTTATATCTCTAAAGCTGGTGCCCATAAATTGAGTGGATTTTTGTGGTTTGGAGCCTTGTGTTAGAGGAATTATAGTCTCTTTTATTTTCGTTGAGACGAGACAATTTTTCTTGTATTAACCCTGCTGACTTTTAATGATGAAGTCGCGTCGGTGGTTCGTACATAAAGTTAAGGAACTAAACAAACTAAGTTTAGGTGTAATAAAGCCAAATCACTTATTCCCATGTTTAAATGTTTAATCCATCACTTCCTTACATACAAATTTCACCCACATCATTATCTCACCTAATCTACCTACTAATTGCTAGTAGATTTAAAAAAAAATAATACTAATAACTAAATAAATACTAATCTAAATGCTTTCAGAATTATCATTTCATATAGTATAATTTTTTAATGTTATAAATGAATTAAAAAATTGATATAGATTTGTTTTTTAATTAATTTTTTTAATTTTTTAAATAAATCATAAAAAAATGTATTATCTTATTAATTTTATTTTTATAATCTAAAAATTTTACTGATTTTCAAAATTTTATGACCGTATCAACCTAAAATCCTTATTAAAGCAACCATAGAGGATCATATAAATGATAACAAAACGGGGAGAAATGGAGAGTGGTTTCCACACCTTAATCATGGTGGGGCTTTAAGCTCCTCTTTTTGTTGGGACAAAGGCTGCTTTTTATGCCCTCCACAAATATCAACACCCAGCACAACAAATCTGCTGTTTTTGAGTTGTTTTTGCCCGACAAGCATACAGCTCCAGCTTTTTATTAAATGAAACCAAATAATGGAGCCTCTTCCCCTTTTTTTTTTTTTTTCTTAAAAAAAAAAATTGAGGCACTTTAACTTTATCAAAATCACTTCTACATCCACCAATGAGGGTTTCAACTTTTTAAACGAGATAAAACAAGTTCAATCATAATTCGTAAAGCAGGCTTGATGGTATATACATATATAAAAATAGATTAAACAGTTTCAGAAACTTGCGCTGTAAACAAGGGATGCAGACTTGAGGATTGCTGGAAGAAAAGTCTAAAATCTCAGATAAAAAAGGAACAATTGCACTGATCAAAATTTCTAAATTGCACATGTTTCCAATTAATTATCTGTAGGTCACGAGATTGTTGTCTTCAAATCATGAAATTTATAGATTGAAACAAATTTATTGACTTGAAACCATCCGAGTCAAACTCTGAGGCGAACTAAATTCGAGTAACAGTTCTCGAAAATAAATTGTCTGTAAACTATAGACAAGACTCAATAATTTTCAACTAATAAAGAACCAATAAAGTTCTATCCCGACCCCCCCCCCCCAAACAAAAAAAAAGAACGAGTAAAGTTAATACGGGTACTACATTTGTGGCGTAGGTACTGCTTTATGCTTTCAAAATTGCTTGTGAATTTGTTCATGAAAATCATATATCAAAGACATCAAAGCATCTCAGCAGGTAATGCCATATGATGAAATGAAATATACAAATATAATCCAAAGCAAGCAGAGCAATGCAACATGATAGATAAGTTACCATGCAAAAACAATCTGTGGCAGCTACTGGATCAACTTCCACCAGGTTTTTATAGTAAGTAGTTTAATCTGCTCTCCCTTTGCGATTCATCAAATCATGGTAGTATAAAAGCACACACATTGGCTGACCAAGAATGCAGAAAAAGAACCAGAAAATCATATTTCCCACCTGGTATTGAACAAGAAAAATGTAAATGATCATACCAAAATACACAAGCATTAACATACCACACGAGCAGGATATTCTATTTCTAGGTGATGGTTTATAGAACAGGGTGAAATACAAAAATCCTCCTATGGTTATTTTAAAAGGACACTAAACCCTTAATAGTTTAAAATACCAACATTCCCCCTTGCCCCTCCACTTCTTTAGTCAAACTGTTATCCTATTTAAACCCACTGCCACATCACTTAGATTTTTTGTAGATAAAATTGCCATGCTCTTCTTCTTCCCTTTTTCATTTCTTCTCTGCATTTCATTTTTTGTTTCTCCAAATCTTCCATGTCTCTTGCTTCTTTTCCCTTCATTTTCCTTTCTTTTTTTCTTTTTTTCCATTTTTTGATCTTTGGCTCTCTTCTGCATCCTCATGTTTCTCTCTCTTCTCCCCACACTCTCATTGTAGGTTTTTTCTTGTTCTTTTAATGGAAAATCTTAAGGCTAGGAAAGTAGATGCCAAGTTCTTCCAAATTTGAAGAAAATGGTTCAAGGAGCTCCCTTTCATTTTTTATTTTTTAAATTAAATCTAGCAATTGTTCATTAATAAAACGATTTGAGTTTTTTTTTTTTTTTTTCCGTTTACATTAATGCCATTTTGAAACTTGCAATGTGAGTTCTTGTTTTATTGCTTTATGTTACTCTATAAAAAGGCCAGAGAGGAGGAAAAGAAATGACAAAGAAAAAAAACAATAAAAAAAGAAATAATGGCTAATGGTTTGTCTATGAAAGTGGATTTCAAATGGGTAACGGTTTGACTAACATAGTGGATGGTCAAAGGGGGAAAGTTGGTATTTTGAAACTAAAGGGGGTTACTGTAATGTAATCATAAGTGGGTTTTTTGTATTTTATCCTTATAGAACATTAATCCCTTCCTATCCTCAGGCAAAACAAATAAAGGAACAGCAGGAATTATTGTTGTTGCTTTCCGTTTCCTCTCTTCCACTCTGTGGTACCTTGGCTTTTGCTATTACTCACAATAGCAATACAAGACTACAACAAGCCCCCTAACGTACGTACATTCTCAGAATCAAAGAGCCAGTAAATAACTTCTACCCCTTTTTTTCCCTATAATTTAACCTTAAAGATGTTAATGCAGAGTGGAAGCTTGGTAGTGATAAAAATATTATAGAAGAAAAAATCGATTAAGCTTCATAGATACAAATCAAAGTAAAAGGCTTACCATCGAGCTCCTAAACTTGTTTTGCAGATAATTTGTGATCAAGACCAAGGGAACCTGATAAAATTTTAGGAAGAAAAGGAAAGAATAAAAATTTTCATAAATCTCACACCTGATCAGTTCTTGTTCTATTAGTATTAGTACTGGTTCATTATTCTTACCTGAAACATGATGCCGATAAAAGCCCATAACTTAAATATATGGCAAGGAACAGCAATGCAGAGCTGTAATAGAGTAAACACAATAATGAAACAATAGAAGCAAAATCAAATTGGCAAAATATATTTATAGGATGAAGGGATTAAACAAAGCATGCCACATGGTATGACAGGAACAAAACATATCTACTCTTCAATTTATAAACTATTACTGTAAATTGTTTCCTCGTTTCTCCCCTTGGCCCAACGTAAGCTTTGTTCTGTGTACATGGAAAAAATCATAGGAAACAAGCCCTGGCATCTATTCTTTGTTTTTCTTTTTTTGTTCCTTTTTTTTTCCTCTCTGAGTTGCCAGTTATCCTCATTGATAACATCAGGCAGCAATAATGCAAGTTAAATTAAATAATTATTAGAATTTCCACCCTCTTCTCCATCCACAGAAGGCCAGTTAAAAGAATAAATAAAAACTTATGGGAAATACACACCTCATGAAATAAAGCAGAAACCAAGAAGGCAATAATGACGGCAACTCCCTGCATAAGGACAGAAAAGAAAACAAATTAAATAAAAAATAAACAACTGAAGTGAAAAACATCGCCATTGGGAATCAATAACCATATTTCCATCACTTGAAACCTAAAGAGATAAAACTCATGACTAAAATACTGAAGTGTTCAGAAAGGGGAATTCACCTTGGGTATACCATTCCTTAAGCATGGAAAATAGATATGGCGAACCATCCACTTATGAACTGGCTGTAATCAATTAAAATTCAGTCAGTAGTGGAAAACGTAGCTTTTAACTTCTGAGAGTGAAAGGAAAATCAGGAAAATAGCATTTATTGTATGCTACAGTTGAAACAAGAAAATCGTAAAAACAATTAAAATTTTGGCCCATATTAAACCAGTATAATTTGACAGCAATGAGAAGACCAGAAAACTCTGGCAATGACTTGGTATTTATAACAGCGAGTCTGCCAATAAGTTACAGAAAAAAAAAAAAAGAAACAGATTATCAGTAAAATGAAACTTACCATATTCCACATTCTCCAATACTGATGACAGCCATAAATAGTGAAATCCATGCAAAAAACAAAAAAAGTTCACAGTGAATTTCACCAAAGCATTGAGTGAAATATAGCCCAAGAAAACATTTAAGGGGGTCTAGAACTTACCTCCTCGACAGTTTTTGCATTCCACCAATCTTTATAGAACTCACGATCCCCAAAACGAAGGAGCTCAGCTAGTATATTTAACCTGTATTTGTTATTAAAAATAAGGGTATGCAGCATGCATAATAAATATTATGCTGCCCAAGGTTTTTAAGTGTCCAGAAAAGGCTGATCTTTGTCCATTGTGTGTGTGACCTAATGCATGTGCGTGCCTAAGAGTGTGTATGTGAGCACAAGAATAATGTTTCACGTTAATACTCCATTCTAAGGAGCAGATTCTGACAAAATGGCTAAACAAAGAAACAAGATGCCCCATGGTCAGGAAAGATGATTGGTGTTTCCTAACTCCCTAATATTGTGAAGGAAAGAGATGCTGGCGCTTGAGATTGGTTGGCCACCAGGTGTGCAGAGGAGGTAATTTAACATCTAAGTCAATAAGGTCGTTTGCATGATCATGCAAAGAGCTAATTCACATGTACATACGTGAAAGCAGAAACGAGCAACTTGCTGCAATTAAATGATGAAGTCATGCATATAAAGTGAACACAACTAGAGCTACAAAATTAAAATATGAATTACTTAACAGAAGTCTTTATAACAAACCAAAGAGAAAGAGACTGCATTTTCCAATAACAATAACTGCAGACGTACCAGAGATGAAAAAAGCAGTAGAACATGCAGAGCCACACGTATAAATTTGGAACTGAAAGCTTCAAAACTCTCTCTATGGCATACAAAAGGTTCCCCTTCAAAGGGTGTTGAGAGTTCTGAACAATTGGATTGATATACTGCAGAATCATATATACACATAAAAAATTTTAGCATCTGATGAAAATATTCTGAAACAAAAGGTATAATAAGGAACACTAGTAGCAATTGAAGAATTGGCACCTACCTGTTCTATTATGAAACCCATGAGCCCCGTAAATATTATTAACTTGATAGATTGACGAACCACCCAACTTTTTCGAACAGCTGGTGTACGAGGATAGCTTGGCTGCATGGAAATTCATCAACATTCAAAACAAGTGATTGTCAATATCAAGCCATGTATCAATGCTGTTTAATACAATATAAATCACAATCACAGAAATGTAACACATATTTAAGACAAATCATATTAATAGATTAGGCGTGCAGAGCAAAACAAGCAATGAATAAAACTTATTTTGGTAAGCTAGCAATCAATATTATGCACTTTCAAGCAATAATTGCAGTCTTGCAATAATCAAGAAATCAGCAACATTATCAATCCATCCATCAATACCCCGCCTCAAGAGGAAAGGTGAAAACAAAAGAAACAAAGGATGGCAGTACCAGGATGGATCATAGTCCAAAGTCGTAAGACATGACAAATAAATGAGGTACATAGAATAAATGGATTCTAGCTTGAGCATTGGCAGTCAAACACCCTACAATGCAGCACAAGACAAAGGAAAATATCAGTCTAAGCACCAAAAAGAATATGATTCTTACCTGGTAACATAACGTGGGAGCTACCATGAAGTATACCAAACTCTTGAAGCTAACATCATGCATGTGGTCCGCACCTCTCTAACATCAACAAGAGCATACTGAATGAATCAATAATAATTAAGAAGAAAATATAACATTGTTGAAGTGAAAACAAGGGGGAAGATGGAGAGAGCATTTTCTCTTATTCTAATGAAAATTAAATTGCACCCAATATTTGACAAGATTCGTGATGTGAACCATGAAGCATTTTATAATCAACAACTTTTTCAATGCCATATTTCTCAATTCACAACTAAACCCCAAAAACATCATGCATAAATCATTAATCGCACATGGTTCAACTGTCAAAGAGAAAGAGGAACTAAGACGGGAAATAAAAAGAGCTACAAGCTTTTCTCTAAATCAAGTCTGCATAATTTTTCATTTTTTTTACCAACAAATACAAGCATGCTTTTACATTAATCAACCAAGAATTTCAAAAATAATTTCACTGTACCTTTTCAGGTGACTTGGCAAGTGCTCTCATATCATTGTTGGTATGAGCATAGGATACCAATTTTAACCAGACAATACAAGCAAACAGCATCAATGCAACGCCTGATAAAAATGCAGAATCACACCTGCACAACTCAGAGTAAGTCCGATCAATTAACAATTTTCAACAACTGTTCTCTTATTCTTTTAAGAATTTAATGTGATTATTTAATGGGCACAATACAACTACATAAAACCTCAACAACAATATACTTTAAAACGAAAAGAATGAGCCTGACGGGAAAATGCTGTAGGCAAAGTAAGCAATATCAAGCCAGCTTGAAGAAGAACAGGATGAATTGTTAAGTCATGGTTGAGAAAGGGACTTCAAAATTCTTAAATGAGCTTAGCCCTGATATTCATCTGATGCAAACTTACATAAGAGTGTGTGTGCTGTCTGTATAAAAGAAGTTGAGCATCTCTCAATCCTAGTAGGCTAGTGCAATCTAAACCTTGGATAAGTAGACAAAAGTAACATTTTTCAATGCGTGCAATCTAAACCTTGGATAAGTAGACAAAAGTAACATTTTTCAATGCTAAGTATATTATCAATAGATAACTATATCTTGGAATAAAAAGAAATTCAAATGATAAAATGTAAGGAAAAAAGAAAGTTCACCTGAGAATAACAATCACTGGATACAAAACCACAGTTGTGCTAATGATTACATGAAGAAAAACAACAACCTGCAATATAGAAATTAGCAGTCAACTTTCTGAAGCTTCAATAAGACAATGTGTTGTCTTGTTCTCTAGGAAGAATTAGTACACTTCGTAAAGGTCTGAAGCCAAACATATGAAACAGCAAAACAATTTCTTGATTGCCGGTTCTATTCCATCGAAATTTCAAGTAAAAAAAGAACAAGAGCAATAGCTGCAGCCTTCAGTCGAAACACTTACAGGTTCAGTTATATAATTCTGTTGCACCAACTTTTCAACCACAAAAGCAGCGAGTGGGAAAATTGGAAGAGTAAGACTGCAATGTGAACCAGCAAGCAGAACATAATAAGCTAAATGATGATCAAGCCCACAAAATCAACATGAAAACAATACATTCTTAGCAAAAGGTAAAAAATTAGGATTAGATCAAGGAGGCATTACCAACACATAAAAAGAGGCCAATCACTCAACGATCTCGAACTAAACCAAAAACCAGATCTAATCAACCACCCATACTGCAGCATTTATCAACAACAACCACAACAACAATAATAACAAGCCATTAATCCATAAACCATAAGTCCATAACCCCCAATAATACTAAAATTTAAACACAAACCTTCATTAGGTTTTCAATAATAAGCCGGCTGTTTACAGCAACAAGCACTACTACACAGAGGTTGAACAGGCCTGCATGACTCTGATATGATGTTAAAAAAATCACCTATCAGAGCTTCTAATAAAATATAGCAAACCTAAATTAACTACCACAGCAACTAACATTTTTTTAAAGTTAAAATAATATTAAAAAACTTAAAATTCAACAGACGTAAAAGTTCCAGAAAAAAGAGCGCTCTACTTTAAACCAATGACCATCTCAAATGAGAGCACGTGTAAATAAAAACCTGTTTGAAGATGGCGTCAGAACTGAGAGGGCTTTCTTTGATCCTCCGATGAGCAGGAACACAAGGCCGATACGTGAATCTTATATCGGAACTTGTTGGAATCTCGTTGGCTTTTTCTCCAACGTTACTCGTGAAATTGGCCGATTCTACTCGATCCTGGTAGTCCACGGCCTCGCCGTTTCCCGAATTGTCCGGAGCTCTGATTCCGGCGCCGTTGGTGGCGTTTGTGGTTCGACGACGAAGTGACAAGAGATCAAGATCTGAGTCGCTGTGAGAGGTGCTGATCACCGTCGCCGTGCTCCCTAAAATCTCCGGTGACTCGGATATCGCCATTCAAAAAACTAACAAAAACAGGAAAGAGAAAGAGAGTTCTAGAAAGAAGAAGGTTTAGCGAGTTGCAATAAAATCAAAAGCATGTGCATAAATAACTATTCATTCCTAAAAAGCACAGATGATTGAAAAAAAAATTTTCAGAAAATTTCAAAAGCAGATGGCAGAGACAAAGGCTTAATTTCGCGAAGTGGCTATGAACGAACGCAAACTTAAAATGGTTTTCGGTGTCAATTAAACCCGACAACTATATTTAAATCATTATTTTTTAATATTAGAGGAAAAGAAAAGGGTGATGACAAAACGGTAGGTGTTGAGCCTTGAGAGGTGAAGAAAGACAAAAGGAAAGTTCTGAAAACTTGTAAATGAGCCGCTTTCGTCATTTGGAAGTTTGCTCCTTTTTTTTTTTTTTTTAAAGCAAACGCAAATATTCTTTGAGCAAAATGAGGCGGTGCAAAACGGGCCTGGAAAGTGGAAAATTCATTTGTACGTTGCCACGTTGCATCTTCCGATATTATTTTATAGAACCGTCCATTAATTACCCCTTTTTTCCATATTTATTTATTTTTACATGTACTTATTACTTAATCAATCCATCAAATTTAGATGATTGATTCACGTGGGCATGCAATTTTATTTATTTTATAAAATTATTTCTACCATTAAAATAAAAAATTATAAATTTAAATTTATTATATCACCTTACACTCATATATCAATTTAACGAGAAATATGAGTTCAAATTTTGTCCGTTTCTTTGCTGTAAAAAATTAAGAAGGAAAATTCAATGAGTCTATTTGTAAAAAATAAATTATTATTACTATTATTATTATATTCGTAATATATGAGTATTGTGTCATGGGTCGAGACTTAAGTTTTGAATTCGTGCGATTTTGAGATCTGAGCATTCACTCTTTCGATATCCCAGATCAACTTTTCTGTCATGGTTCACACACTTGTGAGGTATTGTCCGCTCTGACCCCTCTGACCTCACGGTTTTATCCTACAAAAAGCATCTCATAAAGTTGAGGTGGTGAGAACCCTTATATACCTCAGTGACTTTTTTATTATGTTCGATGGGGGATTCAGGACTCCTCTTTAGGTCCGTGACATTCTCCAGCATCCAACCTTGTGACGCCTTCGTCACGGAGGCTGATCACCCTGCCTACCTCCCTTAAGGTGCTTGACGTGGATCGAACGGTTTAGGGTTGACTCTTATACTACTTGTCACGGGTCGACACTTAAGCTCCGAACCCGCGCGGTTCCGAAACCCGGGCATTCACCCTTTCGGTGTCCCAGATCAGCCTGATTGCTATGGTTCACACCCTTGTGAGATATTGTCCGCTCTGGCCCCTCTGACCTCACGGTTTTGTCCTACAAAAGGCGTCTCACAAGGAATACTCCAGTGACCCTCCTATTATGTTCAATGTGAGATTTATGACTCTTCTTTAGATCCATGACATTCTCCTTCACCCAAACTCCTGACGCTCTCGTCACGGAGGCTGACCACCCTGCCTGCCTCCCTCGAGGTGCTTGACGTGGATCGAACGGTTTAGGGCTGATTTTGATACCACTTATCACGGGTCGAGACTTAAGCTCCGAACCCGCGCGGTTTCGGGACTTGAGCATTCACCCTTCCGGTTTTTCAAATCAACCTTCCTGCCACGATTTACACCCTTGTGAGGTATTGTCCACTCTGACCTCCTGACCTCACGATTTTATCCTACAAAAGAGATCTCATAAGATTGAGGTGATATGAACCCTTATATATCTCAATGACTTTCTTATTACGATCGACGTGAGATTCAAGACTTCTTCTTAAATCTATGACAATTGCATTAGGCTATTAGTAATAGTAGTCTCAAGCACAAATTTGGGTAATTCCGTATGGAAATGGAAGTCTTGTGATGGAATGCCCGTGGACTGATGAAAGAACCATTGACCAAATACGTGTTTCTTAATGCATTCAGACTCTATTCAACTTTCTTAATTGGGAAGAAAAATACAGACGCTGACTACAACTAAATGCCCCACACGTTTGTTATAACTTTTTTGGATTTTTACTATTATTCTTTATATTTATGTTTCATGTTTCAAATTGAAATTTGAAGTATATTATTTACTACTTTTTTGTCCCTTATTTATTTATTTATTTTAGATATTCTAAAATTATGTTTTTTTTACATTTAAAATTTTTATTTGTTTATATTTAAAAATTATTTTTAGTTTTTCATTTTATTTTTATACTAAAAATTAGGAAACTTTAATTTTATAAAAATTTTTAATTTTAATATTAAATACATTAAAATTAAATTTTTTTTAATTCTATGAAATTTGAAGATACTTTTATAAAAACATAATTCTATTTAGACTAAAAGAAAAGAAAATCTGTTACATAAACGTTGAACATGCCAATTGTCTCCGCCATCGGTCCAAAGGGTGCCACCCGCCTTTTCCAATGATTGAGAGTTAATAGCAACGATTTTCTGACACAGAAGTTAAAGCCAATTCTCATCCCGGTCTTGAAGACACCAAATTGTTATCGAACTTCTGCCATGACAGTTTCAGCCCACTGCCCCACAATCCAGAATGTCTTTCTGTTCAATTCTGGATAATATTCTGTTCCTATGTGAATAGATAATAACTATATTAATAATAATAGTATTCTGTTTAATAATTATTTTCTCATTGGCCATTGCATAGAAAAATGTAAAAAATAAACAAAAAAAATCTTTAAAGGCGATATCCCTGCAGACCATCTTATTTAAATAAAGAAATGGAAGAGAAGGCTTATGATTTAAGAGATTAATATTTGATTGTAAGGAGTAAAATATTTAGGGACCCAGAATAAACAGCGCAAGATACTTGCAAAATATGGTCAAAACTGCCAACATGCATGCTTTCTCTCCTAAAGCAAATTTTGCATCTAGTAATAACTAAACAAAAATAAATATATCCCATTGATTATCTATTGAATTAGTTGATATGTCATTAAAATTAGTATATAAAAACTATAAAATCACTATAGTATTTGGAGATTGTAGATTTAAGAGAATTTAAGTTTATAAGATGCTTTGAAACTAAATATGTAATAGGATAAAAATTTTAGGATAGATTAAAATTTTCAAAACAAAAAAACAAAAATAAATGTCTCAATATATTTTAAAACCCCAAACAAAAACCTAAAATAACCAGGTAACTTACAACAACAATTGCCCACATTACTAATTGGGTTCCAGATTGCAAAATGTAAGTACTCAAATCACTAAATAATCAGATATTCAAAAAACCTTAGATTTAAGAGCCTACAAAGGAATGCAAGCGAGGGGCTAAAAGAGAAGGGGGAAAAAAAAAAGAAGAGAATAGAAGCAAAAACATAACAAAGCAACTTGCTATGCAGCTTCCACTTGCTCCAAACTCCACTACTAATGGATGGCAAAATCTCATCAGAGGAGATCAGCAACACTTGCTGGTAACTCCTCAATAACCACATTATAGAACTTCTGGATGTCAAACAACATCCTTTCATCATCCTTTGTCACAAAGTTGATTGCAACACCGTTCCTCCCAAAACGTCCACTTCGTCCAACACGATGAAGGTAGTTCTCCGGTTGTGTTGGGAGATCATAGTTTATAACAAGAGAGACTTGCTGGACATCAATACCACGAGCAAGGAGATCAGTGGTTATGAGAACACGAGATGACCCAGAGCGAAATTCTCGCTTGATGATATCTCTTGTATTCTGGTCCATATCTCCATGTGTGGCAGAGATTGTATGGTCTCTGCTCCGCATTTTGTCGGTCGGCCAGTCAACCTTGCGTCGAGTGTTTACAAAAATGATACTCCGAGTAATGGCTAAGGTTTCATAAAGATCACACGGAGTCTGGTGATCTCAAGGGCCTCAGGTGGCATTGTTGCAGAGAAGACACCCACTTGCACTTTTGGAGGCAGAAGCTGGAAAATGTCATAGATCGGATTGCAAGAAATTTTCAATCAGAACAAACATTATTCAAGTGTAAATCTCCTTATGTTCAATGACAATAAGTTTGAGTTTATAGGAAAGAGAAAAAGAGATGGCATGTCATTCGTCGAAAATTGAAGGAAAAAAAAAAAAAACCAAGAATAAGATTAAAACATGAGATAAAGATTATGCGATAAAAATGACCTGATCCTTGAAATCTCGCGACAGCATTTCATCCGCCTCGTCTAACACAAACAACTTAATGTGGTCAGCACGAAGTGACTGCCTCCGCAACATATAAAAAACACGACCAGGAGGGCCAACAACAACATGCACACCACTGGCTAAGATGCGTTGGTCTTCACTGACACTGGTCTCACCAACACGAGCATGAACCTTGACACAAAGATAGTCTCCCAGTGCTCGCATAACCTTCTCAATCTGCTGAGCTAGCTCCCTAGTGGGTGCCAAAACCAAGGTCTGGCATTCCACCAAACTATAATCAAGTTGTTGCAGAATTCCAGAACAAAATGTCGCAGTCTTTCCTGTCCCCATTGAGCCTGTTGAATCACATCAAGTCCCCTTGCAGAAGGGAACAATTCCTCTTTGCATAACTGTAGTTGAGATGATAATCGATGAAAATCGAAAAGTTTAAATAATTAAGAGAAGCTTTCTTAGAATATGGGTTTCGATGACATTAAAGTTGTCTCTCCCAAACTCCTCGGATCAACGCCTCGGAGTTCAAAGGAAAAAGATGTTTGAGAATAGGACAGCGAAGTGGGAGTCAGAGAAAACTGACAACGGGCTTTGGTCTAAACTAATATATATGTAGTTGCCATCGTCCCTTCCAGCCGTGGGCCTGAAACGTTCTTTTACTTAGGTTTCCAAATTTGCCCCTCGGTTCGTAAACCGAGTCAAATTATTATGGTATTTTAAAAGGATTTTGATATGGATCATAAATACTCCTTTTTTTTTTTTTTTGTAAAGAGAAAGAATTGCTCTTTAGTTAGCATTTTTTTTTATTTTTCAAGTTATTATTTGTTTCTTTGAAGAAAATGATAAAGACATTAAATTTTGGCCCTTTGATTATACTTTGAAAAGTAAAGGAGAAAAAAAAATTAATGAAGGAGATCCTTACGCATCCGCTAAACGGACAAACTTCAAACACAGAATGGACCCACGTAGGAAATACAATCAATCAAAACTCCAGAATCATGTCTACCAAATCAAAATATAAAATCGTTAATTTTATAGTACGAAGTTCTATAAAAGTCAAAGCCACTTTAGATGGCACCAAGTACGATAGTCAAAGCATTATTTTAACATTAGTTTCTGGTTGTGGTAGATCTCAGTGAATTTTAAACACAATGGCTGCGGAATGTGCACAAATGACTTCCAAACTGTGATATGACATCTACAAGATCCCCATAACCACCCATTGCAGTAACCTGACAAGAAAAAGTTTGTCGAAACATGAAAAGTATTAAAAAAAAGTTCAAAACAAAGAAGAAAAACTAATAGCAAGCGGCGCTGAGTGGAAATGGAAATTAATTGGAACATACACCAGATGGGTGCAAAGAGACTGAAAACGCTGATTGAGAAGCACAATGGATCTGCGTAAGTATCATTCCATTTATATCAAAACGGCTGAGTACAGGGTCTGCACCAACAGCTAATATCTGAATTGGCAACATAACAATTATTAGGTTGAAAGAACGGAAGTTGTGATCGCATCCTGTAATTTGAAAGTGCTGCATAACTGGATGAGTCTAGGAACAATTTTGGGTAACAGAAAATTGATTGGAAGTCAAAGACTTGGTCTGGTCGAGAAACCAACTCCCACTTACTTGATTGTCATCAAACACTATATCCTGTATGGATGCACGGCTGGAAATACTTGAAATGCATTCAGAAGCAGGGAGATTCCAGACTGACAAACTTCAACCACTGCCACAAGCCTGTCAAGTTAAAATCTTGATTAAAAGATGTTCAATGGGGAACCTCAAAACAACATAACAAGTGGTAAACTTGTACCGTAATTCTGCTTTATTTGATTCTGCCTACTTGAAGAAAACCATTTGGACATAATTAAATTGGTATTTGAAAGATCTTTGCTAGAGAGGGGAAAAAGAAGTGCTCATAAGACCCCAGAATATGAATCCCTCCAATGAAACAAATAACAATGGACTTCAACTGCTGAAGTCTAAGAAATTATACCTAGGTAACTGAATTCTAAGAGATTTAAATGGTCACAGCCACTAGTGACAAGAAGGCCTTTCATTTATCGTTATCAAAGGCCAAATCTTTTATGGGATTCATATAACCATATTTGTATGGTATTTATAATGAGAAACAATATAAAAAAACTGAAAAAATTTCACCACTTAAGCTCTTACCAACCAGCTCTCACTTGCATCCAGAGCAATGCAGCTAACACAGGAGATGAGCCCCTTCAACTTCTTATCCTTCAGTGGGTCAATTACTTTAACGCATTTTCCACTTTTGCAATCTATGTAAAACCATATATTAGTCAGGTTGCTAGAGGTGACATGGCAATGGGTTAAGTTGTTTGATATGGTCATTATTCAAGAATATATGTAACACATCATATGGAAAAATTATTTCATCTAGCCATGTCAATCAGATTTCACATTAAATATCTTCTGAAGCTAGAACTAGCATAATACAGAGTAAGCTAATTGCAACATAAGAGCAAACTAGCTCTCTGTAACCCTTGAAAATAAAAAGACAATACTGTTTACCCCAGATTCGTGCAGTCCCATCCTCTGAACCAGTTATAATCTGAAAAAGAAGAAAGATGATAGATTAAGAAGTTTGCTTTGTATCTCATGTATCAACTTTAGATACATAGATGGCTATGGTCAAATAAACCAGATGGTAATAGCACAACAGGACCTCTTTTTTTTTTTTTTTTCTTGAGTAACAATATCGTTAGCATATAGGATAAATAACCTTGGTTGATATGAATAAAATGACAACCCCAAAAAAGGTTCATTATTGTCAATTGATAACAAGACACCAAGACTTGAGCTAAAAGGATTACATTATGGCAGGAAGGATTATTAATCCAGCTGTCTGAAAGAAAAATTAAACTAACAACCAAAATAGAGAATCATGAAGAGAGAAAAAAGCTGACCTGATTGGAAGAGGCACGAGCTAATATACAATGCAAATAGTCTAGATACCCCTTAAAAACCATTTTGATTTCACCTTTCTCCTGAAATGCTCCATTAGAAAGGATGTTAAGAGTCACAGCAGCTAGCAAAACGAGGGGAGGAATTTAAAGATATATCCAATGAAAAAGGAAAACATTAACAATCACTTCTCAGACAAAACATGAGGAACAGATTCATTTTGAACAAAAACATACCACATCCCAGCAATATGCACAAGAATCACCAGCAGCAGAAAAAATGAATCCCCCCCTGTTTTAGTAGAGAGTGGAAAGAAGAAATAAATTCATAAAACATAATTTGCCACAAATATAAGTAATGTCAGTATAACCTACAAATTAAAAGGAAAGGTTTTAAAAACCTGAGGATCAACAGCAATCGCATTATTCTCAGGAATTGGAGAGAGAGCACCCCATGGACCTCTGAAAACAGCAATTAGAAAGTTACACACCAAGAAAGGGGGAAATTAGTTGATTAGACAGAATAGAACAATATCAAGTAATCCTTTTCCAGAGACTTCATTGTTTTGCCAAAATGAAAAAACAGCAGACCTGAGAATAACATTTAGCAAGCTCAACACCAAGAGAGAATATAAGCGGAAGAAAACAATATATCACAGGTTCAAAACCACGCATAGGCTTAGACAAAAAATGCTTTACGAATTCCTTTTGAACTCAAACAGGAGCACATCTGCATAAGGCATGTCTTATACATCAGAAACTACACGCATGATCAAACCCACATAATACAAGAGTGAAGGGAGCAAATGAAGTGAGAGTCTGAGATCAACTACTAATGAAGAAGTAGAAAGATATGCATTAAAACAAACAAGAGGATCTTCTATAAGTTGTGAATTTTGATTACTCACTTATGTTGGGGATTGACCAAGTCAATCACTGGCTTCATATGATTTCCTGCAAAAACATCAAATAAAATTGGCAAATTAAACACATTCAACAAAAAGCAACAAATAACATCATTGAATAATAAGTATGACATGTTGACAACCCACACCAAAACACATGCAAAATTGAGTTCCCAACCCAGAGGAGCATTTGAATGACATGAAAATACCCACCGGTTCTACTCAATCTAAGATTCAAAGACCAAGAATGGTAAAACAGATGGCCAACATTTAAATTGAAAAGAAATTTTCAAATCACAACAAGAGAAAAAAATAATGACACAATTTTCTTTTCTTCCACATTAAACAGTAGTCTCACATAATTTTAAATGCTATCTTGTTAAAAGAACAAACTACACAGTTCCAAAATCTGATACCTTGAAAGGTGATGGGCACCTCCGATTCTATAAATTCCTTCCACCTCCATCCTTTAATTTTACCATCATCGCCACAACTGCAAAAAAGCTTCAAGAATGTAAGATGCAATAACCGAAGGGTCACTGATTAGGGATGAATTCTAATCAAACTTGGTTAAGTTAATGAACAACAGCAAGATTCAACTCAAGCTTGAAATAAGCCCAACCAAGCTACACAAAACAGTTTCCCAATCTTAATGCACACAATTAAATGCAACAAAAATGAGAAAGGATAGATTTTATTGCATCATATTTAATTAAACCTTAATAACAAAGAATCTTCTCCATTGCCGTAGAATTTCACATCATAGGCAGGTCCATCATGCGCTTCAAGGAATCCCTCTGGCTCTGCTGGTAGCAACCTCTTAAATTCCACCACAATCCAAAGCACAATCGTTTACTATTACTCAAATTGAAAACAGTCTTTAATTAATTAACAGTGGATTGAGAGACAGTTGTTTTACCGTTGAGCCCCAGCAATGCAAAAACCAATCGGCTTCAAGCAAAAGCGAAATTCAAGTGAGAATCATTTCTATTCTTTCAAGTAAATTAGGTTTTTTTTTTTATTATTTATGATTCGAAAATGAAGGAAGAGAAGGTCTCACGAGTTTAGAGACACAAGAGGAAATGGTGTAAGAAGCGATCAAACCATCGCTGGAAGCGACGACGACGCATTCCGGGTTAGGGTTCAAGGAAGGAGCCAAACGGTTCGGAATACGGTTCGGGTTTGGATCTCTCTTTCCCTTAATATGCTCTCCCTGTACGCTTCTTGGTCCCAGTTTGTTGCATCCCCGCACATTTTTCTTAATTATGAATGTTAAATCGGGTACGGGTTCGGAGCTCCGAGCAGCTCTGCCTTCTGTTCTCTTTACTGAAACTCCTGAGCTTTAACTGAAGGAGACAGAGTACTGTGGAGGGAAAGGTTGGACTGGACTCATCCCAACGATGTCGTTTTTGAAAGCAAAAAAAAAAAGGGTCAGTAGCCCAAGGTTCATTTGGGCCTTTTGGGCTAAGCCGGAGTTTTTAAAAGAAAATTAGGTAGGAAATGCCGTCGTCCAGTTGGTTCACAAATCAATACACCGTATTCTTCACTGTCGCCATTCACTAAGACCGGCATCTTCAAAGCCGCTGCCTTGAAGAAAACCCGAAAGGCTCTCCCTTTGCGTGAATAAACCTAACAAAAACTAATCTTTCTATTACTTCGGCTTTGGAGATCTGATTTTGTATTTTCTCATCTCAAAATCTGCCCTACAAATCTCTCAACATTTCCCAGATTCAGAATCTGCTAAAGTTTTGTCCTTTGAAACCGAGTAAGTTACGTATTTCTCATAATGTTTTCAACTTAATCTCGCAGATCTATTATCTTCTTGCAAATTTTTGGTTGATGTTGTTTCAATAGATTTATTTGGTAGGACGGAGTTAATTTGATAGCAATAAATTCAATAGTTTTATAGATTATGTTCTTGCTAGTTGCTGTGATTTTTTGCTCTGTTTTTAATTTGGACATACATATGTTTTCTTCTGTCGATTCAGGTATATTTTGAGAAAATAGCTGAGACATTCAAAAGTAGCTGAAATTAATTGATTGCCTGAAATGAGTGATAACAATTCACCACCTGGGTCACCCAAACAAAACCCAGATCAGAATTCTGAGACTAACCCAATTCCCAAAGATGATAGCTCACTGGAAACCATAGTTCGAAGGTTTCAGGAATCCATGTCCTTAGCAAAAAGACACAAATTTTGGGAAACTCAGCCTGTTGGTCAATTTAAGGATGTTGGGGACACAAGTTTACCTGATGGCCCGATTGAGCCCCCCACCCCATTGTCTGAAGTGAAACAGGAACCTTATAACCTTCCAAGTCCGTATGAATGGACCACCTGTGATATGGATTCGGAAGATACTTGTGCCGAGGTTTACAATCTTTTGAAGAACAATTATGTCGAGGATGATGAGAATATGTTTAGGTTCAATTATTCCAAGGAGTTTCTTAGGTGGGCTTTGCGCCCTCCTGGTTATTACAAGAGCTGGCACATTGGGGTCCGTGCTAAAGCTTCGAAGAAGCTTGTGGCTTTCATTACCGGTGTCCCTGCAAGAATAAGGGTGCGGGATGAAGTTGTGAAGATGGCTGAGATCAATTTCTTGTGCGTTCATAAGAAGCTGAGATCAAAGAGACTTGCACCCGTGATGATTAAGGAGGTTACTAGGAGAGTTCACCTGGAGAATATTTGGCAGGCAGCTTATACTGCTGGAGTTATTCTTCCAACACCAATTACTACTTGCCAGTACTGGCATAGGTCTTTAAACCCCAAGAAGCTTATTGATGTTGGCTTTTCTAGGGTTGGTGCGAGGATGACAATGAGCCGAACCATTAAACTCTACAAGTTACCTGATTCTCCGGCCACCCCTGGATTCAGAAAGATGGAGCTTCGTGATGTCCCTGCTGTTACTAGACTGCTAAGAAACTACTTGAGCCAGTTTATTGTTTCTCCAGATTTTGATGAGAATGATGTGGAGCATTGGCTACTTCCTACCGAGGGTGTCGTGGATAGTTACTTGGTTGAGAGTCCAGAGACGCATGAGATAACTGACTTCTGCAGCTTCTACACTCTTCCCTCATCTATTCTTGGCAACCAGAACTATTCTGTTTTGAAAGCTGCCTACTCTTACTATAATGTCTCCACTAAGACTCCACTGCTTCAGTTGATGAATGATTCTCTTATTGTTGCTAAGCAGAAGGGTTTTGACGTTTTCAATGCTCTGGATGTCATGCATAATGAGTCTTTCCTCAAAGAATTGAAATTCGGACCAGGTGATGGGCAACTTCACTACTATCTCTATAATTATCGGATACGAAATGCCTTGAGACCATCAGAGCTTGGTCTTGTACTCTTATAGTTTGGTATGTTTCAGCTTTGGTGCTGCAGTTTTTTCATTTCCAAATTAGGTTTGGATTGCATCATATTAATTGTCGCACTGCATCCGCAGCCAAGGATCCGGTTTGCAGTGCATGCAAGAGCAGCCTTTGTTGTGTTATTGAGCTTTAATTGCTTAGGCTAATACAATATTGCTTTTGACAATGCATATTGTTCTATGGACGCCAATAATGTTGAGATTTTGCATGTGGTTTGTTTCTCAGTCTTTGCAATACTCTTGCTGTTTTTCATTGTTTTTTCTGCTTGATGTCCTTGTTTCGATTAATCCCTTTAAACATTTGACAAAGCTGCAACACCGCGGTTGTTTCATTAATTTATTTGGTAATGAAATTTTGGTGTGGTCGACACTTGCATGCACTATGGCAGAGTGTTGGATTTTTAGTTCCAAGGCCACGGTTCAAATCCTAGCTACTTCGATTATCTAATTTCAGGATTCAATGTTTGTACGAGAATTCTCGATATGCGAAAATTAGTCACATTCATTACTATTAGAGTTAGTAATTTAAAATACAACATGAATTAGATACGTACAAAAAATATAAAGATGATATGATTTAAAATTTTAACAATAATTATAATAAAAATTATTTAATGTTTTCATTTGGACATTAAATATGACACAAATTTTATATAAAACATAATATAAATATATAAATTTTGATATTTTACATTATATAAATATTAAATCATAAAATCTAATCACTATTGCTCCTTTCTGTTCAAATTTGCGAATTTAAGTAATTATCATTAACCTTACCTTTCCTATTGCAAATTTAAGTAATTAATCATAAGCAATTAAATCCATATATATTTTATTGCAGGATGTGGCAAGGATTTCTTGGTTCTACTCTTTCCTCTGCCGATGTTGTTCTGTTTGCCTTCTACATGCTTGTTATAGCACCGAATGATATGAGAATGTGCCTTGTCAGGCACCTACTCTCAGATCCAACTGGATTAACTATGATAAGAACATATCGCATAGCATAGATGGTATCTTTTTGCGTTTCATCCCTTGTTTGGTTACATTTTGAATTGCCATTCAAGCAATATGAGGAGCCTATCCACCCATAAAAATAAATAGACATCTGTATATTCATACAGTTACATGTATATCCATAACTAGTAACTATCCTTTCCTATTGACAACTGTAGAATTTTGTAGCATTTCATTTGATCGTAAATTGTAGCCTTTCTGACTGATATGATTTTGATCATCATCCCAAAAACCCACTGGGAAATTCAAGCAAGCTGATTCGGGATTTGGTTATTACATCCTTGTTCATCTATAGCAAGTTGCCAGTCCCAATGGCATGGTATGAACACTTGGCATTATCGATTATTATGTACATTTTTTTTTTATCCTGGGAGAGAAAGGGACCTGGGATATCTCTAGAAATCCAAGCTTTGAATGCCAAAACATCTCAGACATCAACTTGTGTAAATTCTAGTGCATTAGCATCTGGATCTCGTGTAAAGATTGCTGGCCTACCAGATCGGCTAAGTGTGTAGGGAATACCTGCAGAACGATATTGACATAACATATCCTCATTCCTTTTGTAAACTACAGAGCTACATAAGAAATCTGCCATTAAAAAGCTTGAAACAAAAAGGTACCATGAAAATAAATATACACCGAGATATTGCTTGGCAAAGATGACTGTGGACACAAGGAAAAAGGATTTTACCAGCATTGTCAAGGATTGCTTGCAGCTTAGATACATCCCGAATTGCAATACAAGCATGACGGTCTCGGCCCCCATGTTCAGGTCTTCCGGTTAAGGGGTCTGGATTTGGAAGTTCCATCAAATGAATCATCTCAGAACCCACCCACAACCAAGCACCTCTGTATGGAAGCTTATCATGTGGCCTAGCCTCATTTATTTCAAGACCTAATTCAACATTTAGAAGCGGATGCTCAATTTACAATTCTCCTCTCTTACCAAACAAATGAACATTGTAGTACGGAAAAGGGAAGCATACCTAAAATATTCTGATAAAATTGAAGCGATGTTTCCAGGTTTTCACACAGAATTCCAACATGGTGAACACCAATAACTCCATAATCTACATCAATGACAAAATTAAATGTAATTTCATCGAAAATTGGAAAAGCAAAAAATGTAGAAGAAATCAACAATTTATGCTTTTCTGAAAGTTTTCAAAATGAATATCAATTCTATTTTGCCTCTGAAGTCCATGGCACGGTGGCAAACTATGAGCTATGGCTATGGCACCATCGCCACAGAGTCAGCAAAGAACAAAAAACAAGAGACTTGCATTCATTCATTGCGTTTTATAAACTAACTAGGAATATCAAATTTCCATTTAGGAAAAACTATATGAAACATGTTTGATAAGGGGACTATGTTTTATAAATCAGAGAAAACATGAAACACAAATGAAATGTTAATTTTTGTTTAATACTTGTAAATAAAAAATTTCAAAGATGCTCGAAAACCCAGATGAGCAATAACAGGGGTAGAATAGAACTGATGCCGATTTCATTCTCTGTTTCAGCTCTGAATAACTTACAGAAATCATGGCTTCCAAGACTATATTTGCGTTCCCTAAGATCAGACATTCAACATAGACAGCAAATTACTGAATAGGAGCAGTTACCTATCTTGTCATTGATACCAGCTGATTCTTTCTCAAGTACACTTCCTTCAACAGAACCCGTAGCTTTTGTCTTGAAACATAACCCTTGACATCTCCCATTGCCCAAAACAGTTTGGGAATTTTTGAATGGTGTATTTGGAGAGATTGCACTAAAACTTGTACGATTCAACTGCCAACCGAAAACAAAGAAAGGGAAGAAACGGGTGTTAAAAGAAAGGGTTGAATAATCAATCTCATAAGATCAGCTCATCAAATTCAACGTGGTTTCAGGTAAATCTTAATCATTTACCTGAACATAAAATTAAGTTAATGATAGAATTTCAGTACAAATCTCTTTGGTAGCTGACGAAATTACCTTAGGTTGCAAAGAAATTGCTGCGGAGGGACTGAGAAGAGAGGCCATGACTTCACTTTTTTTGGTTGATCGTTTCTCTTTTCTGTTTTTGGAACCTTTTTGAACCCAATCTGCAAAGTTAAACCATTCATTAATTCCTGGCTCAGGATTTTCACAAATGAACAGAAGCCACAACCACAAATTGAGAATTGGGATAATAATGCAAAAAAAATAAAATATAGGCCCATCATGTAAATAACATTAATTCTTGGTCATCTGACAAAAGGAAGAGAAAATTTGAATCTGAAGTTGTGTCATGTGTGCCGTGTGCGTGGAACCGTGGAAAGTCAACTGCCATGTTCGTTGAAAAAACGAGCGGGAATTCAGAAGACTAATTAACCAAGTGATACCTTACGTAAAAATTAATTAAATCATTAATAATCATTTAAGTGTGCATGTGTTTTTCATTTTGCAATTCTAATTAGAATATATTTTGTTGAATCGAATAAAAATACTATGATTCTAATTATAGTTTAACCAGTTCCAAATGCCAAAATATAAATATAAATATAAAATTTAACCACTCCCTTTCAAAGCTCATTTGTTTTTATCAATATATAATAACCACTATTGTTCTAAAAATTTAATCCACGTGCTAAAAGAACATTCCTTCGTTACAAAGATTTAATAATTTGAGAATATTATAGATATGATAACGGAACATGTTTTGTTTTTTTAGTTCATTTTTTAACATTGATAATGAAATTTTTTAATTTTATATACAAAATTAAAAAAATTATCATATGCTTCACTTTTTTATTATTTTTTATATTTTAAAAAATATATATCACCTTGTTAATTTTATTTATAAAATTTAAAAAACTCACTGTAAATAAATGTGATATTTTTTATTGTACAATAAGTTTAATAAAATGAGATGAAATAAAAACATATATAATTAGAATCCAATTCAAGAATAAAAAATTTATTTGGTGTTTGGTGATGTCAAAAGAAACTCGAGTGATGAAGAGCCTATTTTTAATTTTAATAGAGACCTGGATAAATATTAAAGTTTAGTGATAGAAATAAAAATATATATGATTTTAAATTTTTTGTCAAGAGTAAGAGGATATATATTTAATATATTAATTTTTTATTTAATAATATAAATTTTATTTGAAATTTATTAAAAATAATAATTTTAAAATTTTATTTAAACATGTAAGAAAAAATTAAAATTTATATTTTAATCACAAATATAAAAATTATTTATATTCATTAAATATTTATAAAATTAAAATTAAAATATTTATTAAATATAAATATAAAAAATTAAAAATGAGAAATATCTGTTCTATCCCTTGACATCCACAAACTAAAGAAATTGTCAAAAGTCAAAACAGGCATGATTCACGGCTTTGATGTTACTTACAGCTAGTTACAACTTTGATGTTCGTACAAGGATGTTCCAATCAATCTACTGTCTTGTCTACAACAATTCAAGACTTTCCCATACTGCCAGGTATGAAAAGGTGACAAAATTGCTACTGAGAGTACCTTGTCATCCACACTTCCTTAAATATGTAATTAATGCAATTATCCAAAGAAAAAAAAAATCAACTTAAATTAATGCAATTAATAATATTCTATTAATGAGAAAATCAAATTTATGTTTCCCTCATTGCAGCCTTATATCAAATCTATTGAACTTAAAATTTTAGACAGGGATCTTGTTTTTTGTTTCTAATTTTCTTTTTCTTACGTTGATCAATTAGAGAATTTATCCTTATGCAAGGTAAGTTTTGAGTTTTTCTTATGGGGAAATAATATTTTGAGTTTTTGACACAGCAGTGTTTGCCACATGAATGCACGATGAGATTCCAAACAAAATTTGCACCTCATTGACATTGCGTGTTGATCCAAACGAAGCTTAAGTTTGGATCCCATTCGTCTCAAGATATCAAATAAAAATGAGGCATATGTGGTTAAAGGGCTTGAAACGAGCATCTGGTGATTAATGAGTAACATAAACCAAGTGTAACAAAGTACAATTAATTTATGCAATTCAAAATATGATGATGATGATGATGATGATGATGATGATGATGATGATGATGATGATGATGATGATGATTGAATGCAAAATTTTATATTAAAAAAAGGAAAAAAGATGAAAAATTAGTTTTTCATTTTAATTCAATATTATTATTATTATTAGATTTAACAACTTTTGTATCCGTTGAATATTTATTTGTGATATATATACAATATATATATGTAACATAAAAATTAATATATCATAATTTTTATCAATATATAAAATATAAAATATTATCTTTATTAAATTTATATAAATTTATATTAATTTTAAATCACATTATTTTTATATATTTTTATAACATATCTAAAATTATCCCATATAATTATTATTTCTCAATGAGCTTTAAGCTTCTTCTACGGAATCCTACTCCAACGGAGCGACAATTTCTAAGGTTTTTAGGACAAGTAGTTTCTTTTTGGGTAAGGTTATTCTGACCCTTTTTAGTTACTTCCCTTTGCCTTCCCTCCCATTCTAACGAACCTTCTACTCAACTTTCCCCTTTCCCAACGTGCCCCCTCCCCCCACAGAAATTTTTTAGAACCACCTCTCTTTACCAATAACAAACAAAGCACATTCCCCTTTCTCAGAATTGCGTTCTTTTTTTTTTTTGAACAAAAAGATAAAAACAAAGACCATAGCAAAAGAAAAATCAAGTCGCCGTCAAAGCCCATCTTTATAACGTGTTCACACTTGCGTTCCTACGCGCTTCCTTAAGCGACCACTCTTGCTAACCGCGTAAGCCTGGCTGATACGTATATAAATGACCAAATCCCTCCGTTCCCATCTCCAATTTCAATTCACCCTTGCTTTCACATTTCGTCAATCAAGCCATTCAATGAAAGCAAACCCATAAATTATTGGTTTCATGGAAATTGGGTCTTTCACATTTCTTTCTCCCGAAGATTTTTCTTATAACAACAACAGCAGCAATTTCTCTTGGTTTCAGGATATGGAAAATGGGTTCAATGGGAACGCCAACAAAAGGGGTAGAAAAGATAGTGAGGAATCTTTGGTCAACGAAGAATTGAAGAAGAGCGGGTTTAGTGATATACTTTCTTCGATTTTGTTGTTGGACGAGGCAGCAAACCAAGAGGAGCATCAATGGTTCACTGACACGGATCAAGAAAAAGCTTTTTTCGAAGCCAATTACAAGGAAAATGTTCAAGAAATGAATGGTTTTTTCGACCAGCTCCAAAACCATTACTCTGAAATGGACGAGTTAAATAATCCCAGAAACAAACGCGCTCGTAAATCCAGTTTAGTTGCTGCTTCTGCTGCAGCGGTTGCTTCTGGATCGGACAATGTGGGTCCATCACAATCGGGCAGTGGATCAGGGCAGCAAAGGCGGCTTTGGGTAAAAGATCGATCGAAAGACTGGTGGGACAAGTGCAATCACCCGGATTTTCCCGATGAGGAGTTTAAACGCGCTTTCCGGATGAGTAAAGCCACGTTCAATATGGTCTGCGAGGAGTTGGAACCGGTGGTGATGAAAAAGAACACGATGCTTCGTGACGCGATCCCGGTTCGTCAGCGCGTGGCGGTTTGTATTTGGAGGTTGGCCACGGGTGAGCCGCTTAGGATGGTATCGAAACGATTCGGATTGGGGATTTCAACCTGTCATAAGCTGGTATTGGAGGTTTGCACAGCAATTAAAACCGTTTTGATGCCTAAATTTGTTCGATGGCCTGACGAAAACAAAATGAAGAGGATTAAAGAGGAATTTGAGTCCACCACTGGGATTCCAAAGGTGGGTGGTTCAATGTACACTACTCACGTACCCATCATTGCACCAAAAATCAGCGTGGCGGCGTATTTCAATAAAAAGCATACGGAGCGGAATCAGAAATCTTCATATTCGATTACCCTCCAAGGAGTCGTTGATCAAAAAGGAGTTTTTACCGATGTTTGTATCGGATGGCCTGGTTCCATGTCTGATGATCAAGTTTTGGAGAAGTCAGCCTTTTACCAAAGAGCCACCGGGGGGCTTTTGCAGGATGTTTGGGTCGTAGGGAGTAAAGGGTATCCTTTAATGGACTGGGTTTTGGTTCCTTACGCTCACCAGAATCTGACTTGGGCTCAACATGCCTTCAATGAGAAAATTGGGGAGATTGAAAAGGTTGCCAAAGAAGCCTTTGCCAGATTGAAACAGAGGTGGTCATGTTTGCAAAAGAGAACCGAGGTTAAGCTTCAAGAGTTGCCCGTTGTGCTTGGAGCCTGCTGCGTTTTGCATAACATTTGTGAGATGAGAAACGAGGAGATGGACCCTGAGCTAAAATTCGAGCTTTTCGATGATGAGGCAATCCCAGAGAATAATTTGAGATCCATGAGTTCCGTACAAGCGAGGGATCACATTGCTCACAATCTGTTGCACCATGGACTTGGTGGCACTGGTTTTCTATAGTGTTTTATTACATTACTATTGTCTTGATTTAGAAATCTTTTTGTATCCGTTAGATATTTGCTTTGTCATTCTTTTTACTTATAGCAATAAACATTATTTTTTATCTAATTTTTATATATGGGTTTGCCAATATTTTTTATTTATGATTATGGTCAGATCATTCACAAAAATTAATAAAATTTGGTGAGCATAGTGAATGCATTATCTACACATGTTACACGAAACTATTGACCCTATGTTTAAATGAAATATTAATTTACCAGTGGGTCGAAATTGTAAATGTGTAAACTTTGTATAAAAGATTTGTTGAAGGAATTATGATCATCATCTCTGATCTTACAACATGATTTTCTCAGAGATGACGTTAGCTTCACACAGAATCTATCGTCTGAGACGAATAGAACATTTTAGTGGGTCCCAGGTGCTTGATCTTTTTAAAGATAAAAAGTAGAAGTCTCTTCATCTGATCAGGTACGAACATAAGCGCACAATTTGATGTGCCATTTTCACCCGAGCTTTGATCAGCCAGAAAGGGGTCCCATCTGACCCCATTTTTATTGAAACCATCGACACTTGAAGACGTTAGTTTGTCCAGTCTGGACACTAAACAGTGGCCCACGATAATAAAATCCTACGTGTCTGACCAATCACATGGACAAGTTCCAGGTTCCAAACTGCCGAAGCTAAAGTTTGTGGGACCAAAACCAATTGCAATTCACCACGTGTCAAGAAAAAAGCCGGGTTGTTGAATGGAAATGAAGGGAGGCAGGGGAAAAGCTTTGTATTTTTCAGGTTTCGCTCGTCCCCAACATGGAATAACCTGAGCCCCCCTCCTGTCCTGCTTCGTTGTCACGATCACCAAAAACCACAAACAAGAAAAAGAAGCAAAATAAACATAGAGTTTATTGTCTTTATAAGAGAAGAAGACGAGAGCGAGTGAAAGGGAGGGGTATAATAATGGAGAATCATAAGGAGGAGGTGAAAGAAAGAGAGGAGGACGAGGGACCAATGGCGGGGGAGGGGGCGGAGGAGGAGGAAGAGGAGGAGGAGGAGGAGGAGGAGGAGGAGGAAGGGAATGATGTGACCAGCTTGACTCTTGAAAGGGTGGCTGCGGCTAAGCAGTTCATTGAGAGCCACTATAAAGCCCATATGAAACATATCCAAGAACGCAAAGAAAGGTATATAGGAAAAAATGTTTTACACTATATTATATATATTGCACGTTAATTATATTTATATGATTCATTTGTTAAATTTTTTGGATGGTCTTGAATCTTTTTGTTTTTGGATGTTTCTTTCATGAAGATCTTGTTTTGGGTTTTTTTTTTTTGGTATGGCCTTAATTTGATTTGAAAGGCGGCATGTGTTTGGTATTTTGATTGCATGGGAATGGTTTTGGCAATATCTGGAAATTGAGATTTTGTTGTAGTTCTTTCTTGTTAACACAGAATTGAATTAATTAAAATGTTATAAAGTTTGGGATTGATCAAGGGAAATTGGTTTATAAAGGCATTGCTTAATTATTAATGAATTAATGTCTGTTTCCTTCTTGGGGTAGAATGAGGTGAATATATACAATCAATCATCTGATAGATTGGTGAAATGGATTTAAGAATAAAGGGTAAAAACTTGAAAAGTGTTGAAAGGTTATAGCAGCATGAAGATCATTGCTTGAAGTAATGGAAATTTGCAATGAAATAAAGAGAAAAGTGCATCTAAATCATTTAATTAAACAGTTTTTGAGTTTTGCATAACCTTTTCTCTCCTTTACTTACATGGAAACAATTCTCTGGAGTTCCCATAACATACACCCACAATGTTAAGCACTTTCCATGTAATAAGCTGAGTTCAAATGTGCACTTTTTTCCCCAATGAACTGTTTGGTTAATAAATAAGTGGAAATTGCTTATTTATTCAAGAAAAATTATGTATTTTCATTCTATGCAAGTGTATTTGTTCTATGAGCATCATATCTGGAAAGGAGCTCTAAAAGAAGGAATGAAACTGCCAACAAGGCCTTGATCCAACGGAAAAAGGATCGTCTAAGGCCAAGGGAGGTCCAAAGTTTAAATCTGCCCACCCTCCTTTTTGTTTGATTGCATAGTTTTATATAAAATAAACACGATGTTTGAGTTAGACATGTTGCAGAAAGAGGCATTATCTTTTGCACACATGGTTTTGCCATCTCCATTTAAGTCTTCCATGACTCTTGACTGTTTGTTAAGTAGCTTTTTTCTTATAGTCTCTCTTTACACAGAACGAGACACTCAAATGGTTGCAGTTATTCTTCTTTGTTTTAAAATTTTACTTATGCCTCTTCTTCCTTCTTTTTCACTTGTAATTGTTTATATATTTATCTTAGATGATTGTAGTTTTATGGAAGGAGAGTAGGAGGCAGTTATTGACAAGAGAATAGACTGTAAGATGTTTGACTTTCGTATATCCTGGCAAATTTTATGAACTGCAGGCGTTCAGTGTTGGAAAAGAAGTTGGCATCTTCAGATGTTCCAGAAGAGGAACAAATCAATCTGCTGAAGGATTTGGAGCGCAAAGAGTCAGATTATATGCGGCTTAAAAGGCACAAGATTTTTGTTGATGATTTTCACCTTTTAACCATTATTGGAAGAGGGGCTTTTGGAGAGGTTAGAAATGCAAACAGTTTTGATAGTGTTCATAGAACATCCTTTTTAGAATGATCTTTTGCTTTCTTTCTTTTTTCCTTCTTTTTCCGTAAGAACTATTACGTTGTGCCGAAACTTGTGTGATATTTGGTAACAATTGCAAGAATTACAGCATGAAACATTCTGTTAAAATGGTAAGAAAAATAATAATTTGTAAACCAATGCCACTTGAATTCAGATTTCTAAATGTTAAGCAACTAACAGATAGCAATAGCATTCGTGCATGTAGCAACTGTGGTGTAGTTAAAACTAGAGATAGTGCCTACCGACATTGATGATGCTAGAACTTAATGGTGCTTAATGCGAATTTTAGCATGTAGCGACACTGCTAGCCTTGTGGTAGGATCATTGTGAGCTAGAAGAGCTGATTAATGAAGTTCCAAACAAATACACGTTGGATTCTTCAGTTTTGTAGTATGGTTGAGACATGGCAATCCCTTTTCTAAGGAGATTACTTGAAAATTCAAAGTCCTAGTTCTTTTATGCACTGAGATGTAGATGGTATTGAAGACCTTGAGTTCCAGGAAAAGTACAAAGCCTCCAATTTGAAACTGATTAGCACCCTGTATGCTATTATTGTATAAATCTCAGTCATACGAGTTCAAATTCTGCTAGGCCTTCCTAAGATAAAAATTCCTGTAACACATTTCTTCTGTTTTTTTGCCTAGTCTTTGTTTATCACAACCTCATCATAGATGATCCTATTTTGCTTGCGTATTGATAGCAGATAAACTTGGTTTCCTATGCATATAACTATTGCATGTGGATTCTTGGCTGTTCTTTTTTTTTTTTTCCTGCTCGAGTGCTACTCCCATAACTATTATAATTCATTATTATGATATTTTTTTAATTTTAACTGTTCTGTTAGGATGTGAGAGGTTTTGGTTTGTTCATATGTTGTTGTTAGTTTACAGGTAAGATTGTGTAGAGATAAAAAATCAGGTGATATTTTTGCCATGAAAAAGTTGAAGAAATCAGAAATGCTTAGTAGGGGACAGGTGAGATCTGAAATCTTTAGTCATTTAAATTCAATTTATGCATTCATGGCATGTTACAGAAATTTCACCTCCATTTTTTTCTACTTTACGTTTTCATGAAGTTGGAAACTCCCTCTCTCATGGTGTTGTTCTACTTGTTTAACTTCTTTACACTCACAGATTTTGTGCATATAATATAGGTTGAACATGTGAGAGCTGAGAGGAATTTGCTAGCGGAAGTTGCCAGTCACTTCATTGTGAAACTCTATTATTCTTTTCAAGATACTGAGTATCTGTATCTAATCATGGAGTATCTGCCTGGTGGTGACATGATGACTTTGCTAATGAGAGAAGACACCCTAACTGAGACTGTGGCTAGATTTTACATTGCTCAAAGTGTTCTGGCCATTGAATCTATTCATAGGCATAATTACATTCACAGGTTAGTAGCCTTTCGTTGATTACCAACAAAAATATCAGGTACTGGAAATGTGGAATGTGGAAAAATTAAAAAATAAAACTGTGTGAAAAATTAATAGTAAAATTAAATGTATATTAAAAAATTGCTCATAAAGAATTATACAAATATCTTAGATTTATATACAACTAACTAGTGAGTAAACTAGGAAACTAAAGTTTTTAAAAACTGATCTTATAATTAAGGGATTGTCTATCATAATTTTCTGTCCTTAATTCTAGCGATACAAATATTTAATTCTAAAAATACAAATATAAATATACATATTATAAAATTACAACTAGCTGTAAATAAATGTTTTCTCATGTGGAATATTGTTAAGGCTGTAATTTCTAATCTGCTGCAGCTTTTGTGAATTTTATCGATATCTGACAAACATGTGCTTGTTTTTTTTCTTCCTCCAGAGACATTAAACCTGATAATCTTCTGTTGGACAAAAATGGTCATTTGAAGCTCTCTGACTTTGGTCTTTGCAAGCCTTTAGACTGCAGAAATTTATCTGCTATAAACGAAAATGAAACCCTGGATGATGAGAATTTGAATGAATCAATGGATGTTGATGGGCACTTCCCTGAATCTGGTAGAGGAAGGCGCTGGAAAAGTCCCCTTGAACAATTGCAGCACTGGCAGCATAACAGGAGGAAATTGGTACAACCATACTTTCTTTTTGTTAAGTTGCAAATTATCATTCTAATGTGTTCATGCATGTATAAAGGAAGCATGTTCACTGATCTTATTTAAGAGAATTCCATAATCTAAACCCAGAGTTAGTAATATCATAGTTGATGCAAATGAATTTTGTGGCCCTGCATGGAGCCATGGTGAGAGTGTTTGTACCTAAGAAATAACATTTTAAGATTTCATCAATAACTCAGATGCATGTTCCAATGAAGTATCGAAGGAGCAAAAGCATGTTGGGTGATTAGGTTTAAACTCCTATGGATCATTGAGTGCGTCGGTAAAGGAATTTGCCAAATTTGTTAAACCTGAATTCTAGCCCTATTTGCTTCATATTTTTTATGTTATGTTTGGATATATATTAATTAAAGAAAAGAAATGAAAGAAAAAGAAAAGAAAGGAAAGGAAAAGATATATGTATCTCTTGTTTGTTTGAATAGTTAAAATTAATGAAAAAAAAAATAAAAAATTTTAACAAATATTATTTTAATAAATAGTGAAAATGAAAAGAAATAATTAATTATAATAATTTTTTTCAATTAACACTTTTTTTTAATAAAGTAACATATAATATACAAATATATCTTTATACTATTTAGTTTATATAAACAAATATTTCTAAACAAAATTGAATATGTTTAATACAATCAGATGTATTGACTAGTTATTGATTTACTTTTAATTTTATGTTTAATTCAACTTTTTAATTTATCCTAACAATAATTTGATTTATTTTATTATTAAGACTAAAAAAATCATAAAATATTTATAAACTGTAATGTTATATAAAATACTTATAAAAAAAATTATTTTTATATGAAGTATTAGTTATATAATTAAATCTAATATCATAATTAAAATATAAATATAACAATCTTTTTATAAAAATAAAATTCTTTTAACTTTTTTTTCTTTAACTTTTCTTTCAAATTGAGATATTAAAAAAAATGAAGATGATAAGGAAAGCCAACGGATATTGACTTTTTACATTTTTTTTTTTAAATTAAAAGTTTATCCAAATAAAAAAAAAGGTTTTTTGTTTTCATTATTTTCCTTCATTTTCCTTTCCTTTCCTTCCTCTCCCCTCAATCTAAACATAATGTTAAGATAATGATGAATGGGACTTTAGGATTCAGCTGTTTTTTATTCCTTTTTGTTGCTTGTATGCTTTGTTAGAGGGCTGCGTCCTTGTTAGTAAATTTTTGGAGGGAATCAAGTAATATATCCAATTATTTATTCTGTCAATTATTCTTAGATTGTTTCCCTCCCGTTTCAATGGCAGGCATTTTCAACAGTTGGAACACCAGATTATATTGCACCTGAAGTATTGCTCAAGAAAGGATATGGCACAGAGTGTGACTGGTACGGCTAAGGGAATGATACTTTCTCATGAGATTTATAAAATTTAGATATTGTTTCTGTCATTCTGTCATTCTGCATCTGCCTTTTTTCTTATGTTTTTAATTGAATGTGGAGTTAAAATTTCCATTACAAACGTATTTTGTTGCAAGAAAACTTGGCTGAAGACATGCTGTTCTTATCCGTATCTGAATGTCACCAAGGTCGGAAAATGCCAATGAAACAAAGTCATGTTCATACAAAATAATTTAAATTTAAACCAAGTCTCATATTCCTATTGGTTTGTTTTTTGCAAGATCTTTTAGACTTTAGTGTGCAAAAATGGTTAGAGAGTGATCTAAAGTAAGCTGTAATTGGATATACAAAAGAGTTCCCTGAAGACTTTTTCCCAGTTCAATAACAGGATAGACTTTATGGAGATGATCTTTTATGTATATCTGTGATATGCTTTGTATATACTCGCAATGGGTAAGGTAATTGGAATTTTTCTTTCATAAATTCTTATCAGTTTACCTGGTTGCAGGTGGTCGCTTGGTGCTATCATGTATGAAATGCTTGTTGGTTATCCTCCATTTTACTCTGATGATCCAGTGACGACATGCAGAAAGGTTTTAGTTGCTCTAAAATCTCGTATTCAAAATTTTCAGCTATTTTGAGTTGAGTTAAATCAGCAAGTGATGTTAAGTGTTTCTTATTGATTCTTTAGCTCTCGAATGTCTTAGAAAAAGTTAAAATACTAGTTTTTCCTTTTTATTCACTTATTCCTTGATTTGCTGACAAATGCATGCCAGATTGTGCACTGGAAAAATCATTTGAAATTTCCAGATGAAGCAAGGCTGACACCTGCAGCAAAAGATTTGATCTGTAGGTTGCTTTGTGATGTTGACAATAGGCTTGGTACTTCAGGGGCAGACCAAATTAAAGTAATTTTTGTGAATACCAAAATAGTCATTTTCCATTTTCCTTTACATTGTATTTTCCACATATTAACAATGGGTATAATTAGGCTCATCCTTGGTTCAAAGATACTCCGTGGGACAAACTCTATGAAATGGAAGCAGCATTTAAACCACAGGTTGATGGAGATCTTGATACTCAAAATTTTATGAAATTTGATGAGGTAAGTTATTATGAGATATATCCATACTTTCCCAATCTTTAACAAGTTTTTTTTGGGGGGGTTATTTTTTGCATTTGATGCTCTGTAAAAGGCATTTTGCCATTTTCTGCCTTTGTTTCTATGGAGCCTACTGGTGATGCAAATTCTGACCGTGCCACAGGTGGAATGTCCAATACCAGAAAGAACAGGATCTGGGCCATTGAGAAAGGTACGTAACTTTTCTGCAAGGACCGTAAGGATGAGTATGAATGCAATTGGCTGTAATTTGAACTTTGAATAACTTAACAATTGTTTTGCTGTGACCATTTTGTATTTTAGTCGAAGATCATGATGGGAGTTTCTTGGCTGGCTTCTGAGTCATCTCTACTGTTGTTGACTGACACCGAGCATTTGAATGTCTTTAAGTTATCCACACTTAATAACGTCTTGCATAACTTACCGATATGAATTCTTACCTTTTTGGCAGATGCATTTAACTCCTAAAGATCTTAATTTTGTGGGCTATACATACAAGAATTTTGAGGCTGTCAAAGGATTACGTCATTCTTTTGGTACAAGATTCTTAGTTCCCTGAGTGTTAAAGTATCTTTTATTTATAGTTAAACTTCTTCTTTTTTGTCACATCTTTGATTTCATGATTTAAAATCATATCATTAGAACTTTTTTCTTTTCTATGTTGCTTCTTTTGATCAAAACTTAAAAGTTCTTGCAAGTAACCTAAGTAACTGATTGTAAATGTTCATATTTATTTGCCCTCTTGCAGTCAACCAACACATACTAAACTCTTTCTTTCTAGAATGTAGTAACATATCATCTGCATATGCACGTGTTGCTTTAAACTGTATTGCATTCGTTTTGTTGCCCAATACAGAATTTTCTTATCATTCAATAACTGCTGCAGATGTAAATGGGAGTGCGCCACAAAGGCAGTCATCAACTGACTCATTCCACAGTGAGATCCTAGACTAGCATCTTCGGGTCTCGTTTTTGTTTGCCTGATTGAGTTAAACTTTTCTCATAAATGAATTTTTCTTTTAGGTGATTCTGGTGTGGACTACTCTTCTAATGATACGGAAACAAGGATGCTTTGACCATCAGGGGAGATGGTGGGTCCCTTGGAGTTGTGGCTCATTCCTTTCCATGTATAGCACCTTGCATAATGGATAAACAGGCTCTTCTGATTTTTGAATAATGAGTCTACCTGCTTATTTCGGTCAGGTTCTACCCTGATTTCGTTATTGAAGTTTGCTGCTTCATATTCATCGAACTAATAAGTGTTTAGTAAATATCAATTGGAATGAGTTCTTTGATGGGGTTGGTTGATAGTAGCCATAAGTAAGAGTTTTATGTTCATTTAGTCTTTTTGAGATTGTATTCAGATCCTAACTCTCCAGATTCAGCGAGCCATAGGAAACGGCTCTTGTGGCGGTTTCGGCCCTTTTCCCCTCCTTTCTCGATAGTTTAGGGAATTGCTAAAATGTCTAAATCAATGGTCAGGCTCTGGAATCATAACACAGTGACATTGACTGGCATTTACATGGAATCCTTGTTCTTTGGTAATGAACTGCAAATCATATGTATTTTGTTTTGGGGATGTTCTGTCTCCATATCCCCAATCTCTTGAATCATTTTTTTTAATCAGAGATCAACTTTGGAAGAATCAGACGCTTTGAAGTTTGAATAAAGTTGAACAGCAGTTGTATAAAATGGAAAACTATATTCTTTTCAACTACAATATCATGGATAAATTGCATCTTTTGTCAATGCAGCCGCATAATTGTAGTAATTAAAAAAAAAAAGAACAAAAATATACATCGCTCATGCAGGCTTCGAGTGATGGTGTGGCCAACCTGAGCTGGTCAAAAGGCATAATGTACGTAAACCAAATTTTGGTCACATTCTTAATTACACCAAGAAACCTAAGCTTATGGTAATATTTTTCTTATGAATTATGATTGCATTTGCCTTTTGAATGATTATTTTTTACCAAAAAAATGTGAATAATTATTTGTTAACTCCGGATTATACCATTAATTTGATTTTCCCGTACAATGATTTATTAATTTAATAATAATAAAATTGGTTCAAATTTAAAAATTTTGAATTCAAATTAAAAATCTTATCATAAAAAATAAAAAAACTTATAATATTTACATTAAAAGCTTATCCTCGATTTTTTTTTTTGTAATTTTGTTCTAAATTCACCACTTAAAAATTTTTCATCATAAATAAGGAGGAAGAAATCCTAAAATTATGAATTATTATACTAATGTTCTTTAAAATACGAATTTAAAAATTAAAATAATTCATTTGAATGAAATTTATTCACCCCTTAATTTTTTTCACTTAACTATTTTCATTTCATTTTCTTTTATCTAAATTTAGTAATTTGCGTATTGCTATTTGCCAATACAAAATAAAAGAAACAGATTTTTTGGATTTTAATTTCTAAAATCTAAAGTCAAAATATTTTCTTTAACTGAAATGATACATTTTATCGTTAGAATTTCACTAGGACAAACATACCCACAAGTCTCGCATTACAAAAACCACGAGCTGTCTTTGGAGCCGGCTTAACATATTTTTATTTGCCCAAAAACCCTGTTCAGAAACTCGACATCCTCGCAACCGAGGACAACGAACCGTGGGCATAATCGTCATTTAATTTAACCCAATTTCATTGCCGATCAAAATACAGGGGCGCTTTCGACCTCCATGGCCATGTTCGAACTTTCCCCTTTAGATTCCGGACTTCGAACCAATTACGTAAATCAAATTCCTATCCGTAATTTAAAGAATCTAAATATCTTGCTGAAAATTACAGCCTCCGCCATCTTCTCTTCTCGCGATTCATCCAAGGTAGATTTCCACTCACATTCTTGATTGCAAGCTCTAGGGTTTTCTTTTTTAAATTTCTTAACTTTTTTTTTAATTTCTGTGATTGACTTTTTATTTCAGGTTTATTTTCTAATATTCGTTTGGATTTAGTTTTAAGGGTTTTTCTGCAAATTTTTTAATAGTATCATTAATTATTTTTCTATTGTTGAGGTTTGATGAATGAAATATGATTGGGATGTAAAATCGAGGAATTAGAGGATAAAATGGTAATTTTTGAGCTTAGACTGGCTTTACTGTCTAAAATAGAGCATTTCATTTGATGAAGCTGGATTGTGTTGATTAGTCAAAATAATGAAGAAACATGGAGGATTTTAACTGAGATAATGTTTTGTTTTGCTATCCTGTGATTCAATTCTAGCTTGGATTTAATTGAAGTAAGGAAAGTTAAGTGGAAGGCAATTATATTTATCCTTGTAATGGTCAAAAAAGGGAGAAACAGACGAGCAATGTTGATTAGTAAATGATTAAAATGGAATGCTGCTCTTACTGACTGCAATGCTTGAGAAGTCTCTACAAGTTTTCGTAATGAGTGTTTGCATGTACCCTTATGAATTATGGTAAGATAGTTAATGATTCTGGCAGGTATTCTCAATGGCACTATCCTATGAATCGGGATGCCAGCCCCTGATGTTTATATTCATTTATTATCTATACCATTTTTCTTTCACAAGTCCTAACATCTTTGTAAAATGTTTTGCTAACACATATACCCTGATTTGTGTCTTTATATCCACCTATGATTCATGATTCTGATAATGATATGCTTGTTTTGCTACATGCGCACTGCAGAGATGGGCAGACAGCTTTAATAGCAATTTCATTATAGGTCATTTGATGCACGGGAGGGTGATCCGCATGGAGGAGTTATACAGTTTAGAATTATATTTAAATAAAAATAGTTTGAATTTCATGGGTGGTTCCAATCATAAATTTATATTTATATGGGTTTTGCTAGCTAGTGCCCTAAGGGAACTTTTTAAGGTTAGTTAAGATACTACTTATGGTAATATTCTTGTATTAAATGCAGTAATTGACTGTTGATGCAATGAATTCCAATGCATTGGGAGAAAATATTACCTAATATGATAACATTAAAGAGTGCCCTTTGGGCACTTGTTAGCAAAACCCTATTTATATTCAAGGTATTTTAGGTTATATTAATTTGTCTTTAATTATTTACCAAGTATGAGGCTTATGGAGTACCCCTAAATATCTATTTGAGCTCTGTTCTTGGTAGCTTCTTATTATTGAGTTATTGAGGTTATTGTGTGAATCAGATCATTGAGTGTTACTTAGAATTTCAAGTTGATTGTGCACCTTTGGCACTTTGCTAGCTGTTATGAGGTCAGGATAAATTATCAGGTCACCATGCTATTTAAAGTGAGGATTGAGTCATTTAAGCTGCATTTGATAAGAAACTGATAGATGAATAGAACATAAACATTTGATCCTCATATATGAAAGGAAGAGATCACTGGATTTTGAATCCAACTTGCTGCATACATTAAGTCTGTAGCTAAGCAACAAAAAGGTGCACTAATCAATTCTGTGAGCAAGGATTACATATCTTTTAAATGCCACTTGCAGAAGATTGAAACAATATCTAGAAGAAGAAATGAATGTATTTGTTGGAAATTAGAGTTTCAACAACCTAAAACTTGACAATTCAATGTTTTGGAAAGAGTCTAACCATGTCCCATGAATATCTATAAGCTCCGGTGATGATGAAAATGAGTTATTTTGATTTGGGACAGGAAGAAGATAAAACAAGCTCTGGCAATGTTAGAAGTGGAGTTAGATGAATAATTGCCATCTAGGAGGAAAACATATTTATGGATGACCTGTTTCTTGTGTGTTGAGTCTCATATATCAATTGATGGTGTCTTTTTATGACAGCCATTTGTACTAAACCTGTTGTCACCTTTGTTTTCTGAATTTTTCATTTTTGTTGTTACATTCTACTTGTATTCACTGCTTTCATTTGTTGCATTTTTTTTGCGGGCCTTTGCCATGTTACTTTGTTGAGAGCAATTATTTTTTTTTATTCTGATGAAAATCCCTATATTAACTATTATGCATACCATAAATTCTCTGGTCATAAATTTATTGAGTTAATCATGCAAATTGGTTGCTTTTCAACATTAATCCAAAAATAAAATGCAAGCTACCAAAATACCCTCTCTTAAACTTTGGAAACCACTACCGTCTTACAACAAGACAGTGAAAAGTTTTATGGCACTGGCAGTGGAAGGTTTCTTTGATATTTCTTTATAACTACTAGTGACTATTTTATGACTTAATTTTAACCTACTACTTTTAGTTGTACTTTTTATGTGTTCATTATGCATAAAACAGCTTGAATTTTGAGGTAGCATTGAGTGGATATGAAGTCTAATAAAAATTTTTTATGCTTATCCTTAGTTTTTTCTCCTTTGCAGAGATAAGTTGTCCATTGTACTTAAGAGTTTAAATCAGCCTTTATGTGCTCTTCTACTACAATTTTGTCATGCACTGTTGTATTTATTGGCCTTCTAAAATTGTGGATTTACAAATTCTGATGCAATGGCAATGTCTAGCAAGTTTGATCTGTCTTCTGGTAGCCCAGATAGGCCACTGTACACCAGTGGGCAGCGTGGAGCCCACTTAGCTGCTCAATTAGACAGATCAGGTAGCTTTCGCGAGACCATGGAGAATCAAATTCTATCTTCTCTGCCAAGTATGTCGAGGAGCAGTTCCGTAGTAGCCCAAGGAGATGTATCCAACTTCTTCCAATGCATGCGTTTTGATCCCAATGTGGTTGCTACTGATCATAAGTCTAGTCGTCAAGTAGACTTTAAACGGCACATTAGTGTTGCTCTTGGCATTTCTGCTGATGAATCTCCTACCATGTTGTCGAAAGGCAAGCTTCTACCTTCTCCCATACCAGAGGAAATCAAACGAGTTAAGGCTGGTCTACGTGATTGCTCTGTCAAAGCAAGGTAGTTCTTTGTAAATTTTGTATTTTGGATTGAAGTTTTCATTAGTTATTAAAGTGATTTAGTTAACAGGGAGCGTATGAAAACTTTCACCGAAGCCTTATCAGTATTCAACAAGCTCTTCCCAAGCATACCATCAAAGAAGAGATCTCGATCAGAAAGTTTTTCTAGTGACCGAACTAATTCCTTGTTATCTAGTGATCGGTCAGTCTTGGGGTCAGCCATTGGTAAGATGGGAATGCATAATCATTCCATTGCTGGAGGTTTTGAATTTGAACAGCAGAAGTCAGAAGGAAGGCCTAAAAGTGCAGTTTCAAATAAACGTACTCGAACTTCGCTGGTGGATGTGAGGGTTTGTAACTTTGTATCTTTGATATCTTCCATCTCTATGCATTTTCTGTCATGGTAGTATTATAATTCCTTATCTGCTATTTGGCCTGATATAACTTATTTAATAAGCTTGTGCAATGGCTGTTTTATGTGCCATATGCAAGTATGATTGGGGTCAAAGAGTGCCATGTCCCAATGTGATTCTTGTTGTCACTGTTGCTTCTTTTATTTCTTCTCTCTGACATTCCATTCATGTTATGCACCAGTAGTTAATTTCTTCTTTTCCATTTGTCACTGAATTCAAACCTCACTTCTTTCTTTTGATCCAACTAGGTGGTGGTGGGTGGTATGTTCTCTTTACTCTTTCTTTTTAATAGATTTCCCTATTTACTTCAATCATTGAGTTAGTACCTATATGAGTGATAGGAAACCCATTTCCTGTTACAGGAATCCACATAATATTCTGTTTACACATGAGCTAATATGAACATGGTTTTAAATCT